CGTCCTTCACGACAGACGGCTGTAACACGTCCGATCCCCAGTGTCAGAGAATAGGGTTTTGAGAAACGAATAGATAAGCCATTACTGCTGAGGCGATTTGGCACCCGTTAGAAATCGCCGCATGTTAAACAACAACAACAACCACACCGACTTACAACAACTTGCATTTATGTAGCGCCCTTCACACGGGATAGCCTCCCAGAGTGGTTAAGCTCTTCCTCTCCCAACCTCCACCCCCGCTCCAATATCCGCCTGCAACCTGGTAAAGGCTCCACAAAGCTGTTGATCGAGTAGGAATCCAGCGTTCAAAGGGTCAACATGACGCAGTGCACTGCCTCTAACCTACGCTGTACATGTTGCAACTTGTCCAGCACATCATCCCTCTGAAGGAAAACAAGCATTAGTACCTCCTGAGCTCCTTCCCACCCCTGGCTCCCTGCCTCAGGCTCAGGCCTTGGCTTGTCCGACCTTCAGCTTCATTAATGTTTCCCTCCAGCTTAGAATCGTAGAATCATAGAACATTACAGCGCAGAAGGAGGCCATTCGGCCCATGGTGCCTGTGCTGGCTCTTTGGAAGAGCTGCCCGATCAGTCCCACTCCGAATAGTGCCGTGGGATCTTTGACGTCCACCTCAGCGGCCGGACAGGACCTCGGTTTTAACGATTCGTCCAAAGAACCTCAATTGCAACCAAATGCAGCACAAACCCAGCCTAGACTGTGAGCTCCAGGTTGTGACGTGAACCCAAAACCTTCTGCTTCGGAGGTGAGAGCACCAGCAGCCGAACCGGGCTGACACCAGATTATTGTGTAGTAAAAAGGATTATAATGATGATAATAATAATAATAATAATAATAATTAATAATAACCCTTGCATGTGGTGCAGGGTCTTCTTGCTGCATTGTCGAAATATCTCAAAGCGCTTCACGAGGATTTCAACGTTCAGGTCCACGTGGCGGGATTTCCTCGCAGGGGCCACTGTGACTTGTGTCGCAGAACTCTTTGCGAGGGAGCTGGGCACGGTCAGCCGAGCAGAATGTCTGTGGGTCCATGGTATGGCTCCATAACAAGCGATGCTTCACACATACACACACACGCATATAAACACACAACTCAGGGACATCCCAGCAGCAAGTTTCCCGGAAGCTCCCCCACGCTCTTCCCCCACCCCGCAAGGGTCGTTGGAACAGACCGCACTGCCACTGACGACTGCGATGGCCTCTGATTTCCAAACACGGACTCTGTGTCAACACCTCGCAGAAATTGGACGCTGCTGCAATGCTCTTCTGTCGCCTTCTCTCTCGGCACACTGTCGAGAAGCAGCGGGCGTCCCGCGGCTGTACTTTATTTACGCTTGGGAACTTTTTCATGGTTTGCTCAATCCTATTTCCTCACGGCCGAGGTCAGTGCTGTTCTCCGGCAAGGTCAGCACGAAAAATAAAGGGGAAACGTCATGTCACAGCGGGAGGAGGTTGGGCTCTGAGTCCAGCTATTTCAGGCTCTGGAATGATCTGGAATGTGGTTGGGAACATTAACCCTCTGGGATCCAATTCCATGGGACACTCTGGTGTCACAATCCAAGTCACCTGCGTCAGCCTGGCTCGCGTTCTGGCTGACAATTCGTCAGATAACACCGATCATTCACTGCGTGGCTGTTTGTGGGACATTGCCGCGCGCAAATCGACCCCCCCCCCGACGGACATCTCTACACAGTCACTACACTTTACAGTAAATGAAAAATCACGTGAGGGGCTTTGAGACGTCTCGTCGAGGTGGTAAAGCGTTGCACAGAATGCGGGAATTGTGATTATTATTGGTATTGCTGTTAGTAGAAAGTCAGTGGTGTGGCTACTGGATTGAGGAGGCCTGGGGACAGCCATGTGTTAAACGTGTTGAGAGATTGGTGATGTTCCACCTTTGGGTATTGCAGTAGGAAGATTCCTCACTGCGTGGTGCTGCAGAGACACCCACACAGGCTCTCCATCAGCACATGGCTGTTACAGCAAAGCTTCCCCCTCCTTGTTACCTGGTGTGAACATCGCAGGGGCGAGAACAGAAGTACGCTTCACATTTTGGAATGAAAAATACCGGGAGTGGTTGGGTGGGTTGGGGAGGGGAGGGAGGAAGGACGTCGCCACATTAGAAGCCGTTGACATTGGAGGCAAACGCTAATTGTGGCAAACGATGTTAGATTAGACAATGCTAATTCAACCTCTTTGGAGCTGAGCTGACTCCAGGGTGACACGCTTTGTGACGGAATGTCAGAATCGAGCCAACTCTCTGTGGCGGTCTCCAGTCCGATCCCTGAGCCGGACGAGTCCGCAGTACTCCAGGGCACTGCTGCTGACAGCACAGCCCAGCCTGGCTCGTTGGCAGGACTCGAAGGGGCCGACCGACCACTCACTGGGAGCAGGGAATCCTCCCACTCAGCTCCTGTTAGCCCTGCAAATCAAAGCCCTAGTTAGGGTGATCCAAGCTGTAGGAAGCTTTGGTCAGACATCGGTCACAATGGGAAGTCTGCAGTTTTAACTGGTTAAACTCCCAACGCAAACTCTGGGGTCCCAAAGCCTTGGTTCTCTCAGCCTATCTCCAAACCTACGCCAAACACTTAGGTAAGAAGGACGTATCCATTCTCTGCATAAATAGAAATTCCCAGAGTGCACATTCCGTTCCAGACACGGGAAATCTCCACGTGTAAGTGGTCATACATGTCATACAGGAACTTCTCAGTCTGATTTGGATACCCTATGGGCTGTACAGTGTATATTACACACAGGACACAACACAGTACAGGCTGTGACACTGTAGTTAGACACTCTCAGTGCACACGGTGCACAACTTATTTTGGGGAATTTCTATTTATGCGGAGAATTTGTGGATCATCTGTCATCCTGTTTCCATGGAGACCCAAGTCCTCCACATGAGAAGAAGGAGCTTTGGTTGTGTGGCACTCTCGTGTGCTGACACTTCACTGTGACAGGAGATGAGGTTCAGTCTTGCCATCGCTGAGTCTCGCAGTCTCGGAGACGCTTCACATCCACAGCCATTTCCGTGCCTCTCCTCCCCTCTCTCTCCCTCCCTCCCTCCCACCCACCCTCCCTCCCCCAGCCAGAACCATGTGTAAGTATACCAGTTGCCAGGGGTAACACGATAGATATATGGCAACGGAGAGTGGTGAGTAATAAGGAGAAGAGAGCAAGACTTAAACAGCAATGATACTTCAGGAGAAGCACATTACCGCTGACAGCCTATGATCATTGCTAACAACTGGTTTTCAGATAGACTCCCACGCAATATGGAAAGGCTGAATTCAAACCCTGTTCTTCTGGGCAATTAATGAGAGCACAAGCGCACTAACGAGGCGTCAGTTTTTAACAGTTATGTAACGGGCGAATCGTAGCTTCAAAACTCGTAACCGTTTCACCACCTCACCTGAAGAACTGTAATAATAATAATAATAATACTTACATTTGATATGATGTCCTGATCATCATTGAGATGTCTCGATGTGCAATGACTTGTTGCATTTTTGGAACCAATTCTTGAACAGTGACATCACACAAACAGCCATGAGATGAGTGACCAATTTTATTTATTTTTTTGCTGGGTGGGGGGAGGGGTGGGGGGGGGGAGATTGTCAGTCAAGGTACCAGAGAAACTCCCTTCTTTTTCAAACCTGGGATCCCTTGGTTTTATGTCTCGTCTGGAAGATGGCACCTCCAACGATACAGCCACACACCCCCAGCACTGCACTGGAGTGTCAGCCTCGACGGTGTGAGTTCAAAGTCTGGGGTTGGGGCTTGAACCCGCAACCTTCTGACCCAGAAGCGAGAGCCAGGCTGACATCAATCGAGTCAGACTAAGTTCTAACTATGTGTTGATGTGTGTCAGCCTGGCTCAGTGGTAGCGCTCTCTGAGTCAGAAGGTTGTGGCCCACATTCAAGCCCCTACGTTGGGACTTGGAACCACCTGGTCTAAGTGGATGCTCCGATGCAGTGCTGGGTGGGGGGGGTGGGGTGGGGGGTTGCATTGTCGGAGGTGCCGTCCTCCAGACGAGACGTTAAGCCGAGGTCCCGTCTGCCAGTTCAGGCGGACGTTAAAGATCCCATCGCACTTTTCCGAAAGAGAAGGGACTTTCTCTCTGCCGGCTTCCTGGCCAACGATCCCCCCGAATAAAACCGGTCGCTGACTCCGTGGCCGTTTTGTGGGACGCCGCAGCGCGCAAACCGACTGCCGCACCTCACCCACAAAAACACACGGTCACTCCACTTTACAGTCCAGTATTATCCTTTGAGATGCGACGTGGCTTTGAGACGTCTCGACGACGCGACATGATCAGGGCGCCGCATCAAATGCGAGGATCATTATCATCGTTAGCGGTGGGGGCGGCGGCGGCGGCGGCGACGATGGTGTCGATGGTACCAAACCGTCGCCGATCATCGCCTTTCAAAGTCGGACGTGAAAGCGCAGCTTTGGGGATGCGATGGGGTTCTTTCTTTAAGGCGGGAGGAGGAGGAGGAGGAGGAGGAGGAGAGGGAGGGAGAGGAGAAGGAAGAAAGGAAGGAGGGAGGGAGCTATAAGGCTGTGCAAATGGGAAAGCAGCCACCGGAGGCAGTGCAGTGTGAAAGGGGAATTCTGTCAACCAAAGCAGAGTTGGAGCTGAGCTGCGTCTCACCTCCTGCAAACACATACGCACCCAGAGAGGCAATGGGAGTGATGGAGATGGGAGAAGAGACACCTCTCTGGGGAGAGGAGGGGGGGATTGCAATATAAATATACACAGTGGGACAACTATATAGATGCAGAGATAAGAGATATAGAGATATAAATATATATATATATATATATATATATATGGAGAGAGAGAAAAAGAAAGGGAGCAGTTGTTAAATGGCACCAGGTACCAGGAGACGCCTCAACAGCAACAGGAAAGCAAATGAGAATCGACCAACGAGGATTTATCGCACAGAGAACATAACAGAGGGAGAGCTTTATTAGGGAGGGAGGGAGGGAGGGGAGGGAGAGAAGCTGTGCAGATGAATGTGGGCGAAGGTGAGTGAGAGTGATTTATTTCTCCCTCTCTCCTCTCTCTCTCCTCTCCCTCTCTCTCCTCTCCATCTCTCTCTCCATCCTCCCTCTCTCTAATGCAAGGGAGAGAGAGAGAGAGAGGGGGGGGGGGGGGGAATGGGGTTGGGGGGGGAGAGGGGGAGAGACCCCCTTTTTTTTGCATTAGATTTCAGCCTTTTCTGATGGTGCAAACCTGTGCGTTAGAACCCCAGTTTGTGGCTGTGAATGGTTTTCTGGTCATTTCAGTTAACATATGTGTCATTATTATTATTGTGATGTGTGTCGTGTGTGTGTGTGTGTGTTTGAGACGAATTGCAAAGGGCTTTGGAACACTGATCTGTGGTGTTCATTCATTCGTCTGGTACTGAAATAAGATTTTACTGCTGGAATGTCTGTGTCTGTCTGTCTGTCTGTCTGTATCTCTGTCTGTCTGTCTGTCTCTCTCTCTCTCTGTCTCACACACACACACACACCCATACACACACCCTTTGCGATGTGCCGGTGCTCACGGATCCATTTCGTTCCATGGCTGTGTCATCCATTGGGAATTTCATTGGGGAAAAGGTGTATCCCAGAGTGGGAAGAGCATTGGGGAAAGGACACAGTCAAGAGCGGGAACAGCATTGGGATCGGCACTGCCCAGAGTGGGAATAGCCTTAGAATAAGGCGCAGGGTGGGGAGGGAATGGCATCGGGATAGGCACAGCCCGCAATGGGAATGGCATTGGGATAGGCACAGCCCAGAGTGGGAATCTTGACATTCCCAGGCTCCCGCCGGCTGGTGTATTTGATGTGGATCTTGAATTAGCGATGCTCATACTGTATTTATCTCAAGTGTCGATATCTGTCGGTCATCAGGTATTAACCCAACTCCAGTGGGTTTGAGGATCTCTCCCCCTCTCTCCCTCCCTCCCTCCCGCCCTCCCTCCTTCTCTTTCTCTCTCTCTCCCCCCTCCTTCTCGCTCCCTCTCTCTCTGACGCCCCCCCACTCCCAGGCACCCACGTGCAGATAGATCACAGCCACCTCTGTTCTTGTGGAGCTTGTCTCCTCATCCATGTTGAAAGCCTGCTGATGGCGGGGGTGGTTGGGGGGAATGGGGATGGGGTTCTCTCTCTCTCACTCTCGCTCTCTCTAGTTCACTGTTTGAAGGATGTGGTGTAACAGGTGCGATGTGGTACCTGAGCCCAGTCTCTGTCAGCCTACCCTTTACATTAGCTCTGTGCAATTATATGAACAGCTTAAGCCGGACGCCAGTCAAACCCGGACCCCTGGCCCCGATTCACTTGTGCTCGCCCCCGTTTGAAATAAGATGGTTAATTTGGGCAAAAATTCTGGTTAATCCGTAACAAAATCCCTCGCTGTTCGCCGCTACATATGGTCACTCGCGTCTTCCGTGTCTCGAGCGAACTGTACGTGTTTCATCTACGCACACACACACACGCGCGCGCGCACACACACACACACACACACACACACCAGTCAGACATGGAAGCCCTTAAACCATTGCAATAGCTTGGTTGCGGCCCTGGAAGAGTTAAAGTATTATGTAATTGTGCACAAGCTAATTTGTATTCAGTTGATTTTGAGAGTTAAATGCCTCTCTCCCCCACCCCCCCACACTCCATCTTTCTCTCTCCATCTCTCTCTCCAACACTCTGCAGCCAGATTGGGTGGGTTTTTACTGTACTGTGCGTGAAAAAAACACTTTGGGCGGTTGCCTAACCTTTCATTTTTTTAATTTAATCCTGCAAAACGATTCCCCCCCCCACCCCCCGCCTTCCTCACACAGTTTTAATTTGTAACTTAAATTGGGGCACTCTGCTCCCCATAGGAGGCAAGATTTTGGGCTCGTTCTGGATGGACTTTGGACCACTGAATATGTTTTAATAATCTGGCAAACCCCGAAGCGTGTGCGGTGCGGTGCGGTGTCTGAACAGCGTTTGTCAGGGTTTCTCGTCGGTAAAATGTTGGTGTGTGTGCATGAACCTTTAAAGGAAACCCTTTGCAAACCTTTGAAGGACAAGCATGGTGTTTGGACGATGTGTAAGAGTCCATATTGTGATTAAGATTTCGGAGGCTTGATTCCCAGTAGCAGGCAGAAAGGTTGTCCCTGAAACCAATCAGATTCACGGTAGTGTTTCCTCTCCTGCCCCCATTCCCCCCGCCCCCGAATCCATTACCTTCCTTCCCCCTCAACGCCCCCTCAATCTGAGTCCTGTATTGTTGTGGGTAGAGCACTCGCTTCACAAGAGAGAGGACCTGGATTTGATTCCCGGTCGGGCGAAACCATAGTCAGGTTTCCTTACTCCGCACGTCTCTGTTTACCTCGCAGTGAAGAGGAACCTGGTTGATAGTCGATTGACGAATTGCTTTTCCGGGGGTAATAATTCCTTCCAAAAAAATAAATAAATTGATCACTCAATCTACGACTGTTTGTGGGGCGCTACTGGGCGCAGTTGGCTGCCGCGTTTCGCCCACAAGACATACAGTCAATTCACTTTACAGTGTATCCTGCGAAGCTCTTTGAGACATCTCGACAACGCGATAAGGCGCTGTGCAAGGACATCAGTTGTTGGTGGACCAACCTCCTCCTGGCATTAAGTACTCTCGGGGACACCAGTCTTGTGTTTGGGAAGACCATTTCGGGTGGGTGTTTGGTGGGTGTGCGCGTGTGTGTGGAAAGAGAGGAATTTCCTAAGGGAAAAAGTGTCTGAATTAAGTATTTTTAACCTATCTTCTCCTGCGAATTTAGCCCACAATCTCTACCTCCATCCCCCGCCCTCTCTCCCGCCTCCCCGTGGCTAAGGTAACACTCACATTGCCCACTCCCTGCGCTGCTTGTTTGCAATGTGATCGCACGCTGTCTGGCTGTGACATCTCTAACCTGCAGTTGCTTTTTGAAGGTCAATGTTTTTTTTAAGGAACTCCAATGAAATGGTTCATTAATACCGTTGCTTGTGGTGTGAATTTGACACTGTGCGTATTTGCGGTCGTCTTCACATGGGGCAGATGTTTGCCCCCTCCCTATCCCCTTGGCTCGGCGTCAGACTCCACCACTGCCAAGCGCTCTGGGGCGCTAACCAGGTGAAGGGCGCGATATAAATGCGAGTTGTTGTTGATGTGGAAGAGGAGAGGCAACACCGGGAATCCCAAGTCAGTGGCTATCCACGAGCATTCAGTGCTGCTGTGCATGGTTTGCCCTCCACAGTCTCTCGCTCCTCCCTATCTCTGTGACCTCCTAAAACCCTACCAACCTGTCCACTCCCTCCGCTCGGTGGGCACAGATTTGCTCCATGTCTCCCCCCTGCCCTGCCCGCCCCACCATCAGCGGTGGAGCCTTCAGCCTTTGTGCCACCACCACCCCCCCCCACCCCCCACTCTTTGGAACTCCAACCCGGAGGTATATAGCGGTTGGCAGCCGCGTTTTGCCCACTAAATATAGTCAATTGACTGTAGTTTCTGTGAAGCACTTTGAGACTAATTATTCTCACCCCTCCTACCCTCGTTCAATGCGTTTCCACTACCTTTCCTATGGTACGTCCTTCCCCCCACTTCCCACTCCTCCCACTCCTCCCACCACCAACTGACTATTCTTCAAGGGAAGGCCTGGAAGCTGAGTTTCGACGGGTTGTTCAATCATAGTGGTGGGGGTGGGTGGTTGTTTAATCATAGAGCTGATCCTGTCCTTTCTCTCTTAACGTCCGCGAATAAGGCTCGCTGGAAACGTAATAGGTTCCATCAATAGAACTGCTGCACAATGCATTACACACAGAGAGGCAATCACAAAGGCTAATGGAACGCTGGAATTTATCACAAGAGCTCAGGAATAGAAAAGGCAAGGAAATGCCCTACTCTTGTGGTTATAAAGAATGTTACTTATACTTGAATCCGGAAATTGCTCCCCCTGGTCAGTGCGGGAAACCAGCTCCCAAATCGGCTTTACGGAGATTTCCCGAATTCTCTTATCGTCTGAAATAAGACCCTGGATTTTCAGGCTTGCCTTTTATTTTTTATTTTTTTGGGGTGGGGGGAGGGGGAGGGGGCTTCACTCTTGGCCAACCCCATGTTAGCAACCGTGTACTGAGAGTAAATGCAGTGAAGGTTTGCCAGGAATGGAACCTGGTCCTCGCATTCGAAGCCCTCCATGCCCTTGCTCCACCTTACTCCTGTGACCTGCTAACTCCATACCGACCTGCCCGCTCCCTCCGCTCAGCGGACTCTCCATCTCCCCCTGCCCTTCCCCACCATCGGTAGTCCTTGCTCCACACGCCTCTGTTTGCCGAGCAGTAAGTAGGAACCCGGTTGTTAGTCGATTGGCAGATCGCTTTATGGGGGTAATAATACCTTCTAAATAATTAAAAATAACAATAATTTGGTCACTCAATCCCAACTGTTCGTGGGACACTGCTGTGCGCAATTGCCTGCTGCAGAGTATACAGTCAATTCACTTTGCAGTATATTCTGTGAAGCACTTTGAGACGTCTCGACGACATGTTAAGGCGCAAGGATTATTATTATTCTTATCTTCAGATTCTCTTAGGAACACTGAAGGTTATTTATTCCCATTGACACATGTGAGGTGAGCTGTGGGAATACACGACGTGCAATCGACAAAAATAGGTCCTTACAGTTCAGTTGTGACACACACCAGAACGTGCGTCAGAAGCACATGCAGCAGCTCATTAAGGGAGGAACGACAGGAGCCAGAAAAACATGTTTGTTTCTTCGTTCGCTTTTTTCTCTTCTCACAAACACGTTGACTCGTGTGAAAGTGAGAACCACGAGCTCCAGGTGTCTTATTTGCCTGCGGAGCTTAGTTCATAACACTCTCGCCTCTGGTCAGAAAGTTGTGGATCCCAATGGTCAGGACTTGGGCTCTTAGGCTCTGCTGACGTTCCAGTGTAGTGTTGGGGGAGCGTTAGCTATGTTGCCAGGTGCCATCCTTCAAGCGAGATGTTAACCCAAGCAGCTCCCTGTTCTTCAACGTTAAGGATGTTAAGGATCTCGTGAAACTATTGGAAAAGAGAAGGGAGTTTCTCCTGGTGTCCGGGCAGACAATCCGATGATACTGTTATAGAAGAGAAAAATGATTTTAAAAATCCTTGTGTTTTTNATAGCGCCTTTCATGTCAGGAGGGTGGCACTGTCAAATGTAAGGACCATTAGTTGCAGTTCTGGGATGGTAGTCAAGTCTCTTTTTGTGTTCTGTGCTTTAATAATAATAATCAATCAACCTTTCATTTGACACAACACTTCATCATTGAGACATCTCAAAGTGCTTCACGGCGTACGTTGTAATGTAATGTAATGGCGTATTTTGCAGAACGCGGCAGCCAATTTGCACAGAGCGCTGTGCCCCAAACAGCAGTTTAATATCTCATCCAAAGATGGCATCTCCGACAATGAGACGCACCCTCAGCCCTGTACCGGACCATCAGCCTAGATTATTGGAGTTCAAAGTCCTGACGTGGGTCCTTATAGAAGAGAATCATAGAATATTACAGCACAGAAGGAGGCCATTCGGGTCATCGTGACTGTGTCGGCTCTTTGAAAGAGCTGCCCGATCAGACCCACTCCCCCGCTCTTTGCCCACGTGCTTGCGAGTCTTTCCTTTTCAAGAACCTATGTAATTCCCTTTTGAAAGTTGTTATTGAATCTGTTTGCACCGCCCTTTCCAGGCAGTCTTGAACCAACAACCTTCTGACTCAAGAGGTGAGATTGCTACCAGATGAGCCAGGCTAACAGAAGGCGGTTTCTCCCAGTGACCTGAACAGCAATTGTCGAGAATAGATAAATTGATCACTCACCTCATGTGTGTTTGTCACACATTTGGCTGTTGGGTTTCCCTACAACACGGCAGCTGTAAACCCCAAACCAATGATCAGGATAGCACTTGGAGGCATCTTAATGTATAAAATGCTACCCCTTTCCCTCCTCCGCACAATCCAGTACCCCGCGTAAAGGAAGATTGAAGGTCTTGGGGAAGAATGAATTGCAATCAGAGATGACTTACTCACTCGAACGCACGACTCCGTCTGTGCTGAGAATGTGAGGTTGCGCCGTGACAGGAAGGGCTTCTGTTCTGTTAATGTGCAGGTGGCATGCGATGGCAGAACTGTCAACACTGCTGTGCCCGCCAGTATCCTGGCATCACCCCCACACACTAGCTTCTCCTTGTCCGGGCTGTACACCGAAAAACAACCAGTACTCACTTCCACTTGTGCGTTTGCACCAGCGAGGAGGTGTACTGCGGATGAGGTGGGTGGCCTCAAGATATATAATACATAAGCTGTAAATAATAATAATCCTTGCCTTTGATATAGCGCCTTATCACGTCTTCGAGACATCTCAAAGCGCTTCATAGAATAGAATTAGAAGAATAATGATCCTCGCATTTGATTTGGTGCTTTTCACGTCTTCGAGGCGTCTCAAAGCGCTTCACAGAATATACTATAAAGCGAATTGACTGTATATTTTGTGGGTGAAACGCGGCAGCCAATTGCGCACAGCAGCGTCCCCACAAACAGCCGTGGATTGAGTGACCACATCTTGTTTTCTTTTGAAGGGATTATTATCCCCGGAAAGCGATCCGCCAGTCGACTAACAACCGGGTTCCTACTTACCCCTGAGTAAACCGCCGTGTCATTTACTTTTAATATTTTTTAAAATCAATCCCTTGCTTTCTTCGGCTGAGCGAGCGAGGAAGAGGGGAAGGCGTTGTCGGAACAGCTTGTGACTCCTGCAAAATGGGGCGGGGAAATGTGAAGCGGTGCGAGGTGTGATCTGGATAGACTGTGCGTACTTGAGATGATTTTTTAAAAAAAAGACTCGTTTCACTGAACACAGGAGAAGAGTGTTTTTGCCACAGTTTTAATGCCGGGTTCGAGGCCGTGGGATTTCCTAAGTGGCGAAGGTGAGGATGAAGTAACAGGCCATGCTGGACCATCGCTATGGCGTACAATAATAATAATAATCTGTGCATTTGATGCAGCACTTTTCACAGCTTCCAGACGTCTTAAAGCGCTTCACACAATATAAAGTGAAGTGAATTGACTGTATATTTTGTGGGCAGCATGTGGCAGCCATTTGCGCACAGCAGCGGCCCACAAACAGCCAGTGACCAAATTATTATTTATTTATTTGTCTGTTTTTTTCTTGAGGGATTATTATCGGGCACGCGGACCTGAAGGCACGTGAAGGAAAGTGAAACTGTTATTTACGGAGAAACGTTAGCAATATTATTTTAAAAACGAACAAGGTAATAAATAGCAGGGTGACGCAAGGGGCAACAGGCGATGTGAAACGAGAGCGAATGTAACAGTGGGAAAGAATGTCTACGAGCAGCAATGATGGCAGAACTAAGGCAAATAAGGGCCAAGAGATATTAACGTGGATAAGTGCAAAATAATGCACTTTTCTGAACACAAACGGTAACGTCAGCCGAGGAGGAAAAAAAGGTTTGAGTCTGATTATTTGATTACTCATTGAAGGTTTCTAGTCTGCGTGACTCTAATCAAATACGAAATAAGTTTCACTGCTCTCCCGCAAGGGTTTGTAAGGACTAATGGCGCGGACATATTTGAAGCTTCGAGTGGTTTGGGACAAAATGGCATTCAAAAAGAGGCAAACCATGGTGGTTGAAGTTAAGTTAGACGCCGGTCTCACCGCAAAAGCAATTTGCGTTTACATCGTGTCTTTCTTGCAGAATAGCATCTGCGAGCCCTGCAAGATCACGAGGGGTTTAGATGAAGCCTGGTTCTGAACGTGCGTTTGATGTTGGGGTTGTGTTGGTGGGCTGACGCTCATGAAAGGCGCTGTCGCAAATGTAAGGATCATTATTATTTATCACTACGCCTTGATTTCTGATTGGATTCCTTAACAGCAGAAGGCAGTCTGCTCAGATGCGAGCGAGACTTGGGGGCGTTCCAGTGGTTCAGTGTGGTGAGCAGTCCAGCCCTGCGAAATGTAAAATAATAACATTAATAAATAATAGATAATAAAATAATAACATTGCATTTGCATGTGTCCTGGCCGACAATCCCCCAAATAAAATTAGTCGGTCACTCCATGGCTGTTTGTGGGGTATCTGCCACGTTTGCCTACAAATACACAGTCCCTCCACTTCACAGTAAATCCTGCGAAGCGCTTTGAGACGTCCTTCCGACGTGATCAGGCGCTGTACCAAATGCAAAGATCAGTGCTATTACCGTCAGGCGCGGCACCGTTTCACATCGTCAGTGGCTCAAAGAGCTTCACAGGATTTATTGCGAAGTGGAGCAGTCACTGGGTATTTTGTAGGGGAAAAGCACGATACATTTAGGCCAAGTCGGCTTGGTTGCTTTAAATAACCTTAATCGCAGGCTTTGTTCTAGGCAAAGGCAGGGTTTGAGATGCTACGAAAGGCTGAGAGGGAAACAGACCCCCCGATAAACGTTTGTGGTCTCTCATTGCAGGGTCACCCCGTTTTGCAAGGATCTGAGCGAGTTCAGCAAAGATTACAGTTCCTTTAAAATGACACGGACAGACCCGCCTGACATACTGTTATCTACCGTGCACCGAGATTTGAAAGTCAGCCCGATGCCAGGTGAACCCAAAGCCTACACACCCCAGAGAAAATGTGACCGCCTCACCTCCAGCGCTCTGCAGGACACTCAGCAATACGTTAACAAGCGGCAGTGCAGAAGCTTTGACTTCCTGGATTCGCTGGAACCTCAGCAGGAAGCTGGAAACTCCATGGAGGAACTTCCTTACAGGCAGACGGAGAGGCGGACGGCCAGCCCGGAGACGAGCTGGGATTCCTTGGGAAGGCAGGTCTACCACCGCTCCTCTGCTCCCGATCTGGTGGTCAGTCGCTTGTGCGCTTACAGCGCGGAACACAGGGAGGTCCCCAAACCAGAGCCAAAGAGGAGACTGAGGTCCAGGAGCGCCCCGAGGGTGAAGACCACCTTCAGACCTGTCCAGGTTGCCTCTCCAGAGCTGATGCGCAGAGGCCGTGATGCCCTGCGCATGCCCAGAGAGTCCCAGCGCAGGGTGGACACCTCTCCCAGAAGGGACGCTTATTACACGTCCAAGTACAGGATGAACGAGGTCCATCCCATCAAGCTCCAGCCGCAGAGAGGGGAGGCCAGCCATTACCCACCGCTCTACGTGAGTGAGAACTATGAGAGCTACGAGGAGAACCAAGCGGCCAAGCCTCACGTCAGATACCGAGTAGACATCAAGCCGGACGAGGTCACGACTCACCACCCCCAACCACCGCGGGGTCTGAAGACCCCACAGAGACAGGTCAACGTGTCCAACTGGCACATGCAGCCGGGCAGGAGCTTGACAGTGCCGGCCGGCCGCAGGTTCGTCAAGACGGTCTCGCCGGCCGAGAGTTACGGCGGCGACTACTGGACGCTTTCGACGCAGAGCAACTACTCTCCGCATCGTTACTACAGGGAGGACCGGAGACGGGGGGCCCCACAGGTGGTCCCCCCGCAGCCCGTGTTCAGCGAGTATAACTACCCGGAGGTCAGGAGACCTTGCCGTCAGTACGGCCAACCCAACGTCTACTACACCGAGGACTCCAGCCGGATGTCCCAGCAGAGGTACACCTCGCCCATGCATTTCCACGACTGGTGGGGTACCAATCGGGCAGCCCACCCCCATCAGAGTTACCCCACGCCCCAGATCCTGTCGCACTGGGACGGCAGAGTGGGCTCTCTGTCCCCTCATGGCTCCATGTACGGCATCATGGACCAGCAGCGAATCTGCACAGACACTCGCTCCTACTCCAAATCCTGGGACAACATCCTGTCTCCTGTAGGAGGGGGAGGAGGAGGACACCGGGAGTTCTCGGTGGCTCACGGGCTGAGCTACGAGAACCTGCAGCAGTCCCCCGAGAGGAGGGCTCCCTCGCCAGACGGCAGACGCCAACCCATTGTGGTCAACCTGTCCAGGTCGCCCAAGCGCTACGCCGCCCTGTCGCTGTCGGAGAGCTCCATCATCGAGAAGGTTCACGGCGACGGAGGCAGGAATGCCGTGGGCAGGTCATGGTACATCACGCCCGAGATCACCATCACCGACAACGACATCAGAAGCAACGGCTTGAACAGGGCCAGGTTTCACCCGGGCGGGGGCGAGGCCACCGACGCGGGAAACAGCCTGAGCGCCTCGTTCAACGATCTGCTGTCCTGCAACGCAGACACGGTCAGGGACACGGGCGACAACGTCGCTTACGGCTCTCCGCATCAGCAGCCGCAGCTGGATGACGTCCTGGCCGATCTGGTCATCGACACGTGCAAAACCCCGGCCAGCAGGAGACCCAGCGAGGCGGACACCTTGGTGGACCAGCTGAGGAAACTCATCACCGACAACGACAACCCTGCAGAGCTTGACCTGAGGAAGGGCGTCGTGCACACGACCGAACCCCAAAAGATGAAAGGGTTTCCTTTCACCGGTGGCTTAATCTCGTCGGATCTGGCCCGAGAGATCGGGGGGCACGCTCTAGGCATGCTCCGGAGCCCCAGTTTCCCCATGGCCTCCGACGGTCCCCCTCAAGACCAGAGCTCGGACGACGTGGACACCATGATGTGCTCCAATCTGAAGTGCGGACTGACGGAGACACTGTTCAATGCCCGCCTCTATTTCAAGTCGTGCCACAGCTGCTACACCTACTACTGCTCGAGGAACTGCCGGAAGAAGGACTGGGAGATGCACAAGGAGTGCTGTGTGTATGGTCGGGTCGGAAGCACCTGCAAGCGGGTGTTGCGCATCTGCCGGGAGAACCAGGATGCTCACAAGGCCTTTTCCCGCATTGCTCGGATGGGCTATCTGTCCCGGGGGAAGGGCGTCCTATTCCTCGGTTTTCCCAACCCGGGATCTGCCGAAAATTTCATCCAGTACGGCCTGGAGAGCCTGGTACTGGCCCCGACCTACATGTCCGTCAGGGAGCTCGAAGGCTACGCAGACAACTTGGGAGAGTACTCCAAGGAGATCCAAGACGCGGGCAAGCAGTACGACCCAGAGGAGTGTTTCCTGTTGAACGTGTCGATCGCCCTGGGGCAGAAAGTGCCCGAGAACCCTTCCCCCCGGCTTCAGACGCCGACCGTCCGGAGGTTCGCCAAGATCTCCCTGGCCTCGGCCAGCCCGGAGAAAAAGGTCTTCAAGGACAACGAGATGGAAACGCTGATCCTGACACCTCCGCCCGGCACGGTGGACATCGACAAGGAGGGGGAGGTGGGGAGGAAGGCCAGGGAGGTGTGCTTCATCAACGTGCAGCGGGAGCTTCGCATCCGGGGGGTCTTCCTGCGGCACGAGTACCCCAACATCTACCAGGATCTGTGCGAATTTGTAGAGAGCAACAAAAGGTTCACTCCCACCACCATTTACCCCATTGACAAAAGGACTGGGAAGCAGTTCATGTGCATGATTATGGCTGCCTCCGAGCCATTGACGTTGGACTGGGTGGGCAAACCCAACCTGCTGGAGGACATCATGTGAACGATCGATCGATCGATCGACCGATCGACCGCCCGGGTCTCTCACATCTGTCCCATCACCAGAATCTTTGTTGGAAACTTATTTAATATATTTGTACATATGTATTTTGTTATCGAGGGAAGGCGATTAATATATTGTACACTTTTTGCTGGATATATTATTTTAAAAAATGGCGGAGCCTGCCTTCTTGAGTGTCGGCTTTTTAAACCCGCGTTCTCCCCAGAGCCAGGAGTTTAAAGAATGGTTGTCACCCACTGCAAGAGTGGGAGGGGTGGAGGCGGAGGGGCTGGTTGGGTGGGGAGGGGGGGTGGGGGGGGGGGGCGCGATTCATACAATCAGGAATGGTCTGGGAGAAGTGGTTTTCCTGCCATTATTTTTACAATCAAGTTGATTTCTCTGAGCAGATTCCAAACTATAATCCTCACAATTAACGAACAAAAAGCTTTTCAAACTTGGGCTGACTGCCCTGTTTTATATGCAGTGGCCACTGGACCATATGGATTACACTGCCCTTGAGTTACCGACTGGTTTAGTCTACTTTAAGAAGCCTTCAGTTGTTCCCCCGATTTGGTAGAGACATCTTGTCCCAAGTGATGCCTGGGGATCTCATAGAGAAGTTCTCCTTGGAGCAGAGAAGGTTGCTAAGGGGAGATTCAATCGAGGTGTTCATAATTATGAGGGATTTGGAAACCGTTGCCACTGGCAGGAGGATACCGATTTAAGATAATTGGCAAAAGAACCAGAGGGGAGATGAGGAGACTTTTTTTTTTTTAAACGCAGCAAGTTGTTACGATCTGGAATTCACTGCCTGAAAGAGTGGTGGAAGTAGATTCAATACCTTTCAAAAGGGAATTGGGTATTTATTTGAAAAGAAAAAATGTACAAGGCTATGGGGCAAGAGCGGGCGAGTGGGATTAATTGGTTAGCTCTTTCAAAGAGCTGGCACTGGCACAATGGACCGAATGGCCTCCTTCTGTGCTGTAGGATTCTGTGAGAGTTTTACTCTGCCCCTAACTGTGCTATAAGTATATCTGAGCTGTGAGTGTTTGAAAGAGGGCACTAGACAGAGAGCTTTACTCTACCTATGTTGCGCATGCTTGAGGCTGACACTGATGGACAAAAAAAATAGGAAAAATCTTCCATTTCCCCCCCTGCACTGACATCCCTCCTACAGATATCACAGAGAGATATCACCTAGAGGTAGAGTACACTGCCAATGTCAACCCCTTCACTCTGGGAGCCATCTCCTGAGCACTGTCCAACTCCAGGGATGGGTCCCCAGCGAGAAAATCATTCCCCTGACCAGGTTCCACACAGAATTCCCCAGGACTCCACTAAGTTCTACGCAGATAACCATCTACCCAAATCCCTGCACCCCCAATTGTGTCAATAGAAGTAATCGTTCCCATTCCCAGTGCCACCTGCTCTCATGGTTACAAGGTAGTGGCTGGGCTGGCCTGCCCTCCTTGCCACTCGCAAATGGAGCATGTTCACGAGACCACAGCCAAGACTTGCGTTGATGCTAACTCATAAACAGTTCTGCTTTTATTATTACAAACACCGAGACCCATCGTATCATGGCTGCACGCAGAGAAGGAACAGACCAGTGCGGTAGTTCAGGTGTGTCATACCCCTGTGTCCTGGCCAACAATCCCTCCCCACTCACGATCCACAAAGAAAAGAAAATAACAATGATTGGTCATTCACTTCATGGCTACTTGTAGGGCATAGCTGTGCGCAAATTGGCAACCGCATTCGCCTACAAAATACAGTCACTAAACTTCACAGTGGAATCCTGTGAAGCGCTTTGAGGTGATAAGGCGCTGTATCAAATGCAAGGATTACTACAACACTTGAGACTGTTTCCTTCTCTAATTCTACGTTTACTCTTTAGCTGGTTCAGTTGTGTCAGATGTTGATGATGATGATGGTGATGATGGAACGTGCATACAGTATTTGAAAAAACAATGCAGAGAATGTTTACTGTCCAAGCGAAATGCCTGAAAATAGAACTTTATATTGCGTTGCGAGAGAGGTAAAATTTTGGAAGGGATTGGAGAGTTTAAAACTATCTAGTTTTCCTGGAAATTTAACCTTTTTTAAAAAAAAAAGAAATTTTAAACGAAATTGTGATTACGGTTCTTTAGTACCTGTCTGTTGCTTTGTCAAGACCTTCAGGATTCTTGTAGTTTATGGTTCTGATCAGAAATTAAAAACTCAGTACTGTACTTGCATCCGCGAGTTAATGTGTGTGTATGTGTGCGACACAGTCAGTTTGTGAATTGCGCCCTTCACCCCACCCCCCCCCCACCCCCCCCCGATCCCAAACCCCAGCTCGAGTCCAAATCCCTGACTCACCAGCGCCTTGGGACATCCTCCCGCCGTGAAAGGCGCTGTACAAATGTAATTTGTGTTGCCTCAGTTAGGAGCAATCTTGCCTCCGGAACTGGTAGGTGCCATCCCTCAGATGACATGTTAAACTTGGGTCCCTTCTGCCTATTCAGCCAGTTGCGAAAGATCCCGAGATACTGTTCAAAAAGAGGAATTTGCACATATTATTGGTATTGGCTCGAGAATGGATTCCTCACTAGGGCTTCACCAGCCAAACCCGTCTTCACATAGTTAAACCAAGGTCCCGTCCGTGCCTGTTTGGTGGACATTAAAGGTCCCATGTCACCATTCAAGACGAGAAGGGAGTTTGACCTGATGTCTTAGCCAACAATCCCCAAGCGATAACTAGTCACTGCTCTGTTTAATACCATAAGATGTAGGAGCAGGAGTAGGCCATTCGGCCCCTCGAGCCTGCCCCACCATTCAATAAGATCATGGCTGATCTTCTATTCCATTTACCCGCTCTATCCCCATATCCCTAAATCCCTCTATCCTTTAGAAATCTATCAACTTCAGTCTTGAATATGTTCAAGGACTGAGCATCGCCAGGCTTCTGGGGTAGAGAATTTGCCAACAAAATATACAGTCACTACACGTCACAGTAAATCCGGTGAGGGACTTAGAGACACCCTCTGGACGTGAAAAGCGCTTTATCCATTATTACATTTGTGCAAGTTGTTCCTGATGCCCAATAAACCAATTTCTGGTTCTAAAAGCACTCTTAATAATGGCTTCAAAAATAATAATAATAATAACAATAATTTGATCGCTCAATCCACGACTGTGGGACGCTGCTGCGCGCAATGGGCTGCCGCGTTTCGCTCCCACCAAATAGGCGGTCAATTCACTTTACAGCGTATCCTGTGAAGCGCCTTGAGACGTCCAGACGATGCGACCAGGCGCCGTATGAAATGCGAGGGTTATTATTATTATTATTATTATTAATGACTCGCAAAAAAGTATTTGCAATTTGTTCAAACGTTTAACAGAGCCTTTGTCCTTTAGTAAGGCGCCTGTCCCTTTAGTAAGGCGCCTGTCCCTTTAGTAAGGCGCCTGTCCCTTTAGTAAGGCGCCTGTCCCTTTAGTAAGGCGCCTGTCCCTTTAAAAGGTACCTGCCCCTTTAATAAGGCGCCTGCCCCTTTAATAAAGCGCCTGCCCCTTTTTTTCCCCCCGACGCGGGTTGTGCGCATGCTCCAGGAGGCGGTGTCCGCGCGGGAGCCGGAGTCATGGCAGCGGCCGAGTTGGCGCAGGTCCCGGATGTGGACATCGACGCCGACGGCACCTTCAAATATGTCCTCGTGCGCGTGTGCAGAACCGGCGGCGGCGGCGGCGGCAAGAAGGACATCGTGAGGGGCTGGTCCTGGGCCGAGTATCACGGTAACACCCCCCCCGGGAGGAGGAAGGGGAGATACCGGGGATCGGGCCTAGTGTCGCCGTGACGCCTGGGCCTGTAGTACTCCAGGGATCCGCTCAACATAGCCCGGCACCGCCCCCCCCAGCCCAGCCCCCCCCCCCCCCCCCCCCCAGCCCGGCCCCCCCTCCCCCCCCCCCCCCCCCCCCCCCCCCCCCAGCCCGGCCCCCCCTCCCCCCCCCAGCCCAGCCCGCCCCCCCCCCCAGCCAGGCCCCCCCCCCCAGCCCAGCCCCCCCAGCCCCCCCCCAGCCCAGCCCCCCCCAGCCCAGCCCCCCCCCCCCCAGCCCAGCCCCCCCAGCCCAGCCCAGCCCCTCCCCCCCAGCCCAGCCCCCCCAGCCCAGCCCCCAGCCCAGCCCCCCCAGCCCAGCCTGGCTCATCAGCAGAACCCTGGAAGGACAGACCAGTCACTGGGGGGGGGGGGGGGCGAGACAGGGAATCAGCTCCTAGTAACCCTGCCAACCACAGCCCTGTTGGGTGGGGTGGGATGGGGAGCGGGATATGGCACTCCCGACGAGCTGCGTTCCACGCAAATGGCTGCCCTCACCCCCTCCAAATAAAAACCCCTGACTCTGCGGATGATGTTGAAGTCTTGAGGGGGTGAGCAGCATCACCTCAAGGACTGTGGAGTCCTGTAGCTCAGTGGTTAGAGCACTCGCTTTGCAAGTGAGAGACCTGAGTTCAATTCCAGGCAGAGGGCGAAACCTTGGGCAAGTTTCCTTACTCCACACAGAGCCTAATAATAATCCCTCCAAAACCAAAAACAATAATAAATTGGTCATTTTCAATCTACGACTGTCTGTGGGACATTGCTGTGCGCAATTGGCTGCCGCGTTCGCCCACAAATATACAGTCAATTCACTTTACAGTGTGTTCTGTGAAGCGCTTCGGGACGTCCTCCCGACGTGAAAAGCGCTATATCAAATGCGAGGATTATTATTATTATTATTAGAAGTTACGTTACGTCAGGGCCAGTCTGGGGATTATGATAACCTGTGTCTTGAGCTGTTCTCTTTCTGAAAAGCAAATCGCGTGCCAGCTTACCTTAGATTTACTTGAACTACTTGAACTGTCACCCCCGCAAACTGCTCTGTGGCTGCTGTGTGTAAAAGCCTTTCCTGTCCTAACCTCCCTGTCCTATTCCCAGGCTACCGACAGCATCTCCCTGCATGAGGAACATCTCTCCTATCGGCAGCGCACAGACCCAGTAGGGGGAGCTGTCAAGAGTGGGCCAAACGCAAACTGGCACTGATCTCTCGGCCCAACGTATGTTATGCAGTAATGTGCAGACGCATTTTAGAGGGAAGAATGCCTGTGTTTCCTTTATTGAAAAACATCTAGCGAGTTAATACACTGTTTTGGATAGCGTAACAATGATTCTGGCTCAGGGTTTGCAGGGGTAGTTGGTGTTGGTGTAACATGGGCTTTTGTTTTTTTACCAACCACAGGTGATATATTTGATAAGGTGGTGGATCAGCTTGAGAAAAAGGGAATGAAGTGTGACTGCAAAGGAGGTGGTCGAATACAGCACAACAGCCAAGACAAGACCATCAATGTCTATGGCTATTCTGTGGTAAATATCTTTTCTAGCTAGATTAAAATTACTAGCTATTTACAGTAATTACAGCCTTCCCTCTTAACGATTTGACATACTTTGCTCTTGTTCTTTCTCTGTAGGGCTTTGGTAGAGCGAAACATGAAATCACTACAGAGAAATTGAAAGCCAAGTATCCAGATTACAGTATTTCATGGTCAAATGAGGGTTACTAACATTGCTGCAGTCTGACTGTATGCATAACACTGCACTCCGAGACATCCTCTATGTGAAGTGAGGGATTGATGGTGCATCAGGAGCTGAAATGCCTTTCATTGGCCTCAAGTCTTAAACCCTTTCCTGGAAATGTGCTGTGCGTCTTTCTCTGAGTAATAATGTAATGCTGTATTGTAAATTAAATTATGTCTGGTCCTCCTTGTTCTGTTTAACTGTGGCAGAGCATTTTGTATTGAGCATGAGGGTATTGCTACACATAAACAATGAAGAGACTGTTTCCATGAGAACCCTCTTTGCAAACTTGATGCTTTTTCAGAATTTATTTTGCCTTTGCGCTCTGAATTGGGACAATTCACAAAAGTTTCTATCCCCTGAGAACACGGAGATCAATTATCAATCCCTATCAGTACTTCCACCACTGTGATCAGCTAAAAGGGGATGATTACAAGGGGATGAATCTGGAAACCTTTTCATCTGTCGGTTTAATACCACTGCAGACAATGCATTAACTCACGAGCCATTAGGGAAGCCTGACGATTTCTATTTTAACCTGCTTTCCCTACCCGATGTTTCACCTCAGGTCTCCTGCAGTAGATGCTGCTCTATTGACGTCAGCAACTAACACACTTGAGAGGCTCTGCCAGATATCCTGCAGATCAGTGTTCAGGCTGTGTGCGCCTCCCAGTTATCCATGTGGTTTTGCTTCTGTTGCTGTTGCCATAAGCGTTCAATTCATTCCCAGGCTTTGCCAACCGCTGCCAGTAACGTCACCGTAAGACATCCGAAACATTAGGTTTCTTCATTCCTTTAATCTTTTTAATTGTTCAATGATTTTATTCTTGTATTTAAGCAGAAACTGTTGAATAGTGAGATTCGCTACATGTTAGTGGCAGTGTTGATTCTTTCCAGCAGAAATGCTTTGTGTCTTGTCTCAGGCGGTTGCGGATTTTGCTTTTGAAGTGTTTGAAATCTAGTCCCTATTCATATCACAATATCGTTGAGCATCTTCCTCACAGTGAGCAAGGCAGCAGCGTTCCCTCACTGTTGTCTCCCACACAGTAGAAACCCAAGAGAAGCAATCAGTTGCTTCAAGGACTGGAAAATGGCCACACCTTCCTATGAAATCCAACCCAGCACCAACCAGACCTGCTGAGACCTCTATACATCCCTCTAAATACTTCTCAGACCTACTTACACCCCAACCCACTACCTGGTGCCTCTACTGGACTGGCTCCAGCCTCCTGCTTGTCCCTCCTGCCGTCCATTCCACCATCAGTGACCGTGCTTTCAGCCCCTAAGCCCCGAAACTCTGGAACTCTCCTGCAATCCCTCCGCCTTGCCCCATCCTTCCCCAGCTTCAGGTCACGCCTGTCAACGATCACAGCCATGGTTAAGAGTACAGGTTGTTCACAAAGTCATGTTACCCCCACAGTGCACTGACCAACAACTGAAAACGTGGAAGAATGATGAAAATTGTGTTCAGAAGAACTTAATTGTGTTCAGTACAAGTGTTTTAACTGTTCAGGCGTCCAGAGGATCAGTGTGGGCGTGTGTGAGCACTGTCATTTTCATGGCAGATAATGATCCGTCGCCATGTTTGGCACAACCCGTTCTGTAACATGGATGGAGTGAGGAGGAAGTTACTGGTGTCAAAACATTGTTACGCTCGAGTCATTTGCAACAGAAAATAAAAAGCAATCATTGTAAGAAAAAAACAACAGTGGGGGGTGGTGGGTGGGTATATTGACTTTGTGAACAAACACCCGTATAATAGAACTTCTCCCAAAATGTGTGGAGAGTGAGTGCGTGGTGAGTGAGTGTGGAGGCGACTGTCTGCATGGGAATGAGTGAGTCAGTGAGTGATGAGGTGGAGCATTTTGAGACCACCTACTGTAAAAGGCACTGTATCAAATGCAAGGAACATTATTATTATTAATATTATTAATAATGCGTGGGTTTGACTGAGGGGGTAATGTGCTAGTGTTGAAAGAGAGAGTAGGCATGAAGCTGTGCTGAGGAACTGAGATGGCGAGTTGCTGATGCTGCAGTTAAAAAGTGATGAAGCTTGGTTTCCATTCCCAGTGATGCCCTCTTGACTTTTGATCACCGAAGTCCAAGTCATTATTTTGATTGCTGATAACTAGCTGCAGTTTTATTATCAGACTTGGTGCTCAGTTCAAGGTCAGTTGTTTAAAAAGTCTCCAAAAGTGAATGATTGTTAGAGGATTGGAATGAAACACAAATGCTGGAAACATCGAAGGAGCGTGTCGGCTACTCCTTCTACAACAGTAAATTGCACCTCTATATTTGTATATAAAAACATATAATGTACCACTGTTCGTGAGAAACTGCTGTGCACAATTGCCAGTCATGTTTCGCCTGCAAGTGCACAGTCACTCCACTTTACAATATATTCTGCAAAGAGCTTTGAGATGTCGCATCGAACTGATAAGGCGCTGTATCAAGTGCAAGGATTATTATTATGATTATTATTCACGTCAGGAGGACACCCAAGCATTTGCATTCCGAGCTGGGGGTTGGTGTCCAGAGGGGTGGAGGGGAAGGGAGGCGAGTGTGGGAGAATGACTGAAGCCATGGTCAAAGAGGAAGGTCTAGTGAATGTTTAACCCGGAACATTGATCTGCTTTTCTTTAAGATCCTGAACCACTGGTTTATTTCCAGCAGTCACTGGATTGTGCTTTTTATTCTTTTACTCCACAGTGACCTCACTCAGTCTGCACTGAGCCACTAGTTGACTTTGAAGGCTGAATAGTTTTTGCTTTCTTTTGTTCTCAAACCATTCACCCGCAATATTAGCTGTTTGATGAAGTTGAGCATCAACGTTATGCAAAACAATCAATAAGTATATGACCGCATGACTATAAACAAGGTGTTTCTTGTGTGAATTCTGTCTGATAGCTTCTCTGAATTAAGACTGCACAGGTTTGCTCCGGCTTCTGGTAGCTTAGGTCACTACAGACTCCATCAAAGTAGTTTTGGATGTGGCTGGAATTGCAGACGTTGAAAGTGCATGTTGTTTCAGCATGAATCAATGCAATGCATTCTTACATTTATATAGCATAGCTCCTTCACATCAGGAAGACGTCCCAAGGTGTCTTAGCAGTCCTGTCTTGGCTCCCTAGCTGGGGGTGGGAACCAAGGAGGGCAGGAAGGGCAAAGGATTGAAAGCTCAGTCTGAGTCAAAGAGGCAGGTGTTGAGACGGAATTTGAACAAGGTGATGGAGGTAGGGAGTGAAGGGATTCCAGGATGGAGTTCTAGAGAGTGGAGGCAGGTAGGTTGAACGCCTAACTGCCAATGGTGGAGTGAGTGACCAATTTTATTTGGGGGAATGTTGGCCAGGACACCGGGAGAAACTCACTTCTCTTTTCGAATAGTGCCATGGGATCTCCAACATCCACCTGAACAAGCAGACAGGACCTCGGTTTAACAAAGGTGTGCCTTATAGTGTCAGCTTAGACAATGTGATTCCAAGACCCGATGTGGGGCTTGGACCCACAACCTCCTGACTCCGAGGTGAGAGTGTTACCACTGAGCCAGGCTGACGCACTGTATGTTAGATCAATGTAGGAAGTCAATAAATATACAGAATTGCGACGTGTAGGTTTATTCTTATGGTTCTCTAGTGGTGGTTTGTATTTAGAGGTTAATGATATGGGGCTGCAGTCGTCTCTGAGGCGGTCTTTGTGAGATGAACACTGTTGCTAAGTAACGGCGTCTACTGATCCCACGTGACTTGAAGCGACATCTGCGGAAACATCTGTACGTGCCTGCACTTGCACAAGAAAAGCCTTTTAATCGTGTTGTCTCTCGCTGGTGAGCTCTGCAGAAGCCCATCGTCAATCCCCTTTACAGTATATCCTGTGAAGCGCTTTGAGACGTCTCATCGACGCGATAAGGCGCTATATCAAATGCAAGGATTGTTATTATCATTATTGCCTTTAGATGCTTTCTCCCAACATCAGAAACCTGCAACCGGCCATTCCCTTTCACTAGCTTGACCGCTAGTCTGACTCGGGAACGATGGGCTGGGGTCAGCCTCTGTGGGGCCTGCCCTTAATCCTGTAAATGGAAGATGGGTCATTTATTCCCAGTCATAATGGCTGATGACTTTTGTTATAATAAGGGCTTTGCTGTGCTGGAGTGTAGTGCTGCAGCAATCGCTCTCTCCTCGAGGTCTTGGCGGGAATAGGCTGCTTGATCAAAGCTATTTGTGGCTCAGGAATGGAAGGTCGCTACACTCTGCTGAATGTCTGAGCCGGGCAACAGGCCTGTTAATCTGCCTTCCTTCTTGGCCCGTTTGAAACAGGGGCCCGTAGTTCCTGATGTCAACCATACCAGGGAGGTGGGGAGCAGTGGTGGGTGGATGATGGATGGGGTGGGGGGGGGGAAATACTATGAGAGGGGAGCAGTGGGAGACGAGCAATGAGAGGAAATGTGACGTACGTGCTTTATATGGAATAAAGATGAAATCAGAGGCATCTCACACCCCTCTTTAATAACTGATAATAAGCCCTGCATTTGATGTAACAACAAGAATGCATTGAATTTATATATCTCGTTTCACAGGTGGATGGAATCTTGGTTTAATGTTGCATCTGAAGGACGGCACCTCCAATAATCCAGTGCTCGCTCCCCCGGAGAATATCAGCCTAAGCTGTGAGTTTCAAAATTCTGGCATGGGACGTGCAAATCGCCTACCTTCTGACTCGAGGAGCAAGCGAGACGGCTACTAACCGAGCCAGGTTTGACACCTGAAAGGCTATTTCAAGCAGTGGTTTGACATGTTGCCTTGCCTGCTCCCTGTCCTCCCCAATGCTGGAAACAGTGACGCCACATAGGGGCAGAAGGAAGGGATGGAGATGAAAGCAGATCCCCAGCACTGCTGCTTGACCTTAGCGGATTCCCTCCCCCTCCACCCTTTACCCCTTACCCCCCTCCCTTCCTCTTATTTCAATGTGGACATTGCTGCAGTCAGTAATTGCTTTTAGACTTTGTTTGCTTTGAAGTAATAAGGTTGCACACAATAAACCTCGATAAGCACCTAACCCTCAGCTCCAGCGTACAAAGAATATGTTTCTGATCTGATTGCCAGAGAATGGCTTTTGTAAGTTGTACTTCAGATTTGGATTTTGCTAATATATTTAAAAGGGCATCACGTACCCACAGGAGCGTGACCAAACTGCTTAATGGTGGTTGGGCTGGTTAGAGCAAATCAGTGCTAAATTTGTCTTAGTGTACAAAATTTCGCCCCAGGCAGGGTGAAACCTTAGGCACGTTTCCTTACTCCACACCCATGCCTCTGTTTACCTAGCAGTAAGTAGGAACCTGATTGTTAGTCGATTAGCTGGAGCTTTCCGTGGGTAATAATCCCTTCAAAAGAAAATAATAATAATTTGGTCACTCAACCCACGACTGTTTGTGGGGCACTGCTGTGCACAATTGGCTGTCGCGTTTCGCCCACGAAATACACAGTCGGCCCACTTTTGCAGTATATCCTGTGAAGCACTTTGAGACGTCTCAAAGACGTGATAAGGCGCTATATCAAGTGCAAGGATTATTATTAAAATAGTGTACAAGTCCCATAAAGTCAAAGAAACAGCAAGTGTGGAGGTTGTTCGGTTTGACATGTCTGTGCCATGATAGTTTATTCCCCACTATTAATCTCGCCGATTAATAAATCCCTGACCAGTAGCATGATTAATCCTAAAACGTGCTTCCCAGAATCAGCTAATACCCACAGTAAACTTCAACGTATCAATTAATCTTGATTAAATGCATTAATCTCTGATTGCTCCTGCTCTGCCATTGCTTGATCAAGGTTTCTGAATCTCTGTGTACAGTTACTGGCTGCCGCTCTAAAACCTTGCTGATTCCCACTTTGTTTCTTTTTTCCATTTTTGCTCCGTCTTTGATTTCCTCTTGTTTATTCTTGATCATTTTAATTTCGCTCGTTGCTTGTGGGACGTTACTTTTGCACAGCATGTGCCCACACCTTCACCTAAACAAAACACAGTCACTACACTAACACCAAGTCGCTAAATCACGTGAAGCGTTCACACACACGCTCCTGATATAAAAGGCACTATTATCAAATGTAAGGATTGTTATTATTTGCCTATATAACAACATTGCATCATTTCGAACCAGTCAGCTTTTGTAAAGTGTTTGAGCCTTTTATTTTCTTTAACATCTCTGTGTCAATATCGGTTATTCTTCCCATCACTTGCCCCACTTTCCTAACCTGTCATTCCCACCCACCTACAGTAAGAGCCCTTTCCTGGGTATATCCACTTTTACTAGAGACAGCCTGAGGGAGGCAGTAATGACCGGGAAAGGGGTTGATTCCTTAACTGCATAAAGTTAAATAATTTAAAAATATCCCCCTTTCAGAATGAAGGAAATGGGCTTAAATGTTCATGTTCAATATTACTGCAATAAACCTCTTAAAATAAAACTGGTCATTCAAACTTCATGGTGGTTTGTGGGATATCGCTGTGGTCAAATTGGCTGCCACATTTGCCTACAAAATGCACAGACGCTTCTTTATACAGTATAATAAGTCATAATCCTTGCAATTGATATAGCGCCTTATCACATCGTTGAGACAGAATATATTGTAAAGTGGATTGACTGTGTATTTTGTGGGCGAAACACAGAGCCTATTGTGCATAGCAGTGTCCCACAAACAGTCGTGGATTGAGCAACCAATTTTTTTTAAGGGATTATTATTCCTGGAAAGCGATCTGCCAATCGACTCACAACCGAGTTCCTACTTGCTGCTGGGTAAACAGAGACATGCAGAGTAAGGAAACATGCCTAAGGCTTCAACCCGCCCGGGTATCGAACCAGGGTTCTCTTGTTTGCGAGGAGCGCGCACTTACCACCATGATAAGGGACTCCTCGAGTATATGCTGTGAAGTGGCCCCCAGTACCGCCCTGGAGTGTTTGAGCTCAAATCCAAGTGCTTGAACCCACAACCTTATGCCCCTTCTCTGAACCGAGCCCAACCCGGACAGCAAAGCCCTCAGGTTTCTGCTGAAACGCCATTGCCATAACGCAGCTGCTAATAAAAGATGTTATTGCAAAACAGATCAGTATCTGGAGAATGTTCCATGTGATAACCTTGAAGTACAATCGAGGACAGCGACTATCTCTGTGTTCTCACATACAAGGTTACCCGGGAGCTGCTTCATTTTACCACATCAGTGGAAACACAGAACCATATAACAATAACCCTCGTATTCGATAGAGCGGCTTATCACACCGTCGAGACGTCCCAAAGTGCTTGTCAGGATTTTACCGAAAGCGGCAGTCCCATTTGGTCGTAGCACCGTTCATAACGATCGTCCATGAAGTGAGTGACATAACCACTGAAAATTGCAGCACAGAAGGAGGCCATTCAGCCCATTGTGCCTGTGCTGAGGAGACGTGCAGCTCCATTCTCTTATCCTTTTCCCCAAAACTCTTTTGTTAAATCCCACTCCTTCCCATCACAAGCCAATTCCTGAGATTCGGTCCGATTAACCCACGTTGATCCATTTCCACCATAAGATCTATATAATATATATTATATATATATATATAACTTTCTATAATTTGGTGCTTTAAGAAAATATAATTCCTTTTCTAAGTTGTTGCTGTTTGAGGTTTTGTATCGTAGTTCTGTTAGCTTTGTTTTTTGTTGCTCAAGTTAGGTGATGGTCACGGACAGAACTCATTTATTCTCTGCGGCTGGGGTGGTCCACTCCACAGGTCAGTGCTGATTAATTCAGTGCTTCGCTTGTTACCTGGTTTCTAGGAACTTCGGCTGTTCGTGAGACAAAAAAAATGCTGCGCGTAAATTGGCTGTCACGTTCTCCTACAAGTTACATTGCCCTGTATAGTAAATCCTGTGAAACACTTCGAGACCCGCTCCCTCTGTGAAAGGCGCTATATCAAATTTAACGATTATTGTATTGTAATGCCACCAAACTGCCTCGTGTGAAGGGTACTAGAAAAATGCAAGTTGTTGGTACTGATAATGAGCCTTGCTTTTGAATATAATGCCGTATCACGTCGTTGAGACGCCTCAAGGTGCTTTGCAGAATCTACTGTAAAGTTGTTGTTGTTATTGCTGTACAAAGTTCTTTTAGAAAGGCTCGTACCACAGAGGGTTAAAGGGAAGATGCAGCAGCAAATTCATGTGAGATACATTGCGCCAAGTTCAAGACAATTGGGAAATAGTTTAAACCCATTGATAGCGCGACTGAAGTCCACTCTTTTTTCAATGTGAGGAGCTTTGGCACACACACACACACACTGCGCTTTGTTGTATACTGCCTTTGTCACTGCTTTTATTCCACGGAGCTGATCGCACATCACGGAGGGTTTCCTCATGGGTGTCACTGCTCGTCTCATGCTGTTGCTGCTGGCCTCGCAAAGCCTTGACGGTAACTTTATCAACTTTTGTAAAGTAGCTTTTAAAACCTCGATTCATCCTGTAGCGAAGTACTTAAAGCACTCATCTCACAAGTGAGAGGACCCGGGTTTGATTCCCGGGCGGGTGTTAAACTTCAGGCAAGTTTTCTTATTCCACACGCCTCTGTTTACTTAGGAGTAACTGGGAACCCTGTTGTTTGTCGATTGGCAAATAGTCAGAAGCCCCACAATGATACTTGGAACCCATGTAGTCTATGTTGAAACTCCAATGCAGTGTTGAGGGAGTGGGTGTGGGGTGTATTGTCAGAGGTGCCGTCCTTCAGATGAGATAAAACAAGATCTGCCTATCCAGGTGGACACTGAAGATCCCATTGTACTATACTCTGATATGTTCTACAACAGTGTATGTTCTAGCTCTGTATACTATATATATGCTGTACATCCGATAGACTCTGATATATGGTCTCGCAAAGGAGTTCATGTTTGAAAATTAATAGTATTCTCTTTCCTCATCCTGACAGCAATTTCATGCAATTTTGAGGTGTTAGATTGCGATTGGAAAAACGACACCATGTGGATTCGAGACAATGGGAAAAACCCAAACCTGGCAAAGATTGGCCCCATGTACGATCATACCATAGGCACCGGTAAGATAAACACAGAGGGGCACCTTCTCTCATGACTGATGTAAAGGCTGAGCCAGATTTTGAAGGGTTCAAGCTCCATCCATGTCGAGGACTTTTGAGCTCACAGTCGCGGCTGACTTTTCAGTGCAGTGCTGAAAGGTGGGGAGAGCTGCATTGACAGATGTGCCGTCCTTTGAATTAGGCCTTAATCCAGTGTCTCATCTGTGCCTGTAGATGTTAAAGATTCTGTGACACTATTCCAAAGGAGAAATGTCTCCCTGTGTTGTAACCAACACAATGACCCCCCATCACCCCCCCACCCACCCCCACATATAAAAATGACCTACCTCTGTTTACTGGCAGTAAGTAGGAACGCAGCTGTTAGTCGATTGCTGTATTGGTTTCTGGAAGTATTTATCCCTCATAAAAAACAAATTGGTCGCTCAATTGTCTGACACTTTTCGCCCACAAAATTCACAGTCACTACCTTTACAGTATATTCTTCGAAGCTCTTTCTGACGTTTAAAACGACGTGATTAGGCACTACGTCAAATGTGAATATTATTATTATTATTATTATTAATTCCTGCCAAACACTTTAAGATGATATGCAATGATTGTAATAAGAATATTGTTAGGCCCTACCTCTAGCTGAAGAGCATGTAGTTGCGCATTAAAACCCCAAGTTCTTCCTCTCATTCGGTTTCTGCTTTTTCCTAATTCAGGTCATTACATTGTGGCTTCACAAAACTCTTCAGCTGCTCTCAAGGCTCGGGTGATCACAATCGATCAGGTAGCCACAGTAGCAGATCAGTGCCTTTCCTTCTATTATCACATGTACGGACCTCGGGTTGGTAAGTACAGTCTATGTGTTTCTATTCCCCCACCCCCTCACTCTCGCCATGCGAGAGGAAGAATGAGGAGGGCTGGAGCAAGAAAATACCCCAACGTATTGGTTAGAGGACTCGCCTCACAAGCCATATTACTTTAGTTAAAAAAAACTTATTTAGTGAGCTATTTATTTATAATTTTCTCCCCACGGAGACAAGTGCCTGACATGCACAACAGATGGAAGGACCAGGAGCAGGAACTCTGGCTGTTTTTTCCTCCCTAATCCCGGGAAGGCTGGGGGCCAGTGTAGCCTCCCGTTGATCAGCGCATTGATTCCCTGTAATATGGACTTCTCTATAAATGCGGAGTGCAATAGCGCATTGATTGGAACACTCGCCTCGCAAGCGAGAAGACCCGTCTTCGATTCCCGGGCAGGGCGAAACATTAGGCAAATTTCCTCACCCCACACACCTCTGTTTACCGAGCAGTAAATGGGAAGCTGCTGATTAGTCACTTTTCTGGGGGTGATAATCCCTCCGAATAAAAGAACAATAATAATAATTTGATCACTCAATCCACGACTGCTTGTGGGACCCCGCTGTGTGCTATTGGCTGCCGCATTTCGCCCACAAAATATGCAGTCAATTCACTTTACAGTATATTCTGTGAAGTGCTTTGAGACGTGATAAGGCGCAACATCAAATGCAAGAAATATTACTATTAGTGTTAGTATTATTTTCATCTTTAAGATGCAGCTCTATCCACTGCACCATCAGGGCTGCCCCCTGTAGCTGCTACGGCTACATTTCATTGCTAACAAAATTGATCCTCATCCTCGCCACGAAGGAGATCCCACGGCCTCAAACCCTGTATTAAAACTGTGGGAAAAACACTCTTCTCCTGTGTTCAGTGAAACGAGGAACATTGGCTCTTTTTTACAATCATCTCAAGTACGCACAGTCTATCCAGATCACACCTTGCACCGCTTCACATTTCCCCGCCCCATTTTGCAGGAGTCACAAGCTGTTCCGACAACGCCTTCCCCTCTTCCTCGCTCGCTCGCTCAGCCGAAGAAAGCAAGGGATTGATTTCAAAAAAACGCTAAAGTAAATAACACGGAGGTTTACTCCACGCGCCTCCGTTTTATGAGCCTGTGGAAAGTCGCTGTACAAATGTAATGTGTTGCTGCTGTTGTTGTTGTTCTCCCTGCAGGGACACTGAATCTGATAGTGCAACAGTTGGGGTCTGCCGAGGTGCTGCTGTGGACAAGGACAGGAACTCACGGGAACCACTGGCGCCCTGGATTTCATACAATTCCACCCCAGGCCCAAAGTTTCCAGGTAGGATACTCATGAGGATAGTGCTTGGGATTCGTTTGCAGTATTACACACACAGTGCTTAAGGTCTCTTGACAAACATAACTCGCGGATAATTTGTCACTCGGCTTCCCTGCTGGTTCTTTTGTACTAGTGAGGCACCGAGTCCTGGTCAAAGCACTCTGCTTAGCTCTCCACCCCTCTCGAACCCAACCTCTAGCCTCGGGTGCAAACCCTCGACTGTCCAGCACCTCGGGACGTCCTCCTGACGTGAAAACCGCTGGAGCTCCACTGCCTCGCCCCCTCCCTTCCCTCCTTCAAGGCCCATCTCAAGACCTTCCTCTTTGACCATGCCTTTAGTCAGTCTCGCACCTCCACCCCCGTTTACCCTCCACACTTCTTACTCCAACCGCTTGCTTGGGTGCAACGAACTTCACTGTCCAGTGCCTTGGGACAGCCTCCCGACATGAAAGGCGCTCCATAAATATAATTTGTTGTCGTTGCTGACCTCAGCCAAGCTACTGGTAACGTGGCTGAGGTGAGCAACAAGTCGTGGATTGAGCGACCAAATTTGGGAGTTTTAATAATGATCCCCGAGGAAGCCTTTATTCTAGTACAAAGAGGAAAGGCCGAGAGTTTTGATGGTTTGCGCACTTTGATTGCAGCTGATGTTTGAAGCGAGTTCCAAAGACGGGGCTGGGCACATCGCTCTTGACGACATCACTGTTGTGACGGGCTCCTGCAAGCCTCAGAGATTCTGCACGTTCGAGACAAACACCTGCGGGTTCACCGCAAACAACCTCCCGAACTGGGAGCGGCAGAACGCTGCCGGTGGGAGCATCGCAAGCAAACCACCGGCCGATCACACGTCGGAGACTGCTGAAGGTGAGAAGATGCTGGTTTCTCTTTCGAATCGTGGGTTCTTTCACATCCTCACAGCGTCAATATAAAAGAAAAAAAAGAAAATAACAATAAAAACATTGGGCAAGTTTCCTTACTCCACACGCCTCTGTTTCCCCAGCAGTAAGTAGGAACCCGATTGTAAGCCGATTGGCGGATCGCTTTCCGTGGGTAATAATCCCATCAGAAAAAAAAAAAAAAATAATAATAATAATAATAATAATAATGGTCACTCAATCATTGACTGTTTGCAGGACACTGCTGTGTGCAATTTCTGCCGTGTTTGGGCACACAAAATGCACAGCCAATCCACTTTACAGTATTTTCTGTGAAGCGCTTCGAGACGTCCAAATAATGTGATGAAGTGCTATATCGAATGGAAGGATTATTTTTATTATTATTATTATTAATGATAACCTCTCTTCTGATTATTTTATTAAAACCCCCAGAAAGACAAAACAAAACTCCTTTGATCGGATTGATGCGCCAAGCAGGTACGTTATGTGGCTTTGTTAGAATTTTACTGTCAATACTCTTGTTGTGTTTAGGATACTATATGATGGCGGTCACCGGCGACTACAATGTGCCGAACGGCTTCAAAAAGCTACTGACCTCAAGTCTGCAGGAGCCCACGCCACTGGGAACGTGTCTGCACTTCTGGTTCTACATGAACGGAAAGAATCCAGGTACCAGACTTTACAACAAACTGCGGAGAGTAGCCAAGCCCTCACTTAATGTAGAAAAATGGCTTCGGAATTTAGGAATTGTCCCACGATTCTGTGTGATCTTGAATAATAACTGATGTATAATAAAAATGATTCATTATTAATGATAATAATAATGTGGTCACTCAATCCACGACTGTTTGTGGGACACTGCCGTGCGCATTTGGCTGCCACGTTTTTTTCCGTGAAATATACAGTCGCTCTAAAAATATCTAACAATATATAAAAACATATAAAAATACACTTTACAGTATATGCTGTGAAACGCTTTGAGACGTCTCGAAGATGTGATGAGGCGCTAGATCAAATGCAAGGATTTTTTTTATTATTATTATTGTGGTTGACCATTTTCGCAGGGACTTTGAATGTCTATTTTGAGGAGAACAATCAGAAACGATACAGAATCTGGAGCGAGAGTGTGGGACAGGGAGATGTGTGGCAACTGGGCACAGCAAACATTAAAACGGCCTACAATTGGAAGGTAATCTGGCGCGCAAAGGCTGAAACAGCTCTTAGTCCAGTGAGCAGTTAATTTACTGGATGAGATCCAGTCAAGTATAAGCGCTATAAGTCCTGTAGGAGTCTTTGGGACGTCTTTGGGCGCTTTGGGACGTCCTCCCGACGTGAAAAGCGCTATATCAAATGCAAGGATTATTATTATTATTATTAAGTCTCTAATTATAGATTACGAGTGAGTTAATGAATCTCATTTCAACCAGGAATGTCTCTTCCCGAGACTGTGCCTTTCCTCCATTTCTGACCTAGTTCAGAACTGCGATACTGATGCAGTTTCAACCCACGAGGAGCCGATGGAAACAAACCACTTCCCGACGTGCTCATTGTCTAGGCTGACGCTCTAGTGCAATGCTGGGGGGCGCACGGCATTTTTGGAAGTGCCATCCTTCGGATGAGATATATAATAACATGGTCCTGTCTGCCTGCTCAGGGGCACGTTAAAGATCCCACGGCACTATTGGAAAAGAGAAGGGAGTTTCTCCTGGTGTCCTGGCCAACAATCCCTCAGATAAAATTGGTCATTGACTTCATGTGGGACATTTTTTGTGGGACTTTACTTGTGCGCAAAATGTTCGTTGACAAACGCAGGCACTGTCCTGATCATGAGGTAATGTAAGACCCTCCGAGACATTTCGACGTTACAAGCGCTGTGATCAGATACAAAGGATTATTCTTGTCAGAATGGAAATTGTCGTTTGGGAATGTGTGAGCGCAGCTGGTAATAAATGCTCTGGTGAAGTGCAGTGGACAAGGCTCACTGTCCATCTTGTTCTGTAGGTATTATTTGAGGCGGTTGGCGCAGGATCAGAGGACTCGTACATTGCGCTTGACGATGTGAGGTTCAGTGAAAAGGCCTGTCCCACACCAGGTACCTGACGCTTTACACCTGTACTGTACCCCCACTTCCCACCCTCCCCACCCGCCCAAACAAACAAGTCCATTGCTCATACGTAATCAGCCTCCTCGCCACATCCCTCAATCCTTCCTTCTCCCAAACATGCATCCAGTCGCTGCTCGGACCTATTGACACACTGTGTGCTTCGGTCAGTGAAATGGATTCCATGTTCTATGTGCGGCAGGAGTCTGTGACTTTGAGCAGAATATCTGTAGTTGGCGGAACAAGTTAGACCCTGGCCTGGATCAAGTCGACTGGAACCACAGAAAAAGCGACAGCCACAGCATCTACAAAGGCCCAAACGAGGACCATACGCTGGGGACCAGGGAAGGTACGTATGATTCATAAATCTGTCTTACTACAGATATTATACAGTCTTTACATACATTCGCATGCAGTCACTGGTCGTGTGATCGGTGTGGTTACTGTTGATGCTGTTGCTGTAGTAATAATAATAATAATCCTTGCATTTGATATAACGCCTTAACACGTCGTTAAGACGTCTCAAAGTGCTTCACAGACTGTAAAGTGTAGTGACCGTGCATTGTGTGGGCGAAAACGTGGCAGCCAATTGCGCGCAGAAGCTCAGTGTAGAATTTCCACCTAACAGTGTGTATTATTTGGATCGGTTGACACACACAGGAAAACCCAACACCGTGGTTAAGAGTTCCTCAGCCACCTACACACCTAGGTGTACATATACAGTACTTATTTCCCTGGGTCTAGCATAGAATGGGAAGAGGGATGCACCCTGTTTACCTAAAGCCGGAGGGTATCAGGTGCAGGCTGGCGAATCAATGTGAATTGGTAAACATTGGCAAAAAGGAGTCCTGTAGCTCAGTGGTTAGAGCACTTACCTCGCAAGCGAGAGACTTGGGTTTGATTCCCGGCAAAATGCTGGGCAAGTTTCCTTCCTTCATACTCCTCTGTTTACCCAGCAGTAAATTAGAACCCGATTGTTAGTCGATTAGTGGATCTCTTTTCCGGGGGTAATAATTCCTTCCAGAGAAAAAAAATAATTGGTCACTCAATCCATGACTGCTTGTGGGACGCTGCTGTGCGCATTTGGCTGCTGCGTTTCGCCCAGAAAATATACAATCAATTCACTTCACAGTAGATTCTGTGAAGCGCTTTAAGACGTCTCGAAGACACGATAAGACGCTATATCAAATGTAAGGATTATTATTATAAAAAGGAAAAGCGGGAAGGAAAGAGTTTTTGCGGGCCCCAGCGGTTTGTAGAGTTGCCGGTTTTGAGTTCAGTCTTCACAGATCCGGCCATCCTGGTCAGGCCTGACTGACTTAATAATTATCCCATCACTATAGCGTCCAGGAATTCAGAGCAGCTTGAGGGACGATTGCAAATATCTTGCTCCTCTGACCCCAGCATTTTGCAATGTCTCTTCCCTGCAGGTCATTACATGTTCCTGGACTTCAGTGCCATCAACCGCGAAGAGAAAGCATTGCTGATGAGTGAACACTTCCCACCAACCGAAGGATCCTGCTTTATATTCTCCTACTATGTTGACACCGTCTCTCTGAGTAAGTTCCTTTGTGACTCTGAATCGTCCTTCTTTAAGTAGCGTTTTACTTAACAGTCAAATGTCTTCGCCGCTTCCTCCCTTTCCTCCTTCAAGACCGGTCTCAAGACCTTTCTCTTCGACCGTGCCTTCAGCTCCCCTCTCGACTCTCTACCCCCTCCTCGCTCCCTCCCTCCCTCCCTTCCCTCCCCTCACCCTGAACATTTCCCCCCTGCTCAGGTCCCAACCCAACTGTCCAGCGCTTGGGACATCCTCCCGACGTGAAAGGCGCTCTATAAATGAAATCTTGTTGTTGTTGTTACCATAATCCTCAGCAGACTCCACTGGCTGCCTCATTTCCCAGCGCTATGAGATGTCCTCCTGACATGAAAGGCCCTGCATACATCAATGTAGATTGGATTTTGGAATGACTTTTAAGATCATTGTTCCAACTTGCCCTTGCTCTGCCCTGAAACCTGCTGTAAAATTTATTATAAAAGTTATTTGCTCTTGTAATATTATACGTTTTAACCGTGCATCTTATCTGAATTCCTCGTAGCGGACAGCATGCTCAAAGTGACCTATTACCCAGGAACCACAAATGTCATCTGGAGTGCAGCAAATTCCCGGGGAAATCGATGGGTAACTGTTAGAGCCACAGTCGAGAGCCCAGTGAATTTCCAGGTAATTGCTAACATACTTTAATCACTCGGGCTTAGTAGTTAGGGCTTCATTGCATTAATCGATGATGGATTTCAAGATGCTCACACTCATCTTCAAACCCCTTCATGCCCTGGCACCTCCCTACCTCTCCGACCTGCTTACTACCCAACCCGCTGCCTGCCGCCTCCACTCGACTGGCTCCAACCTCCTGCTTGTCCCTCATGCCCTTCCTCCGTTCCACCATCAGTAACCACTCTTTCAGGCACAGCGCCCCAAAACTCTGGAACGCTCTCCCTCAAACCCTCTGCCTTTCTCCTTCTTCCCCATCTTCAAGTTGCACCTGAAGACCTTTCTCTTCGACCGTGTTTACGGTCACACCCCCACCCCAATCACCCCCTGGCTTGGCGTCCGGCTTCTCCACATTTAAGGGCTCTGAGACGCTATCCTACTTGAGGGGCACTATATAAATGCAAGTTGTTGTTGATCTTTTAAAGCATGCTGTGACTGTATTGATGGTAGCACACAAAATGCCTGATAAAAGGACAATTTCATAGATGTCTCTTCGTGTGGACTAAAATGTACAGGAGTTTCCAGACAGCTCTTTGCTTCCAGTTAAAAACCTCAGAACCTGCTTCATTTAACAATTTGACTGTTGTTCCTGCGCAAGTGTGGCTTTTGTTCAATCCCCCGGTGGCTTAATGGACAAATACCCTGTGTGGCGTGTCTCAGCGACGTGTAGACCTGGAAGATCTATGGTCTGTGCTGATCTCAGCTGAGGGGATACGATTGACCTCAGCAACCCCTTGGCCAGCTGAAGGGAAGTCAGATTGCATTCCTGCTCCTCACTGCCATCTGGTGATCTCTGCTGAAAAGTCCACTTAATAGACATTGGAGGCAAACAGCATCAGTCTCAGGCTGGGTCAGTCTTCAAATAAACTGTTGCTGTCACATTTACATCACGTGATTTGGCACAGAAATTAGCCATTCAGCCCAACTCGTCTATTCCAGTGTTAATACCCCACACAAGCCCCCACCCCTCCCATTCCCCTCTCCAATACCTCTGTACTCCCTTCACCCTCATGTATGCATCAAGCTTTCCCTTCCCTTGCCTCCTTCAAGGCACATCTCCAGACCCTCCTCTTCAACCAGTCACTGCCCCTACCCCTACCTTCCCTGCCCGCCACCCCTCCTGACTACCAATGTAAAGATGTCAAAAAACATTTCCAACGTTTTTTGGGGGGCATGACTTTAGCATCCCTAAATGTTTTTACTGTATCTACATTTGTGCTAAAGGACTGGGCTGTGTGCTTTCACTCGCTGAGCTGAGACTGTGAGATCGTTTCGCCCACAAAATACACAGTCAATCCACTTTACGATATATTCTGGGAAGCGCTTTGAGACATCTCAACGACTTGGTGAAGTGCTGTATCAAACGCAAGGATTATTTATTATCATAATTATTATTATCCTGTGTTTATCGCGATAGATTGTTTTTCATGCCACAAAGTCGGACTTTGAGGGTTTTGTTGCCATTGATGACCTTGAGTATTACCCTGGAATCACCTGTGATGGGGTTTGGACGAATAATGCACACGGTAAGACAATTGGTTATAACTTAATAACAAAAAAAAGATCGTTCCCATGATAAGCATATGACTTTTAATCATCAGTGTAACATAACTCTCGTGGATATTCAGCTGTGACATTTTCGGTGTAAAAACAACTTGTGTTAATGAAACCCTCACGTTAAATGACCCAAGAGATTCTTCATCAAGTGGCAGTAACTTCCAATCCAACGAACCTATCCTGCAGCTTAAATAAACCCAGAGAAATAAACCCACCCATTCTTATCATCTGGAAAGTTAAGTTCTTAATGGAAACTCACTGAGCCCCAAAGGTAATCAGCAATAACACCCTTGGTATACATCTAAGCCCCACATCTTTGCTCTCAGACCTTGTCACCTTCCCTTCATAGGCCACAAACCCTTCCCCTGTCCCTGGATCCATCTATAACTTAAAGAGTGAGGTTGATAGATTTTTGGTAGGTCAGGGTAATACGGGATATGGGGAGAAAGCAGGAAAGTGGAATTGAAAGGATTGAAGTACAGATCATCCACGATCGAATTAAATGGCGGAACAGGCTCGAAGGGCTGAACATCCTCCTCCTGTTCCTATGTTCCTTTATTTTTAAGCTGATTTTACATAGATTCATAGACAGGAAAGGGCAAAAATGCAAGTACTCCTGGGACACTCCCTCTCATTATTATTGAGATCATCCAGACTTGACACACTTTGTCTCGGTCATCTCCTTCCTCCCCCCCCCCCCTCCTGCATTCAGCACTGTGTGAATGGGCTTTAGGATGTCCTACCGACATGAAAGGTGCTGTGTCAATGTAAATCGTCCTGTACGTGGCTTCAGTTAATGGAGGGAAACCAAGTCTGATTGCGGTTTCTTGATTCAATGTAGGTCACAACCATATGGTCGGGGTAGGAACCACGGCTGCCATTTTGATCATTGTCCTGATTGCCGTCATGATCGGGACTATTTACTGGCTAAGGAAAAGAGGGGCCAGCCTCTTAGCAACCAGCCCGAGAACCAGCACCGACACAGGCAGCGCGACTGGCAGTGGCCCCTGTGGATTTGACAACGTGATCTATGAAAATCAGAGCAAGGTAAAGGGGCAGTAAGCCTTGTGGCGTAAGCAGAGGATGCAGTTTGCATTTAGCAGGCACTGAAGCGGGCTGCACAATTGCATTTTAGTTGAAAAACACGTGAGCTGGATGCCTTTGAGTTAGATTAACTTTTCGACCGTGCCTTCGGTCACCCTCCTACCCCTATCTTCCCCGCCCTCTACCCCTCCTGATCCCAACCACCAGCTCGGGTGTGGATCCTTGACTGTCCAGGGCTTTGGAACGTCCTCCTGACATGAGAGGCGCTAAACAAATGTAATTTATTGTTGTTGTTTAACCAGATAAAAGTTTGCCATTGCAACTGATATCAGGCGAATTCCTGCTGCTTGTCCAGCTAATAGGAGCACCCTATAGAGCTTTGGCATGGAACAACATCAACAACTTGCATTTATGCAGCGCCCCTCTCGCAGGGTAGCGTCCCGGAGCGCTTGACAGTGGCAGAGCATGACTCTGAGTCGAGGGGAGAAGGGAGGTGACCGTACGTACGATCAAAAAGGAAGGTCTTCGGAAGAGGGATAGAGGAAGAGAGTTCCAGAGTTTCAGGGGGGCAGTGGCTGATAGCGTGACCACCGATGGTGGAACGGAAGGGACGAGGGGTTAACAGCACCGGTGTGGGGAGGATCCCAACCTCCAGGGATTTATTTGTCCTGACGATAAACCAGGCTGCCTGGATCAGGAACCGGACTACTGCTGCATTGAATCAACTTGTCTACAAGTCAAGACAAACAATACCATCCCAATCGAAGCCCGGCTGTACATTAATGCAATCAGTTGGCACAATAGAATTCAATGTATTGAACTAATTGTAAATATTATCTACAGCCAGGCTTCGTGTGGGAACTGGACGAATCTTGGGTTGAGGTGATGGAGGTAAAAATGTTTAAATGCAGAGACTAGTCACGATATTGCTGCAGTGGCAGAGGGTGAAGACTAATAGCAAAGCAATCTCCCTCCGCAAACAGATCACTTTCGGGCAGCTGGGTCTAGATTTGCTCTCGTTTTCTTAGCTTTCCAGAGTGTCCAGATGAGCTGTGTGGCCATACTATTATGAAGCGCTTTGAAGGTACTTTGACCTTGTAGGTGCCATTAGCAAATGCATGGATTATTAATTTTTATTGCGATTTCTTTTGCCCTCCAGGAGAGAGTCATTGTCGGCACTTTGCCTTCCATTGAACAAACAGCGCCATAGAGACCAGTGCAGCGGAGAGGGAGACTCAAATCACTACCTTGCTAGATCCTGGCGCAAGACAGTTTTTGAATGGTTTTCTCTTCAACACAATTAGCTTCCAAAACACGCAAAAGCAAACACACTGAATTCCCGACGCAGAATAATGACCACCTGTAAACCGTTCGCCCCACAAACCGTTACATTATATACTATACAGATATATACGTAAATGGCATTCCTTCCTTTCTGAAGGGAGCAAAGTGTGTTTTACACGTTCTGACGTCACACCGCATAACAGGAGTTATTTGTCATCATTGCTTTGCAATTTTCATCCACCTCAAGAAGGAATAGCTCTGTTTCAATTTCTGAAGTGCTTCATGAGTTGCCCGGAAGGAACTTCCACGACGACGACAACAACAAATTGCATTTGTATAGCGTCTTTCACGTCGGTAGGATGTTCCAAGGTGCTGGAAATGTCTGCTGGAAACACTTGGACTGACTGTGTTCTGTTATGCTATCATACACTACCTCACTTTATAACAAACCATTTTACAATAGCAAGGCTTCTGATCACACTAGTCACCAAATAGACATCCACCTCCCCCACCCCCTCAAAGAAAGAACAACTGCTCCCCGGACTGCTTTTTTCTCTTAGAATCAAGTGTTATACTATCTGGATTTGTTAAATCTTGATCCTATCCCGTGCTTTGGGAGCCTTGTTTTCTTTTAAATTCTGGTTTACTTTTGTGTTAATAAATTTGAGACTTGTAGATTTGGTTTGTCACAAGTTTAGTGAATGGGGTCAGTCGGGCCAGCGTCAGCACAACTTACAGCAATTTCCCTGCTTTACGTCCTCCGTCCTTCTGTCACGATGGGTGCTGTAGGAAGAGACGGTAGGAGTTTGACTAGGGGTGGGTGGGGTGGGGATGTATATTTAGGCTTCAATCCCCAAGGTCTTCACGTTCGTGTACAAATCACTTCACTCCCTGGCACCTCCCTACCTTCCCCACCTGCTTACGCCCCACTTCTCGACCCGTCCCCTTCGCTCAGCTGGCTCTGAGAACCGACAACTGAAACGCGCGGAAGAATGATGATAATTGTTTTTAGAAATACTTAATTGTATTCAGTACAAGTATTTAATTGTACTTAGGAGTCCAGAGGATCAGTGTTTGTGTGTGTGTGTGTGTGTGTGTGTGTGTGTAAGCTCTATCATTTTAATGGCAGATAATGATACGTTGCCAAGTTTGATGCAACGTCTTCTGTAACACAGATTGAGTGTCCAGGAAGTTACTGGGAACAGACATTGCTGCACTCGACTCAACTGCAACAGCAAATAAAAATACATCGTAAGACAAAAAAACAGGGGTAACAGGACTTCGTGAACACCCTGTCGGTGCATATTAAAGCATGGCTCAGCTGCGGCAGAGGCTAAGTGGGTTCTGACCCCAGCCTTCACTACGACAACAACTTGCACCTATATAGCGCCCATCACGCGGGGTAGCGTCCCAGAGCACTTGCACGCGAGTTTTCCTTGACAGCCTTTTGCTTATGAAATGCACAGTCACTACACTTCATCGTAATTCAAATGAGCTGCTTTGAGATGTCTTGCCGCTCGCACAGCAGGTCAGGTCAGGTCAGGTACGAGCCAAGTTCTCATCAGCATATCCTCGGGGTTCACAGCTGTAAATCTGTTCCTCTGGGTGGAAATACACCAAGCACATTGTGGGGGGCATTGTTATTAATAATTACTAATCCTTGCATTTGATCCGTTAGCCCCTTATCACATCGTCGAGAAGGCTCAAAGCAAAGCACCTCAAATGAATTACAGTGAAGTGTAGTGACTGCGCATTGCATAAGCCAAAGGCTGTCAAAAGGAACACTGAATTGACATGTGCTTGAAGAGGCAACACCGAGTGTATTCATTTGAGAAGAAAAAAGATATTATTGCATTACTCAGATTGACAGTGAAGCACTTTGAGACGTCTTGAAGATGTGATAAGGCACATTATCAAATCCAAGCATTTTATTATTATTATTATTACATTCTTATATATTTATGTTCTTATTATATTTATATTCTTATTATATTCTTATATTATTTTTTATTGTATTATTATTTTATGATTATTAGATTTGCATTGTTTTGACATTATTGTATTCATATTGTTATTCTGTTATTCTGTTATTATAGTTGTATTATTATTATTTTATTATCATTATTATATTTATATGATAATACTGTTATTCTATTATTATAACTATATTATTATTTTATTAGTATTAAACCATTATATTCATATTATTCTATTATTATTAGTTATATTATTATTATCATATCATAATAATTATGTTATAATTATATTATAATTGTTATATTATTATAATTGTGTTATAATTATATAATTATACATAATAATTATAATATTATAATATAATTATTATATTATAATTATTACAATATATAATACTATAATATATTATAATAATAATTTTATTATAATTATTATAATATATATTATAGTATTATATATTGTAATAATTATAATATTATAATAATTATAATAAAATAATTATAATATAATTACAATATAATTATTATATTATAATTATTACAGTATATATTATAATAATTATAATATTATAATACTTATTATAATGATTTTATTATAATGATTTTATGATAATGATTTTATTATTATGTTTATTAGTGTTATTGTTATTATTATTATTGCATTTCCTTCTTGAATTCTCACAATAAGACTGAGTGACCGACTCCAACCCCCTGACCCCCTCTGACTGGTGTTATCTGCCCCACCAGCACTGACCCCCCAACCCCCCCCTCCTCGGCCATGTGTCAGTCACTCCCCCCGGAACCCGGCGGCTGGGAACAGAGATCAGGGGAACGGGCGGCGCCCGGAGCGCAGTCAGTGTGACACCGACACTCACAGGGACTGACTGACTGACTGGAGGAGAGTAAGTGAGAGGGAGTGAGGGGGAGAGGGGGAGAGGGAGTGAGAGGGGGAGAGGGAGTGAGGGGGAGAGAGGGAGTGAGGGGGAGAGGGAGTGAGAGGGGGAGAGGGAGTGAGGGAGTGAGGGGGAGAGGGGGGGGGCGAGGGAATGAGGGGGAGAGGGAGTGAGGGGGGAGGAGTGGGGGAGTGAGGGGGAGAGAGGGAGTGAGGGAGTGAGGGGGAGAGGGAGTGAGGGGGAGAGGGGGGAGGGGGGGGGGGAGGGAGGGGGAGTGAGGGGAGGAGGAGTGAGGGGGGGAGTGAGTGAGAGGGAGAGGGGGGGAGGGAGTGAGGGGAGGAGGGAGTGAGGGAGGGAGTGAGTGAGAGGGAGAGGGGGGGAGGGGGGAGGAGGGGAGAGGGAGTGAAGGGGAGAGAGGGGGGGGGGGGGGAGGGAATGAGGGGGAGAGGGAGTGAGGGGGAGAGGGAGTGGGGGAGTGAGGGGGAGAGAGGGAGTGAGGGAGTGAGGGGGAGGGGGGGGCGAGGGAATGAGGGGGAGGGAGTGAGGGGGGGAGGGAGTGAGTGAGGGGGAGAGGGAGTGAGGGAGTGAGGGGAAGAGAGGGAGTGAGGGGAGAGAGGGGGGGGGGGGGGAGGGAGGGGGGAGTGAGGGGGGAGGAGTGAGGGGGGAGGAGTGAGAGGGAGGGAGGGAGTGTGGGAGGGAGTGAGGGGAGGAGGGAGTGAGGGGGGAGTGAGTGAGAGGGAGAGGGGGAGGAGGGGAGAGGGAGAGGGGGAGAGGGGGGGGGGGGGAGGGAGTGAGGGGAGGGGGAGGGGGGGGAGGGAGTGAGGGGGGGAGGGAGTGAGGGGGGGGGAGGAGGGGAGTGAGAGGGAGAGGGGGGGAGGGGGAGGGGGGAGGGGGTGGAGGGGGGAGAGGGAGAGAGGGGGAGAGGGAGTGAGGGGGGGCAGAGAGGGAGTGAGGGAGTGTTTATCGTGGTCAGGGGTGTGTGTGTGGGGGTCTCTCTGTGCCCTCTATATGGGGAGGGTGTGGGTGTGTGTGTGTGTGGGGGGGGGGGGAATGTGAGGGGGGGGCGGGGGGGGAGGAGTGTGAGTGGGGGAGGCAGTGTGTGTGGGGTGGGGTGTGAGTAAGTGTGAGTGTGTATGTTGTGGGGAGAGTGTGTGTGGGGTGGGGGAGTGTGGGGGGGGAAGAGTGTGTGTGTACGTGGTGAGGGTGTGTGTGTGTGGGGGAGTGTGAGTGTATGTGGGGAGAGTGTGTGTGTGAGCGTAACGTCACCGGTGTTTTTTTTCCCTCCTCAGTCGCTGCTGTAATTCCTCAGGTGAGAGAAGAGAGAGAGAGAGAGAGAGGGGGAGTGTGGGCTATTGAGGAGCAGTTGTCAGGCCCTCACCCTTTTCTTCCCCCCCCTCCCTGCCACCACCCCCCCCAGACCCCGAGGCTGAGATGAGCCGTTCGGCACGCTCCGTGGCCCGGGCTCTCCAGGGATTGTTCTCCGTGTACAAACCACCCGGAGTTCACTGGAAGAGGGTCCGAGACGCGGTGGAGACAAACCTGCTGCAAGGTGGGTCTGCGCCTGTGTCCCAGTGCGAGTGACAATTAGCGACAACAAATCACGTTTATATAGTGCCTCGCTCCCTCTCTCGCCTCCTTCAAGGTCCGTCTCGAGACCCTCCTCTTTGACCGCGCCTTCGGTCACCCTCCTATCCTCAACCTCCCCGCCCTCCACCCCTCCTAGTCCCAACCTCAGCTCGGGTCCAATTCCCTGACTGTCCAACGCCTTGGGACGTCCTCCCGACGTGAAAGGCGCTGTGTAAATGTAATGTGCTGTTGTTGCTCACTTTGGAAGGACGTTCTAAGGCGCTGGGTGGGTTGGAATCAAAAGGGCTGGAGGGTAGTGAGGGTGGGTGTTTGGCTGAAAGAGGAAAGTCCTGAGACGGGCCTTGAAGGAAGCGAGGGAGGGGCTGAGATGGAGGGATTCGGGGATGGAGTTCCAGAGAGTGGAGGCAGAAAAGCTGAAGGCCCTGACCACCAATGGTGGGGTGGGCAGGGGACATGGAGCAGGCCACTGCCCTCAGAATGGAGGGAGCGGACAGGTTGATGAGGTGCTAAGAGGTCGCAGAGGTTGGGAGGAGACCAACGGGACAGGAGGAGGAGGAGGAGGGAATAGAATTCCCCAATTTTTTTTGTTTTCCAATAGAACTGAATTCCCTGAAGCAGCCGGATGCTCGACAGCTGATCCGATTCCTCCCGGTTCACGCAGACGGCGAGAGTGAGACGGAAACCAATCTGACTGTCGTGAAGCTGCCAGCGCTGGCTGATCATCCACTGGGTAAGGGGCACAGAGGCAAACTGACCACAGTGTGGAAACACTTAACACTGGATTGTGACATAACTTTGTACTGTGTTTGTGTGTGTGTGTGTGGTGGTGGGGGGGGGGGGGGGGCCGGGGTGGGAGCGTGATTATCATAATTCCTTACATTTGATTCATCCATAAAATACACAGTCAATTCACCTTACAATACGTTCCGTGAAGCGCTTTGAGATTTAAATGACATTGGTCGCAGATTTCAACCGAACTCGTGCGTTTTCAACTTCGTTTCCCCCTGTTCCTGACCTGAAGCAGGTTCTCGTGTGCTGACTTGGACAGACACACCTGTCGTGCTTTTTAATCGCAAACTCCCAGCAGCAGCTAACTGGTTAATAAAGAACACCCAGCAGTGGAAACTGATCAGTTTTGTTTCCTTTCAGTTAAAGGTCCAGAGTTTGTTCATCTGAAGGTGGGAACTGGTCACCGACTGGATGTGATGTCATCCGGAGTCTTTGGTAGGTGTAGAGATGGCTGTAAAAGCTTGGTTATTATGTGAGGTTTGTGTGTATTTAAGATCGAAGAATAATCAAGGTTCCACTGTAATTCATAGCAATCTAAGCAGAAGAATGAACTTGGGTAAGCATCCAGCAGTGATGTGGGGGTCAAGGAATGACACCTGTGCAAAATACGGAGCTTCACTTTCTACCTGACCCAGAAGTGTTTGATACTCACCAATGTATTTCTCACTAATATGTGATGATCTATAATGGGGGCAGTGTGTGTGTTTATGGGGTGTGTTATGGGGTGGGTGTGTTGTGTCATGGGGTAGGTGTGCGTGTGTGCGTTATGGGGTGGGTGTATGTGTGGGTGTAGGGGGGAATGTTTGTGCGTGTGCCTGTGTGAATCGGAACACATGCTGCGTGATTTCCTTCACTGGCTCATCAGACCTCTTGCTGTTAGCAGCTGCTCAGTCTGGTATTGATTCCAAGTGATGATTCTCTGCTGTGTTGATCTCTGCAGTGCTCGCTTTGGGTCATGGAAACAAACAGCTGCCTGATCTGTACAACTGTCACCTCACAAAGGTAAACCCGACACAACCACAATGGGCTTTGAGGCCGCACTCGTCATGGATTTTTCGTCCGTCTATTTTTACAGTGACCCAAAAGTCGTGATATCTATCCTGTTATTTAAAAAGCAAAAATATTATCATTTCTTTAAGACTTGTCAAACATTGCAATGGTGTCACGATTTTTTGGGGTCACCCTGTACATATATATAATATATGTATATATTAATGCGCTTCTATTCAAATTCTGTTCAAAAAGAGTTGTAAGGGAGTTTCTCTCTCTCAAAAAAATTGATCACTCACTTCATGGCTGCCCCATTCACCTACAAATATAGAGGCACCGCACTTCACAGTAAAATGCTTTGAGACATCTCGATGATGTAATAAGGCAAATATAAATGAAATATAAGGATTATTATTAGTAGTATGTTGTAGAAGTAGCAGTTTAGAAGTCGTTTCTAAGTGGGTACCAGTGATGACTCAGGCAGACCCAATAACACTGCCATGTTACACTTGAATGGATGTTACTTTTCTTGATTATTTGAACTTTCCAAAATAACTACTTTCTGCCGGAGGTGGACATATTAAGCACTGGGTAACTTGTCAAACGATTTCTAAATTGTCTTTACAGTTCCAGTTGCACAACTAATTATAGGAACTGCGCCTGTCTTGTACTGCCACACAAGTCTGCACTTAATTTATAGTTCAACATTCCTCCCACATCTAGATCCTTATTTCATACATTGTAGTCACTTGGAATGACTACATCTATGATACTGCCTGTCCAATCTAGTTTTTTTAATGATGATTTATTATAGATTACCATTCTATCTTTAGGTACTTGTGAATCCCAGATTATAATATTAATAATCCTTGCATTTGATATAGTGCCTTATCACGTCTTCGAGGCGTCTCAAAGCCTCACAGAATATAAAGTGAACTGACTGTATATTTTGTGGACGACAGCCAATTGCGCACAGCAGCGTCCCATGAACAGATGTGGATTGAGAATCCAAATTACTATCGTCTATTTATTTATTATTGTAATGTTATTGCCGGTGTGGGGTTAGCAGGTCACTTTTGCTGGTTGACAAAATCTTATTAAGAGTTGGTCTTTATGTCAATATCGAAGTGTTTACAGATTGTCCAGTGGATATATTTAACTACAATGTGAAATATTCTGAGTGAATTGTTCTCAACATAAGAATAACTGCGTCACGGGAAAGTATCTCTGCAACAATTATGTTGATTCAGGTACTCCAACGGTACCAGGGCGGGACATGACAATTATTATTATTACAGAAGTGCAGTGGTATGCTGTAGCGATTCACCATTTGATTAAGAATAATCTGGGCTGTTTTCCTCTCTTCTGGCTCTCAGGACTACACTGTCAAAGGATTCTTCGGTAAAGCAACCGACGACTTTTCTGACATGGGCAGATTGGTTGAGAAAACCACTTATGGTGAGGAACGGAGCCACTGGTTACATCGCGGGCCAATCTCGGGGAGTGAGAACGTCAATGGAAAATCAGTCAGTGCCGCACTCTTCTGGGTTGGGGTGGCTCTGAATCGATTCCTAGGCGGGACTCAAGCTGCCACCCCAGTTCAGCTCAATCACAAGAAGAACATTACATTTGTAAAGTGCCGGAAGGACGTCCCAAGGCGCCGGACGGTCAGGGATTTGGACCCGAACAGAGGGTTGGGATCAGGGAGGGTGGAGGTTAGGGGAAGGAGGGTCTTGAGATGTGCTTTGAAGGAGGCAAGGGAGAGAGCAAGACGAAGGGACTGTGGGATGGAGTTCCAAAGGATGGCTTAACTGGTAATTGTGGTCAATACAGGCTCCAGCGCTAACTCCTGAGGAACCCCACTCGTCCCCCTCACCCCCCTGTGGATTTGATTGATAGCCAAACAGGATAGCAATGTATAGTGTCAATCTCTCTTTATTCAGACCGTGCATCTTGTTGCAGATCACATCACCCGGGACAAGTTGGAACGCATCGTTGCGGTGATACAAGGCAGCCATCAGAAAGCTCTGCTCACGTATGTACAGTACTTGAAATGGTTAACCTGCCGTTGGCCTCGTGTCCAGCAACAGGTTAAAATCTCGCTGGTCTCAGGATTCGAAATACAATACTTCATAACCAGGTAGAAAGTCACTGATTTTAAATGATGGCCGCCTGGGTATTGTATTGTATGTTACAGTCGTCACTGGGTGCATGATGTGATGTAGGCAACATTGCATATCATTGTACTCTTAGTAATAATGCTTGCATTTGATACGTCAGGAGGACGTCTCAAAGCGCTTCACAAGATTTACTGTAAAGGGCCGTGGACTTATTTTGTAGGCCAAAAAAAAAATCTGCACAGCAAAGTCCCACAAACAGCCGTGAAGCGAATGACCAGTCTTATTTGGGGGATTGTTGGCCAGGACACTGGGAAAGAGAAACTATGCATCTCTTTTCGAATAGCCACGTGGCTTCTTTAATGTGAAATCCAAAGTACAGAACCTCCAAACAATGCGCTGCACTCGAGTGTCAAAAGATCGGATATATTTAATTCACCAGCTGCTAGTGATAGCCTGGCCATGTTGCCCCACATGTGGCTCTGTTCCCGAAACCGTCTCCCAGGCTCCCGATTGATACTCCCCGCTGAGCGCTGCTCTGTTGACTGCTGCATCTTCAGTCTCATTTTGATGCAGTGATTACAGTAATTACACAGTGATTACAGGGCACTCGCTCGTTCTTTTCTGCCTCCCAACAGCACAAAACCGACAGCTCGTTTTTTCTGGTTTGGAGGACTGATCGGAATTAACAGCGAGAAGTAAAAGAGGGAAGAAATTATAATAATCCTTGCATTTGATATAGCGCCTTATCATGTCTCAAGACGCTGCACAGAATATACTGTAAAGACTGTATATTTTATAGACGAAAATTTAAGGTACAAGGGAAGGAATACAGGACAACACTGAAAAGGGTTCACATTTGCAATGGATGAGCAGAAGGGAATAAAAACTGTGAAAGGGTATTTATTTATTTATTTATTAGCCGGAGAGGTTCTGGAGGGCTGAGAATGTCTCACATGCCAGACAATGGCACTCATCATTATCCGACTGACAACACTGCCTGTTGCCTGCTGTGTTCATTTGCCTTATTTCCCAAGACGAGCAGCTGATGAGGAAGCTACTGATGAATCTCATTGACTTCAAACGATTTGTGTTAATTTTGTTTCGCCTACAAACTATACAGTTAATCCACTTTACAGTTTACTGGGTGCAGCGCTTTGAGACGTCTCGAAGACGTGATCAGGTGCTATATCAAACGCGAGGATTATTTTAATTATTATTATTAAGCAACGAAACTACTCTTTACCAAGTGAGAGATTTCTTTTAAAATTTAAATTAATATTTTACTCTGAGAATTTGTGTTGCTGCTAGTTAAGTGATAAAACCCAATGCTTTGTGTGGATCAGGAGCTAATTTGTGGGGTAGGAAGAGGTTCAATGGGCCAGATTGGAATTGATTCAGTGAGAAAGCCTGGCTCAGTTGGCAGCACTCTCGCCTCTGGAATAAGAAGGTTGTAGGTTCAAGCCTTTAAACGTCAGGACTTTGTACTGACAGTCCAGGCTGACACTCCAGTGTAGTGCTGAGGGGAGCACTGAATTTGTCAGTGTTGCTGTCTACTGGATGAGACACTAAACTGAGGTCCTGTCTGTGCCTGTTCAATTAAATATCGAATGGCACTCTTCAATCGAGATGGCAGTTTCTCCTGGTGTCCTGGCCAACAATCCCCCAGTTTACTTAAAAAAAAACTATTGTTACAATATGCAGTGGGAGGATGTGGGCATTTAAGCTGGGGGTTTGTTACCCAGTTGCTGGTCTCACTGCATGCAGATGTTGTATGTTCTAAATTATAAATGTGGTAAATCTGTTTTTCCAAAGATATTCTGGCATTGATTTCAAGACACAAGAGGCGTACGAGCTTGCATCCAGAGGGCTGTTGCGTCCCATGCAGAATTCTCCTCCGATCATCACCGGCCTCCGATGTGTACACTTCTCCCCACCGAACTTTACACTGGGTATGTACGGCTATTTGTTTCTCAGTGTATCTAATAATAATAATAATCCCTGCATTTGACATAGCGCCTTATCACGTCGTTGAGACGTCTCACAGTGCTTCACAGAACATACTATAAAGTGGATCGACTGTATTTTGTGGGGCCGAACACATCAGCCAATTGCAGACAGGTGCGTCCCACAAACAGTCGTGGATCGATTTAAGAAATTATGCGCGAGAGTAGACTTTGATAATCCCAGAGCAATTAAAGAGCGCAGAGATGTTTTGTATATAACGTGTGCCTTCAAACAGTTGGCAATCAAACCAAAACCACAGTTCCACCTGCTTTTTTGGGGGATCAGATGGATGACTGGATAACAAATGTGAATTTTATTGGTTTCTATAACAATGTGAATTTTACGTTTGAGAAACATTTCTTGCCTGTAGACTCCAGGTTGGGTGTTAGCTCCCGGCTTTACCCACAAAATATAGTCACTACATTTTACAGTATATTATGTGAAGCACTTAGAGACGTTTTATAGACAAATATATCAAATGCAAGTATTATTATTATTAGTCCAGGTTAGTGGCAAAATATCTAGTGTTTTCACCCAATTGTTTGGTGTGTGTTTTTTTTCTTGAAACGCACAGAAATCCAGTGTTTGCACGAAACCCAAAAATACCTTCGAAGGATCGTGCATGAAATCGGCCTGGAGCTGAAGTCCACGGCCGTGTGCACTCACGTACGACGGACTCGAGATGGGTTTTTCACACTGCAGGACTCCCTGATCAGAACCCGCTGGGACCTGCAGAGTGTGCAGGATGCCCTGCGAGGACGCGGGTCCAAGGGCAAAGCCACGTTGCTGGAAAGCGGTCTGGAACCCCCAGCTGGAGAGACGGACAGATTACAGGCGAGGGGGCAGCGCACAACTACCGGGACCCTCAGAACAGCACAGACTGGAACTCGCTGAGACACCGCTGCCTGTTAAAAAAATGTGATATGTGAGCTTTCCGTGCAAACGAACCTGCGTTCCAGGACTGACACGAGTCAAACCAGCTCTCCTGTAACAACTGCAATAGGTTCAGCTCTGCAAACTGATGACTTGAGCAACAATAATTCTTTATTCCGATATTAATTTACACGTTTGCGAGCTCCAGCTCAAAAGGTTATGCCCGCGAGAGAGAGAGAGCAGCACATTGTCTTTGATGCCTGTCGTTTATGAATTAATTCACTGAGGTTACCTTAATGGGTTCCTGTATCGGAGGATGGCTTTGCCTCTCCTCACTCCTGCAGCTCAATCTCCGGAGGCAGCAGAATGCCGATCTCCTCCCTCAGCGATTCCAGACTCTGTTCCCACCTTCTCTCGTAGTAAAAGTTCATCATAAACTGGGCGTTGCTCCCGCTTCGCACCGCCCATGGGATCAGGTCCGTTATTGAAACCTGCAGGTTCCTGGGGCAGACAAGAAACCAAAACAGCCTTAACAGAAATCGGTAGCCTGTGACTGGGCCTGCGGGCTTGACTGCTACCAGCGAGTGTAAAAAATCATGCTGAGTTATTTTTGTTGAGATAAGAAAGTATTTAAAAGGCTCGACGAGCAGCTCATTGCTTGTGGTGATCCCCGGCCACAGGTTCTGTTTCTCTAAATAAAACTAGTTTCCCTCCTCGTGATGTCTCATCACTATCATTGTCCCTTGAGATCTCCTGAATTCATGTACTGTACCTCATTACCTTCCTCTTCAACCGTGCCTACATCCACCCACCCCTCTCTCTTTGGCTCATTGTCAAACTCCAGCATTGTTAAGTGCTCCGAGACACAACCACACGTGTGAAGGGTGCTGTGTAAATAATGCAAGGTGTTCTTGTTATAGATAGTACATCAGCTACTGAGCTTTCCCTTGCCTGAAACTGCGTCACCACTTCACGAAATTACCTGCGTTCAGCCTGGGGGTGGAATTGAGGCAAGTGGCCTCGGCACCTTTTCTTTGCTACAGAGCAGTGATGGGGGAAGAGAGCAATCGAACCTGGTTTCTGACTCCTGTTTGCTACCCACTGACATCTGCTGGGAAACGTACGCACCGACACCTCTTGAGAAGAGGTTAGGCCCAACTCTGATTTTTACCTCTCGTCACACTTGCATAGGCTGCTCGTCGTGAGTTCACACACAGTGAGGAGCGTTGTGTTTGGGATGTCTGCACGGGCACCATATGCCGCATAGCTAGAGGAGGGGAAGGTAAACCGAATCCGGGGACACAAAAAAATTTAACTCGCCACCATTTCTGATGCTGGAGAAGCTTGTCGGATTAACGGCTGAATTTCTGTATCTGTTTGAGAATGTTATTGTTCTTGCTCAGTTTGTTGCTGAACTCAAGACGGGGCAAATTTGACCCCAGGGACGCACAAAACCTCACGTGGGGACAGTCCCAAGTAATGAGGGACTTCTGGTCATCTATTCTTTAAGAAAGGCAGTGAGGGCAGCACATTGAGAGGAGAGAGAGAGAAACACTGTCTCTTACCTGGCAGATAGTCGGAGTGGCCCAAAGGCAGCTCCAAGAATACACATGGGCATGCCAGTCTGCACGGCCTCAAACCACTTCACAACCACCTCACCTGTTTCACACACGCACAAAAACAATAGGAGTGGACTTTTTAAAAATGCTACTTACTTAAATTCAGAACATAGAGCAAGCAGCAAGGGTCAGAGCAAAGAGAGAATCTTCACAAAACTGCTGTATCAATGTACAACGTTATATATGCTTATATTTGGACAAGCTATGTGGGTCTGGGTTAGGGTGAAGGGCACAGGGTTCTGCTGCGTCACTGCAGGCACAAGTGAGTTCGGGCTGATTTAGTTGGGAGTTTAACGAGACTTGTTCGGGATACAACAGTCCAGGGGAGTGGGGGGAAAAAGCCCAAACAAGTCTCGGGATCACTCAATCGCAAGAAGTCAAAGCAGCAGACAAGAGAATCTAAACGTGGAGCAGCTCTTAACACTGGAGAACGAACGGAAAGCACAAGTGCTTCCCATCAGCAGCAGGTAACTGCTTACATTGCTATAAAAAAAAGGTGCTTAATGAAGGTTTACCTACTTACCCATCATGTTAGTGGGCATAGCCAATAAAGTGTGCATGAGGTCGTGTACCTCCCGGTATCGTTGCATCACGTACGCGAGTTCTTCATCATCCACGAACTTCACCGGCATCCGTGTGTCAGGGCTGACTCTCTGTGAAACGGAACGGGATTGATCTGTGTGTGAGCTTCCTGTCAGCCACGCACTATCTGCCAGCGACACTGGGGACAAGGAAGGGACTTCTGCCATTTTAATATAATAATCCTTGCATTTGATACAGCGCCTTATCGCATCTTCTAGGCGTCTGAAAGCGCTTCACAGAAAATGCTGTAAAGTGGATTGATTGCATGGTTTGTGGGTGAAGCAGGGCAGCCACTTGCACACGGCAGTGTCCCACAAACAGTCGTGGATTGAGTGACCAAATTATATATTACATATTGTTTTGATTCCCTCCCAAAACAGGGAACCCTGCACACGGCTCCTCGCATTTGATTTTGCACCCGTAATGTCGAAACGTCTCCCAATCAGTAATTACTGTTAGGTGTAGTGACTGTGCACTTGTAGCTGAATGCACCAGTCACTTTGCAAACATCTGGGCTACCCACGACAAGAAATGACCTGGCTTTCTGGTAATTTCTCATTTTGGACCCAGTTGTAACCACATTCGCTGTAAAATGACAAAACTCACATTGACATCAAGGAAGCGGATGTATTCTCGACCGAACGTGCCTTCTGGTAAATCTCTCAGATGGTTCATGTCCAAGGTGGACATCCGGATTCGAGGCCGTTCTCTAAAAAGGGCAGAACACACGGTTACAGCATTCAGAAGCCAGGGTAGAAAAAAAACTTCCCCAGGTGAGATCACTGTTGTTTGACCCCAGCGCGGCAATTTATCTCAGTTGGTCGCACTCTCATCTCTGCTCCTCAATCGAATGCCTTTTGGAAATCTAAATACACTGATTCCCCCCTTATCTAATCTACTTGATATGTCCTCAAAAAAATCTAAAAGGTTTGTTAAGCGTGAATTCCCTTTTGTAAAGGGAACCACGTTACGGTAAATTCTCTGAAGCGCTTTTGAGAACGTCTCAAACGACATCTAAAGGCAACATCAGATACAAGGATTATTATTATTAGCCCATTGAAGTGGACATTAAAGATCCCATTCAAAAGGAGAGGAGAGTTTCTTTTCTCCCAGCGTCCTGGCCCAACAATCCTCCCAATTCATGGCATGCATTCTCACTGGAAAACGGGCTGTTTGCAAACAAATACAGTCACTACACTCAACAACAGTACCTGTGGAATTTAGTCGAGACATACTGACGTTTGTCAAATGGAAAGATCATTATTTTTCCTTAAGCCGTGGATAGATTCCTATAGTGTGAGCAAAAAATCATACCACTTACTCCAGGACCTGGTTTCCCTCAGGGTCGTTTCTCATCCTGTCCCTCATGGATCGGATTGCTAACTCGCCTGTGGTTTCACCCAGAACAGCTACCATGTCTGGAACCGAAACCCAAACAAAATAAATTACAATACAATACAAAATGACATTTGTTTAGCACCTTTCATGTCAGGAGGAAGTCCCAAGGTGCTGGACAGTCAGGGATTTGAACCTGAGCGGGTGTGTGTGTGTGTGTGTGGGGGGGGTGCGAATGGGGGAGAGTGGGGGGGCAGGGGAAGGGTAGGGGAAGGAGAGCGGTCGAAGGCGCGGTTGAAGAGGAGGGTCTTGGAAAGTGCCTTGGAGGAGGCAAGGGAGGGAGCGAGGTGAAGGGAATGTAGGATGGAATTCCAAAGGGTGGGACAATTAGGCACAAATCTAAAACCGCAGCAGGTCCACTGGGTACCAGGGAATAGATGATTCGGTGTCTGTCTTGACCCCTGTCCCCGAGCAGCGCCCCACAAACAGTCGGGGTTTGAGTGACCCAATTATTATTTGAAGGCATTATTGATCCCGCTCAGAAAGCCACAGGTCAATCGTCCAATAACTGGGTCTCCCACTTACTACGTAGGTAAACAGAGGCACGTGTGCGTGGAGTAAGGAAACTTGCCTAAGGTTTTGCCCCGCCCGGGAATCGAACCCGGGTAAACCCTACCGCGCTGAAGAAACCACGAGCAACGAGTCACACCAGAAGGTTCGGTGGGTGGGAGGAGCGTTGAAAAACAGCCGCACTTGCCGTGTCGGTAAGGGTTGGAGATAGCCATGATGGAAGAACCGGCCGCCAGCAGCATTTTCTGCACGAAGTTGGTGGGGATGTGCGAAGGGTACAGACCGTAATGGCCGTCTGCGTCCAAGCCCTCGGCCCCCGCCGCCTGATCAGTGTGCAGCCGCGAGAGACCGCTACCTGTCACAGACAATCTCCGGTGAACACAGGGAGCCACCGCGCGCAAACGCCTTCGTAATAATACTAATAATAATAATAATAATCAGACGGAAAAGTGGATCGTTGGTTTGCACTCGTCAAATGAAAAGATTTATCGTTGTCGTCGTCATAACGTCACAAGAGCAAATCACAGTTGTTTTAAGAAAGGTAAATGATTGAAAATTAAATTAAATTTGTATTAGTGTTTTTTTTGGTTGAGGGTAAGACAGACGCAGATACGGATACGCAGAACACAGACAGGGAGACGGACACAGTGAGGCACAGACAGGGACGCACACAGACACAGACAGGGAGACGGACACAGTGAGGCACAGACAGGGACGCACACAGACACATACAGGGAGACGGACACAGTGAGGCACAGACAGGGACGCACACAGACACAGACAGGGAGACGGACACAGTGAGGCACAGACAGGGACGCACACAGACACAGACAGGGAGACGGACACAGTGAGGCACAGACAGGGACGCACACAGACACAGACCGGGAGACGGACACAGTGAGGCAGAGGCCGTGACACACAGACGGGGAGACAGACACAGACACAGACAGGGAGACGGACACAGAGAGGCACAGACAGGGACGCACACAGACACAGACAAGGAAACGGACACAGACAGGGAGACGGACACAGAAAGGCACAGACAGGGAGACACAGACAGGGAGACACAGACACAGACAGGGAGACACAGACACAGACAGGGAGACACAGACAGGGAGACACAGACACTGGCAGGGACGCACAACAACAACAACTCGCGTTTATACAGCGCCCTTCAGGTGGGACCGCGTCTCAGAGCACTTAAACAGACACAAAGAGACTCAGACAGAGACCCACAGACAGTCAGAGAGAGAGAGAGAGGGTCAGGGATACAAAGAAAGGAAGACACACGGGGACAGACACACACACACACACAGGGACACAGAGGGACAGACACACACAGGGACACACACACACACAGGGACACAGACACACACACACACGGACACACACACACAGGGACACAGACACACACACACACGGACACACACACACAGGGACACACACACACACACACAAGGACACACACACACAGACACACACACAGGGACACACACAGAGACACAGAGGGACACACACACACACACAGGGACACAGACACACACACAGAGGGACACAGACACACACACACAGGGACACACACACAGAGGGACACGGACGGGCCCCGGGCCCCGGGGCTGGTAGTTTGGCGCGGCGGCTGCCCCGGGGCCCGGCGCGGGGGCACTTTGCTGACCTTCTCCCGCTGAGGGGCGCGGGTGGAGGCGGCTCCGGGGGCCGCTGCTGCCTGTGGTCGGGATCCGCGCCGCCCTGAGCCCGAGCCCGAGCCCCGGGGCCCGCACCGCCCGCACCGCCCGGGCCGAGCCCCGCCACCAGCCGCTCGCCATCACCGTCTGCCCCACAGGCCCCGCACCCCCACAGGCCCCCACAGGCCCCGAACAGCCCCACACCCCGAACACCCCCACAGGCCCCACACCCCCAAATACCCCCACAGGCCCCACACCCCCAACACCCCCACAGGCCCCACACCCCCCACAGGCCCCACACCCCCACAGGCCCCGCACCCCCAAATACCCCCACAGGCCCCGCGCCCCCAAATACCCCCACAGGCCCCACACCCCAAATACCCCACAGGCCCCACCCCCAAATACCCCCACAGCCCCACACCCCCAAAATACCCCCACAGGCCCACACCCCGAACACCCCCACAGGCCCCGCGCCCCAAATACCCCCACATAATGCCCCTAAAATAATACCCCCCCAACTTCCCCTAAATAATACCCCAAGTAATAGCCCCAAATCCCTCCAAATAATATCCCAAATAATACCCCGAATAATAGCCCCAAATCCCTCCAAATAATACCCCAAATAATAGCCCCAAATCCCTCCAAATAATACCCCAAATAATAGCCCCAAATCCCTCCAAATAATACCCTAAATAATAGCCCTAAATCCCTCCAAATAATACCCCAAATCCCTCCAAATAATACCCCTGCACCCCCAAAATATTCCCCAAATCATTATCATTAATAATAATCCTTGCATTTGACACAGCACCTTACCACATCGTTGAGACGTCTCAAAGCGCTTCGGGGGATACCCCGTCGAGTGAATTAATTGACTGCGTATTTTGCAGGCGAAAACCATAATACCCGCCTCACCCCAAAATAACACTCACATTCACCCCCCCCCCAAAAAAAAATACCCCCCCTTACTCTAAATATCTCCTTCGCCCCCAAAATACCCACTTCACCCCCAAATTCTGGTGTAATTAAACAAAAATGTGGCCACTCAACCCATGGCTGATTGTGGGATGGGAAGCTGCTGCGCGCAATTAGCTGCTGTGTTTTCGCCCCCAAAGTGCACGGTCAATTCACTTCACCGTGTGAAGTGAATCCAGAAGCGGCCGGGAACACATCAGCAGGTCAGGCAGCATCTATGGAGAGAGGACGTGAGTGAGTCAGCGTCTCAGGTCCATGACCTTGCGTCAGTACGAAGGTCATCGACCCGAAACGTGCATTGTATCAGGCATTGATCGTTAAAGGTACTGATCGGTTAGTTGTTGGAGAATGTAGATTATAAACAATTAATGAAAGAAAGCTCCACTGTATACAGACCATGCCATCTTCAGGCTGTTACACGAGGCTCTCATCACAGGGTGGTGGTGTGGAGCATGTATTTTACTGTACTATATTCGTGTCGTTAGAGCTGTGTTTAACACTATTATCTTGTTTATTTTGCAGGTACTTCGGATCCGATTCAGAGAGACAAATTGCATTAATCAAAGGTCCTAATGATCCAGTTGTATGTGTACGGCTACAAAATAGTCACTACATTTTACAGTGCATCCTGTGAAGCGCTTTGAATCATCTTGACGTGAAAGGTGCTAGTATTCAAATGCAACGATTATTAATTAACTACATAAGTGTTCCCAGCAGCAGAAACGCCACTCCTATAGAAGAGAATATCCATGGAAATAAAGCCCACAGTGTGAGCTATATTTTAGGGCGATGGAGCGATTTTAAACACACTCTCAACTTTAGGAAGGTTGTTTTGGTGGGAACTAGGTTGGACCAGATTGACAGAATAAATAATAATCCTTGCATTTAATATAGCACCTTATCACCTCCAAAAGTCTCGGAAAGTGCTTCACAGGGAATTGCTGTTAAGCACACTGACTTGGATGTGTAGGCAAACCTGGCAGTCAATTTACACACAGTGAAACTCCTGCAAACAGCCATGAATAAGTGAAAGGTCGATTTTATCTGGTGCTGTTGGTTAGAACACCGGGAGGAACGCACTTTGCTTTTCCAATAGCACCATGGGATCTTCAGCATGGAAGCGGAGCAGCAGTCTGAGCTGTGAGCTCAAAGTCCTGGTGTGAAGCTGTGCCTCAGCAGCAACGGAAGGTATGATTTGGTGATTGCCTGTCCCCCATATGTTGGTGACCACCCACTGGTTTGGGCTCACAAGCTTTTGATCTAGAGGCAAAGAGGATACTCGGAAAATCTTTATACTGCTGCGAATATGAAGTAGCTCTAAAGCACCGGTGAGGAAGTACAGCAGAGAAAAGAGCATCAATGCAAAACAAACGAGAGAGATAACCCAATGCAGGATGTAAGGACACAGAGCTTTATTCAAATAGGAGTATGAATTAAAAATCCTGTATAAAAATAGGATTAAAATATGAAAAGGCTTCTATAATTGCACTGTGTTAATGCATTCATCTAATGACATGTTATGAATCGTTCTTCAGAATCTTTGTTAAAAGAAATCTCCTCCCGACATGAAAGGTGCGATATAAATGACGGGAGAATTTAGCATGAAAGCTGCGGTTCTTAAACGGTCTGAGTGACTTAACGTTTAGGGGGTTCATCTTAATTTATAGTATATTATGCAAAACCCTTTTGAGATGTCAAGAGGATGTGATGAGGCACTATATCAAATGCAAGGATTATTATTATTATTATTATTAAGGAAAGTCTGGATACAGAAGGAAGCCGGTGAAAAGGCTGCCAATGGAAATGCCGTCTTGCTCGGTGTTGACTTGTAGCCAGACCGTATCCCCAATCCTCAGGTGCAAAATGGTACCACTGGAGGTTATGGCTGTGTCAGAATTGTTGAGCTTTTGTGAGGTTCTTAACACTGTCCGGCTGTTGTGATACAGGTGTGCCACGACGCCCCTGCCATTCAGTTGGAGCTGGTATGCGAAGTGGTACACGCCGGGGATACGACACACAAATATCCCCGTGTGAGGATTGTAGTGGTCCTGCTCGTTGTAAATTAAGTTGGAAAACCTGATGGGTTTGTTTAAAGGAGGCGTGCCTTTGAAGTTCACTCGGACGGTGAAAGCAGAACGCAACTGCGGCGGGCAGGTGCACCCCGGACCGGCTTCTCCTTTTGCCCCCGGAGGTCCCATCATGCCCACACTCCCGGCTTCGCCCCTCGCACCTTTATGTGGAGAGGAAAGAGAGATTGCAGCTGAGCTCGGAAGTAAAGACGACGACGACAATTTGCGTTTATATCGCGCCCTTCACCCGGAGTACCCTTCATCTCGGAGCGCTTGTCGTTGAGCAATCCCGCGATTAAGAGAACCACCCAAAATCTGACAGACTTGTAGAACAGGCTGAGTGGGCTGAATGGCCACTTCCGATCGGTGCCGGTTTTCCAATGGATTTGGGAAAGGCAAAAAAAACCCAACCAGGATCCCTAGTCCTGACTGCTATCTAGTGGCCGTCCGGTGGAGGTACAACGTGTGGATATTGAACGAGGATAGTATTGTGGCTCAGATTGGGTGCCCCCCACAGGCAATCAATCCGTTATCTCGCCCGAGGGGTGGCACCTCTGACGACGCAGCACTGGGCCGATTGGCCCCTTTCTGCGCTGTAATACTCTTATGATTCCCCAGGCTGGACCGAGAGCTGAAAACCCCGACAGTGAAACTCTGTTCGTAAGACCCTGCGCGCAATAAACCTTTCGTGGCATTTTGTCCCTTCCAAGCGCGGAAAAGCAATCCCCCGAATGAAATTTACTCACTCCACGGCTGTTTGTTTGCTGTGCGCAAACCGGCTGACGCATTTCCTCACGAAGTACAGCGAACCCTTTAACAGTATATCCTGCGAAGCGCTTTTAAGACTTCTCGACGACGTGAAATGCGATTAATCAAACGCAAGGATTGTTATTATTCATTATTATCATCTGCGGTGTAACTGGAAGAAAAAGAAATTTTATATCCTCACCTTTCGGACCTTGTTCTCCATCTTTTCCAACAATTCCATCACGTCCATCCCTGCCCGGGATCCCATTGTAACCTGGGCTTCCAGGCATGCCCAGCGCATCAAAGCCCCCTTTACAGTCTGCCGTTTCTGCTTCACCCCGAGTAAACACCAGCAACAGAGGCAGAAGGCACAAGGTACCCATGTTCAGAAGAGTGCCCTTCAAGCTGGAAGAATACGAGGATATTCTTAAAATACTTGTATCGCCAAAGCTTTCACAGTGCGACTGATGTTTCAACGAGTCTCTCTGACGAATCACTGCTAGTTGTGTATGTCGGGGCTTTTTTAAGCTTTTAACTGCTTCAACAGTCAAAGCTATTTCTCACCCTACTGTCCAGTCTTTGGCATTCAGCTGCTGAACCAATCGAGGAATCCGAAAGTTTGGCTTCGGCCACTTGTCTGATTGAAAAGCAACTCTCGTCTCACGATTGGAAGCCAGATATAAATGCCTGAAGTGATGGTTCCCAATGAACAGTGCACACTGGCCAGGTTTCAAGTATTCAGATATAGTCAGGCGGATTTACACTGGCAGACATTCAGCTGAGCAGCGGATGGATTAATCCTATTTATACGACTGAAAAATGGGGCAAGTTTGATATCAAACAATAACTTCACATCAAATTATATTATTTAAATTGATATAAATATTGCAACTTTGAAGTCCCAGTGTTCCTAACCTTACCACTGACACTGTAATGTCAACCCAATTCAGGCTCTGTTCAATAATAAAATAATCCATGTAATCACACCTTTCACATCAAGGGAAAATGTTCAAGTGCTGTACAAAATTTAATAATATAGCAGTGATTATTTTGTATCCCAACATGTCTTTTGTGGTCCTCTAAAGACCTGAACTTTTTTTTCCACCAATAGTGGGCGTGTATTTATAAGTAAACATGTCTGTCAGCCAAATTTGCAGTGATGGTGTCTCACAAACAGCCACAAAGTGAGTGACCAACTTTATTTGTGTGGTCGTTGGTGTAAATAATGATTAGTAATGGTTGATTATGTTATCTATAATCGTGAATATAAGCGTTGAGTCATACGATTATGGGTAATGTATTCGCTGTTATTTAATAAGGAAAATGGGCAATTGAATGACCTATGAAACCCCTGAAGTCAGCAGTAAATTGAACCTAGCGGTCAGCAGGCTGGTACAAACTGGCTTAGAGCTATCAAAGAAGTTGGACGAAGTTACATTTTCCAGAACAAAGAAACATGTCAGAAAAAAGTTTCAAGGCTAGGACAGGGAGACTGGGACGAGGAGATTAGGAGTCAGGAGAAGAGTCACGAGGGGGAAAAGGAATGCGTGGGAACCCATCACTGAGGGGTACCGATGCAATGAACAGTATGTGCAGAATAAGATGAGTAGATCTGAAGAAGGTAACGGTCCAAAGGTGATGTGACTGTAAGAGTCAGTACTTTTAGAAACTGAGTGAAGCAGATCGAGAAGAGAACAGGGGAGGAGCTCTGTGGTCACCCTTGCGAAGGGCTAACCTCTCCGACCGAAACCTCAGAGACTCAAGATTGAGAACGACTCCTTGGAGGACGAGCAGGAGGGCTGAAGGAGGGAGAACCACACGGACTCCGAGTCAAAACTCAAGAGACCAGAGAGCAGGCAGTCTGCCCAGCTGATCACTGGGTGACTTGGGAGAGCAGGAGGAGGCTGAGAACGTCCGTCAAGACGATTACTTGACCTACCAGAGAAAGGCACCACGCACATTCCAAGAGGGGGAGCTGAGTGAGCCAAGTATCTGAGGGAGAGAGAGAGAGAGATCCTGCCTACAAGAGCTGGGCACCGACAGAGTGCACCCTGCAGCCCGGTCCAAGGCTCGTTGCTGGAATACCCCATCGTGACTCTGCCGAAAGCAGCTGCTAGGTGATGGTATATACTACTGGTAGGTAGTATAGTGATACGCACTCACGCATCCACACATGACACACCTTCCGTCTTGTACCCACTGTGTTAATCTTATATGATTTTATTATTAGTATACTTTTCTTAGATAGTATTTGCGATCGGGATGCTATGATTTCCTCATACATTACTGTTGCGAGCCAGTCAGGGTAATCATGATTACGATAGTCGTCTGCGAACATATTTTCAAGTATATTCGGAAACTTAATAAACTCTGTTGAACAACCATTGGTCTCCCGAGTCTTGAGCGTATCGATTCTAAGCAGCCCTGCGAGAGCTAACATTGACCGGGACACCGGGAGAGATTCCATTCTCTTTGGGATCTTTTAACGTCCACCTGAATAGTTAGATAGGAGCTCTAGTTAAAGTCTCACCTCTTTTAACAACGCATTGTACTGGAGTGCCAACCTGGACTTGTGAGTTCAGAATCCCGTTCTGGGGCTTGAACACACAGTCTTCCTGACTCAGATGTGAGAGTGCTACCAACTGAGCCAGCCTGACACCTGATACAGTAAGGAGAGAAAAGGGTTCACCAAAATTGATGGGCAAAAAGGGATGTCGTCTTAAAGCTCAATGTCGCCTATAATTGTGCTCATATTATCACACTGAATTTTAACACCTGGAGCTGAATTGTAAGGGAGTATTTGGAACAATAATATTCTCAGCCTGCTCCACAAGCCTAGTTTGTCAATCTCGCCACAAACATCTGTCACTGGAACCAATCCCGAATGGGATGCAGTTCCACATTTTTCTTTTAAAGATGGTGCCTGGCTCGTTGAGATGTCCACTTCTGTCAATTGTTTATCACCCAATTCAAAAGGAATGTGTGAAATTTTCTCTGAATGCAACACTTCCTCCGGAAAACGGATAATGTAATCAAATAATGTGTGGGAATTCTCAGGCCAAACAAGTGCATAGTGATCGAGGGAATTGGCCACATCTGGATGTACAACCCATTTTGGTGGGTCCTTTTCTTTAGAAGAAAACTGGCTAAGTAATCTATTTTTCCTACTTTTTACAACACTGATATTTATACAAACACATTGATTGTGACTAGTCAGATTTCCTCTTGCTATTTAATGGCCACCAAACAACAGCTGGACTGGGTGCTCGGATTGAGCTCGGCCCTGTGCGACCACAGCTTTTTGGTGTCTGTTTACACTCAGTTTGAACTCACCGGTTGGAAAACAACAATATTCTTCAACTCGCAAGTAAAATTCACACCAGGAGGACGACAGTTGGGCTTATTTATGAAAGCCATTTGGTTTCAGTTTGGGGTTTGGTTGCACGATGATCATTATCATTATGTATGACTAATTTGTCGCAGTATCATTTCAGTCCAAGGCTACAACCACTTTACTCTCCCTCTTCTGTCGACAAAAAATGATTAATAACTTGTAAATTAAGCAACCTGTAGCCTATTTCAGAACTTGGGTCACATTACAAAAATTACTATTCCGAAATTTTTGAGAACCCCCCCCCCCCCAATAACTCACGCCTAAAAATCGTGAAAATTAAATTTCATTGACAACCTTTTTTTTCTTGGAAACAGTCCTGTTCAAGTGGATGTCAGATACTTTGGCTCTATTCGAAAAAAGGGAGATAAATGCACATGCCACAAGGCACGGTTCCTGCATATCTGAACTCCACTCTGATGTTTAGACCAGAAAAGAACAAGCACGTGCAAACAGAGTGGCAAAAAGAGAGAAGGGCGCAAAGATTGACACACAGGAAAAACAGTGAAATACGTACAGCAATAAAACTTGCAAGGAGATGGGTTGAAGATAAGTGTGAGAGGAAATGAGGCAGATAAAAGCACAAACCACCGTGATGAAGAGATTCATTCACTTACGCCCACTACTAACAGCTTGCACCTACAGATCTTCAATCCGAAGACGAGACCTCCTGCCGATTACCCTTCTTGGGGCGGTCCACTTTACTAGTTAAATATACTGTTTTTTTGCCAGGCTTAGCAACACTATTGGAGCCTCTCAACCATCTGCTGCATAAGTCAGTGCCTATATCCTCATGGCAAGATGAATACTACAGCACATTCTAATTGGATTTCTGATGGAAAGCTCACACAAGCACATCAGATCTTCATCATCTTAGAGAAAACAAGGAGGGAATCTGTAAAGGACTACCAACCATGTTTGGGTCAATGCAGCCACTGGGCAATAATAATCCTTGCATTTGATATAGCGCCTTATCACGTCGTTGAGACTTCTCAAAGCGCTTCACAGAAGTAACTGTCAAGGAGCAAGCCTGATACTGATGTGGAGCAGTCGTATGCACGTAACTTCGGTCAGTTAATGGATAGCGATAGTACTGAACACTACACACCTTTGCACTTGCCTCTTCAGATAAGGTCACTTCATCTTCACCTTCCCAGATGGATGAACAGAGCTTTACACAAGGGATTAACTATCCCTATTACTTTGTCTGATGTCCTCCCATTTCTCTCCCGCTTGCTGGGAATTCTACAACCACTTCCACAAAGATCCTCTTTATTCTCCACGGCTGTCCACCTGCTGAGCCACCAGAAGGCTGAGCTTTCAGACTCCATTGTTGCCCCATCTGTTCAATATTCCACACTCCACAGTTGAGCAGACCAGCGTGCGGTTTATGTAATAAAACTATTTGTGGGCAGTGAAGCACTTAAGTAGAGCTTTCCATATAATTCCATCTTGGGCAAGCCAAGCACAAGGGAATAACTACCAGCACTAAAATTTTGCGCAGAATCCTTTCCTGCAGTTGGATTTCCTGAAAACAAGACTCCCCCGCGGTATCTACAAGCAGAAATGAATTCCTACAATCCAACAAAGACACTGAAGATATATCCCCACTTTTTGATTGAGGTTTCCCCATATTTTATAGTTAACAGTATCTGATCAGTGTTTATTTAGGTATATTGGTATAATGAGCACATTATCAATGTTAATTACTCTTCAGTTCTAAATGCCAGGCAAACTAACAGTTTGTGATGATTACTACAATAATTAAGTCAAGCTCACAAAGCACAAAATCATTTAAATGGTTGACCAAATCATCACAGTTCAAGTAATTGAATACCACGTGCCCGCTCGGATAATGTGCGTTGATCACAGTATGTGGAGTAAGGACGATTGCAACCTGGTGTACCAATGTCAGCTAATGTCAGCGTAAATGGCAATGTGCAGCCCAAGTGCACTCTTCAACTATCAACAAGTGTTCATTTGCCTAAACTGGACTAAACGGTCCAGCACATGGAAATCAATTTCGCACGTGTACTGAGAACACACAGGTAACAGTAATAACAATACACCGAGCACTGTGGCAAAACAGGTATACAAATTTTATTATAGATAACAGACCAAAGTTGGACAGGTTGATGAGAACCGGTTTTAAATGCAAGGTAAAAATCAGGACACCTTAGGCTGCAATTCACATACCCCAGAGCACTCTTAGCAAAAGAGCACAAACCTACATCTCAGAACATTCTGAAATATGGTCTATAGACAACCCTGTTCACAGCAGAACATGTCATTACGTCCCCAGCCAATATTTGCATCAAAGAAATAATAAAAAAAACAGATCCATTTGATAATTTGTGTGGTGGACAAATTTGTCAACATCTTAATTTTTGGCTACAGGTGTTCAATATCTGCAAGTCCATGGAACTGTAGGCGTTCAATTATTTTAAGCAATTCCATAATTAAAGCAAATTGAAAATAAACTCTTGCTCCAAGGGTTAGCATTGAGCACAGAGGGACACGTCGTCACCTTCAGCAGCACTAAACTGATTGTAAAACAAAATCATGCTTCTTCACAAAGAAAGATTGAGTAGAGATGGGATGCACTAGCAAAACGTATACAAATCAGTTTAGGACATTACTCGTGCAACATACTGAACAAGAATTCATGTTACAATATACCACTGTGCTGTACTGATATGTGAAACTCAGGTGAATCAGTTTTCTTTATTCACTATATAAAATAAGTTGGTGACAATTTAGATAATTTTTTGACAGCCGAACTGCAGATTCCCATTGAAAATAATGGGAAGTCAAATGTCAAAAGTGGGAATGAGTTAAGTCAATGAAATACTTTGCCAATAGATGGATTTTGCAATCCAGCTGAAGTCGGGGAGTGGGTGGGGGGGGAAATACAGAGTACAAAACATTGTGATGGGGAAAAAAAAAACATTCTGAGAATTCTTAATACAATTTTGAATCCAGTCAATTAGGATAAAATTGGATCAAGTTATTCATGGAAACATTGTACAATGAAAACTTAAGACAATCCAACAGCATTTCAAACGAGGGCAAAGTTACTGAAACAATACAGTATTAATATAGAAAACTGCCATTTTGTGGAAACAATTTATACAGTTGACTAATGGTGAAAGGCATATACACTAGTAATACTGCATCTAGCTTTTCTTTGGGACAATACACTGGCCCTAAAGAGGTGGGAATGGGGGCAATGGACACACGGAGGCTCCCATGTAGTTCCACAACTGTGCTCCTTTTAAAAAAAAAACTAGAATTAACTAAAATGGTCCTAGCAAATTCTACATTTGTTCCATATTTCTACTACATGTGTAAATAAACTTGTAATCAAGGGTGCAGAGTGTTGGGTCAGATGCAGAGGGAGGACTCCACAAACACTTGTGGGAATGATGTTTGGGATACTAAGAACTATCAAGTTTAGTCTCACAAAAATAACTGGATAGGACCACGCAGGATGTTTTCAGTTTGCAGTCAGTATCCCTGTGGCGATTTATAGCATTTGCCATTCAAATGTAAAACCAGAAGCCACAAGACCCAGTTTACAAAGGGCAAAACAGCCCAAATTTTCCCTTCATATAGCCAATCATATCAGCTGGTATATAGAATAGACATTGATTAGTCATGAGGTTTCTTACACAGATTCCACAGAAATTGGATAAGCCACATAAAATAGAACAAGGTCATTACTTCCAAATCAGTCCTGCCTCCATTACAACTGATTTAGATTAAACAGTTCTAGTTTACATAGATATCAATCCAGAATTCACCAAACAAACAGATTAATGCTCAATCAGGTTCATAAGTGTAAAGTCACTAGAGATCCAATCTTTTTGCACAAGAGTAATGGATTCAGGTGCCAAAACTACAGATAAGTTTAAAATTAAACTGCTATCTATCTCCCAATCCAATTGCATAATGGTAAGGAAATACTCTCACACCTATCCCTCATGTGTACACTATGGTTGGTCCAACTGATTTGCTTAAATGAAAAGCAGAAAAATGACAAGGCAAGAGACTTTATTCAAAGTACCCACATTCTCCAAAACAGCAAGATATCAATAAAAAAACTGCCTCATTTAAATGCTAGCAGCGGCAAGGTAAATTTGAGGTCTATGCATTTTTCTAAGAAGTAAAATACAAGCTCAAAGAAACACGGATCACCTTAGCCAGACACCCACCCTAAGTTAAAAGTAAACTCGCCACACACTTTTCGTGTACACATTTAGTTTTATTGTAACAAAGCAACTTGTACACTTTTAACGTTTAAAACTGAGCAATTTTTCTTTCCGGTGAAACAAAAAATTACATTAGAGAATGTAGATTCCAATAAGATTCTACAGGTTCTGTCGTTCCTCCATCTGCTGTAGGGCTCAAATCGATTAATATTTAAAAGTGTTTGGCTTTGGTTGCATGGATGTTGTAAAAATATACAATGCACCGACATGCTAAGTACAGCCACGTCCTCAAAATACCCAACAAACCCACCCATTAGAACCCAACTGTCTGCATCTACCCCAGGTGTCTCAGTCACACCCCAATTTATTACAAGAGAGAAGGAAACAAGGACTTGATGGTAACTGCTAATTGTCCACATCACATGGAAACACAGTGTAATCTCTGGGCCAGGACAGATAAGGGGAAAAAAAAGCCTATTCAATTTTATCTAAGTCACAGCACAAAGGCAGAAAGAAGCAATTGGGCTTCCAGCAGAGGGAGGCGAGAGGTGGGGTGTGGGGTTTAAAATAAAAATTAAAAAAATACAATCACATCACTACAGAAGATGGTGTGCTGATCAGCCGGCTGGAGGAGAATTTGCATCAGTTCATGGAAAATGGTAGAGATTGCCACTGTAGTTTGCACATGTAACTCATTCCGATTCATATGTGTATAATGGTTTAAGGACCTCAGGAGAACAAGAAAACTGAGCACAAAAAGACAGCAACTTGCTCCCAGGGACTAAAGAAAAAAAAAGTAGGGGAGGTGAACTTCAACACAAGCCTGATCATTCATCCTCTCCTTCCTCCTCCTAAAGACAAAAGCAGGAAATTAGTTGAAGCAAGTTAAAACCAAATTCAGAGCATAGAAACAAGCTGAAAAATCAAGCGCATTGCTCACACCTCTCCCCCCCCCCCCCACCACCACACCAATCCTTTTCCAAAAAAGCAAGTGTTGTGTAAGGTTTCAAAAAGGCACCTCATGTAAAGCCAACATTAACAGTTCTTAGCTGCTAAAAGTAGCCATATAATGCTTATATAATTAGAGACTATTAAAAGGGGAGGCTATTCAAATTATATTGAAAATTAGTTTAAAAGTTTGCAACAATCCTGATCCAGTATCATCTACAAAAAGGAGAATGTTCTCCACCACAAATAGGTAAATCCTGAAGACGATAAAGTATGCATTGCATTTTAAATGGGGGATATCACTTTATTTAGCAAAATCCGATGCTGCAATCTTAACATACCTTGAAAGTTACTATAATAATCATGGCATTTGATATAGTGTCATCGCATCTTCAAGACGTCTCAAAGCTCTTCACAGAATATACTGTAAAGTGTAGTGACTGTATATTTTGTGGGCCAAACACAGTAGCCAATTGCACACAGCAGTATCCCACAAACTGTATTGAGAATAAGCAGCATAACTCTAGCAGAGAAAGGATTTAAAAATGAAAGCTCTTACCTCAGCGTCATCTCCTTCCTCCTCTTCCTCTTCATCATCTTCTTCCCCTTCCTCCTCCTCGTCTCCTTCCTCATCAATATCCTCCAATCCCTCCTCCTCTTCCTCATCCTCTTCATCGTCCTCACCCTCTCCCTCCTCATCTTCCATGTCTGGCACCTGACAATACCCACAGTGATTAGCCATCTTATGAAAGAGCACATTTGTAAACTGATCTCTTTTAAGAAAGATAATTCTGAGTTCTTGGACCAGGGGCACAATCATTTAAGCACCAACGGGCCAATAGCATTCCAACTTCTGTATAACCATCCATTACAAATAAACAAGCAGCTCACCATACAATTTCATAGACTTTCTTGCTTCTTAACTCAAAACCCTCTCCATTTTCAAATCCATTTCTATGGCTGTACGTTCAGCCCCTCCCTCCTCAAAAATCAAACTATCAGTTAGCTTTGTGAAGGGCTAGGAGAAAGACATCTTCCTTACATGAAAGGTACGATATCAGAGGTTGCGTTGGTTTCCTATATACAGAGCCAATTCAACCAACACTATCCAAGAACAAAGCCAGATCCATGCAATCACTAACCTCACAAGCTATCATAAGCATTAAAAAGTAATTTAAAAAATACTCAACTATGACTTAAGTTTTACTGCAACTTTTGTTAAATGTACATTTCCACATACTTAACTATCAAATCAGATGTTCTTCAACAAACACAATATACACAAAAGAAACACTCACTAGGTAGTACTGCAGTGGGTTTGGCCAGATGTCATCCTTGATAACCTCTCCGAGTTCATCTGCACCGGCATCCGAGTGATCAGTGAACCAGGTGAAGAAACTTTCTGGTTCTTCATGCTGTCGCTTCCTCCCCGCTTTATTCTGTGACTGACTGGAGCGCTTTGTCAGGTCCTTCCGGAAAAAAAGGCAACATTTGATATTGTATAAATAGCAATGATCGTTGCACTGAAGTCCAGCTTTAAGTCATGGCATCTAGAAAGCTACTTTGCAAAGTTAACATCTAACAAAGTCACACTGCAAATAAACTTTTTTNCAGTAATTCCATGCATATGCTTATGACATGTGGAAAACCCTAGTCAATTTAGCTACAACCATCAAATAATGCTGCAGGAAATCAGGGGAGCTCCACAAACTTGTATCAAATAAAACGTTTTGTACATTTTAAAAGCTTATTTTAGTTTCTCTCAATAGCTCGTGATTTGCTCAAAGCAACTCTGGGTGTCTTCCCGATATGAAAGGAGCTAAACAAATATAAATTTCTATTGTATTGTAACTTAGAATAAGCAGCCTCAGCATAAACAATGTCTCACTTTTCCTGGTTTCCATTTGATCTCTGTTGATTTTGAAGATGGGTCCCCATTCTCATTCAGATGAAACTCTTTGGAAAGAACTTTGTTGTCGAAGTACGGGTTCTCATCAAAATACTGCAAACAAAATCCACTTATTAGCATTTTTAGAATAGCAGAATAGGCAGAGTTAATAGCTTAAAATTTCAGAGCAAATGAAAATCTTGTGAGAAATGTTAAACACATTTGGGAACTAGACAGGGAGTACACAGGAGTAGAACATAGCAATTTTTTTTAAACATTCACTTGATTTTAAAACATTCATTTGTCATGTTAGCCAAAATAGCTCTTTAAACAAACTAAACATCAATATCTAGTTTTTAAAAAATGTGCGAGGTACACAAATTTCTATGCACCAAAACCATAGGAGACTGAGAAGCTGGACAAAAATTGAGCTCAACTTCACATAAAGCTAACCATTATCCACAGATCCACCAAGGTGCATACTAAACAATTCATAATATACCAGGATAGTTATTAAAACGGTCCCGAGTTTCAACACTGACCAAAATGATGTTATTAAACATTAGTAACTAGTCTCATTTTCCAAGCGCCAAATCTTATTTTTGTAAAGAGGCAAATTTCAACCCTCTAAGAATGAGTACCATTCCTACTGGGGTACTAGGTAACAACACTGGCCTTCAGCTGAGCCAGGCAATAGGTTTGCATTCAGTACCCATCTACAAGGCTTACATACAGGCATTCCATTAATTCATACCTTCAAACCGGAAACAGTTTGATCTCTAACAAATACTTACAAAATCTATTCTGTAGCCTGATTTGATATCTTCAAATTCCGTCACCTCCACTCTAGTCAGATAATGCAATGCCTCCTCGTCTTCCTCTCCCAGAAGCGCAGATACTGGGAATATAATTTAAAATGTTACTTTCCACATGCCATTAGGAAAAGAATTAGGAACTCAGTTGTATAATGAATCGCATGCACCAAACAAGCTGACGAGCAACAAAAGTGCACATAGTGATGGCAGATGAGTCCATAATAACACTGGAGTGTATTAAAAAGAAAAGAGCAGGGTTTAGAATAGACAGCTCTACAAACAGAGAATCATTTAACTGAAATAATTGTTTACAAGATTAAACATTTAGAATCCCAGCTCTTAACAGTTTAAACTTTCTGTCTTGCAACTCCTGAGTTGCACTTTCTCCCACCCTCATTTTTCCTTGGAAAGGCTTTCAGATATTATCTTACATGAAGAACACTATATAAATGCAAGTAGGTATATATTCTCCTGGGCTTGGTACTTCCAGTTTACAATCAACAGAGGAAAGGCCCTGGCACATCAAGAAGAAATACCTCCAGAGAGCACAGAATAACCGTGTTGTTATCTACGAAGAGCAATAAAGGTAGAACCCATCACAATACATCTGTAAAACTGCACTAATAGTCAGTCTGCATTGAAGTGTGGACCCTCACCAGTCTAGCCTCAGAATGAACCCAAACTTGACTATCTGTTCAAACTAAAAGTTTAGATCTTTCCTGAAAGGAACAAGAAGCCTGATCGGATGTGAAATTAGTTAGAAACACTGAGAGATCGTCACCAGACTCCCAATGTTAGTAGTAGTCTCCTGGGCCAGATCATTGAGAATCTCTACTTCATTTCTCACTGTTTGTCCCCCCCCAATGTAATTTACCTGCAGGTCTGGATCAATCTCCATCCTAAGTGCCAGCACAGAGGAATCGAAGCCAAGTACTTGTCCTTTCTAACATTCAAATATTCACTTTACAGTGAGGTACACCAGAACCCATTCAGAAGTAGGAACTCTGGCTAAGATAGCCAGGACTCTCAACTTCAGCTGAAGAACTCCAGTGGCACAAGACATTCATTTCCTTGTCAAGTACAGCTCAGTTGGGATTGCCTGAACTAACAGAACAATTGTGATGAATCTTCCATACTTGATCTACAGTAAATACCAAATCACATTGAAACAAAGCAAATGTCACACACACAATTTTAAAGTGTAGGTTTCTCTGAATAAATTCAGCAAAAACAGGTTTTCAACATAATGCAGTAACACTGGAATGTTACTGCATTATGTAAAGTGCAACATCAGAAACTGGGATACAACCTCCAAACTCTACATCAATAAACAGTTTAGTATCACTAATCTATGCCTTCCTTTCCCCTACAAAGTTCTATTTCCAATGTGAACTAAAGGGCTACCAGCCTGGTATACATTTGCTTGGCTGCAATCTCAGAAGGTTAACAAGGTTGGTTTTCTATATGATCCAAATATTGCACAACGAAAATAATTCAAATTTCACACCTGCCAATTACTAAAAACCATGCTTACAACACAGACCAAATGCTGTAAAGGAAGAGTTGGCTGCCAGTCCATTTTGGAACCTTAAGAACTAATCAAAGACTTTAAGGAGCAGAAAATTACACTATAAAATGGAATACACTGGAATTTTCTAAAAGGTTTTCTCCTTTCCATTTTGGTCTCTTGAGATTCACAATGGCAGTCAAGCCTGGAAAGGGTTGGACGTAGCAAAGCTGCCCCACCAACAATGTACAACAGAATTATATATTTTTTTAAAAATCCTAACCTTAATCTTAAAACTACAAACAGACCACGGCGACTAAAAAAAGTAGAGGTTATGCACAAGCAACACTCATGTGTGCTTCAAAATTGTTACGATTTTTAAGTCAAGAGATGCAAATAATCTAGCAAATAGGTAAACATAATAACCCAAGTACTTTTCTTCGACCGAAAATTTGTAAGAAGTGTACTGATAGAACACAACCCCAGTCACAAACCACTGCGAGACTCGGGTGAATTTCTTACCATCCCATTGAGGAACAAGACTGGCATAGGATTGGGAGGAGACCACCCAGACCTGCAGATCTGCCAACATCAAGCTTCGTTCCCCTCTCGCCACCCACCTCACACGCACAGTTAAATTCAGTTCCAAAGGCACCACCAGCTATTGGTTTTGTGTGCAAGTGGCATTTTTCGTGTGTGTGTGAGCAGATGTAACAACCGATAAGCACTGCAATTTCACATCTGTAAGTTATTGCAAAGTTTGCAGGAAGCTTCAATCAGCCTTGCAGTCATCAATGTACACCTGTAGGGGTCACTGCCTAGAGGTACTATTGCTCATTTTAACTCTTTAAAATGAAACAAAAAATTACAGTGTACTCCTGATAACGTGAACCCGGTTTAATTTGTCACTACCAGTTATCATGCTGTCGATATACCAGCTATATTTATTCATATGTCGATTCATAAGGCTAACTCGCCACTCCAGATAACGAACGCCCTTTTCCCTTGGAGTGACAAGAAGCTATCAGCAGTTTACTGCAGCAGTTTTAAAATATGAATGCATCTAAGATCCTGACAAAAGCTTCTTCAAATTTCTCAAGGTACGAAGTTTTGCTCTCAAATAGCTGGAACTACTGTGATTAAAGATTAGTTGCCTACATAGTACAACATTTCATGAAGTGGACAGCAACAAACGACACCTACAAGAATTTGAAAACGTAGCATATAAACTTCTGCTTCTGGTAACGGAGTAATCAGTATTAATTCAGTAAATATGCACCCTTTCCAAATCGAAGTATTTCTAGTGTTTAAACCGACTAACATCCAACAAATTTTACTGCATCTCATTTGCAGGTTCAAATAACAGGCATACATCTCTTACCTTGTGGGTGGTTGACAAACGTAGTCACCCAGAAGTTGGGGATTTTGGCAATGAGCTCCGACCGCTTCTGGAAATATGGCTGGCGTAGCTTGTTGTATTTTTGTTCTACTTTCAAAATTTCCTCACTCGCCTGTTCATTCAGTCTAAACAGAACACATAAATTTCTAAATCACCAGAAACATCCAACACAAAAAAAGATTTCAGGGCAGAAGAAACTAAATGTACTCAAGGGATTCAATGGTACCAACATAACTAGATATTTGCACCCCAATTCCTGAGTGCCAAACAGCCAATATCTCCCTCAAGGTTGGATTGGCTGGCCAAAGCATACAACAAGCTTTTTCCTTTTCCTGACATGTGGAGAGGCTGTGGCTTCTTTATCTCTATATCTTGGAACGCCAAGTTAATTTGAAGGAATAACTCATTCTAAACATGTCTGCCCATATTATGATAACACAGCACCTTTAATTATCTATGGTTAAGTTTTAAGCATTCTGATCGAACCAATGGAGTGTGAAAAATGGACAATGGTGTGATAATATTCTAGACCTCAGTTAGTCTGCCAGTGGTGGTGCTCGTTCTATAAGTGGTCTTGGGAGTGCCATTCATGATCAACGCCCAGCAGCCCTTACTTGCAGAGGTATATAAATTCTGCGAACAACAAACATGTCTGTCTCCTCTCATCTTCCAATAGACAGGAGACACTGAGACTCAAGAAATAACCCATTGGAACCAGATGCACAGGGGTGACTGTCACTTGAACATTTCCCAGTCACCTCCAGGCAGAGGGCGAAACCTTGGCCAAGTTTCCTTACTCCACACAGAGCCCTAATAATAATCCCTCCAAAACCAAAAATAAATTGGTCATTTTCAATCTATGACTGTTTGTGGGACATTGCTGTGCGCAATTGGCTGCCGCGTTCGCCCACAAATATACAGTCAATTCACTTTACAGTGTGTTCTGTGAAGCGCTTTGGGACGTCCTCCCGACGTGAAAAGCGCTATATCAAATGCGAGGATTATTATTATTATCTATGAGCGGGAAGGGGAACATTTGTCATCCTTGAAAAATGGCACCCAAAGGGAATTAAATCTATTTGACCTGGGGAGAAGCAGGTTCCTTTGCTTTTTTTAAAAAAAATAAAAGGTCCAGGAATGTCCTGTTACTTGCTCCAGCTAAAAGTACATTTATCTAGGAAAGGCATGATGGGAAGCAAAAAGGTACCCTTCCTCTCTTCCCCTGTGCAAAAGCTTGCTGGTCTCACCATCTCAGCTTAAACGTACAAGCAGCAACATTTTTTTTACAATCATTTACAATTACAATCACTTATTCTATATTAAAAAACATACACTGTTGTGCTAGATTTATGTTTGGAAACCAGGTCACAGCAACTAACACTAAAATACTGTAAAGTATCAAAAATAATCCTTACATTTCACATGGCGTCTACATCAAGAACATCTTAAATTACTTCAGTTTGACTAGGAATACCATGTGGCTATCAGTGGCAAACCTCTGACCAGTACTACATATTTCCTCAAATGTAACTAACATATAGGTTCTAATCCTAGACTTGCAAATATTGCACTCAAACATCATGCATATTAATCCAACAGCACTAAATTTGTTAAATACATTTTACTGATCAATTTCAATGTTCAAATATTAATGCTTCGGAACCATTTCCCCAAGGGTATAGTTTATCAATGATAAAAATGAAATATTTATTCCTTGTAGGATGGTGTGATTTTTTTTAAAAAATCCACTATTACTGCATACTAACCCCCCCACCCCCCCAGCAAGGTTATGCAAGACATTTATGAATTTAAAAAATGCTTTAATTACAGTTGGGTGAAATAATGGAAAAAGTTATCATGCTTAACTTAGTATGAAAGTGTAGTGCAGACTGAGTACAGGCAACTGTGAATGCACATTTGCCCACGACTTCCTTTACCTTACCTGTCTATTTCATTCTGTACTTCATCAATGTGTTCAATGGCTTCCTGTTGCTCTTTTTCTGTAAAGGATAAAGTTTTAATTGCTTAAAAAGTAGTGCTTTATAAGCACAATATGTGGACAAAATATACTTTATTACCTCGCACCCCCCACGCATAGCTTTCAAAACTTCGCAACGTACACCTCAAACACGGGAGCAAGTACTGCAATGTCTCACCTTCAGCACCACTACACAAAATGATAACACTTCGAAATGTTTCTCAAATGCACAGCAACGCTGAATTGTCGCAGGAGACAAAAACGGGCTCATTCCAACAAAAAAAAAATCTCACGATGAAAGTTTTTCTCCCCCACCCCACCCCCCCAAAAAAAAGAGACCACAGCTTTCAAAACATTCTGACGCTCAACCACTGCTCGAGGGGGGTTTTGAGAAGATATTTTACTGAATCCGACACTGGCAAAAACTGACAATATCCTACATTGCAGACGTGCAAACAACACAAGCCGCGCAGAACACAAGAGTTACGAAGACTGAACGGTGTAACGAAACAACCACTCTCTGCCACACCTCGAAACTAGAATATTCTCACCTATCGTCTGGAATAACATTTCGTGGGGGTGGGGTGTGTGTGTGTGTGTGTGGGGGTGTGGGGGGGAGGGGGGAAACCAAAGAACTCGTGGTACAGGTCGAATTGAATAAAAACGTTCTGGGTCGCGCACCCCCTTTCCCGACTGCACTGTACTTTATGGTGAAGATGCGGGTCAAACAATTCGTTCTCCAGCCCACGTTTCTGTACCGCTTCCCTTTGTGTTGAATGAGAGCCTCTGCTACAACTACAGGGCCGCGTGGTTCCTTCTCAATAGGAAGTCGCCGCTTCCACCCGAGCGTTTTGTTCGGACGTTCAAACGAAATAAACACAATTTCTTTCTCTCTCTCTCTCTCTCTCTGCCCCCTCCCACCCCCCCCCCAAAAAAAAACCCCCCACGTTTAAAGATCCCTAACGTCGTCATTAGATTTTTCCACGTTTTTATTTTTTTTTACCTCCTCCACCCCCCCCCCCCCTTTTTAAATATTAAATGTACCGACCGACCTGCTTTTGTTTTTTAAAAAAAAAGCAGGTCGGTCGGTACATTTAATATTTAAAACGCTGGGTATTATTATTTCCAAGTAAATTGCAAATTCCAGTGCTTTTCACCTTCGTTTGTTGTGTTGTGTTGTGTGTGTGTGTTGTGTTGTGTGTGTGTGTGTGTTGTGTGTGTGTGTGGAGGGGGTAATTATTCGCGCGGGTCGAAACATTTCAACACAAATCATTACCTTTCTCCCCCACACCCCCCCACACCCCCAAAAAAAAAGACTCTCGACTGCACTCTCAGAAAGACGGGTTCGGGATTCAAACAAACAAACAAACAAGCGACCCCCCCCCCCCCCCCACCGTGTGTGTGTGTGTGTGTGTGTGTGTACAATATGTGAGGTGGGCCCTACTACTACGAATTCCACAGCTCGGAACTAAGAAATTCGCCTTTAACGTCGCGCCCCGACGGCCAAGCGTTTGATCCTTCCCCCTTACAATAAATAATAATAATAATAATAATAATAATAATCCTTTTCCTTCCTTTTCCCAAGCGCTAGGCCGCGTGGTTAGGCCTCGCTGCCCGCCCCAAAACCCGCCCAACCAGCAACCTTGCGCGATTCCTCTTTTTTTTAAAAAAAATAATGCGATCGTTCTCGAAACGTGGTGCTCCCCCGCCTCAAGTGTGTGTGTGTGTGTGTGTTGGGGGGGGGAGAGAGAGAGAGGAGGCCCTCTCACCTCGGGCTGCCAAACAGGCCTCACAGCGGCTCTATTTCGCTTTCCCCCGGTATCAATCATGGCGGCGGCGGCCGCCTCCTTTTAACAGTGAGGCACGACGACGAAGCAGAAGGAGAAGCGAGAGAGAGAGTGAGAGAGAGAGAGAAGAGAGGCTGCACCTCAACCGTGTGGGTTGATCACAACATGGCGCCGGAGTGAGTGGAGTAAAGCAGTTAACCCTCCCGCGCGCTCTTCTCTACCCCCCTCTCCTCTTCTCCTCAGCCTGACCGGGGGGAGGGGGGGGGGGGGGAGAGAGAAGCGTGAGGGGGCCGCCATTCCCCCATCACACACACTACACCACCCGACCCCGGGTTTTTTTTTGTGTGTGTGTGTGTGTGTACACACATATATATATATATAAGGTGCGCGTTATACAATCACCTGAGGTCTCGTCTGCTCCATCATGGTTCGAGTTCACCTCCTTTTTACTCATCTTCGTCGCCGGCACTGACATCTTTTTTTTTGTGTGTGTGTTTTGAAGGCAAAAAAAAAAGGGGGGGAAAAAAAAAAGGACGAGACGAAAGCCCCCTCGACCGACTCCTCGCGCTTTTTTTTCTTCTTCTTCTTCCTCTCCTTTTTTCCCCCCTTCCTCTCGCTCGCGCTCTCCCTCCCTCTGTCTCTCTCTCTCTCCGGGTCTCTCTCGCGCCTCTCTCGGGTAACAGTCAAGAAAAAAAAAGCTCGAGCTCAGTTTCCCCTCCAACACGCTCCCGCTCTCTCCCGCACGTTACGTGCCTGCGGTACGTGTCGACGTCAGCTCGCAAACCCCTACGTAACCCAGGCGCGCACGCACGCACGCGGCCCCAGGCCCGGCCGCCGACCGGAGGCGAGCCCGCGCGCATGCGCAGCGGGCGCCACTCGCCCTGCGGCGCGGAGCCCACTCGCTGTCGGTTAGAGGTCGCGAGAGTGAGTGAGGGGGGGGGGGGGCGGGGGTTGGGGAAGGGGGGAAAGAGAGAGTGAGAGAGCGCGAGAGTGAGGTGGGTGAGTGGGGGGGGGCGGAGAGAGAGAGAGAGAGAGCGAGCGCGAGTGAGGGGGCGCGCGGCGGCGGCGGAGGGGGGGGGTGTGACGTCGGGCGACGCACGGTGACAGTTGGATGGCCGGTCGTCATGGCGACGCGTTGGACATGAGCTCATGCTGCGCGGCGCTTTGGGGGTTTGCTTTGTAACCGTCGTCGTCGTGTATGTGTGTGTGAGTGAGTGTGAGTGAGTGTGTGTGTGAGTGAGTGAGGGGGCGAGACTGCTCCCCCCCTTCCCCCCACCACAAAAAAAAACCACACCAAGCAACGGCCATGTTCGCCGACGAGCAGCTCGAGGCCGTGGCGCTGGAGTCGCGGTGGAGGGAAGCGCCTCAGCTGCGTGACGCAGTTTGCCAGACGGCGGCGGTCCGGCGCGCCGAGGCCTCGGTGCAGGTACGGCGCGTCGCGGAGGTCAGCACGCAGACCGAACAGGTCGAACGGCGACAGCAGGAGGAGGGGGAGGAGCAGCCGCCGCCGCCGCCGCCGCAGCAGTGGCCCTCCGGTCCGAGCCCGCTCGGCTCGGCGGCCATCGACCCGCCGGGTCTGGCCCGCTTTCTCATGCGGGTGGAGGGCCTCGTGATCAAAGAGTTAAATAAAAATGTCCGGAGCCACGCTTTCGACGGCTTTGAAGTCAACTGGGTCGACCACCCTCGAACTGTGAGTTTTCCGGCTCCCTTTGGCCGAAAAAAAGAGAACCACCCCCCACGCACCCCCCCCCCCCACGCACCCCCCCCCCCACGACCACCACCCCCCCCACGACCACCACCCCACCCCCCCCCACCCCCCCAAAACACAACACAACAAACGACGACCACCACACAAAAAAAACACAGCCAAACAAAAAGCCAAACAAACGACGACAACGAACGCAACAAAACAAACGACGACGACGACGACGACAACAACGAACGCAACAAAACAAACGACGACGACGACGACAACCACAAAAACACAGCAAAACAAAAAGCCAAACAAACGACGGCAACACACGCAACAACACCAACAACAACACGACGACGACGACCACAAACGCAACAAAACAAACGACGACAACAAACACAACAAAACAAAAAGCAAAACAAACAACAACAACGACGACACAACGACCATCCCTTTTGCCACTCGCAAAGGCATCCATCCCCCCCTCCCCTCCCCTCCCCGCCGCGGGAGTGTGTGTGTCGTTAAAACAAAAAAAAAGCAGACGACCAAACGTGCAGTTCACTTCACGCTTTGAGGCGCCTCGAAGACGCGATAAGGCGCTGCATCAAATGTGAGGATTGTTGTTGTGGTGGTGATGTTATGTTGTTGCTATTGCAATCCTCGCATGCGATGTAACGCCGCGGCGCCCGTAACGCGTCAAACCGATAATAATGATAATAATAATAATGGATTGGTTTGTGGGGCGGACGCTGCTGTGCGCAGTTGGCCGTGCGCAAATATGCGGCCGATTCACCTTGCAGCGTTTTCTGCGAAGCGCTCGAAGACGTCGAGAGGACGTGGAAAGCGCGACGTCAAATGCAAGGATTATTATTATACTATTAGCGCTAGCAGGAGCAAGAATAATAATCCTTGTATTTTATTTGTCAATTCGTTGAGACATCTCAACAGGATGTAATGTAAAGTGGATTTGCTGTGTATTATTATTATTTTGTGGGTGAAACGCGGCAGCCGGTTTGTGCACAGCAATGTCCCACAAACAGCTCATAAAACAGACCAATTTTATTTTGGGAGGATTGTTGGCCAAGGCCCCGGGAGAAAATAACTTATTCGTTTCGAATAGTGCCATGGGATCTTTAACATCCACAGGCAGATGGGACCTTGGTCTAACGTCTCACTCAAAGGATGACACCTCTGACAATACAGCACCCACTTCCCCCACTCGCAGCACTGCATTAAATTGTCATCTTAGACTATGTGATACCAAATCCCAATGTGGGGTTTTGAACCCACAGCCTTCTTGACACTGAGATGAAATTGCCGCCAATAGACCCAAGCCGGCATCTGTAGATTTATTAGGTTTTCTTTTGAATTGGAAGTGTTTGAGGATCCCTCAATGTGTTTTGCCCACTTTTGCCAATGTTAGCAAGGTCCTGCACTTTTGAAAATACAGCATGACAACAGATGCTATTTGCAGGGAATACCATTCCAGGGACGTTGCACTTACATAGTGCGTTAATGCAGAATAACGTCTGCAATATTGATTGATGGAGCATTTGTACACAGTATTGTAGCCTACAGCATCTTGCATAAGAGGCATGTTTCTTCATATATTTATGTATTGAACATAGGTGGAGTCCTGTAGCTCAGTGGTTAGAGCACTCGCTTTGCAAGTGAGAGACCTGAGTTCAATTCCAGGCAGAGGGCGAAACCTCGGGCAAGTTTCCTTACTCCACACAGAGCCTAATAATAATCCCTCCAAAACCAAAAACAATAATAAATTGGTCATTTTCAATCTACGACTGTTTGTGGGACATTGCTGTGCGCAATTGGCTGCCGCGTTCGCCCACAAATATACAGTCAATTCACTTTACAGTGTGTTCTGTGAAGCGCTTTGGGACGTCCTCCCGACGTGAAAAGCGCTATATCAAATGCAAGGATTATTATTATTATTATTATTATTTATATTTTTGCTCTCCCAACCCAGAGGCTCTCAGGGCAGTTGGAGCATCCTAACTAAAATAATCTAATTCAACTCAGAAATAGATCTGTGTGTTTCAGATCTCTGTGACTTGGTGCTTTTATCTCCTGGTCTACTAGGAAGCCTTGAGCTGGTAACTTTTTATATGTTATATACACAACACAAACTGTCCTGCATCATTATACCTAAGGTCACCCAGGCCTTACACAGTTCTCTTTTGCCAACTTTTTCAATCCCAGCACAGTATTTGGTTTTGCAGATCACTTACAACTGTTTTTTGGCCCAACTCCAAAGATAACTCAAACCAACTGCTACTGTAATTGATCTGCCCCTGTATGTCGGAGCACTGCTCACTCTGCCGATAGGCTTGTGACAGTGCATGCAAGTACACTGTAAATTCTCTTCTCCGTATGTCTGGACTGGACATAACGAAGCCATCGTGGAGTCCTGTAGTTTAGTAGTTAGCACGCTCGCCTCGCAAGCAAGAAAGCTCGAGTTCAATTCCCAGGCAAGTTGAAACCGTAGGCAAGTTTCCTTACTCCACATGGGTCTGCTTACTTTGCGCTGGCACCCAGAGGTACATTGTGCAGCTCACTGGTTTAGAGGGCTTCATTGTAAAGGTGTCTGAGGTCTGGATTTTCCAGCCTTTTTATCCTAAAAAATGTGCATTTCCATTAACAGCATAACTACTCCCATGTTTAAAAGAGGATTTAAAACAGAAAATAAACTGGGACCTGTATCTAACTAAAGCTGACTCGTAAGCAGCGATTTAATTTAAACCTTATTATTTTTAATACTGAATGTACGTGAAACTTGCCAGGAGATGTTTGTGTCTACATTCCCTTGTCTACATTGGCAGTGAATGCTCAAAGAAAGGGTTAATGAAGGATTTGATGGTCTTAAGACAATCACCAAACCCCTTTTTACACAAAGGGCTGGAAAATATACCAACCAATCCTGTTGCATGGGCTAAACGGTGGTGACAATTGTCAGTGCTTTGCCTATGAGCCCAAATCGTTTTCTTTTTGATGCATTGACAAGTATTGTCTGAGCTTGGCAGAATGAATTAAACGCAAGACCGTGTGACATCGGGATTTCTTTTCATACATTTTGCCAAACTAATAGCCCACATTTGACACAGTTGAGCATAACATTCTGATAAAGAAACTGAAGGAGTTCCCAGTGAGTCGACTTCTTTTTACCATAGTCACGCTCGTTCCCACTTAAATGAAAATAAAGCGTCCATCTATAATACCATTCTTGAAAACAAATTGAAAACCATAACAAACTGCAGTTGTAACTGGTGATGTCATATGATTTCATGCCCCTGGCGTTTTCAACACCTAGTTGACTAACATGAATGATGATTGAACAAGTGAAGCCATCCACAAAACCAGTGCTAAGCTATAGGAAGAGCTAGACTGTGTTCATTGTTTTCCCCTTTGCCAATTTTATCCTCCATTTTATTCTCCCTCCCTTGCCTCCTTCAAGGCACGTCTCAAAACCTTCATCTTCGACCGGGCCTTTGGTCACCCTCCTATTCCTACCCTCCCTGCCCTCCACCCCTCCTGATCTCAACACCCTGCTTGGGTCCGAATCGCTAACTGTCTCGCGCTTTATTTTATTTGAATCCTGTAGGTTTCGTGCTTACACACACTCCAATATCCAGAAGCTGTGGAGAGGCAGCTACAGGTTACTGACATCTCGTGGAATGTGACTGGCTCCGTCATCGCCTGTGCATACGGCAGGTACAGTAATTATAGACCAGAGATGCTAGTCTGCTTGTGTAGCAACCACAACTAACTAGCAAGAGGTCTCTGACTCATCCAATAGCTCAGTGGTAAATCCACTATGTAATATGGGTACTGAGCTGGACAGATCAGGAAGGCAAGCGTTCCCCTTGCTTGTCCGGCTAGATCCACACTACAGTGTTACAAGGGTCTCTTTGCCCTCAGTGCTAGGAGTCAAAAATATTTTTTAATTGTATTAATTAATTTGAGAGATGTGAATATATATCTGGATCCCAGTGACACTACATTAACAGGGCAGTGTTACAAGGATGCATATATATATATATATATACACACACACACATGTCTCTGCAAACGCTCTTCAAAAGGAATAGCATTACACTGATAAAACTATTTACAATCAAAATGCAATTATATGAAGATGAAATGTTTCTTCTATAAAACCTAGGGTTATGGAGCCATTAATCTTTATGCTTTGCACCATAACCCCCATCAATTCTGATGGATTAATGGACAAATGCACATCTTTGAAGTACTGTCACTTTTCCGTGTATTGTGATTAGCACTAATTGTTGTGGTCACGCTGTCGTTGTATTGTAGGCTGGATGATGGAGACTGGAGCACCGAGAAATCCTATGTGTGTACATGGAATCTGGACAGGAGAGGACTCAACCCAAAGCTGCCAAATATTGTGATTGACGTTGCTGGTGCTGTCATGTGCTTAGCATTTCATCCAGTGGAACCTTGTTTGATCGCTGGTTTGACTTTCTGAAACTTATTTCTGCAAAACCATGGCAGGCTGGTGGTGGTGTGTGGGGGAGAGGAGAATGCAGCGAGGTTCAATTCCTCGCAGCACATTTCTAATCTGGAGCTCATTGTCTGGAAGAAGTGGAGAAGTAAGGAGAACATTCCTGACTTCTCTCCAATCTTTCGTAATATGTGCTCCCTTTGCATTGCAATGTACTATCCTGCTTGGGAGCACTAGGGGCTGGGATTCTTCTCACTCGGCTCCTGTTAACCCTGCAAGCCAAAGTGTGTAGTCTAGGTAGCATGCGGCTCCATCTGCACAAGCACGAGAAAAGCTTGCCAGACAGGGCTTTCAAGAGCTGTTTTAGCTCCAGCAGTTACCTCAACACACACTCTGGGATTCTCTTGCCAGTCTGCTCCTAATTCTCTCCGGAATTAGGTGAGCAGGATGCGTCTCTCCAGGAGGAGAGCATGCATTCCATTCCAATACACAAGAATTTCATGTGTCGGTGGGATGCATGGAACTTGGGTTTCAATACTCTTAAACGTGGTGATGGGTTTCTACACGTGGAAGACACGATAAGGTGCTATATCAAAAGCAAGGATTATTATTTTATTTGGGGGAAGAATGCAGCAACAGATTAATAATGCGAACCATCTTCACAACTGGAAGGAAAGTTTCTTTTGTCTGATTTTTATTGAAGTTCTAAGCAGATATTTCTATCGTCACTTTTGACAACGGCTGCTTATTAAATTAAATTAAAGAGCTCGGAGTTACTGAGGAAAAGATGCGTGCAGTGCCTTATTACTGCCAGTAGAGGGTGATAGTGTGCCCAGTGTTGCCGAGTTGTAGAATATCCGCACTGCACAAGTGAGCAATAAATGTACCACTGATACACTGATTCCACGTCATTCACACCAAGAGGACGTATGCAAGTGCTTCACAGGACAGGACACAGCTGTAAAGTGTAGTGACTTTGCAAGGTGCAAATTGGAACGATGATAATTTCTGAGTTCCTGATTGAATGCAAGTATCAAAATTACTTCCAACAAAAACATTGCATCTTCCTCACCACCCTCTGGGTGAAGACGCGTCAATGAAGTGATGAGGCGCTATATCAAAAGGATTATTATTATTATGCATATTGGCCCGCTGCACCATCAGTCTCCTTTACATCTTCCAACAAACAATGAAGAGATCCTGTAATCCTCGGCACAACAAGTGCAGAAGAATGTAGTGTCCTGAGAAAGACGCACATGGTTGAATTGTTTGTAGTACAAAATTAATGGAATATAGAAAAATAAGATTTGTTTTTGTTCTATAGGTAGTCTATATAATGGAGAGATTTTAGTTTGGAACACCAGCAAAATGGACGACCCATTAATTGCCAGATCAGGAATGTCTGAAGATACCCATCGCGAACCTGTCTATCAGGTAAGTGATAGATTCTCCAGGTCTGTCACCTTGATGCGATAGTTAGACATGCTGGCTGCCCTCTGTACCTGCAATGTTTTGTATCTTCCCTGCTGCTCTCCTCTTGAATCCTCTTTGCTGCTCTCCTCCTCCTCCTCCACGATGCGGCTCCTTGGCACTGCTAGCCTGTCATCACACTTCTGAGCTTGGAGTGTGTGTGTTCACAGGTTATTCAGCAGACCCTATCCTGCTTGTAATCTTGCGACTGATACAATATCTATAACCTCAAAATGTCTCAGGTTTAGCAATTGTTAGCACGTACAGTGACATTATGCACGCAGCAAGGTCCCACAAACAGCATGAAGTGAATGACCAATTTCAGGTTAGGAAGCCAGAAGAATCTCTCTTCTCTTTTTGAGTAGTATCAGGAGATTATTGTCTACCTGCACAACACATGCACACCTTCAATTCAGATGATTTCCACTCTCTCCCCCCCCCCCACTGTTTGTAGGCAGGGATTCTTCCTATATGGCTCCTGTTAACTCTGGAAGCCAAAGCGCTAATGGGTGGTCCTAATTGGACAAGTAGCAGGAAGGTTGCTAGACAGTGTTCATAATGGAAAGCTGCACAGTTTTAGTGAGTTAAACTCCAGCAGTCCCCTAACTAATGCACTCTCTGGGGTCCCCAAGCCTTGGCTCTTGCAGACATACAACTAATATTTCCTGGGATTGGTTAAGTAGGGTGTGTCCCTCCAAAGGAAAGAGAGAAAGATCACACTCCATTTCAGACAAGGACATTTCTAAGCATATCAGGTTTGGATCCTCTTAAGTGTGGGTTTCAGAATGGCACCTGGCTGACCCCAAACCTCAGAGCTGAGGACACATGAAACTAACACTAACTCCCTGGCTTAAATCAGCTGTCTAGGCACACACCAGGGGCTGAAGCTGCTATTTACCTTCTGTTGTAATAATTGATGGGGAGAAATTCCACCGTGTCTCGATTTATGCTGTTTATGGAGCATTGCAGAGCATCCAGAATTTGACAAGTTGTTAAATACAGTCTTAATTTTCAAGCAAATTTTGTGTAAGTTCACTTAAGAATGGCCTCCTGCACTGTAATATTTTATGATTCTATAACTGCAGAAAAACAACTTCAAAGTCCAATCTGAATTTCTCGCCGCAAACATTTTGAAACAAAATAAAAGCCATAGGGCAAGTGACACAGAGGGAGCAGGTTTCCCTTCTGTAAGAATTGGCCATTTTATGAGCAGAGGAATATTCCTCTATCTCACTGGCAATCTGCCAATCCAATCAGCAGTCCCACCAGTGAACAGCACTGACTGCCTAAGCAGGCCTTTGATGAAACCAATCTTCACATGATATAATTACTATCAGTACTCCTGACATAATGACACCCTTAGTAGAACTGAAGACCATTATTATTTACAGATTAGAGTTTGACTGTTGTGCTTTCACAGCAGTTTCAGCTAAGCAGGTGTGACTGACCTTTAGTAAATTGCTGGCATTTCTAAAGCTGGTTGTAATGAGCTGCTGAGTGGTGTTGAAAGGAATTGGTAAAGGGTTTGGGTGTGTGGATGCTGGGTCCATAGGCACCAACCTGACTTTGTAGTGGCATAAAAGGTTGCACCTCACCTTTTGTTTTATGCTGGCCAAACCAGGAAGGACTATTAGTCTAGCTGGATCTGCTAACCTTGGTTGTAGCAGCAATCCTGGGGCTACAATTGGCCTCAGTGCTTCTGAACTGGGAAAACTCAGGAAGCGTTCCTGCTCCCTATTCAATATTGTTAAGCATCAGCGTGCTTTAAGAGTAGTCAAAAGCTTGAGAGTATCCGATCAATATCAGTTGACCACCTGCTGGGAAAAGTGTGAGTCAGGAAGCTCTTGCCTCTCAAGGTGGAGTAACATGTCACTATCCAGGCAAACATTTGATGAAAGGCCACTTTGGTGAGATGTTGGAGGGTCCTGATGCTTGTGGAGCAAAGCCCAAACGCTATTCACTGCTTTGAGATGAGGATGGAAAATTGGAAGGAAAAATAGGAACAATTTATTTAAAAAAAATAAAATTTTGAGCTCTTCAAGGAAGCACGGACATATTTATTTGTGTGTTTACAGGTGCGATGGATTCCGAGCTCGGGCCGCAACAATCGGGTGCGTGTCCTGAGTGCCAGCACCGACGGGAAGATTCTGATCTGGCAGATGGATGCGCGAGGCAGGCTCACGGTGCAGGACGGATACGCTCTGATTGTCCAGGAGATGCCACGAAACGTGAAGCTAAACAAGGTCAGTGGCGTTTGTACTGTAAATAATTTGTTGTTGTTGCTTTCAAGTCCGTGTATCAGAGGTTCAGTCGCTGCCTCTCCAGCATGTTCCAGGTCCCTATTCGCCTGATACTTTCTTCCCCCCCATCCCCCCCAGTTGGGCCCTAATTATTAACTGTAGCTTAAAAGCAGGTAAAGGTCTAAAGCTTATATTTGTGCAGCAATAGTTTATTCTGAGCATTGGGAACAGCAAGAGAAACGATGGAAAGAACGAGTATCAGAAAGAGAGAGAGGTTTCAGGGATGGGCCTACATGAGAATTGGTCCAGGGAGAAGCCATCTTCTGCTAAGCGCTCTGCGACACTTCCCTGGGTGGCGGCATAGTGCAGGTTGTTGTTGTTAGGCTTGCCAATGATGCCCTTCATGCAGGGGAATATTCTGCCCTTACTCACTGTTTGAGGTCACACACAATGAAAAATTGGGAGTAAGAGTATAGCCCAACATGACATGCCTTTCAGGAGGAATGTGTGCTGTCCAGAGGAACATGTCTTCATCTGGTTACAAACAGAAGAAAAGCCGGTCTCTAACCCACTCAGCTCTTTGTTTTACTGTGACTTCAATACACTCGAGGGTGTCGCCCTGAGCAGCAGCTGTATTCAGCTTCTTTGTGCTCATGTTGTAACCTTTGGGGCTTTTAAATTGTACAATTCTACAATACCCGTGTTTGTAATTTACACTCCCTTAAATTGGGTTACTTTGCTACCTTATTTGTACCCTGACCAACAACCTGAACTTCATCTACTATTATTACAGAGTTTATGCTCTGAGACTGAAAGACTCAGTCCCATAACAGAGCAGTGCAGAGCGTGGTATTGCAGCAGAGAGCAGTGGGATGTGTGTTTGCTTATGTGATTTCCACCCACATTCCTAATCTTTGCCAACTGGATGTTGCCTCGGAGGAGAAATCTGAGTATCATTCAGCTGGTATGCGGCTCTTGTATTTAGTTTAAGAGCAGCTGGGGAAGAGATACTTAGTGGTGGACAAAGTACCTATTAGGGAAAAATAACTTATTAAATTGAGGGCTGGGGTATGAGCAATATCTCTGTCACTGATAATGGTGATCTGGGTTATCTCAATAATTGATGTGGGTTTAACCAATCTGCCCTGTGTTCATCATCCTGCAGAGGCACTTAATCTACTGGATAGGATTGGTTCTGAAATTGGCTACAATCCAACCTCCAACATGTTTCTGTGTAACTGCACAGCTTCAGCAATCCCTCTTCCAAGGAAAGGATTTCACTTTCTGTCTGCATGTGTGTTTTTGTAGAAATTACCTTCATCCTTTCTTTTGTATTTTATCTTTAACTCGCCCACAGGCTCGCGGAGAGACTCCAGTTGGTGTGACCGCTCTCTCTTTCTCTCACTGGGACCAGACCGTATTCGTAGCAGGTGTAGAAGGTGGTTACGTGTTGAAATGTTCGACAGAGGTAGTGACCCATACAGCACTGAGTTCTCTCACCAGTTCTGTCCCACTTAAAGCTCCAGCTCAGTTCACCTTCTCCCCTCACTGTGGTCCTGTGCACGCTGTTGATTGCTCACCATTCCACAGGTCAGTATCAAATACTTTCACTTGATCATAATGCAACACCACTCATGGTGCAGTGGAAGCTTAATGTAAACCGATGTTTGTTTTTAAAGAGCAGTTAAGTTGGAGTCCTGTAGCTCAGTGGTTAGAGCACTCGCCTTGCAAGCGAGACACCTGGGTTCAATTCCAGGCAGAGCGAAACCTTGGGCAAGTTTCCTTACTCCACACACAGCCTAATAATAATGCCTCCAAACAAAGCAACAAAAAAAATAAATTGGTCATTTTCAATGCACAACTGTTTGTGGGACATTGCTGTGCGCAATTGGCTGCCGCGTTTTGCCCACAAATATACAGTCAATTCACTTCACAGTCTATTCTGTGAAGTGCTTTGAGATGTCGAGAAGATGTGAAAAGCGCTGTATCGAATGCAAGGATTATTATTAATCATTGTGGTATTTAAATCTATTTACAACATGACAGACTGAATAATCTGTAATTCTAAGGTTGCACTGATGCGCAAGTTAAATTTAATAGGGATATTGTGACATTTCATGACCGCAAGCTTGTCTAATCCGTGTGGGAACTTATCTTCCAGAAACCTTTTTCTGACAGCGGGGACTGATGGTCACGTCCACCTTTACTCCATGTTACAGGCCGAGCCACTTCTCTCCCTCCAGTTATCCCAAACGTACCTGTTCAGTGTCCGCTGGTCATTGGTGCGTCCTCTGGTCTTTGCTGCAGTGACAGGGGAGGGTAAGTCAATGGATCACCCATCGTGTAGATTTTTGACTGGTTATTGTTTCAGGTTTTGTTTTTTAAAAAAAGATTCAGCTCCTTGTCCATCTCCAGCATTTCTGTTTTGATAAAAGTGGATGTAGAATGGAAAAATTGTTTTTTTCTAACTTACCTTACAAAACGGTTTATGGGTGAAAGTAAATGCTCGTGGAAACAAATCAAAACCTCAAAAAAAGTACATTTTAAAGATCTTTTTATGAAGGTTTTATTTTTCAAAATTTCCTTTCAATCCAGTGATGTTGTCGTCAGGGTGAAGCAGATATTTCCAGAGAGGGGAGGAAGGAAGGAGAGAGACAAAAGGGCAAGGAACACGAAGTGGAGAAAGGGAGGGACATGGGAAGGAGACGGGTTTTACCCAGGAGACGGCGCTCCCATTTTCTCTTGCGCTCTCGCTTTGTCCATTGCCTTATTACAGCTCGCTTCTCCCACCAGCCCGATGCATTATTAAGGAGTGTTTTTAAGTCTAGTGTATCTCCCTCTTTGGCCTTTTCCATCCTTGGCAACCATCGTAAGTCATGTCCCTAATTTAACCTCATATGTTTCCCATTTCTGCCTCGTCCCAAAACACTCAAGGCCACGCCCGCTTCTTACAGGATGAAATTTTAAACCCTGGAGCAGATTGCGGAAACCGATTTGCTTTGATTCCCACAGGAACGGTGTTGATTTTCGACCTTGGACAGAGCTCTCTGCGTCCTGCAGTTTCAATCCAGGGTGCCGAGAGGAAGCCAATGTACTGTTTGGAGTTTAACCCTAAACAACCCCAGCTTCTTGCCGCCGGTAACGCAGAAGGAAGTGTGAAAATCTGGCAGTTGAGTGCGGAACTGACAGAGCAAGGCCCAAGGGAAATGATCCTGCTGGAGAAACTGGCTAATGAAGTGGCTGATTGACAGTAAGGACAGGAAAGATTTGATGGATGAATTAACTAATGTAAATTTCATTTTTTTTTGTTCTATGTTCTACACGACTGGCTTTGTTTTATTTATATGTATATTTAAATATTAATTGCCGAATATAAAGATCAGTTCTTTAAATATTGTCCGTCATTGAAATTAAGTTGCCTTGACATTTATTTCGGAGGGGAAGAGGAGACTGTTCTATTCATTTAGGTTTATACTTACTTTTCATACCAACTTTAAAGTCGTTAGTAATCTGCTGGTTATTAATTTTACTAATAAGGGTATTAAAAACTTAAATGTATTATATAAAAGACCCACATTAAAATAAATGCTGTAATAATGGGAGGAGGGAAAATAACTGCACCTGTAAGATGCAATGCACTAACGCAGGAAATGAAACTCAGCAGTAAAACTGGTCTCCCGGCAGTACTGACCCACTCGTGTCTAACAAAACTGCAAACAAATTCCAGTTCGAGTCAGTAGTGTTTATTTGTTAAGCACACTGCATTACAGATTTTAGCAATAGTAAAAAAACAAATTTCAAGCAGAAGCACAAGCAACCTAGTTCAGTAAAGTTTGACGGAACGTTTTATAGATGCACAGAGATTAGACGCAGACATGCAGAGCTAATGTTAGCAGTTACGCCTAGATTCAAAGCCATTAGCATTAGTTCACGAAGAGTGATCGTGTGAATTCCACATAGTCGAAGGCTGATGGAATCTCTCTGCCCTTGCTGTCCGTGTAGGGCTTCATGTGTGAGATGCAGTAATCTGCCTGCTCCCTCGACAGGTTCTGGAAGGGAACAAAGTCATATGCCATTTTTAGATGAGTTTGAACCTCAGGACTGTAGTCATTCAAGCCAACTTCCACAATGTATGGTGTGCTATTACATAATTATCAATCTTTTAAAATGTAATTGCAGTTTTTATTCTGGAAAGCAAATATTTGTCAAACCTCAGTTGCCATAGGGGTTGTATTTTAAGGTGATGGAAAGAGAACAGAATGGCGAAAGAAACAAATGTTCACGATTTGTATAAAGAGTAAAAGTTATATACACTCACCTGGTAGAGTTCCTCACGTGTGACAAATTGTTTTCCTTCTGAACTCAGAGCACGGAAAGCACTCTCAATCTCCTCACTAGACTTAACGTTCTCTGTTTCCCTGCTGATCATGAACGCCATGTACTCTTGCAGCGACACATATCCATCTCTGAAAACAGAAACATACCATGGTTTTGCTTCCATGTCGTGAGACTTATTAAGCAACCGTTGAACTTGGTGTTAACGAAAATTAAATGGAAAGGCGTTCAGAGAAAGTTCACCCAAATAACTGGAATTTATTCGCTCAATTAGACAGGAGTTTCAGATTAAAGCCATGGGTACCAGAATACAGAGAAAAGTAACATCTGTTGACTCGGCAGCACATCCATAAGGGAGTATGTCACCCATCACTGCAGCTGTCAAACAGTGCTCCAAGTAGCTGATAGTTCATAGTAGCAGCCACATACCAGGATAGACGGTGCCCTTGCCGGCTGGTTTATTTATATTGCCCACAAAATATACAGTATATTCTGTGAAGCACTTTGAGACATTTCAATGACAAGGCACTATATCAAATGACAAGGATTATTATTTAACGGCATTAGCTGCTAATGACAGGAAGGCTATCCACTATTTTTAATAAAAAAACAACTAGCAGCACACTTATGGATGGAAACAGCTTCTAAGGCATAATATACAACAGCACTGTGGGCGCGTGGCTGCCACTCAAGAGCATTCCTGTCAGTGCATGTGGCAGAGTCCCAACCTCTCTGGACTGTGACAACACAATAATAAGAGACAGTGAAAGGTTGGTCACATGTAGGTTCACAGAGGGCTCTGGAGGTATATAAAGATGTATAAAATAATCTTTGACACCTGAACTTGATCAAAATAAAGACTTCCAACTTCTGCACTGCTTATGGGTTACATTTTAAGTTAAGCTAGTTACACGCCCATCAGGTATTCACTGTATTCTCTAGAGTCTTACCGGTTGGGATCAACAGCATCCAGTATAGCCTCAAATTCTGGATCAGGCTCTCCTTCTTCCACCATAGGCAGATCATAACCCAGGGAGCGTAAGCACGATTTGAATTCCTGATGATTTAGCCTTCCTAATTTGTCTTTGTCAAAGTGCCTTGAAAATAGTAAAAACAAAGTAAATGTCTAAATACTTAAATTCACTGAGAACATTCAACAAAATCTTGTTAGATAAACCCACACTCACTTGAACATCATGCTGAATTCTTTAAGTGCCTCCTCAGTTACACCAGTTGTATTCCTGTAAAACAGGGGCAATGCAAACAGACAGTGAGTATCATGTGAAAACAAAAAAGAGAACACATAAAATATAAGTTAGAACATTTCTAAAGATGGTTTGCCAGCCCAATGGTAGTATATTTGTACTCGCATTCCAGAGCATTGGGGGAGGGGGGTTCCTTTTACGATGATTCTCACTCCTCAGCCACCCCTCCCTGCACATATCCAACCTTTTCAACTGGAAATCCAGATTATCCAACCCATCTCTCACAGTACATGATCCACAGCACATCTCGTGCCAAAACTGCTTTTGTGACCTAGAAAGGAACCTTTGACCAGAGCACCTGCCCAAAACATTTTCAATAACAAACTGGATCAAATCTTTAGGACAAAAGACTAGTTTTAGTAGCCTGAGCATTAGGTGTTATGGCTCCCAGTGTTGTTGCCTTTTCTATTCTAACTGGTGCAGAGAACAATAGGTTGGACAAGGAAACTGGAAATCAGGGATTCAGCATTTGGAATAAAAACAGTTTCTCCAACAGAAGCTAAACATTGGCATTCCTTAAATCCAAGACCTCGAGCTTTCAACTAAAAGTTTTTGAAAATGGAAAAATTGTCATCTGTCATTGCAGTCATTGTAGCAACAATTGAAAGGATCAGAAGAGACAGAAGATGGCAGAACCTGATGGCAAATTATCATCGCCTGGGCATTAAATGAGTTACTTTATATCCAGATACTCTTATCACTCATTACCTGGCCTGGATCTGTTGCTCCAGATTGTGTTGCATTCTCATTCCTAGTTGATCCAGCTGGTCCCACTGTTGAGCCAGCCCCACAGTGCTGTGCTCTGTGTACTTATTGTCCAAGATCAACGCTTCCTCCATAGCTGCCCCAAGGTCCTCAATCTTTTTTAACTGGCTTCTCATTGCTCGAATCTCCTGGTGTTTTCTCTGTGAAACAGCAGGCATTTCAGTCAGTCATTAAAACGCACAGTGAACCTACCAACTATTAACATTTTTGTTGATCCCTTATTCACCAGACCCTTCTGCTCAACGACATCAGGATGAAAAGAATGTGTCCAAATGTAATGATTGCTGTCAGTACTTGTACTTATGTCTTCACTAGATAATATATACAGTGTATACTGAATCAGGAGATCATTACTGCCAATGGATCTCCACTTTTAGCCTCCTGGAAATCAATATCAATCGAACTTTCAATCTTGGATCTGTTGGTCCTTAAGACAAGCTGGTCTTGACAAACACCAGATGGTCAGACTGCTCACCCAACAGACCAGAGGGATGCTTTATGTCATAGCAAGAAAATGCTGGGATTAAAAGTTTCAGCTGTATTGAAAAAAAAANGGTGCCCAGGCTCCTCAATCTTTTTCAAATGGCTTCTCATTGAATCACCTGGTATTTTCTGTGTGGAATAGTGGCTCCAGATAGTATGTCAAGCGTCAAAATACACTTTCTAACAAGTAACATACATAGGAACTGTTCTTACTTTGGTTGCCTCGAGCTGCGATTCCAGAGTTCCGGATTCCTCCACCATACAGGACCTGGTAATCGGAGGAAAACAATGAGAAAATGGGCTACACATTTTTTTTTAGTAGTTTTAAAATCACTCTGAAAATCATGTCAAAAGAGAAAATTGCACTCACAGAATATAAAGGGCAGATTTATTATCCCGGTTATATTTCAGAGATCTAGGTTTTTATACTATAAAAACACACACTCAACCAGAAACTCGTGCTTTCCTGATTTAGCAGTACATTTCAGAGGCAGGAACTCTCTTTAATCTCCCATCACAAAGTAAAATAATGCACTCATTACTGGATGGGTGCAGAAAGGGAAAAAGCCTCGCTCGTCAGTTCAGCCATCTAAAGTGAAACAACCGATTCATAAACCAGCTTTAAAAACTCCATTTAATACCTATTAAAGACAAGATAGGGTCATTTGTAGACTATTCTTAATTTCTCGGCAGCAAATGACACTTCAACATGAAACTGAAGGAAACGCTGTCAAAGGACGAGGGAATAAAAGGTAAACACAATGGTTTTGTAGCCACAAAACTCTTTACTGTTACTTTGAAGGACATTTTACTCAGTTTCTCAGCTCAGGGATAACGTTAACTGTAGTACTTATCCGGTCCACCCCACCTGAAAAGCTTCAGAATGCAAGGCATCCATCTATATTTTAAGATTACTGCTAATCTACCTTGGTAGCTTTTTCCACTCAATTTTCTTGAAATCTCACGTCACAAATTTAGCAGGATTATCAACTGCTGATAAAAGCAGTTCATAATTATACAGATAGTAGAGACGGGCAGATTTCCCAATCTCAGGCACGAGACCCAGGGGAGATTATTGAATACGTAACAGCAGCTTGAAGAGGGCACAGAGCACAGCACAGTGTGGGACAAGCTGGATCAACTATGAATGAGAATGCAACACAAATCACAACCACAGGAGGTACTGTATATTTTGGGCTCACTTGCATATCTGAAAGTAATTTTGAAGTCTGCAATATTGTGTTCTCTCCTGCCAACAACGTTGAAGTAGTTTCAACAATCTGAATGAATTGATTTGAGCGCCAAATAAAATAGTTTTCAATTTGGAATAAAACTACAAAATAAATACAAACCAAGATTTAGCTGCGGTTTATATCTGAATAGAGCGACTTGTCTTCACAAGGAAGTGGGGTAGATCTATTTTAAACATCTCTGTGTATCCCCGTTTGTTAACCTATCTTTTGGAAAGAGAATCCCCATGCTAGGCGCCTGGAAACATACTTCTAAAACCCAAAACAGCTGATTATTAAAACCACTTGGTTTAAAACAAAATCGTGAAGGTACACCATCAATCAAGGTTGCTCACCTATTCTCAAGTATCTCCTTTAAGATATCATTGTTCTCTAATAATTAAGATTGCCCACTGATCAACAGTAAAAAGATAATTTAGGATGCTGCACATTGTTAAAATTTGCTGCTCGCTTGGGGATTCAAGCCAAGAATTCAAAAATGAAGGCAATGTCATTTTGTTCAAAAAGTTTTACCTTTTCTTAACCAATTATCCATTTTTAAAAATGAATCCAGAGCTGAGCTGAAATACAACTAACATTTTGAAGCTTAACTACAAAAAGGGATACCACATTCTAGGTTTAGAATAGATTGATCTGAACAAAGTTCTGCACTGGAAAGGTTAAATAAAAGCAATTCAGATCAACGTTAATTGGTTTCCAATGTGGGTGCTGTAATTTGCCCTCAGATTAAGTACGTCAATGAAATTTGGGATGAACAAACCATGGAACACGATATGGCGTTTTATCTAATTTCTAGGGGTTTTAGATCATTTTTAAACCTTGCTCATCTCATCTCAAACATCTCCATGGCACGGATTGATTGTTCACTTATCCTCATTTCTCACACCCAGACAGGAAACCAACTAGAGCCCACTACCACTGCCTTAATTCTAGCAACTGCATGCAAGGCAAGACCCACTTAAAGGCGCTTAGAGGGCCAAGCAAGATGCCACACCGCCAAACCTTTTACACAGAAAGCTTTGCCCCCGGAATAATTTTATGTACTCCGAAGACCATGAGCCTACAGCAGTGATGTTAGTGTGATGAATCACACGCTCTAACTAGTCTGCAAGTGGGTTACAAAACCAGAGGAAGAGGAAAGAAAAACCTTCCAGCCAGATCATCTCCAACTTCATACTGATATACATGAATGACACGACGATATGCTATGCTAATAGGAAAAAGAAAGAGAAATTGGGAAGGAAAGAACACCCAAAAGGCTCAGAATTAGGATTATTTACAAAATAATATCCAGATAGATAGGTAAGAGGAGTAGAATCCCAATAATTCATCTTAATCTCAAACACAGCACCTTGAGAAGATTCCATCCTCTGCACACTTAACCCAGGTCTCAGAGAGATGGCGCTCATTCAAAAGGTGGATTGTGGAGTTTAGAATGAAGTGTCGCCCATTATGATTGCAAAGAAAGGCCATTTTATTCATGACTGAGAAAAAATGGCAGCCTCTTGGGCATGACACCACCTTCTGTGGAATAGTGAAGTATATAAAATAATTTACTAATAGTATGTAGTGGTGGAAAGTGGACGGAGTTAATCTGATATGAAAAAGTCACCCGTAAAAAGGCCACTTTTTCATCGATCACCTTCAACGACACATTCAGTCTCATTCATTTAAGCCTTTTGCATCTCACCATAAATGATGAGAAGGTACACAAAGGAAAGGAGAAGAACAAGCGCGCAGAAATCACAGCAAAGTACATAATAAAAGTAATATTAACCCATCCAGTAGGTATGTCCTGTAGGCAGCGTCCAATCATCAAGCAGCAGGAGAGGAAATCCCAACATAAGCAGGAAAGAAGAAAAACAAAAATGGAATAATCAGCATTAAACTGCAACACTAACAGTGCAGCATTAATAACACGCGCACGGTTTAAAAGAAATGATAATAGCAAACAAAAATATTTATAAAACAGAATTTGATATTTTACAAGTGAATTTAGAATAATCAAAATAAATTCGAGATCCATCTTCAGTAATATATATTCTGAAAAATCCAGTCAGTGTACATCCAGACAGCTCTGATATCTGTCATCACTAACCATTCCAGTATATAATAAGGATACCTCACCTCGTCTCCTGCAACCACTGGTGGAATGCATTTGCATGTTGTGCAAATTCCTGGCGTAATTTATCATTCTCTTCTTGGCGTCTCTGTTCCTTCTGCAGTTCTAGTTCCCGTTCCTGTTAAGTAACAAGGCCAAAATTAACAAATGGTCCAAAAACAAACCAAGGCACCTTTTGTTAATATCCTAATTCATGCACAACACTGATCAAAGCAGAATTCACCAGTTATAATGATGTCCCATTATATTTAATTACTTTCAAATGCTAACAGCAGCAAGCTGGGAGCTCATTTGTAAGTGACACTCTTACGGGCAAGCCTGGAGGTCTGGTGGTGTAACATGGAGGAAGCAATTTTTTGCCACAAAGTTTGTCTGATTGCTTCCCCAACACATCAAATATCCAACCTCAAGCATGGCCACGGTGGTGAGGCAATGGAGGGAGCCAGTCAGGCTGGAGACAGCCAGTCTCCCCAATGCCTCTCTTGGGCACTTTCTGACAACAGGTGAGTAGAATAGAGTGCACAGTACAATGGCAGAAGCACGGCTTGTATTCTCAGTGGAGTATTGAATTACATGGAGGAATTAGGGAAAGGAAAAGAAAAAATGACAGGAGCAAAAGAGATTTTCTTTGATCTCCCCACGTACCAAGGAAAATAAACGGGTTTTATTTACCTTGATGATTTTCTGCAAGTTTCTCCAGGTCTCTTCCAGAGCCTCCATTGTGAACCAGGTGTAGGGGTTTGAGGTCATACGATAGCTCTTGATCTGACGATCGAGCTCAGCCAGTTGGTTAAAGTCAGTCTGAGCCGAACTCAAAGACGAGCGGAAAGCCTCATGGGCCTCGCGCAGGGCCTTGATCTCCTCCAGTGAGTTGCAGCGCACGGGGTCTGTGAGATCCTCCTCGGCATTCTCAAACCAACTGTTAAAGGCTGAGGCTTTCTTAGCAAAGGTCAAGAAAAGATCTTCAAGCTGCGGGGAAGCAAACAAAATAGTGACTAAGTGTAATAAAAGCCAATGATCTATACACTTTAGGGTAGAATAAATGCATTATTCTAATCAATCTGCAACAGTATAAATATAAACTGCTCCCGAGCACGATGCTTAGGAAGCAGAGACTAAAACTGCATACTTTTCTGAAATGTTCCTGGGCTTCAAGCAGTTTCTTCTTTCTAGCATCAGAATTGGCCAACAGCTGGTTCCATCTCTTCATTAATGAAGCGTGGCGTGCTTCAATAGCCTTGGACTGGATGTGCTTGGCTGCCAGTAACTGGTCTTTCAGTGCTGTGATATTAGCAATCCCCTCCTGCTGGAAGGCATGCAGCCCAGCATCAAAAGTCTCCTGTGAAGGAAGAACAGAAACCGGTATTCAGATTCAGTACAACTTCACATGACACATGATCACAGTCCTCTTTGGTGTTTCCCCCGACTAGCAGATGCACTTTACTCCAAGTCACTCTGCTAATAAAGCCCTGCTGACCAGCCGATTTGGCGAGTTGGCAGGGCCTGGAGGGTAGGGATTCTTTCCTACCTGTTTAGTGAGTAGTGTTTGTACAGAGGAGAGATCTCGCCCATAATCATCTGTCTTCAGACTATTCTCTTTCTCACCTGAAGGAAATGAGAAATGAAGAGTTATGTGTATAGCTGAAGGAATGTAAAATATTCCTCACCATCAAATATTCAGTTATCCCTCTTGTGCATCAAAAAACACAAAGGAAATGTCCCTTCTGCTGTTGGGGAGTTAGACAACATTGACTCAAGTGCAGGTTTGCCAACCCCTTACTCACAGGACACATGTTGCGCAGATTTATGAGGTGAGGGAAGGAGTTGTTATAGATTTAATTTTGCTTTAAAAAAAAATTAGAAACCTGAAATTGGTGCCCCTCTGGTTTAGTGGGTAAACTCATCACCATCTGGGTCTCAGGTACATTTACACAGTTTGGGCGAAATTCGTCATTTTGATTCCATTTCCGATGCAACCCAGTTTCCGAATTATCATTTTCTAGAGTTTTCACAATTCAACACAACAAACTGACAGATGTAGAATTCCGTCAAACGTTTTGTCACCCATCATTCTAAAAACTCTTCTAAATAAGGATCAGGCTATGATTACTGCTGAACAGGTGTTTATTTAAACAGCCAACTGCAACAGACAGCTGTAGAAGTGGATTAAGACAATTCTTCACAAAGTCAGTTTCCCACCCAACTAAACTCTTCAGCAGATCTTTATGGCAACATATTTAAAATACAAATAAGGTATAAGCCCAATCAGAAAGCCCTTAATCTTGTAGCCATTCATACAGTATTCAAAGCACATTTGGTGCTCACACATTTAATTGGCAATATTTAAACTCAAAAGGTTGCCATTTTGTTCTGTCCCTGGAATTTCCATATGTAGGTGGTATGCATGGAATTCTCAGTTTGGTTTGGATACTCGGTGATGGGTTTCCGCATGTGTCAGACACCCGGCTGACCCAACCCCCCCCCACCACCAAAAAAAATTAGAATAGTTTACTCCTCAGATTTCTCAGCCAAATTCTAGATACATACCAATCCATGACTCAACTACATCTGCCTTCCAGTTAAACTGCAAGAATGCAGAGTTCTCATCCAGCTTTGCTTTTCTCTGAGCAGCTGCCTTCTCCAGCTCAGTCACCTTGCCTCGCAATCCCTTCATCTTGGCTGAAATATTTTCTACATGGTGATTGTTCTAAAGGCGACACAAAACATTTTCAATACAGATTTTTAGCTTTGCTGCATGGGGCGAACAGAAAAAATAATGTGAAAACATGAACATATCAAACTTCCAGCTGAGCAAGTACAATATTTGCTGTATTATGAATTATTAATGCTCAAGTTACAGCCGATAGTTACATTTATAATTCCTGTCATTTCCGGATTTTGTTCCACACAAGTGCGTGAATATCGGAACAGAAAATTTAGAAAAAAAGCCTCTTCTTATTCCAAAGAAAATCTGCAGATTTTTAATATTAGCACCAACAACTAAACTATATGCTTCACACTCATTAATGAGTTACTTGTGCACATTCAAATTCACTCAAACGTCATTGCTCAACGAGTTTACACTATAAACAACTTGCAAAAGCAACTCAGAATAAGGGCAGAAAATTGAGCAGTTTCACATCCTTAGTAAATGTCTCTTGGCTGAACACAGAAGCCAAAAGCAAATGAAACATGAGGATCTGAATGCTTTAAAAGCAGTGAAAATCCCAATCCCTGTAAATCCAATTACATGAACTATTCTAGACAGTTAGTGAACAAGTTCAATGGCAATTCATATATTTTATATGCATATTATATGGATTGATGCATCTGCCGCTTACAACAACAATAAATTACATTTGTATAGTGCCTTTCGGGAGGATGTCCTAAGACTTACCTTCTTGATTAGTTCCTCTCCATTTACACAAACATCATGCACGCGATCTCTGTGAACTGTGAAATCCGTTTCAAAGGCTTCATGCTTTTTCAGCAATCCCTGCAGTGGAAAATGGAAAAATATTTCAATGGTAATCGCCATGAACATCACCGTTACTTGCGGTTCTGTACACAGACAGCAGTTTCAGGCTAGGGTCGTCTTATCCCTCCACAAATTTATCTTCCCAAAGATTCCTTTGATACCTACCTCAACATCTAATAACCCACAATTCCATTAATTTCCAGGATCTTGCCTAGTTCCCTTTTGAAATCCTACATAATTCCACCATCCGTGCTGACAATTATGCATCCCAATCACCCTTCTACTATTGTGTGTTCTGCACCTCCTATTGCAATACCCACTCACTCTTCCCAGCTACAGGATGATGATTGGAGACGAGGATCTTTAGGGTTAAAGAACACAATGAAATAAATTCCTTCAACAGTCCAGTGGGTAAAGGTACCACTTGGTTTAGTATTAGTTCGTAGAAACCCAAAAGTCATAGGATTGATTTCTGGTCTGTACTGAGTACACTGATCTCAGGCCGGGTCACTGTGGACATTTCAATCAGTATCCACACCCTGGGTTAGGGAAGTGGGGACGGGGTAAGAAGAGAGAAAGAAAACACCTGATGGAAAATGTACTTGTTTTCCTATGAAAAGGTGATCCAAGTTTGGTTGTAGCCTCCACAGTCAACTAATCTACCAACACATGCATTAATAATGATCAGGTCCTAGAGACCTGCCAGAATCTGTGTAACAAGAGTCCGGGCGTTCAAGAGCAACAAAGTGGAAAAATACAGTTACTGGATGTTGTGATAATGCTCGTGGAAATTTAATTAACTAAAACCAGCTGCTCGATTTGAAGCACCTTGAACTGAAACACAATACAATACAAAATTACAGTTCTGAATAACTGGAGGGTTATACATTTCTGAATTATACAGTTCTGAATAACCCTTTGCAGAAAAGTATAAACCTCAGAATGTTTCTGTTTAATCTCTAGTTTCCATCTTGTTCATATGATCCTGAAAGACACAATGCCTCTTGGAAATCCAAAGTAGAAATATTGTCTAACTCTAGATTGTTACTTGCACCAGTACATTGAACTATTCTAGCACAATGATGAACTAACGGTTTAGAATGTGTCATCTCCAACAGTATCTATCATTGTAAACCAATCAGGCTAACCTGTACAGCAGCCAGTGTGTCGCCATAGTCCTCACTTGCCACCAGATTCAACTTCTCATTGATCCAGGCTTCTTCCTCCTCAACATTCGCAACAAATTGCTGGTATTCCAGCGATTCCTCCAGACGCTGTCCCCTGGAACATAACATCCAGTCAGCCTCCATCCCATCCCCATCAAACATATTCACTCAGCAATATTTCAACAAAATTAATGCATACAACATCTCAATTGATCCTTCAATAACCAATGAGCATCATTAAATTTCAAAACGTAACCTGCACACCCAGATGCAATGGATGAAAAGATTCTCATGCCACTAGTGTAGAACTCTGTCAGACATGCTGTGTTAACATGGCTGAATGTCCATCAGCACAAAGGAATGGACTGGGCTTGGGTGCATTAAGCATTAGGTCTCAAATGTGGGATGAGTAATTCACATAGTTGAAATCTAGTAAAGGTTTATTAAATAATTCTTAAGAAGTTTAGTCCGTGCAATTTCCCTTAACAAAATAATTTGGTCACTTATTGTAGGACACTGTAGTGCGCAATTGGCTGCCGTTTTCGTCCACAAAATATACAGTCAATTCACTTTACAGTGTGTTCTGTGAAGCGCTTCGGGACGTCCTCCCGACGTGAAAAGCGCTATATCAAATGCAAGGATTATTATTATTATTATGCTGTGAAGCGCTTTGAGACGTCTTGAAGACATAAGTCACTATATCAAATGCAAGGATTATTATTACTTACCGAGCTGCAGCAAATTCCTTCAGCTCTTTCCAGTGCTCCACAAACTGAGCCAGTCGTTGCTGAATCTCCTCCTTTCCAATGGTATTATCATCAGACAGCTTCTTTCCTGTGTCCAGTACTGACTGTATGAGAGAAAGGTATAACCGTAAGCACAAAAGCATATGAACTCAAAGCTAAACAACTCCTCTCCTTGAAAATGTTGACCCAGATATCAAAACCTTGTATATCTGTGTGTGCTACTGCTCCACTCAGCATCTGTTGACGTTACGATGAGGAATTCAACAAAGGCAATACAGAAGTTTGAATCTATATCCTGTGCGTTGTGGGATAGTGAGTGGTACATGAATGAACATCTACAAATCAGGTCCTTTAGCCAAGAGAAATGCATGGAAGCACATCAGTGATTCAGACCTGAATAGCTGGTTCATGTGCAGCCAACTCTGCTTCCAAACGTTTATGTTTCTTCCGTAGGTTTTGGACGCCAGTCAGGTCACGGCCATAATCTTCTGAACTCACAAGTAATTTCTTCTCTCTGGTGAAAAATAACCCCCCCAAAAGATTAATAACATCAGATATGCTTGAATCAGTTTATGCAGAGCCAGAAATGATGGCTAACAGCAGAAGGACATCTACAGATAGAACAAAAACAATCTTTTAAAAAAAAATTCTTTAAAAATTCAACTGCGGCATTTTTTCGGGTACCCCCTCCCCTCAAATCTAAAAGGCAAGCTGAAGGGAAAGAAAATCAGGGTTCTCACACAGATGACCATCAGTAACTGCTGGAAAGTGCACATGTACGTAAACTTACATCTGCATTGCCCTCTGAATAACCCGTTGATACTCAGTGTTTAAGCTCCATCATTTAAGAACGGGCACTTGGATGAATTAACCGGTTTACGGGTGACTATGGAACCCTAACACACCTTAAATTCAGCAAAAGGTCAGAAATTTGTCAGAAAATTGGCCCTCGTGCAGAAGACAGAAAGCCTCATACACCAGCAATAATACCCTTCAGCTATTACACTGTCTGTTACCATTACAAAAACTTAATTCAACACTAAAGCAGGTGATGCAGAGGATAATAATTTAACAAAATTTGACTTAAGAGGGAAAAAGAACATTTCACTACTCACTTTATCCAGGATTCCTCGTCATCCAAATCACGGAAGAATTGGTGAAGTCTGTGTGACTCGTTCAGTTTAGCACGACGAGACGTAGCCATGTTTTTAATCTTCTGAAATCGTCCGTTTACTAAATTGCGTTTGTCCTTCACCTGAGTGGTGTCGAAGGCATCGCTGGACATGAGGCTGTCAGCCTGGACATTCAGATCTTTCAGACGGTCCTAAAGAACAAACCAAATCAATGATATGAAACCTGCTCGGATCAAAGTAGTGTTACTGAACCTATATGCAAAACTGCTTTCAAGGCATTTCAACGTTTTAAAATTATAAAGTTCAAATTGGCAATTACTGAAAGTATTCATCAGTTCACTTACTGCACACGCTGGAAGCTCCCTGGATTAGTTCAGTGGGTTCCTGACCCTATAAACTAGAATGTCCCCGGTTTGAATCCAGATCTGTGCCAATCAAGCTGATTTCTGCCAGGTGCCATAAGCAATGCTACAAACTTTATTACATTACCACCCCATGTTTTGGAGGAAAAAATCAGCTAAGGTTTCCTGGCATGTATTGCTGTGTCATGAACACATTCCTTTTCCATACAGAAGTGTTTTCCCCCTGCTCCTGCCTGCTTATGTATTGGAGGGACCCAAATGCTTTTGCATTATTTTGTGTCAATGGACACAATTAAGCTGCCAACATCACTCGATGTTTCCAGTTTGATTTTTTTTCTTCCTCAACATGACCATGGAGTAAGCAGAGGATATAATTCGAGAAGACTTAAGTAAATTCTGCAACGTGAACCTGGCTTGACTCTTCAGAAAGCATTTTCATTTGCACTTGAAGTTTGATGGGATCAGCCAGTATATACAAATCTGTGTTTTTTAAAACAAATCCTGACTTTAAAGCTATTGGAGGTCAAGAAAGTTATAAGTCTTGTGTGCTTCATCAACTTCCTACAATCTACTTGGGAAGAATAAAAGAGGGCAACACTTCAATAAATAAAGCTGAAAGGTCACTTTCTTCTCAACTGCAAGCCAAGACCTATTAATTATTTTGTACTTTTTTTTAAAAAAAGGCACAACTACATTAGAGGAAAAAGCAAATTTACTACAACAAGCCTTCCCCATGAACCACAAGAAAACACTAGACTTTTAAAGAACAAATTTGTATTGCACAGTTAGATGCGGAATTCTGACAAAATATCCGGAGTCTTTACCTCATGAGCTGAAACGTCAGCCTCAAGGAGCTGATGTTTCTTCAGGAGGTTGTTCACAGATGCCAAGTCCTTTCCATAATCCTCGGAGGCTAGGAGAGCTTCCACCTGTAACCAAACCAGATTCAGACTTTTCATCCCAGAAAAACCTACAACAATGGAACATTTCAAACTCAGAATGTTTGAGGTTATACCCTTCAGTTTGTATTACCCTAAATTTTAAACAATACAATTTACATTGACGATGAATGACTTTTAAACAGATCCTGAATTTATTACAAATGGTTTACTGCTTCAGTTTTTATTTCCTGATCAACAGCAGTTTGGAGACAGCTATATATATCAACTACGTGGGATTTTTTTCTCCTGAAAATTAATTCCAATAAAACTGGGTCATTAGTACATTAAATCACCTACCTCAGACAGCCAGAAGTCAAAGTCTTTGATTCCTGTATTGAAATTCTGTTGTTTATTGGCTTCTTTCAGTTTCTGGCTCTTTTCTGCAGATTTTCGAACTAAGTACTCCCACTGCTTAGCCAGCTCTGCCAGACGAACCTAAGACAGAACAGTGAACCAGACAGTCTATCAGTCACAATGATATTCTGCGAGTTAATGTTGGAACAAACAATCACAGGAAAAAAAAATGTGCAGAACTCACATTTGCCCTGTTCATTCAATTAATAAAACATATTAATGTGGATGCAGGTTTCTCCCATTTCTTGTTAAGCACTGCGGAACGCTAATTGAATTTTCTAAAATTCTGCACACGCTTAAATGTTAAGCTATTGATTCTTAAGATGAGAACAGTCTCCTGGCTTCCAAGCTCCTAATTGCCTTACTGCTAGAAATACTTCCACACACAGCACCACCTAACGACAAAGGTGGATTACTGCAAAGCTGAACAGTAAGCTGCAAATGTTTCTCTTTGTAGTAGAGTGGCTTGAACAGACTCAATTTTAAATGGATCCGCAAATGTAAATCTTACTCAATGGCACTCACCCCTCTATAAAGAAACATAGAAACGGGAGGAGGCCATTCCAAGCCTCCCAAGCCTGTTCCGCCATTCTATCTGATCATGGCTGATCTGTACCTCAACTCCAATTACTCACCCTTGCCCCATATCCCTTGATACTCCGACCTAACAAATATCTATGCACCTCATTGCAACCTAAACAAATTCAACTCTTCTCTTTCTAAAAATAAATTGAACGGTGTGGTTACCTGGACAGCATCTTCACTCCCAGCACAGGCCCCTCGGTCAATCAGCGATTTCCCCATGTCAATGACACCACGGATTCGATCAGCATTGGCTTGCAACTCAGCTTCAAATGCTTGATGCTTCTGATGTTTGCTCTGTAGCAGGGAAACAACAATTAGCCATGAAACAGTCAAGATTGAAATGTTCCCTCCAAGGCCTTTGATACAGTGACAGAGAGAACGTTTGGGTTCGTCAATCAATCAAATACTGGAAGTATTTTTCACGTTTGGTGGAAAAGAGCCCTTGTCCATACCCATGAACACACTAGTTTCTTTGTAGCTCTGCACAATCTTTCAATTGCATCAACTATAACGAACTACAATTTGTGACAATGAAAAACAAGTCTAAATTATGAAAAAGAAATGATCCCATGAAAATGTAGATCGGATTATTGTTCCCATGTTTCACTCATAAATATACCGAGAACCGTTACACTCAGTCACTATGATGGTCAAGAAGCCTTAGAGGGAAGTGTGGTCAAGAAAGCAACAGGGGTTAATATTGACAAACACCACATAGTAGCAATAAAAAACGACCAACAGATGCCCACAGTTCAACAAGACAAAGTCAAATAAATGCCTTCAATGTTAAGCTGTTATACTGTTAAAACATTATGCAGACATTCCGTGTAAAACAAAAACCACACCCAAAGACACGAGTACTAGAAGCAACATTAAAGCTAAACGTTTTGCAACTTAAAAACTCACAGGACAATTAGATAAACTGCAGGCATTAAATAAACTAAAAGAAAATGAAACGTTTAGAAAACACACTCCAATAAACATTTAGAAAACACAATCTGAGCCTTTATAGACTCACAAGAGCCACTAATAACTCACCAGCAGTTTGGACAGCTAAAAACAGAGCAAGAGAAAATATTAAATACAGATCATTACTGAATGGCAAAGTCAATGATCAGTCAAGGAAACATTCAGAATTAGGCTCCATTTACATTTCTGTTCATTCATCCATTTTTCTAAAGCAAATCATAACAAATTTCTGTTCAAAAATCGAGGGTGGAAGGTCAAGGATTTGTGCTCCTGATCAAACATGCAGAGATCTCCAGCATGAGCCAGGTAGTTTCTCAAATGGATTGAAAAGGAAAGTGAAAAGAAAAGGGGAGCGAGTGTCACACCAGACTCTATAATGCATCTCAGCAGTTACCCCGGCAGCACTGTGCGACAGCGGCTGTCTCACAAGGGAAGGTGCACGACAAATCCCAAAGGGAAGATGGGCACAAAGGAACATCCCTAGAGGGAGTCTCACAATCCAAAATGTTTCCATAAAGGCATTTAATTACCTGAATGTTTGTGGGATCCTTGTAAGATTCATCAGTTGCTGTCTGCAGTTTCTCACTGATCCAGGCCTCAATTTCATCGACATCGCGACTAAATTGCTGGAGGGTCTGCGACTCTCCGAGTTTAGATCTCTTCTCGATCATCTGAGCTTTGAGCCGGCGCCATCTATGAAGGCATAACAGTAAAAACAATTGCAACATCTCTGCTCTGGCATGGTACAGTAAAATATAGTTCACTCGATCCTAAGCCTACAAAATAAGCCCCTTTAAAACTGCATTCTTTCAGAATTTCGCCCCCACCCCCTCTGCAAATGCCAAGGAGATTTCATCAAATTGGGAAAAATGATCAAAGAGATAATGGTCCATTTTGGTTTTGTTACTGAGCCTGTTGGCAAGGTCAAACCCAGACAGTGTGTGCAGAATGCTCAAATGCGGAGGAATGAGCCAACACATTGAAAACATGGCTCTGAATGTTAGTTCTCACATTTAATGCTACGTTACAACTTGAAAATCTTAAAATTTGTTTTTCTTAGGGTGAATTGTGATGCTCTCTCTCTCGTTTCCAGTTGAAATCTCGATGTACATGGTAACTAGGAATACAATTTTTCGCTGAGAGTGGATTTCAACCATGGTGTGGGTCTCGAGAGTTTTTCCTTACAAAATATTGGATATTAAAAGGGATTTTTGGAAAAAAGTTCATTGTAAGAACATTAAGCTCCTATCTCATCCTTTACTATTAGTCACTTAGCCACCCTCTTCTGCAGAGGTGCCCAGCCCTTTATTTGTGAGCATAGTAACAAGGGAGAGGTGCAAGATTTAGGACAGCTCAGTTACTGAACTGGAGCCTTTCAGCTCTTAGCATCATACAGAGATGAAGTCATTCAGCCCATTCCTCTGTGCAGGAAAACTTTGAATCCGAGTGGTAGAGTCAGAACATTCTCAGAATTAAACAAGGCCTTTGGCTTCAACCTGCACAACACACGGACACTTACATACCTGTCTAGCACTTCATTGCGACGGTTTGAAATATCACCCTTGGCATAGTGCTCAGAAGCAATCAGCTGATCAGCAAATGACTGCAGAGCAGCAATCTTCTCCTCCTAGTAAAGGGAAAAAAATCACAAATTAAGATTAATGAATTAAACAACACCCTCTGAAGCATTCCATGGCCAAAATAACTCCATTAAACAACATTTGCAACTGACTGGGATTATCTAGGATTGCCACACCTTGCTAAAACCGGTTTACTCATTCTTAGTGGAATCATTCGTATAAATTTATTGTGTATAATTTGGGTTTGTCATTTGCGTTCACTAGAATTATAATGCAGTAGTTTCTAATTCCAGTTCCTGGACAATGCTGCACAGACACAGTATCCTGCAGTCCTGCACATCAGTGAGAATGGCAAAACTGCACTCTTCGGAAAGTCTATTTCAATCTTGAATATCGCTGTAGTGCTTTTCAGAGCAATAATATGACACTACAGGAACATGACATGCAGCATCATGCAATCAATCCAAAACACTGCAAACCATCAAATTTTAATTAATCTCTTATGCAACTGAACTCATGTGCAATAAGTAATCTGCTTGAGGGATTACATGATGTTACATCAACGCTTAGGCCAAGTAAACCCAAATTAGTCAACAGAATTGTGTAAGACTGGACTCATTAACCATTTTACCTGGACGGTAATAGCTTTATCGAAATCCTCATGTTTCTTGATGAGGGCTTCCACGCTATCCAGTGAATCGCCTTTGTCGTCACTGGCGAGGAACGCCTCACGTGCTGCCATCCAGTTCTCAGCCTGCTCACAATCACGGTTAAACAGCTGCCAAACAAACAAACACATCCAATGTCATCACTTTAATGAAGGTGAGTATTCGATGTTGCAAGCAGACGGGATGCAAAGCTGACAGACATTTTGTCAAGTTATTTCTGTATATGATTACCTGCAGCTCTAGACACTGGTCCAACATCATCCTGCGCTGAATCCAGGCCTTCTCCAGATCTGCCCGCTCCCGCTCCAGGATATCCAGCTTTTCTCGGATTTCTGGGCAAGCATAGTGCCCCCGAGCCAGCAACTGATGCCCAAATTGTTCAAAAGCCTGGAAGGTTCCAGCTCTGGCATCGATTTCAGTGCGATGCTCCTGCAGGAGAAAATGAACAAAGATAGTGAAAAAAGATTTCTCTTTTAGAGATACCTAAAAAAACCTTAGTGCCTTATCAACATCAAGAGGAGAGAATGAATATTGAAAACGTCCGCAATGCTCACTGGCAGTTTCCTACTATGTTAAATGTTCTGAAGTTTAAAACAATCTTATATGAATGACAAAACATCTCTAAATCTCTCTCTCTCTACTCCCCCAGTTTTCTCTTAGAGAGGCCATCCAATATGTGAAAATGAAGAAATTCCTTATTAAAATTATTTCTCCAATTAAAATTAATGAGATGAAAAGTCGATAATTTGGATTAAAATGCAGCAGCAAGCTAGTTAAGATCCATTGCACATAAGATTTCAGATTTACGGACAGATGACCACCTGATAAACTGCCCCCTGCAAATGAGAGCAACCTTGTGAATCAACCATGAAGACAAACGTATCTAATGTCTCATTTACCTGGTGTCTTTCCAGCAGGGCTTCAGCTCCAGTTACATCCTTGGCTAATTCCTCAGAGGACACCAATCCGCGTATTCCATTTATCCAGGACATAAGATCTCTGTAGAAGCAAGTAAAACATCAGGACATTGAAAACTGCCCAGTGTTCCCTCGTAGGAAATGCTCTTGAAATAAAGAACGTGAAAGCTGGATCTCTGAAAAGCATGCAGTTCAGATATTTAGTCCCATTTGTAAGTGAACCACATTTTTAAAATATCAGTTTCAGTCCTCTTATAACCACCATTACAGAATCACCGGTTAAATATCTTCTTTTCCAATAAATACCTTTCAGATCAGTGAGCTACTCACCTTGGTGTTCCCATGCCACCTGGATGTTAGAATCATTTTGTTTGCAATTACTATTTTATCAATATCAACATAGCAAATTGAAAGAAACAAGATAATAATATTAAACATTATTAAAGATAAATTAAACATCATGTAAAGGACAAAATACCGCATTGTTTAGCCCAGGGATGGCCAACTTGCGAATAAGCCTATCACCTCAACTTCACGTATAGGGGTGTTCCTCCATGTGAAACTCCCAAAATAAAAGTTTAACTGGGTGATGGCTGCGTGTGCTAGTTCAGTTGATCCAAAGTTCTGTACCTAAAGTCACTCAGGAAGCGCTGCAGATCGTGAGAGTCGTTCAATTTTTCTTTGCGCTGGTCAGCACGTTCCACGAGGTTAGTCCAGGCCTGATTCAGTTCAGTGCATTTTTCCTGGACATCTTCAACTGATTCAGGATGAGACTGAATCAGACGGTTGGCAGTTTCACCAAGAGAATTCACCTGAAGTCAAACAACACAAGGAACAAATAAGGCAACAAGTCGCAATATATTCAATGCATTAAACACAAGAAATTTGCTGCCTATATTTTTGACCCTCTTTTCTCTCCCACTCTCTTTGGATCCCAACCTCAGCTCAGGAGCCCAACCAGCAGTGTTACGCGTTTTTGAGATTCCCTTCCTACATAAAAATGGATTATTATGAATGTAAATGGTATTGTATTATTTAAATGCTTATTTTTACTTGCATTCCTTGACATGAAGGGCAAGAAGAACCAGGCAGTAATAAATTAGACCAGTTTTGAGGTTTAGCCAACCATTAAATACACATTTTGCCCAAGGAGTGCATCATTGGTAAATTGTCCAAATCTTTAATTTGTTGCAGATGTTTTTTATATAAAAAAGATATTCTACATAGCTGAGAGAAAATGTAGCTCACTTTATCTCCCAGAGCAGCAAGGTCTCGCTCAAATCCCTCATGTTTGCGCTGTAAAGCCTGAACGCTCGCAAGGTCATGTCCATAATTATCAGTGTTCAAAGCTTGATTCTTCTCTTCAATCCATTCCTTTGTCTCATCGGCATCCCTGAACACAAAATAAAACTGGCATTATAGGTCAATCCGAGCCAAATACTGCTACCTGCACAACAGGTTAGCTATAATGATATTGATCAGCATACAAAGAATTCCATTGGTCAACTAGCATTGTTGGAGAAAACTGAAATGCTTCAAGAGATCTCCTCCAATCCTCCTGTATGTGGAGAGTGCTGCAAATTAATAATTCTTGTTCCTTAGTTGTTTCAAGATAGGTGTACCAGCTTCATTTCACTGTAGCACTCACCTGTGGAATCTCTGCACCTCATGTGCACTGCCCAAGATCTGGCTCCGTTCCTCGGCCAGTTTCTGCAGTGACTTCCAGCGTTCATTGAGCTCCTAACAAAGGAAACAAATATATTACACTACCGCCACTGCATATAAAGCATTTGTCTAAAAACGCAATACAACACACTACTGATGTGGTTAAAAGAACAGGATAATTCTGAATTTAGTTTCAATTTAATGAGTTTTATTCCACAGATTTGGCGAAGTTAAAATTTTTCAGTTCAGAAACTAATATGAAGGCTAATCAGTGCCTTCTAAACCTTCTAAAGTATACCACTGTTCACATCTTTTAAACCTTCAACCTTTGAATATCACAGTGGTGCTGTTTTGTTTCTTAAAACTAGCCATTCATAACTCTTATACCTCCTCAATTCTAGTTTTAAAAAATAGAGTTTCCAGAGCTTTATATCTTCATATGCTTCAGGATAACATTCAAAACATACAATAAGGCCCAGTGCTTGAAAGGTTAATTTACAAAAGCCAGGATTTCACTATCAAGTTAAAAATCCCCACTTGGTACTAACTGCTGTAATACATGTCTAAGCTTTTACAGAAACTTCCAAGATTCAAGGCCATTGAATGCAGAAAATGACACAACAGATTTACCAGAGGACACAGAAACATGATGGGCAAAACCATATTGCAACTGATGAGGGATGGACATTTTCACAACATATTTCAATGACAGCCCACTGCAGCAAATGAAAGACATAAGGTAATCTCTGCATGTGAGGTGAGACAGGTGGAAGAGGCAATGACGGACAGAGTATCCATCACTTCTTACCTTGATGGCATTAAAGCTAGCCACTGTTTGTACCGTCATCCGGACAGTCTACCAGTTCCGATCCATCAGTTAGTGAAGAGAAATGTTAAAGTTAGAAATATTCACTTAGGTCTAACTGAACATGGCATGCAAGAAATATCAATCAACACCAAATCATTTAACCATTTACAATCCCCTTTAGGTAGTCTGCGAGGCAGGTGCAAGAATAACAGCAGATAAAGAATGGATTTTAAAGCCTTCGCCGACCACAAAAAGCAAATGACTGTTTAACCAACAAGCACCAGATAATGAGTTTTATTAAGCGAAAAAGACTGTGGCACGTGCGCTCTTCCACAAATATTCTGGGCACAGATGTGACATTATCACCACTTTTCACAATAGTCCCAAATTTTAGCTTCTAAAGGTTGATAATGTGACATAGAAATTGTCACTCACTACACTGGTGCAAACTCAACCACAGAGCTTCCCACTTGCACTCTGGTTTTAACGGTCTGAATAACCAATTGTAGCAAATTATTTTGGGGACGATGGTTGAGAACAGTGTATAACATTCACATCGCTGTTGGAAGAGCCCACAGATTGCCATTCAAAATAAAAGAGGCAGTGTTAAGACAAATGGCCATATTAAGTGCATTTATGTATCTGCATTTGATTTAGCGTGTTAAGGCGCTAAATCAAATGCAAGGATTATTATTATTGTGATAATGGGTATACCAAAGATGCAGAATAAAAATTAAAGTATAAAATTAAGCAAATAGTCACGGAAATGTCATTTCCTTAAAGAAGAAGTACAAGATTTAGCAACACAATGTCATCCTAGCAGCAAGAATTACAATGTACCCCGGGGTGCTGCTAAACATTTAAATGCTTAGCAATAAGTCTTGCTGCAGCACATTTAGTTAAAGAGTTATACAGTTAGAGGTTGTTACTTCCAGAAATTATGACATCTATGATATCGTTCTTCCTCCTCACTACAGATTTCTGAGTCTGCAAAGGCTGACAAAGATCTGACAGACTGCTTGCTGAAGGTTAATGGCACAACCAGTGGGACATGTGCAGACAACATGTTAGCTTGCACCTAACATTCTCCAAATAGTTCCACTAACTTACCAAATAGTTATTTGCAATACATCACGTACCAATATATAATTCTGTGCGATATCAGGATTAAACACCATTGGGGTGGTGGTGGAGTAAATGAACCGAAATGTAGTCCTGCTGCAGTCTGAAGTATCAACATTTTTACTAAATCCATATTAAACAAACAGACTGTAAACAAATGGATTGATCAACAAATTTCTACAGCAAACGAGGGAAGAAAATTCCCTCCTCCTCAAGCTCTGGCATCCATGCTGGATAGTGATCAATAAATAAATGTAAACCGTGACCAATTGAAAAGGAATTTAAAAGTGCCGAAGTTTTATGAGAAACAGAATTGCAGTGTCCTCAGTAAAACAACACAGGACCTTTGAAAATCAGAACTCGTACCTTCCATGGTGACGAGGTCTTGCTGTCAGATTCATCCTATAGAAACAAAACAACAATCACCTTCAGAAAAACACAGAAAAAAATGCATCGAGAAAACAGTTCTACTGAATGCACAGAATTGACCAGTTAGTACTGTAATTGGGTAGACAGCCCATCATTGTATAGACACCAGCAAGGTTTAGTTGGCTTTGAGTGAACAGCTTGGAAATGGACAATTCTATGTAAATCTACAAATGCTCCTTTTGTAGAAATATTTCAAGTGTCGAGTAAAAAGTGAAATAAAACAGTAAAATACCAAACCCAGCTCATCTCTAAAACTAGTTATTTAAATTAGACTGAATGCAACGGTATAAGTTATTTAAACCCATGTAAAATACCTTAAATTTACAACCCTGGCACCGTGCTCAAAAGCTGCAATTCTACTCAGCCGAAAAAAATTAAGATTCAAACCTTGGGAGCTCCAGGGGCAGATCCCAAAAGAGGTTCCTAAAACGAGAAAAGAAATGAAGACATTGAGAGGCAGAAAGAAAAAGCATGAGATGGAACATTACCACAACGGTATTTGCTACTGTATTTCCATCCCCCAGTCACTCCGCCTCACCCCCTCCAAGCCCCGTCTCAAGACCCTCCTCTTTGCCCAGGCCATCGGCCAACCCCCTTCCCCTCTCCTCCCAACCCCAGTTCGGGTCTGAAATGCTGTACTCCGTCCAGCACCTTGGGGCATTCTCCCGACGTGAAAGGCGCTATACAAATGTAATCTTCTTGTTGTTGCTACTGTGTGCGAAACATCATTAAAGACTGCGTTTTTTTTAAAATATCCCAGTAATCACCAGTCTGAAATGGAACGGTACCTGTGATACTTGTTGCACTTCTTCAACCATCAGACCCTCAGACTCCAGATCATTGGCCACTTTGTTGATATCTCGCAGGCGAGACTCATTGGCTTTCAGGTCCTAATGTATACATAAAAAAAATGTTTCAGAGAATAGTTTGAATAAATTTAGTTGAGCATCAACGATGTTTTTTTTTCCCCCAAATTATACAAGAACCATAGCACAGCAGGCATTTCGCTGTTCTAAAATCAAATTGCTTCAAATATTCAATATCCAAGTCCTTTTAGAGTTTAAATCAAACAGCGACCTCAGCAAAGCGGTATCATTTGCACTGCCAAAAAATGAACTTCATAACCTAGTACATAAAAGGACTTTGAAATGTGATTGAAATCCATTTAGGGATACCATAACTTCCCTTGTTAACTGACTTTTCTTCTTGTATCAGAATAGAAACTCTACTTACCTTTTGGAAATCATCGAACTTCTTCTGTAGTACTTCCACCTGCTCCAGATCAGTTCCCACCTCTTCGTTGGTAAGGGTGGTCTCCTTCTCATTGATCCACTGCTGCAGCTCATTGGCTTCACGGAAAAGCATGAACTTCTTACAGCTCTTTTCCAGCATCTCTTTCCGCTTCCTACCCAATTCCAGCAGTGACTGGTACCTGAAAAAGATGCGCACGCACACAGAGTCACCCTAAAGAAACACAATATTAAATGGATCCAAAGAGCATCACTTGCAAAACACAAGACCACTAAGGTGCAGAACAAGGTCAGGATTCGGCTTGAGTAGACAAGCACGTTAAAAATGGCAAAAGGGTGATTCTAGAGAGGCCCTGTAGCCATTTTTAGTATTTTTTGCACATTTGATACGCGTTTCTGCATTTAATGTACATTTTTAATGAGCCAAACCCCAGCGAGTAGAAAACACCTTTAGGAGAGAAGAGAATGGGTGAAAACTGGTGAAGAAAAAAAGTTTAAAATGTCCGTACTTCATTTACATCACATAAGCTCAGCAGGCAGCTCCTTCAATCGAATCAATGTCTTTGATTCAACCAGCGTACACAAGCATTGGTGAGAATGCACTAATAGAAAATGGAGATGCAGAGATCACATGGAGCGAGGAAGGGCTAAGCTTACTCACAATTCCTCCACCTGCTTCATACGGAGCACAACGCTGCCAACCTCCTTAGCTAGCAGAGCCCTGGACAGACAGAGAGAGGGAGCAGAGCACAGCAGGTAACATTAGTAGTTAAAAGCCTTAATTAAAGCAGCAGTTAAAGAAAGTTCAATTAGTAATAAATAAGGGTAGCAGCAAGGACCAGCAAAGACTCAAGATAGTAGGTGAGAGCAGGTCAGCAACATATTAAAAGAGATTGATATTTGGGAGATTAACTAACAGGTTACGTGTCCCTTTCTGATTTTTTTGTTGCCTTGGTACCATCAGCCATTCCATTCTCCATCATCTCTCCTCCACTCATCTGGCTTTTCACCAGTCTGCACACAGTCAGCTGTGATGTTCTTCTTACCTTTCTACTCCTCCCCTCCCCACTCAACTTCAGGCGCATCGTTGAGCCTTCACCTCAAGAAAAAACACTTTCCTCCAATAACAATTGTGCCCACTTGCACTCCCATCTCACCCCAACAGCAGCGGAAAATTTTGTCACGAGATGGCGTCTCTCTCTCTCGCACACACACACCGTTCACACCAGGCTCCGAGAATCCCAGAGAATTGATTTGATGATCTTTGACCTGATCTTTAAAATTCCATCATGGTCCCCTGCAAATTGTAGGCATTAAACTTGCACACTGACGATCATGGAGTCCCGTGATAATCAACGTAGCAACACATTTTCTAGTCTCAGGTATAAAGAATTGCTGTTTGGACAAGGGGTGGTGGCATTCGTCAACCACTCCTCTGCATGAATCATGGATTGTGGCGAGAAAAATATAACTGTTCTCTCTTAACCCTCCCACGTCCCCCAAAAAATAATTTGCCAAATAGCCAGCTATCCAATTTCCTCTTGAAACTGACAATAATCTGATTCCACCTTCCCTAAGAAGTTCTATTCCACATACAGGTCTCTGTAAAAATAAATCAGTACACCTTCTCAGTTTCAATCAGCTGCCCCTTTCCATTCTATTTTCATAAACCAAAAAGGGAGGGAGGAAAGAAATAATTGGTTATACATTTTGAAAGGCTGTCCAACCCAGCAAAAACAAGGTATACAGCTGGGCTGGAATACAGGCTGCCCCACTTACTGGTTGTCAATCTGTTCTTGTCGCATCACAATGCTGCTTGAATCCTCCAACAGATTCTCACGTGAAGTTGACTGTGCTGGGTCCAATTTCTTTACATAGGCAGCGGGAACAAAGCCCTGACGATCATTCACTTCCACTTTCCACCAGTCCTTCAGGGGAAAAAGAAAAACAAGGGAAATATTAAAAGCTACCCACAAAAATGAATAAACTGAGTCAAAATCCTGTCTTCCAATTCTAATCCTCTTTTCCCTGTTAAGAGTTACCTTCTCCTTTAAAATTAAAGCAACAAACAAAGCCCCAGTTAATTATTCAGTGTATTCACCTGTCATTCCAATGCTTTGAAGCGATTGCGACGTCTCGAAGACGTGATAAGGCGCTATATCAAATGCAAGGATTATTATTATTTTTTACCTTGTTGGTGCTGTTTAGCAGGGTAAGAATGTCACCCTTCTTCATGGTCACTTCACGGGGACTCTTCTCCTGATAATCATACAACGCCAAAACCAGTTCTTTTCCAGTTTCATCGTCTGTAGGTGCCACTTGTTGCTGCAGAAGAGAGAAAAAGATGAATATTGTAGAGATGTTAAATAACTGGCTGACTCCTGCAATAGAATACACCCATATGTCACAAAGAGATCAATCATAATGACACATTTGGTTAATTTTTACACATTTATGTATATTTTAACAAAGGGTAAAACATAGTGGCAATGCTGCACATTTTTAACCAGGATGTTTGTTTTAAAAACTGTCATAAGAAATTCATTACCCGACACCCTTGTGCCTGTTCCTTCAGTGCCTGAATGCTGCTTCCGTATGCAATTAGATCAGACATCAGAGCTTCGTGCTTCTTTAGTAAGGCCTGGTGAAGAAAAACTTTGGTTACCAGTGAATTCACATTTACTAAACAAATACTGAATCCCCCTCAGCATTCAAGACATGCCATGGATTCAGGGTGCCGCAGTTTTCAAACGATAAGATGCGTCTGCGCTAAATAACTAGAGTATTATACCTAGTTTGTTATGAAGTGTATTTAACAGGCATTGGACAGCATTTAATAAATCAAATTACAAAAAGTTACAAAAAAAAACTATAAACATTGTTAAGCTAATTAACGGCAAACAAAGAACTGGACAGATATTTAAGAATGCTCACTTCGGCAGAATCTTCATCCTTTCCATAGTCAGGGCTGCCAACAACAGGCTCTTTCTCCCTCATCCACGACTCGGCTTCATTAGCATCAGCAAAGTACTGCTGAGCCTGCAGGGAATCTTCCAAATCCTGGCGCCTCTGCGCAGCCTTGGCTTTCAGCGACTCCCATTTCTGATTCAGGTCGTTCAGTTTGGTCTTCACTTCTTCAGAAGCAAAGTGACCTGAGGATGGATACACAAGGCTATCAGTCTGTCTGTTGAAACTGCTCAAATCTATTCCTTTCTTGGGGTTCTCATAGCTCTAAATGTGATGAGCTGAAACTGTGAAGTAAATGCCTGCATAAATCACCCCAAATGAATTTACAACTACTACTAATTTCTCTGGATTTTCCTTCCTTAAAGTTGGGGCAACTGAATGTCATAATCAGAATATGAATATGCAAACATTAAAGAGGGAGCTTTATAGTTTGCTCGGTTCCTTGCATTATTGTACAAAAGATGATAAGCATTTCAGACCTACCGTCATCAACCATGGCTTGCCCTTTCTGGGCCACTGCTTTGATGCGTGGATCATGACCACCGATTTCAGCCTGCAGTGCCTGGTGTTTCTTCAGTAAATTCTGCACTCCGATCAAATCCTTTCCTAGAATATCAGATTACAACAACATTTAGCATTTATTATAACAACATCCTTATTTATTAAACTAACATATACAATACCCAGCTAGAGTATCATATCAGAGTGACAGGAAAGCTCCTGGTGGAGGGCATATGTATACAAAACCAGCATAATCCATGACCATTAATGTTCTCAGATCTATGTAGTGTACATGGGTGGAAACCATACAGTAAAGTTAGAGCAACTTTCGATTAAAAAAGACTTGCACATTTCTTTTATGGGAGGGGAGGGGGAAAAAAAAAGGTGTAAAGTCTAAAAACAATAATACTAATAACAGCCAACAGAACATTCGCCGACCTCGGTTTGTAGAAGCTGCAATCGGCTCCTTTTCTCGAATCCATGTTTCTTCATCCTCAACGTCACGGAACAGTTGTTGGAGTCGGAGGGAGTCCGCTAGTTTTTGCTTCCGAGCCACCATCGGTTCCTTCAGTGCCTCATAACGACCAACTAACGTTTCCTGCTTCTTCTTGATGTTATCTGCATCAAAGTGTCCAGCTTCCTGGAACTGGCGGGCTTGAATATTAATCCCGTCAATACGGTCCTTCAAAACAAAAGGAGAGAATGGTGTATAAAGCATATTCAATCTAGAATATTAAAAATTTAGAACATCCTTTTTTAAAAATGGCTATCACACAGAATTTACTATAAAAGGTTCTTACAATTTCCAATGATACTTTATGCTCAAATGTTTAAAGTGGGAAATTAATGTAGTGTAATGCTTGGCAGTGTTTGTTTTCCTTTGTCTCACCACATTAGGCTATTTTTTGCTGGATACATCTGCCAAGTCAACTAAATATACAAGATAAATGAACATTCTCAAGCACAAAATTAAAACCATTAAAAAAAACACACAATACTGATTCTCAGGGCCACTAGACATAGGTAAAGGCTTTAGATGTCAAGAGTTAGGTGGGTATTCGTATACAAAACGCGGAGTTCTGCTCATACATACTGTCCTCAAGTCAGAAGGTGGCACATGTACTGGGGTTTACTGACTCTTCGCTTAAGTGCGTACCTGGTGGGCTGCGATATCAGCTTCCAGCAGTGCATGTTTCTTCTGCAGGTTCTGTACACTAGTCAGATCTTTCCCATAATCATCAGAACCCAGGTGGCCTTCAACTTCATACAACCATAGTTCAATGTCTTCCACATTTCGGTTGAATTGTTGCTGTTGGTTTGCTTCACGTAGTTTAATACCTACACATTTGCAGACGGGTCAAGTTAACGAGTATTTTTTACCCAGCACTTTCCTACCTTCATTCTCCCTCTCCAAACTAAGCAAAGCACCGTCCCATAGATTCAAATAAGGAAACACAATAAAGGTGTCCGTCACTGACAATTCCAATAATTCTTCAACCCAAATGGCGAAAGAGATGAACAGCCCATGGCAAAAATAAGAAACCGTTCAAATTTCAGGTCTCTCGCAGACCAAAAACAAATGAGGATACAGCCCTAAGGAACATAGCATGTGACTTTATTGCGGCAGGAGAAAGTGAAAGGACTGAAGACACAGGGACAGATGGGAGTGAAATCATGGAAGTGCAGATGACAGAGAGTACCAAGGAAGAGAAAGTGAAGGAGTTTGGAGTGGTCTGGTGTTGAACAGCGGAGATAGGACAAATTCTTTATGGGAAATGTTAATCTGAACCATTGGCTACCTTTCATTTCTGTGGCCTCCAGCAGCTTTTTCCAGAGAGAAATAACCTCGTTCATGCGAGCAGACACTTCATCTGAGGCATAGTGATTGGCATCAATCAGCTCCTGTCCACCTCTCTGTAAGGTGTCAATGCGACTCTGGTTGGCTGAAAGCTCAGCTTCAAAAGCCTGGTGTTTCTGGACCTTGCCCTGCAAGTTGGAGGGATCCTGAAGAGAGAAAAAGAAATCACTTAATTAGAAAGAAATTCTCCTCTGCAAACTCAATTACGAAGTTATTTTAGAAACAGGTTTGCCTACAAATCATACTTGTTTCAATTGTGCACGTCTACTGGTTGTACTTTGTAAGTTTAATTTAAAAGAGAATGTTAACATTGGATATATTTTAATATCTAATTGGACAACAAACTTAAGTTCTAATTAAATGGATTGGCTATGTAAATATACACCATAAGATGAATGATTTCACAGAGTGAAAAAAAGATCAACTAATGCTAAATAAAGAGCTAGACCAGTGAGGACATCACACCAAACAAGTCAGATTCTACTAAAAGGAGACAATAGGTACAATTTTCTAGCAATAGCACTATGTGTATGACAGTCATACACCACACAAAGACTTGAATGTATAGAATCCTACCTTATGAGCTTCATCGGTGGCTGTTTTCATTTTCTCATTAATCCAGCTCTTGAGTTCATCAGAATCACGGAAGAACTGCTGGAGACTGAAGGAGCTTTCCAGGGCGGTTCTGCGGTGCATGGCACGATCGTGCAGAGCATTGCGACGACTCAGGAGCTATAAACATAAAGCAACACAGCATCTACAGATCAAGCTCTGGATCGGAAAATCATTGGAAATTTTGTTATTGGAAAATCAAGTTTAATTTTTTTTAAAAAGTTTCTTAAATCAATATTATAAACAAGGACTGGAGGAAAATACGGTACATTTGCACAATTTACAAAACAGTTTCCCAAATGTCTGTGTGCATAACTGGATTTTTGCTTATCCTTTTGAATCCGGTTGTAAATTACAACTGAGTGAACATTACATTGACAAGTCAATCTAAACAGTTAAACAAAAATGAAAACCTACCGCATCTCGACGTGCAGCGACATCTTCCTTGGCGTAATGATCACTCTGAATCAATTTGGTGGCAAATTCTTCCAAAGCCTTTCGGAGAAAGAAAGGAAATGCTTAAATATTGTAGAGAGAGAGGAAATGATACTTCAGCGGTCAATTGTATAACAGTGGAGACATCTTTACCGTGATTTTCTCCTCTTGAGCACTAAGGGATTTTTCAAAATCTTCATGCTTTTTCAAGAGGGCTTCCACGCTGTCCAGGGAATCGCCCAAATCTTCATTCAGCAAGAAAGCCTAAGCAAAAACATTTGTTTGAAAAAAAATGGCTTGTCAGATGGAAACAATGGATGTGTAGCAACATTGATGAGCTTTACACCCATGATTCTAGACACACCTACCTCCTGTTTACTCATCCAGTTGTCAACCTGCTCGGTATCACGATAGAATAGCTGGAGATCCATGCACTGCTCATACTGATGTCTCCGCAGCTCCCAGAGCTCGAGCAGAGAAATCTTCTCCTCAGCAAGGACTCCCAACTAGAAATTAAGAATCCGTAGAATATTTACAAACATCATTCTCAATGTTAAAGTTCCAAAGGAGCTCAAAGCTCTATAGGATATAAAAGTAATGACATTCATTCTTGGTGTACGGTACCTTCTCACGGACTTCATCAGAAGCATAGTGGCTTCCTGCGAGCAGGGCTTGCCCGGCTTCATCAGTAGCTTTGAAACTGTCCTCGTGAGCATCAATCTCACCCTGCAAAACAGCACGTTCAGAACTAAAAAAATCTTCTTGAAAACATTTTTAAGACAAATGTACATCAGTGCTATTGGGCATTGCACAAGCTTCAAAAATTTGCCTCTGGGGCTATGTAATTATTTTATTTTCATTTTGTATCTCAAGCAAAGAAATTATTTTCACATGAATTCTGTGTAAAGGAAGCAGCAGTACGCTGGAGTTACCAACACTCTTTGCCTTGTACTTGAGGATCTTCTAACCCTTAGTCAGCATGCCCCCTAACCTGAGCATATGGACATGCAGAATGACATTGGGAGCTCAGGGTCACCTTGTGCTCCTGGTGTCTGTCAAGCAACGCCTCAGCTCCAGCCACATCATTTGCCAGTTCATCAGCATTGATAAGAGCCTTCATCTCTGTCACCCAGCTGGTCAAGTCACGGAAATCAGCCAGAAAACGCTGCAGTCTGTGAAATAAAAATGTGGTGCTCTGAATTCCTCATTAAAAAAAACAAGTTCAAAATTTACAAAAAATAGTGATGACCATTAATTCTTGAACAATAAACTTTCCAATATTAAAATCCCCTTTACCACTTTACAGGTGAATAGAAGTCACCGCCAGAAAAATGACAAACAGATTTTGTCAGCCCAAACTTAAAATTATTGCTATTCCTGCAGTTCCAGAGAAACGAACTGTGCACTGAACCCCATTTATGGTCGCCTTTCAATGAAATAGACCTAAGCTTCAACCCAATATAAGCCTGAAAACAAATATACATGATATGCAAATATACATGCTAGTTTATCCAAGCTCTGTTTACTCCTGTGCAACATGTCTTCATGTGACCAGGTGGTTCCTGGGATTCCCGACCTCACCTGTAAGAGTCATCAAGGCGTGTGTGTCTTTGAGCTGCCAGGGTGCGGATTCGCTCCCAATTTTGGATGAGTTCTTCTCGCTTGACCTGAATCTGGGCTGCACTCTGTGGGTGTGACTGCTGCAGACGGTCTGCCTCAGTACACAGTGCTTTCACCTAGAAAGCAACAAAAAAAGTAAGGCATCACTGCTGATGTAGGTGGTATTCAATTAAAAAGTACAGAATGTAGGTTAGCTTGGCAATGGGCTATTGCAGGTTTAAAAAAAATTCTCAAAAATTAATCTGCTCCTCAGTATTTATAACCAATAGAATAAGTATTCTAAATAATACGACTTGCATTTGATACAGCATCTTAACATGTCACAGCTTAGAGACTACTTCACTATTTGAAGTGGAGCAACTTATTTGGGGAAAAACAGCAACAAAAATGAAATAAAAGTTAATGGGGAGGAGGAGGAGGAAATGGGCTTGTGTAGATTTTTTTGGACCACAGCGACAAGCTGTTAAAAGAGTGTTTTAATTGAAGACTGGAAATTAATAAATTTGTATTTTAGAAGACTCCTCTTTAGAATTGTAATTCTTCCATGAAATCTTAAAATAATGTTCCCTCAAAATAGGTTAAAAAACAGACCAGTGCTACAGAACTCAAAATTTTATGATCAGGTTCCATACTCCATTAGTGCTTTTTTTCCCCACACGTCCACCAAAAATAAATGGCACACCTGTAGAATTTTCAAATCTCTGAATTTGCAGATCAAGTTTCTCCAGAAACCATGAGAACATTTTGAAACCTAGAAGGGCAATACAAACGCAAGGCTGGCTTCAATAATCCTCTTGTGGCTGTATTACCTTATCCTCCAAGGCAGCAAGGTCTCTCTCTAGGCCTTCATGTTTGCGGAGAAGTGTCTGCACACTAGCCAGATCACGTCCAAAATCATCCGAAGCCATCAGCTGCTCCTTCTCCTTAATCCAACTGATGGTTTCATCCACATCTCTACAAAGCACAACTTCCAATTAATATAGAAATACTAGTTTGCTAGAGGTTTTATACAGCACATACAACTCATTTTTGTTTTCTCTTGTATCACGCACCATGCCCAAGCCAACACCCTATTCCCAACAATGTTACTGATGAAAGTCTACCAGCCAGGGGTGCATGGGTGTACTTGTCAATTCAGTGCACCCCCGTCAATAGATTTTCCCTTTCTTCTAATAGAGACTTAACCTTCGTTCATATCCGTTCTGACATACTTCACCTTCAGGAGTACAACAGCTGTAAACAATGACATGGTACAAACAATTGTATCATGTACCAAAGATTTAGTAACAAAAGTTTTGGATAAATATACAGTGGGAAACGGTTAAGACAGACACATCGGGGCCAGCTGTTTGTCCAGTTTAAGCAACATCCAAGGTTAACCGAAGTTCCACAACCTTTTCCCGCCCATTGCCATTCCCACTGAATGGGAAAGGGACTAATTACCGGTGGCTCCGAGTTAAAATCTACACTTTCGTGTCTCCTTCAAGGCATTCATCCAATCCATTGCAATCACAAACATCTCATTTAAGTTACCCACCGATTAAAGCGCTGAACTTCTGCTGCCCCAAAGAGTTTGCCCTGTCGCTGCAGTGCGAGGCCTTTAAGTCGTTGCCAGGCAGCATTCACCTCATCCTGTCGATGGGTGATAAGCACCAACTCGGGGTGGCTCTCCTATAAACAAAAATGGACACGTTAATCTGATTAACTGGAGTGATGATTTTCACATCATTGAAAGATGTTAAATTAAACTGTCCATTTTCTTAGTTTCTCCCATTTCCTTTCCCCTGATTGCATTAATTCCTTCCCGAGATATGTTCCATGGAAACTGGGAGTAATAATAATAATCCTTATATTTAATATCGCACCTCACAGACTATACTGTAAAGTGAACTGATTGTACATACTGTGGGTGCAACTGCGCACGGCAATTTCCCACAAACAGTTGTTGAGTGACCAAATTATTATTACACTTTTTTTAAAAAAGGGATTAGCTCAGAAGAGATCCGCTAATTGACTAACAACCGGGTTCCTCCTTACTGCTCGCTAACCGGGGTGCGGGGGGGGTAAGGAAACTTGCCTAACGTTTCGCCCTGCCTGGGAATCGAACCCAGGTACTCTTGCTTGTGAGGTCAGTGCATTAACCAATACACCACGGGACTCCACATAATGAATACATATCATTGGAAAATTAAAAAAATCTTACCTGGGCAAGTTTTCCAGCCAGCTGATTTACTTCATTCACACGTTCCTCATGAGCTGCAAGATCAGTTTGGAATTCCTCAAATTTCTTCTGCAAAACTTCAACATGCTCCAAGTCCTGGCCAAGTTCCTCCAAAGTCACAATAGCTTCCTAAATATATAGTCATAAACATGCATTTAGTACAACTGACCATTCCCGCACATTAAAATATCAGCAACTCCAACGCCAAGTGTTCTGGCCTCAACCAACTTTCCTGAGAACATGTTGCAGCTGATGTGCGCTAAGAAGCACTGGCCTCACTCTAAACATCCTTCACAACCATGATCCTGTGTCCTCTCCTTCCGTGGCCTTGGTATTCTGTTCCAGGATAACTTTACTACATTAAGCTTTTAAAAACCTCCATAAGCTCTCCTTGGTGAAGTCTCTTTGAGCTTAAAGTGTCTTAATTTCTAGTTGTTTCTCATAGTTTATCCCTCTAACTGGAAACCTTGTTTACATCTGCACTGCCTCTAGTGCCTGGAGGTCGCCAGAAACCAAAACTTTGCATAGCACTCCGAAGAAAGAAGAATGGCGTGTCATGCCATTTCAATCATTTAATACCACTAGCCAGAAGCTAACAGAATTCTCCCCATAGGGAGAAACCATGAACTAAGACTGACCTTATCATTGATCCAGTCCATAGCATCATCACATTCACGCTGGTATTGCACAAGCTTCTGTGTTTGCAGAAGTCTTATCCCCTTCTCCCTCATTTTCTCCAACAGACGCTCCCATAGTTGATGGAGTTCTTCAAGTCGTGCCTTGAGAATAAAAAGATTTAAAGGAACAAAATCTATCACAAGGGTCTGACTTCATCTGGATGCAGGGTTGAGGAACTCAACAGAATACACAACCAAATACAAAGATCTTGAATTGTGCATTTATCAGAGGCTCTGAATGAGGACAAATTCAGTTTTTATTACAGATGAATGGAATATTAAAGGGGAAAGGCATTCTGTTATTAATGGTACTTTACCTCCTCTGAGTCAAAGAGCCTGTTGCGGGTTTTATTAATGCTATTAATCCTAAAAAATGCTGTGGCGAAAGGGAGGAGATGGACATGTTCTACTCAGGGAAACAATGTCAATGAAAAATGCTCCCACATCCTTTCAAAGGAAGTATGTAGTTGTGAAACACAAAGGCAGGAAAAATCTAGGATACTTCCCTGGATCATAGATTAATGCAAATTATGTGATAAATGTTTGTCAACATCTTGCGGAATACAATAATTAAACAGTCTGACGACTTAACTCTGTATTAAAGACCATGCATTGAAGCACACACATACACACAAAAAGGTGTTTCAGGGCTGTTATTGAAAATTGGACAGCGAACACTGAAAGTGAATGCAGGCAATAGATGACACTCATCCAAAAAACAGCTACTATACACTTGAGCATCTCTTCAGTTTCCAGGAAAAGCAGGAACCACTATTCTAAATAAACTAGTCTGAAATTCAAAACGGGCTTGTTTTAATATCCTGCCATAAGGAAACAACTACACTAGGCCAACACGCCAAGTAACAATCTTCCTCCTGCCTTTCCAAAGGTTTCACAAGATTCCATGACTTTTTAGTGGGAACAACGCCAAAAGAAGCAAATGTGTCCATAATGATAAAGACAGCAATAGTGGGCCACAAGATGAAAGTAGCATTAAGAGCCAATAGCTTGACTTTGTTAGTGGTATATTTATGACCTGAAGGAATCAGTTTATATTGGAGTGGAGGGGTTCAAACTGCTTTACTAAAACAAAAGCTATTAAATTTAAATGCTTTCAAGTTTTAAACCCAGGAACAGAATCTGATTATTCTACATGTAAATAGTTACATGTAGATTCTTGTCACCACAACTTCAAACTCCCCAGTGAAAGTTGTCTTTTTCATACTAAATTGATTGGCTCAATATTCCGCATTTTCTGAGTAAACTGCAACTGAAGGTTGTTTAACTGTTAAAAAAAACTTGGATTCACACATTTGATTAATAAACTGTCAAATGTAAAAGGTTAATGGAGCTGGGATCCCATTATAACCTAATCCTTCAAATCCTGTGAATAATCCAATACTGCTTTCAATCAAGTATGATTTGCTCCAGATTGACTTCAATTGTGGAGAAGTGTAAAAGAAAATTGGAAGGATTGAAGATAGTCAATCAAGAAACGCAAGCTGGAAATTCAAAGTATACTTCCAGCTTATCTCAAGAAGAAATATTCACAAAAAACCACACTGCACCACACAGCAATTATACACCTACTTCCATGTAAGATTCCTGCTGAATTGCAGTTACTTTTGGCCTCTGTGTGGTCCGGTATGGCGTGAAGGACTAAATCAACAAGCATGGTTACATTTCGGAAAAAAATAACTTACAGCACACGGAAAAAAGGTAGAACTTAACAGGCACTTACTCGGATAGTTTCGGTTGCAAAATGCCCATCTTGTATCATCTTGTTGCCAAACTCATCAAGTTTAACAATGGCACCAGCATTGGCCTGCACTTCAGCTTCGAATGCCTGATGCTTCTGCAGTTTACCCTTTGAAACAAAAACAAGTCAGACTTAATTGATTGAAGGACTAGTGGACATCCAGTAAGTGTTCTGGACAAGTATATGTGCAGCAGGTAGCTTCAATTTGTTTCTTTCAAAAGTTATGGATCTTAGGGTGTAGTTTCCTCCTTCCCCTTGAACAGGACATCAAGTCACGTTTGCATCACCTAATGTGGCACCAGAAAAATGCAAGTGGCCAACAGCTTCGGTCACACACCTGTAGATTGCTGGGATCCTTGTAACTCTCATCAGATGCAATCTGCAGTTTCTCCAGAATCCATTTCTCCAATTCATCTGCATCCCGGCGAAACGACTGGAAGTTGTAAGAATCATCTAACTTCTGGCGTCTCAGATTAGAGAGCTCTTTGAACCGCCGGTACCTGGGATGAGCAAGTACAGCATATTCTCAGACAAGCACAACATAATCCTTGCACCACTTTCTCTATTCTTCCCTCTATGCTCCACCACTCACTATGGCTGATCCAAAACTATCCACGGGAATTACGTGTGTAAATGTCCCGAGATTAAATATTTAATACCTTCTGTAATGGCAACAAAATTATCTGTACGAAAAAGGGTGGGGAGTGGGATGCAGGTATAAATAATGGGAATTATCCTCCAACCATAAATGATAAGAGAGACTATCTTTGGAATCTCTCTGAAATCAAGCAGAACCAGATCATCTATTCTTCTCATCAAGCAAGAAGTGACAACTTTCTTGTGGGTCACTCAAATCTAGCGTTCTAACAGAACTTAACCTGTGTGGAAAGGTATTTGTTAGGTCAGAGTATGAATGGATACGGGGTAAGGGCAGGTATTTGGATTTAAGATCAGCCATGATGTTGTAGAATGGGGGAACAGGCTTGAGGGGCTGAGTGGCCTACTCCTGTTTCTAACCAACCGAGGAAACACTCCTTGGGAGTGACTGGAAGCCAAAAAAACGAAACCCCCCCACAATTTCTCAGTTTGAATTTTAGAGCCAAGCCACTCAATCTAGCAGTGAGGCCTTTTGTAATAGAATATTTACAACGAATGACAATACATTTTCTTTCCTTATTTTTGCTTTAATTTACCCAGACAAGAAAACCTTGCAAATTAATAATCAACAGATAATTTATACTTCAAGTTCACTTTGATTGCGAATCTGATTCAACTCACGAAGTACTCTAAATGTATATATTTTTTGAGGTTTCATATACAGTAATCCTATTAAAAGGAAGCAAATTAGCAAAAAAAACTGGAACTAATTATTAGTTCTATACCTCTGCTCCAAGTTCTTAATTACACTTTTTCCAAAACAGCACATGCATCCACTAGTGTTCTGTAGTGTAGTTAATGCTCATCTTAGTGGCAACTGCCAAATAGTTAGAATAGGTTTAGCAGAACAAAATATCTTCTGTGTCCCACCCCAAGAGAGAGAGATGACTCAATCTTGGGGCCAAGTACAAAATAATTAAGTTCATCCCGACTACAAACGACGCTAGGTGCAACAGAACCAAATCGCAGAGCTATTACCATTTAGAACAAGATTTAAAATGTTTTTGCTGTTTCACATTTTCAAGAAATCAGCAAGAAGTTACATTTTTTACCTCTAAACAAAACCCTAAATGAAAAGGGCACTTTTCATTAAGAAAAAAAACATACCTGTCCAGCACCTGCTGACGTCTTTCATGGATGTCATCTGCCGAGTCTAGAACCTTTGTTCCAGAGGAATCCATTTTCTGTTGAGAGCGGGCGGGGTCAAAAATACAAAAATGGTTTAATTTCATGCAAACTGATCACTTGCACTGAAAAAGAGCGTAGTCTACACAGTTTACTTCCACTGGTTTCTTATTTAGACATTAGGATAACTAAATCCATCCTAATGGATATGCCCTACATTTAATCTTTGATTTAGCTAATTCAGATTAACACAAATTATGCAGAATAAAGCATGCAATCGTTATCAATATATACAAAATATACGATTAAATCTGCCCAAGTGTGTACCTTTCTGTACAGTTGCTTGCTTCACCAGATTTAAGTAATAATTAAAAACAAGTGTTCAGAATCACATAACAGAATACAAGTACAACTCCTAGAAGGGTGGCTTTAGATTCCATACATTCCAAAGCAGCAAGACCACACCCCAGATATTGCTGCCAACATACAACTGCTTAGTGGCCTTTGAGCTTCCATACTAATTCTACAAATTAGAATAATGTTATATCACACACTTATCAAATTTGATTACTGATGCAACATGACATACTTATCAAAATATTAAATATTTCCCCAGTTGAATTTCAGTCCACACTCCAGTCACCCACATTTGCACGGCTGTACATTTCTTATTCAGAAAAATACAAAAGGCTAATCATTCTGGTTTCAATCTCAGTTCGAAAAGCATTTCTCCATGTAACACTTGCCATAAAAAAGTTCATCACAAACCTCCTTTGCAGCATTATAAATCTGTCTTCCAAAAGCCAATTTACAGATCATAAGAACTGTTGCAGTCATCACTCTCTTCACAAATACACGTCAGCCGCGCTCCTACACACATCGTACAAGAAGTGATGTCGGTAGTAACTTGGCAACCGAGTAGTTAGCAATGTTTTAGCGCAAGAAACTACTTGGTCCATTAGAAGGCATAAAGTTACCAGATCTACATCTACGAAAAAGCAAATCTAGCAAGACGTCAGTGGTAACCTAATGACTTGGAAATTGTCCATATTTTCCTACTCACCACGGTAAGATTCAAAGCATCAGGAACTAATGCAATATCACACACTAATCAAAAATGTGAAACGTTTCCCCAGCTGAATTCTAGTCCACTCCAGAGTCCAGTCACCACATCTATATTTCCACTGCTGTATCCTTCTTACCCAGAAAAATAACACAAAGGCTAATATTCTCGTTTCAACTTTAGTTCCAACAACTTGCATTTAAAACAACAAGGTTACATTTTATAGCGCCTTTCACGTCGAGAGGACGTCCCTCACACAGTCCCAGAGCGCTTCAATGAGCATTTCTCCATGTAATGCCTGCCATAATACACTCATCATTAAACTCCTCTGCAGCATTATAAGTCTCTATACGAAAAAGAAAATCTAATTTAGAAGCAAAAACTAAAAGACAAATATCCCAAACACATTTTACTTCAGTCTTCAGGAATGGTGACAAACAGGTTATGTTTTCAGAACCTTATGTCTGTTTACTTAAGCAGCAAAACCAAACTTGCATCAATATGATGTGGTCAATGACAGTTAGAAGGCAACGGTGCTAGTCTGAGTATTTATAATAATCCTTGCATTTGATATAGCACCTTATCACATCTTTGGAACACCTCAAAGCACTTCACAGAACGTACTGTATATTTTATGGGCGAAACGTAGCAGCCAATTGCACACATCAGTGTCCCACAAATAGTTGTGGATTGCGCGACCAATTTATTATTCATTTATTTCTGAAGGAACATATTTGAAGGCAACCCCCTAACCGTTTTCTTAAACACTCTGAATAAAATTTTTGATCCACGATGCCAAGATTGTCCAAATGTAGAAAGAAAAGCTAATTCAAGTGAAAAACAGTTGGACAACAATCTCTAGCTTTGCAGCTTCGACTCATTCCAGAATATATCACCATTCCAGAATATATCACTGTTATTATGGATGAGATGTTCAGCAAACTAGCACTTTTTATCTAGTGTCCACCACAACAGAAAATCACTCCTCTTTGTTGTTTCTAATCTTCTATCTGAATCCATTCATGACAGCAAAGCCTAGTTGAAAAACAGTAATGCATCACATTAATCACCCTGTTCTGAATTCTATTCATACTGGACCAAGGATAGCTCTTCATAACTTTTCAAACAACATCCTTTAAAAAACACAGCTGCACTCACCCACTCTCATTCCCCATAAAGAGAGACAAATTTCATCAACCAATCTATTGCATCCGTTGGCTCATTCAGCACATCTTAAGCAAACAAGAATATTTTTCCTACACAACCCTAATACGAACTGGAAAATTCCAGATCATTCTGGAGAGACAGCCAGCAATACATTCCAATTGTCCCAAAGGTTTGCTTGTCAGGATTAGACAAATGAGGCTATTATTTATTCCAACGAATCACGGTATCAACTTCATTACTTCATCTTTTGAAAGATTACTTATTTGCCCATTTGCTAGTTAAAATATTTCTTAGTTACTCTTTATTTTAAGTACACTATGCTATGCAGCAGCAGAGTGCAAACAAAATGCTTTATATTTTTCGCAGTTTAAGTAATCAACCTTTTTCATTTGAAGTGTTGAACCCGTCTGTACCAAAGCATTCAGTCAGCATTTCTACTGTGAATCAGCTGATGTAAGCAGTATTTTACTGCATTGGCTACTGCGGAGATGTGACAAAATAAATCTACCAGAATAAAAAAACACAACAACGGCATTTAGCTTTAGTTCAAATATGAAAGATGAAGAGTTTGGTTACTCCCACCATTCCCATTTACAAAACATGTTTGTCCAATTATCTGGTACAGACCAGAAAATTGCAGGTTCAACTCTTGTGCTGAGTTAGCTGATCTCAGCTGAAGCAGTAGTTTGCGCAGGACAATTGGCCACACTGTCCTGCAGTTATCCAGCTTGAAATGTATGTGGATTTCAGATGAGCGTAGGAATGGGCACAATTATGATGCCCACTCCTCACCCCTCATTACGCACACCAATATACAAATAAAATTATCTTTTGGTACAATACTGAATTTGGACGAGTAGAAAATTAAATTACTGCTGATATGGAACACTACGTTCGGTTCACATAACCCTCCACCTTCAATGTCAAAGTAGATCACATACTGATAGAAAGGTTAATGCTGCATTCCAATGTAGTTTGTTCACACTGCCATTTCCTACAGGGCAACAGCAATAAACTGTGCAGCGTACAAAGATCGGCTACTCCCAGTGCAATCTGGCCCAACCTGATAAAACAGCTGCTTGCCAGAATGTTCCACCCAGTATACCAGAAATGAAAGCTCAGAAAGCCAAGATATGTCAAACATTTTCAGAAAAAAACTCTCACCAACAGTGAGGTCTTAATCATGGAGCGAACCTAATAAATATATTCAAACATTTCTCTTCTAAAGACGGTATCTCATACTGGTTCGTCAGGCACTCTCATCCAAGTGGGAATTGTGTAACCGAGATAGTGTGTATGCCAGACTAGTTGACCATTCCTTGCACAGAATATATAGTTTATCCTACCAATGATGCTACATTTCATCTTGAGGGGTGTATAAATACTACGGGTCCTTGAAATTCCCCTTCCCTGACAAATAAAAACAAGCAAAACTCATATTTATCCTATCCAAATCGTTGTTAAGCCCTGACCCTCTTCTCCTCACCCTCTCAGTAGTCATCATTCGCCTACAGGATACACAGTCACTTCACTTTGCAGTATATCCTTGTGAACCAAAGACTCAGCGCTTGTTTGAGGTGAGAAAAATGTCTGTGCTCCGGCAACTCATTGGGTTGCCACAAAGACACCTCCCGCGCAGCATTGCCTTCTGATTACAACTACACAGGAAGTGACGGGCGAGGGGTCACAGGAGAATCGCGCTATAAAAGGGGCAGCACTATAACAAAGTACCTAATGATACACCGGTGTGATTAAATTCCAAGGGTAGTACGATAACAACTTACAAAACAATTTGTGAGCTGGCACAGAAATGAAATTGTTGCTCCAAACCACACAATCTCGATTAGTCACAGCTCACGAAAACCAAACCTTGTCAAACATGCAGCCATGCATCACACAGTGATCGCAACCCAAAACATTCCTATTAAAATGCAGTAGTAGTACACACCAATGCGAAAATGCAGCCGGCTGCATTGCACACGCATCACACATACAAATTACCTGCAACTTGGTTTTGCGGAATGACGACAACATGTTGGGACGATGCTCGCTGTTTAATAAACCAGTTACTATTTTATAGCATATGTCAATATACTAAATTAGAGCATAGTATTTCACAAAACGCATCGAATCTATATACAGACAGCTTTCAGCTTTGTGCTGTAAAAGACCATTTTGCAAATATCATACAATTTTTCCAGTTTTTCCACACCAGTTGCTGAGTTTTCAGATGCATGTTTTCTGTTCATAATTTACAGACAAAAAACAATATGAGGCGCTCCAATCACAACCAGTTTTTTTCATATAAAGAGTTCTTAGTTTCATATGCATCAAAATTCACAATGAGATTCCAGGGCTCTCCTGTGACTAGTCTAATCTATTCTCAGGTTTAAACTATAAATTATAAAAGTATCTTACATTCATTTTTTTTAAAAAACTGCCTTTATATCTTTAAAACAGTTAAAAAAAGGAATGATTATTTCCCGACAGTTTGGTTATAAACACTAATGTTACCCTGACCTTGTTGGGCACTGCCCAATTTTGCAGTGGCGCAGTAGACCTAATAGGTTTACTGCAGCATTCTCTTCCAGCCCACAATAAATTTCTCTTTTTTTTGAAAAAATACAGCTCTTATCCAATCCCATCGAGCCACTATCTTTTAGGCTGCAAGTATATTCCTCCTCAAAAAAAACTCACACTCTAAAACCCTTCCACAATAACCCTTCCATCTTAAAAAATTATACATGCAAAACAAAACAGTCAATTCCTATTAAATGTGGTCGTATTTTGTAATATAAAAAAAACTTAAGGCAAATTATAGTCTATGTTCAAACACCAATTTCATTATAAATTCCAACCATTACTGACTGTGCTATCCTCTTCAAACGACAATATGAATTTGTTCCCGTGTCCTTTTCTCCATTGCACTATATATACCCACTCAAGTATAAAATATTCCCCTCCTCGATTCTTGTAATAACTTGATTACGTATGCAACACATTTATATTAAAAAAGACTGCACATTTTTTATTTTCTTTACACTGCTCCACATTAAATAGAGCAAGGCAATTTATGGTATCCACGCTTTTCAAATTCTTTCCAGTTATGTAAGTCTTCCCAAGGCTTTTATAAATGAAGTTGATGTCATACAAAGCCAAAGTGCAATGATTAAATACATTGAGTGTTCCAAAGTCTTGCATTACCCATTTGCATTAGAGTCAACAGATCCTTATTAAAAATGCTCTTTACTTCTGCAAATTATTATGCCTACAAATAGTTATTATCAATATTTGCTATTCAAGAGGTTTGTTGAATAATGAAATCTCATCAGTTACCTTGTGCATAAATTCTGAGAGAAAAGGACATTAGAATAGATTATGCATTTTTTCAATCCCTTGGACTAAAAGCTGCTCATTTGATTTCGGGGGGAAATAAAATAAAGAATAAATATCTGTCTATTCACGATGGGCCGAATGACCTCCTTCTGTGCTGTATGATTTTATGATTCAGCACAATGATTATTGTTATTTACCTACAATTTGCATTGTAATTTATAACCTGCTGCCCCACCCTGCCATCGCTCTCAATTTTTGTAAAGGACAATAAAGCTTCTTTTTTTAACCTGCTTTAACATTAAATTTAAGCAGAAAAAACGCGATTTAGATTGGATTTTCTAACACAACGCATTTGTAGGGAATATCGCAAAGAAATCACAATCAACAAAATAAGATTTTTTTTCTAACACTAATGCTCTGTGCAACTGTCGCTAGAATCTTTCAAGGATCAGCGCCAATGCAATAATACTGGAATGGGGGGAAAAGGGGCTTGCTCTATTATTTTGCCTTTTTAAGTACTTTCATTAATCTCTATTTCGATCGCTCTCTCCCCCCCTCCATATAACCTTGCAATATTTTGAATAACCTGCTGAAAATTGACAGTCTACAAATGCTCACCATCTTCAGTATCCTTGTTTGGTCGGATTATGGTGGGTTTGGGATTATTATTATTATTCCTTTCACTGTCCACTTCCCCCTCCCTCCCTTTCCCCTGATAATTCTGACTGTCAGCCATTAAAAACGTTTACGCTCAATTTACGTTAGTTTAATGTTAAATCTAACAAATATTTTTTTTTAATTTAGATCGGATTTTTCCAGCACAACACCTTCATATCATAGGCAACTCATCATCTTCAACACAACGAATGATTGCTTCTAACACAAACACTGTGTGCAAAGCAGCTGTTGCTGGAATATTTTCTTCTGGTGCAAAATACCGCATCACCCTTCTCTTCAACCGTGCCTTCAGCTCCCCTCTCGACTCTCCAACCCCCTCCTCGCTCCCCTCTCGACTCTCCAACCCCCTCCTCGCTCCCCTCTCGACTCTCCAACCCCCTCCTCGCTCCCCTCTCGACTCTCCAACCCCCTCCTCGCTCCCCTCTCGACTCTCCAACCCCCTCCTCGCTCCCCTCTCGACTCTCCACCCCCTCCTCGCTCCCCTCTCGACTCTCCAACCCCCTCCTCGCTCCCCTCTCGACTCTCCAACCCCCTCCTCGCTCCCCTCTCGACTCTCCAACTCCCTCCTCGCTCCCCTCTCGACTCTCCAACCCCCTCCTCGCTCCCCACTCGACTCTCTCTACCCCCTCCTTGCTCCCCACTCGACTCTCTCTACCCCCTCCTCGCTCCCTCCCCTCCTCGCTCCCTCCCTTCCCTCCCCTCGCCCTGACCATTTCCCCCCACTGCTCGGGTCCCGACCCAACTGTCCAGCGCCTCTGGACGTCCTCCCGACGTGAAAGGCGCTCTATAAATGCAATCCTGTTGCTGTTGTTGTTGCTGCATTCCTCCCACCCACATCCTGCACCCAGAGAGAGAGAGAGAGAGAGAGAAGAGAAAAAGAAATCTGCCCAAATTCTCCTGTTACAAGTGTGAGTAACTGGGGCGGAGGGAATGAGGAGAAGGAAAGCGAAGAAAGGTTCAGCTGATGCATCGCCACCACCATCTTCCTCTTACCTTCTCTCCCAAACCCAACCCACCCACTCAACAACCCCCACCCACCCCCCACCCTCAAAAAAAGCCCAACATTTTTTTTTGGGGGGGGAGAGAAAACAACAAGATTTTCTCTCAGGAATGCTCTAAAAACGCTGAGAGTTAATGTGTGTGTACACATATATATATGTACACACACATATATATATATAGATATATATATATATGTGTGTGTGTGCATGTTTTGGGGCTCCCTGACTGACCTTGTCGCGGTCAGAGCCGCAGGAAAACCCTCCCCCGCAGCCATTTTAAGGCTCGTTGTGGTCGAGAGAGTGAGAGAGAAAAAAAACACACAACACACACCACGAAAACAAACGGGAGAGGGAGGAGGACCCCCCCCCCCCACCCCCCGACCGACTTATCTCTGACAGAAATATATATAATATATACAAAATAAATAAGGGCATCGAACGCCAATTTCGAGAAGCCCAACCCCCCGCCGTGCAAAGGAAAGGACATTCGCCATCGTTTTACCACCACATTATTTGACCACAACCTGACTTCTTTCTGGCGGTTGGGACACAGAGAAAAAAAGCTCAGGGTTTTTTTTTCTCTCCCCCTTCCCTTCCCTCCCACTTGTCAACTGACAGTTTAAAACGAAGACCTTCAAATCATTATTATTTGTTTAAGTTCTATATTCCTTCACTCCCTCTCTCTCTCTCTCTCCCCCCCTCTCAGTGTAACTGGGCGTCAACGTCCCCCCCCCCCCAAAAAAAAACCCCGAATTTAAACAGATTTAAAAAAAACGGTTTCATTTCTCTCTCTCTCATTATTATTATTTCTTATTCCTCTCTCCCCCCCCACACCCCAAACCCCTCTCCTCGCCCCCCCACCCCCCCCCCCGCCTCCATTTCCTCCCCCAGGGGGGGGAGGGGGGGGAAACCTCTTCAACCCTTTAACAGAAAGAAAAAAAAACCTGAAAAGAGACGACAACGTTAAAAACTTTCTAATCGAATCCTAATCCCCCCTCCCACCGCCCCGGTTTGTTTTTAATTGAACGGGACATTAAAACTAAACCGACCCCCCACAAATTTTTTTAAAATTTTTTTTTGATTAATATAAAAGATGCAGTGATTTTGAACGTAGAATTTACAGTGTCTGACAGTGTAAGTCAAGCCCCCCCCCCCCTCACACACTCCCTCACCCCCTCCCTCAGTGTGAGCACCTACCAGAGGGTGCAGTAGCTTCGCTCTCCGCTGCAGACTCTCCGGGTTCGACTCCCGCCCCGGACCTTTTTCACTGACTGTCGGCGGTGATGTCACCCTCCGCAGCCACCCGAGCGGCGGCTTCGGCACTTTCCGGCGCCGAGCTCCGACGGGAGCTTCGGCACTTTCCGGCGCCGATCAGCCTTCGGCACTTTCCGGCGCCGAGCTCCGACGGGAGCTTCGGCACTTTCCGGCGCCGATCAGCCTTCGGCACTTTCCGGCGCCGAGCTCCGACATGGGCTTCGGCACTTTCCGGCAATCCATTGGCAACACGTCCTTATTTGTGGACTGGGCATGAAAATGACTTGTGCCTAATTTTTAAATTTTTTTTAAACGTAAACCTGCAAAATATATATATATATCTTTTTTTTTTCCTTTTAAGGTCTCTTCTTACGCGGTTTCAGAAGCACTACCCTAAACTGGCCACTCTGTTACCCGTTGGGAGGCAATAATAATAATAATAATAATCCTTGCATTTGATATAGCGCTTTTCACGTCAGGGAGGACGTCCCAAAGTGCTTCACAGAACACACTGTAAAGTGAATTGACTGTATATTTGTGGGCGAACGCGGCAGCCAATTGCGTACAGCAATGTCCCACAAACAGTCGTAGATCGATAATGACCAATTTTAATGTTTTGGTTTTGGAGGGATTATTATTAGGCTCTGTGTGGAGTAAGGAAACTTGCCCAAGGTTTCACCCTCTGCCTGGAATTGAACTCAGGTCTCTCGCTTGCAAAGCGAGTGCTCTAACCACTGACTCCAATGTATGCAATAATAATAATCTTTGCATTTGATACAGCGCTTTATCACGTCGCAAAGTGCTTCACGGAATATCCTGTAATACGGATTGACTGTGTATTTTTAGGCAAATAAGCAGCAGAGTGGCCAACGTAGGTGACATATCACGTATTCCTTCCTGGCCAAAATTTTGGAATGAGTCATTGCCAATCGACATCACTCACACCTCTCCCTCCACTCCATACTCGAACCACTCCAATCCGGTTTTCAGCCTGCCCAGCGCACAGAAACAGGGCCTTTCGCCAACCACCTCTGGCAAATGCAGTCGCATTTATTCCACGCCTGGTAGTTCAGCATCTTGTCAGCAATTACTGTCTTAAGTGTAGGAGTTTCCAGTGTAGGAGAGCGCAGGAGAGAATTTGAATTAAATACTGCATGTGCAGTAAAGTGACTCACCTCTTGGATGAAAATAACTTGCTGTTATTTATTCACTTACTTCAGGTTTGTCTACCACAGCTTTATGGGAATGTGCTTCAGAATATCTCCTTTCTACACTCCCATCGGAGGACTTCAGTCTTTGTGCCCAGTGGTTCTCGATCAATAGCAATCAATGCTTCCCTAGCTATTCTTTCCTGTTTTTTTCCTCCACTCCACTCTCTCATACCCACTCTGGATTCACAACACACATTTGGAAACCTTGCAGTAAAATCTAGATTTTTTTAAAATAGAAAAAAAAATCACAACTTTTTAATGCATTCAACATAAGCAACGTAAATTATCCTTTACATTTTTCTTGAAAAAAAGGTCAACATCCCTCCATCCCATCATGCAATTATTTTCTTCCTTTCCAGTCTCATAGCTGAAAGAGCGAGTGACCTGCCTAGACAACTAATGGGCACAAATCAACATCGCTGAGACTTGGAACTGTGCAATGGGGACATTGTGCTGGTTTGGGTGGAAGGGATGAGGGAAACAGAGACACTGACTTGTTCACCTACATTTCAGTGAATAGTATCTCTGGGCACACTCACTAAACCACTACCTGCTCATTCAGTATTAGGCTGGTATCAGAACCATCTGGTTTACACATGACTTGCTTGGTTGAAGCTGGAGTCACTTGCAGTCAGATCAAGTACTAAAAACAATCTACAATGTAGAAGTAGATGGCTATGAGGCAGAGCTAAATGGGTCACTTCGTTTGCATATTTGTGCCGTTTTCGTCATCACTTTCGATTCGAGACACTTTTACAGAGAAAAACAAACTCAAGTGATCGCAAGTACCAATCTAGTTTGACAATAAGACGGAACTAGACTTCAATCTGAATCTAGAATTTGAGTCACCATGCAAAAAATACAGTATGTACAAATTATTCTGATGCTTTCTAACCTCTGGATAAAATTTAAGAACTGTAGTATATAATTGCTGAATCTTTAAAAGTTATATCAAATGGCATTTAACGTTTTGGTAACCAAAAAATAAAATTTGCACTAATATTTAAAATTTTAGGTCACCTCCCGCTTTTGTTGACAATTCAAATTAGACCGTTGTGACAACCTGTGACTTCCCTTTTGAAATTCTTAAATCTTTATTTAATTGGTAAGTTTGTGAGCTAAGAATAGATGTAATACTATTAATACGTGAGAATGAAGCTCAGTTCCCCTGTTACTGCTACTATTTGGCACTTCTGTGTCATAAGAAATCTACTAATCGCTCTTGCACCATGTTATCTACTGTAAAGCTGTGATATCTCACTATTCCATGTCTTTTCTTTCAACACAGATCAGAAAGCTAAAATGCCTAGGTAAAGAATCCTCAGTTAGGATTAATTTCAAATTGTGTTATTTATTGTTTGATATTTTACCAAGGTTTCAGCCTGAGTACAGAGCAAGAAAGTCTGTGGGATATATTGCACCCCTCTGTGGAATTATCACAGTGACTCAGACTGGTACCATACCCAGTAAATAATGGTGACGTAAATGAACAAAACAGTTTACATATTACACATGTAGCACCAGGCTACTTTGTACACATTTTATTCAATTTAACAGATTACTTTAAACACATAATCAGCCAAGTAAAAACAACTGTTAAAGGAATCAAATAACTCAGCTGTTCTCTGGCTATTTCTGTGGGGTCCACATTGCATCTCCATTACCTGATGCTGCATTGATAAATAGGTTAAATCCACGTTTCCTTAATATTTTCTTATGATATCCATTCACCCTGGGGATAATTCAGAGGGCCAGCACCGCTCGTATGCTTTCCCCCAAGTGGGTGTTCTTCATGTGTGAACCTTGAGTGAGTATTAGCAGGCAAGTCAATCTGTGTGTGTGTATATCCATGCAGAACTAGCTCGATCCTGCTCTCACCCTGCATCCACACACTTTCTAGCACGGGTCACCAGACAGTGATTAGCAACAGGTAACAAACATACTTTTCCTCTCTTGCACCCCAAGAGCACTTGAGACCCAATGGCAGTGCCCCCTCTGGTGTTTCAGCTGAGAAAAGCAAATTCAATCAGGGCTTAAACTAGAGACCATACGTATGTATGAGCCAGGGCCACACCATAAAAAATATTGACCCCAAACTTCTATTTTCTGAAAGTCAAGTTCCTTACCCATCACTGCAAAGTTAACAAACTGCAATGATATATGTATTTTATATATATAATATATAAACCTTATACAATATATAAAACACACACATATATAAACAAAACAGACCAATATGCAGTAACAGGTACAAAATTAAAGGTCATTAAGGAAAGTAGGTACAATACACTAGGGGTTGAAGCTACCCTGATGTATAAATCTTGCTAGCATGCACTTATCATGGGGAAATCCCATTATTCGCGCACACCACCAGGCTTAAACTTCACAGATGAGGAAACATGCGCCCTAGATTTCCTTCTTCAGAGAAAGTTAATAAATTCCACTATTAAATGCTACATTCCTTTGTCGGCCAAGTGAGATTACAACTAGTTGAGAATTGAACATTTCATAAATTAGGTTAGCTTTTAAGGTCACACCCGACACGTTAACTTACCTTTCCCTTACAAATGCTTGTGTTCCAGCACCTTATTCTTATTGTTCAATTAACATCTCCTTCCACCCCCCCACCAATAGACAACTCAAAGCACATCAAATACTGCAGCAAATTCATTTGATGGCTTTTGACAACTTTAAAATGACAATAACACATATTCCAGTCATGAGTACAGCATTTGTTTTTACACCTGTGTCGAACTCAGGGTACAAAGTCACACAAAGTGCACGTTTAATTTCAAAAAACGCCTCGGAAAAACAAATAGCCACCTATAGCTCTCAGTACTGAATGTAAAATGGGGATCCCAATTACCAGTGTCATATGGAGACACCGTCACATAATGAGTCCATGGATATCGCACACTTTCACATGATCAGTTCCATATAACCTGCACAATCTTTGTTCAAAACGTCCTTAAAAAAATACAGTTAATTGGTTTACTTTTGCGTAAGAAATAAGAGATAGCCTGGTACAGCATAAGCAATACTGGGCTACAATAATTTATATATGTTTTTCTGAGTGCATTCATTTTACGCTGTGCACCTTTTGTATTGAGGCAAATCTAAAGACTAAGTTCTGGCCAGTACAGCATCTGGCCTCTTTCCCAGCCCAATATTTAAATGCGGTTACATTAGAGTTTACAAACTGATTTGCACAAAAATAGATATACAGCAAAATTGACCCAGTTTACAATAAATAGATGAGGTTCATCTTCGGGCTCTTACCATTTAAAATAACGTGCTGACACAGCCAGTGCTGAACCTTAAGACAAAAAAAGACTGGAACAGCATGAAGCTTAAAATTGGCAATCACCACAGCTAAAAACAAACAAGCCTTCGACGTCTTCCATGAATCCAACGTTCCCAACACTTAAAACATTATTCTTAATGTCAATAGGAAATGAAGCAGCAGCTCCCATTTCCTAGCCCTGTTCAATCTAATGCGTTCGTTTGCTCATGTTCTCCAGAACGAGGGCTGCAAGTAACCCTTTGGTAAAGGAATTTCTCGGCGATCCAGGCACTTCTGCAATGCAAAGGAAAACCGAGAGAAGTCAACAAGAATTCCAAGGATGGCATTGTTCCCAGTACAAATCTTATTCATAGAATCAAAGAAATTTACAGCACAAATGGAGGCCATTCAACAACAACAACTTGCATTTATATAGTGCCCTTCATGCAGGGTAGCATCCCAGAGCCCATTCAGACTACCGTGACTGTGCTGGTTCTCCAATATAACAAATACACAAATTAAATAAGGTCCAGTTATTAATATAACTTTAAATAGATGGAAGTTAGTTTAGAACTTCTGTCCTTCTCCACCCCCCCTCTCAAAGACCATTGAACCGTGGTGTAAGTAAAGGCTGATGGGGGAGGAACAAGTTTCTGCAGTATTAAAGCAATACCAATCTGCACTTACAAAGTGCCTTTCACAGATGAGAATGTCTTGAAGTCCAGAGATGGAGTGGAAACCCAAGAAGGTAAGGGTAGGGGAGAAGAGCGAGGTTTGAGGGCCATCTCACAGGTCACTTATTGTTTTAGCCTGACAATGTGGAACACTTAGCATCAGATATATAAATTGCATCAAAGTGTATCTCAAAAGCCAGTGGCAGAAATACACCTCATTCTTCATAAGGGTGAATTATTTTGGAAAGATTGATTGGAATCAGGAGAGCAGCTTTGTGCACGCGACTAACACTCGCGTTGGGAATTGGATTCATCATGTTTAATCTCCCCTGCCGTGGGATGTGCAAGAATTAATAATAATATTAATAAGTCACACAAGTGGCAACATGGCTTACCTCCAGGAACTGGCGCAACCTGATTACAGCTCCAATCTGTCCAGACCCTGTAACGGATTCAATCCTGGAAGAAAACAAATCATTAAAAGTAAAGTGAAACTATTGCATCAATACGTTTCTGCCTGCACACAAAACAACTGCTGTGAGGCACACACTGCAGGGAACTCACTGTCATATTATTGCAAAAGTACTGTATAGCATATTACTTTCTCCTCTCCTAAGAATATGGTTGAAAACAATTCAAATGGGGACATTTGCTGAGACATAAATAAAATATGTCTAGACTATAAACTCATTCTTTGCTAGCTCAATACCTAGAGAAGTAATGATCCTTGATCAGGTGAATTTTCTTCCAGAACTGCATCTGATATTGTTTCATCAAGGCATAGCCACAGACCTGGAGGGAAAGCAACCAAGAGGTTAGACCACGGAATCAACCCCCTTCAGAACATCTCAGGATAACATACGAGGCTTGAGAAAGCAATTCCCTTTATTAGGAGCATCAAACCCACTGTACTAAGACAATATGTTTAATCCACTGCTTTCCAGGCCTACAGTAAACATTTCATAGTGATCCCTTGTGGATATCACTTTAATGTATAATACCTTGAATTCGGTGGCTGATGATACCATCGTCTTATTAGGTTGTCATGAGATTATTTATAATACAAATAATACTTGCAAAAACAGAATAATAATTCCTTAATGATCCTTGCATTTGATATAGCACCTTATCACCTTGTTGAGACATTTCAAAACACTTTATAGGATATACTGTAGTGGACTGACTGTATTTTTTAGCCGAAACGTGGCAGTCAGCAGCACACAACAATGGAGTCAGTGAGCAATTTGTGTTTAGGGGGATTGTTGGCCAGGACACCGGGGAAACTCCCTTCTCTTTTCAAATAGTGCCATGAGATCTTTAACATCCACCTGAACAGGCAGGTGGGATCTAGGTTTAATGTCTCATCTGAAAGATGGAATTATTGTTGGATGAGCCCAAATGTTGAGAGGTACAGAATCTAATTTTACTGAACCTATTTTTACACTTGATACTGCACCTATAACGTTGAATTGTCTCAAAGTCCATCACAGGGAATTCATGCTGTGCAGGGAGTGTACATCTGTAGGCAAAGATGGCAGCCAACTAGGTCCCACAAGCAATGGCAAGAATGACCAATCCACGTTCCATTGTTCCATTCCTCCATGTCCCCCCACGCCCCACAATAACATTGGTACATCAAAGCACATTCTACTGAATGCAATCTACTGATCAGCCAGAGTATAAACGAGCCCAAATCAACAGCCACACATCATTGTCGTACATGACACATGTATGCTAAATATCTGTCAGGTAAAGTGCAAGTAACAGAGAATGTTTCACTGTGATGTGAACAACGTTATACCTCTAAGAAGTCAAAGAGTAGGGTTGCTGTAATGTCAGCCAATGGTTCCATGTTTAACATCTGAGCCAGCCAGCGCCAACCATGATTCAGTCCATGAGGATGCACCTGTGCAAATTAATAACAACAACAAGATTACACTTGTATAGCGCCTTTCATTTTGGGAGGATGTCCCAAGGCGCTGGACAATGTACAGCATTTCAGACCCGAGCTAGGATCAGGGGGAGAAGGGAGGGGAGGGGAAGCGGGGTGACCAATGCATGGTCGAAGAGGAGGGTTTTGAGGCAGGTCTTGAAGGAGGCTAAGGAGGGGGCGAGGCGGAGTGATTGGGGGATGGAGTTCCAGAGGTTGGGGGCAGAGTGGTAGAAGGCTCTCCTGCCAAAGGTGGATGGGGTGGGTCAGTCGATATGGAGCAGGCTGGAGCCAGCTGAGCAGAGGGAGCGGGCGGGTTGGTAGGGGGTTAGGAGATCACAGAGATAGGGTGGGGCAAAACCATTGAGAGCTTTGTAGGTGAGGACCATAAATAGCACATAAATACTGCAGTTATGCACAACATTCAATCCACTTACACATCAAACCGTACATATTATGCAAGGCTATCGCAATACAATTTACAACATTCAAGTTTCTTTTTAATTATCTGTTGACACTTGACTGAACTCTTGACAGGCTTTCAAAACAAGCGATTTCTTCTGTAGCAAGCACACAGATTAATCATTACACATACACCACACACACAGACACACATGCACACATTGTAATGTTATGTGCCTCAAAGCTGAAGGACATGGGTTCTCCACACTGGGAGTTCCTAGACTCAGCTGTGCTACCTACAGTCAAATGCAACATTTACCCTATAAGAAGAAAGTCAGTGACAAGCTCACCCCAGGCTCCTATTGAATACCTTCATCATGGAACAGTACTGACATACCAAACACTCCATCATTTATACTTTAGTAACTTCAACAGTCTCACCTACCATTGTACCGATTTAGATTAAGGCAGAAATTCAATCCCCATCGAAAATCAGATCCATTTTGTTTCAGAAAAATGTCTCCATTTTAAACACAAAACCGAATATTGCAACATCGAATTTACGGTCTTTGAATCTCAATTGCTCCAATTTTTCTTTGTTGAAATCAGTGGAACTCAAAGCACAGGCAAATTGTGCTTTTTAAACCCCCTACGGTTGAGATATTAAAATGTAATGTTTGCAGAACCCAATTTAAATTAATCACAATGTAGCCCATTGAACCAGAATGTTACACACCAGAGAATTGGAATTTTTAATGTCTCCAAATTAAAGAGGTTTAAAATAGTACATTTTGCTGGAGCCATGGGATCCAGTCAGTGCTACTCACAGAAAGTGGTGCGTAACTGCAACGTAACAATAATAATAATCCTTGCATTTGATATAGCGCCTTATCGCGTCGTTGAGACGTTTCAATGCGCTTCACAGAATATACGGTAAAGTGAATTGATTGTGGGAGAAACGCAGCAGCCGATTGCGACAGCAGCGTCCCACAAACGGTCGTGGATTGAAATCAAATTTTTTTTGGATTGATCTTGGTCACTGCAAAATGGAGCAGTAGCTTGTTATTCAAAAAAGGATGAGGCAGAATTTTGGTGACCTAATGCCGAGGCAAAGCAGATTCTCTACGAACATTTGTACATACCCCTTGTTTTGATCCATAAGGCCACCTCATCTGTATGATGGCGGCATACAGGCGGACCATCCCTGACATCCGTTTCAAAAAGTTGTCCTGTTGCTCAACACCGTTATCCAGGACTCGATAGCCCAGTAACCTACAGGGAAACCATAATAATACTACTACAAACAATAATAGGCTGAAGCTTAATTGCAAAATGAACATTTTAATCCTAGAAATAAAACCTCTTACCCCAAGCTTTAATAGCAGCAATGCTACAACTGAGCCAGCTGACACAGAATATAGAACGTACAATTCTGACAACAATCACCAATTAGGAAGCTGTACCTCTGATACTCTTCTTTTGGTAATCCCTCCTTCCACCCAGGGAAAAATGGAACCGCATAAGGGCATTTTCGGTGCAAGTGAGCCAAGAAAAGGTCGCCAAACTTTGGATGCAACTCCCAGATCCCAGAAGCCACGACCGCTATGGGAAAGGCAGCCTCGTAGTGAGACGCTACCTCCTCCTCCCCTTGTTTCTGCAAGTGAAGAATTGCCATTAGAGAAGTAAATCGCGTGAGACCAGAACACACCTCACTGTGCTTTGGCTCTTAATCGCAGATGGATTAGATTTTAGACATAAAGCCTTACAACACCTTAATCAGGTAGCAAAATTGTCAGCGACTTAAGATATAATAATAATAATAATCCTTGCGTTTGATATATCCCCGTAAAGTCCTGTCAGTACCTTGATCCTGGAGTTAAACATGTCACAGAGTTGTAGGACATATAAAAAAGATATAGGAAAAAGTCAAGTGAGACTGAGCTCTCTGTCAGGGATTATAAAATTCAGGGATTCTATGACTTAGATCTTTCTCCACAAGGGGGCTGCCTGTTAGGTACATCACATTTCCCAGGACAAAGGGCAATGGAGGAATCAACTGGGAGAAGTCGATTAAGAGATATTTTTGTAAGTATAGGAAGTGGAGTAAGTCAGATGTGCCAGACACGGTGATGGATTCTGACAGTGATCCAGCAATTAGCCCAGTTGCTGTTTAACAGGAGCTCAGACGCTCAAATCAGTGTCCCGCAGTCAATCGATGTAGGCCTTGCTGGATCTCTCTGCTTTCATCTTTTTTAAAAAAAAGTATTGAATAACATTGAGATTGTACTCCAGCTATGCCCTTACATAGTATAGTACATATTTGTCGGTGTTTTTAATTTGTCCTTTAGCTCACACTGTGTGAGCGCCTTGGGCCGTCCTCCCCGACGTGAAAGGCGCTTTATAAATGTAATTTGTTGTTTTCTCACCACAAATTTTTCTGCCAATTTGTAGCAGACAAAGTCCAGGCCTTGTGGGTGCTGTGTGACTGAGACCATCTTCCCACCAGATAGGGTTTGCTTGCCTAAGAGCAGGTTATTAATTTTATCGAAGATTTCACGGAGGTGATACCCTGCAAAAGCAATAGGAAAATGATTGTAATTATTTCTAGATCAATTTACAGTTTATGAATCATAAAATGTAACAATTGCATATCAGTGTATCCTTTAACTGAGCCCAGCTGTGGACTGTAGTGTGTGTTCCTTAAAAAGGGAATAGAAAGATACTTATGAAGAAGGGGTATTAAGCTATGCGGAGAGCGGGAAAGTGCCAGGGAACAAAAATGGGAATAGTAATTAATAACCCTTGCATTTGATATAGCGCCTTTGAAGTTGGGAGGACGCTTCAAAGCACTTCACAGGATTCACTGAAAAGTGTTGCGACTGTGTGTTTGCAGGCAGCTAATTTGCACACAGGAGCGTCCCACAAACAGCCACGAAGGGAATGACTGATTTTATCTGGAGGATTAGCAGCCGGGATACCAGGAGAAACTCTCTTCTCTACTCCCAACAGTGTCAATCAGATGGGACTGCGTGGGATGGAGTGTAGAGTGTATAAATGGACTATAGAGAAGATAAGCTGTCATCAGTTATGCTGCACTCACCTGAAATGGAGGAGATCTGGCCAACAGGAATTGTTGCAGTTTTCTGAAGTTCCATCTTGATTTTTTTGACCTGGAAATGGTAACACGTATATTCTGTTACCCAAGTCAACAACTACTAATTGATAAAAGAGGTTTGCAGTAATATCTGGAATAGTCATGCTAATCGGCTATTCGGCTGAAAAAAACAGCCAGGAGGCAAAGAGGGGGCAGAAGATACAAAACATTATTGAAACTTTACCCTAATGTCCTTGCTGCTGTTGAAATCATCAATCGATGCTGCACATTGGTCACATATATCCTGCAATTGCTGATACCACTGTAAAGTGCCGACATCTGCCCTCATTTGTAGCCCTGCCATTGAAACAAAGGGCATGAAAACAGATTCATCTGAAACTCTTTGCTTGCTGGTTAATGCAGTAGTACAGCTGAGATTTGGAACATCACCCTATTTACATAGATTTAAGGGGAAAATTAGACCAAAGAGAGATGTGAGAATTATTTTTTTAAATTTTTGTACAGAGGATTACTAAGACGTGGAATGCCCAATGCAGAACTGTGGTCAAGGCAGAATCGATTTTAAGAGGGAATTGGCTACATATCTGAAAAGAAGAAATATTAAAGGTCATGGGAGAAGGTAAAAGAATGGGACAAATGGGTAGATCTTTCAGATAGCAAGCACAGGCACAACAGGCCGAATGACGTCCTCCTGGTTTAAACGCCTATAGTACTATATAAAGTTCAGCGGCCTTCCTGACTCAATGTCACTGCATTGGCAGAGCAACTTTTCTTCCAGAATTAGTGATATAACGGCAATAAAATGTGCCAAGAAAAGTGTAGCTACTCAATAGGTAGGTTTCACGAATGCAATAAATACCTTCTTTACGACCACCGGTCTTCTGTTGAGGAGCTGGTGCTGGAATTTCCTTTTGGACTTCCTGTTTTTTCTGAAGCGCTTTCTCCTCTTCTTCCTTTAGCCTTTTCTTTTCCGCTAAGGCGGCAGCAATTTGGTGAAGCATCGCGGCAATCAGATCTCGCATTTGCTGCAGGGCTCGCTCTGCGTTCAGCATGTCCTCCTGAACTGGCAATCCACCCTGCAGGGTGCCCAGGCTACCATTAGGTCCATTAGGCAACAATGGTCTACCTGTACAACTCACTTAGTCCAACATTAAGCAGAATTCACCGCTATTCTTAAATTTTTTCCCCTCATTCTTCTTTTGAGCTCCATTAGCAAACACACTTCTTTGTTTTGACAATCATCAAATTGCAAGAATATCAAGAATTATTCATTTACCCCCCTGCTAAAGGCACTCCAGTTGGTTTACAATTGGGAGCAGGAAGCATAGGAGTAGGCGACTCAGACCCACGAGCCCGCTCTGCCACTCTATTGCATCATGACTGATGTGTACCTCAACTCCATTTACCCACTTTTGCTCCATATTCCTTGTCACACTGTAAAATGGGGGTAAATAAATCAAATTGGAAATGCAATGTAAATTACTCTTCTCTATTTACAGGGATGTCCCAAAGGTCAAGCATCGATTAATGCACCAGAATACACTGGCAGTCAATGTCGAGGGTCGGTCGGGCCGCACTATACAAACCTCTGATGTTGGTTTAATAATTCCTGACACAAGACTGCAAAGCTGATTGCCACGGTTAGTGTACACAGACAGATCCAACCCCACCAGTTCTTTGTGTTTGGAGTTCGGTTCGATCTGCATGTTGAGCTGCAGCACCTCCTCTTGGATGGCGTTGAGACGTCGGAGTCGCTCACGGCCCTCTGCCTGCCTCTGACGTTCCAGCTCCTCCTGTCGCTGCCGCTGCTGCTCAGCTTCCCGGAGTTTCAGGTTCAGATTCTGAATCAAACAAATAATAATAATAATCCTTACATATGATATGGCGCCTTATCACGCTGTTGAGACGTCTCAAAGCGCTTCACAGAATATATTGTAAAGTGAATTGACTGTATATTTGTGGGCGAAATGCGGCAGCCAATTGCGCACAGCAGTGTCCCACAAACAGTCGTGGATTGAATAACAAACTTTTTTTTGAGGGATTATTACCCCTGGAAAGCGATCTGTGAATCAACTAACAACTGGTTTCCTACTTACTGCTAGGTAAACAGAGGCGGGTGGAGTAAGGAAACTTGCTTAAGGGTTTGCCCTGCCTGGGAATCGAACCAGTGTTCTCTTGCTTGTGAGGCAAGCGCACTAACCACTACACTTTCTTGTCACATACCTTAGCCCTGCGTCTATGTTCTTCCTTTAGCTTTTCCTGACGCCCTTGAGCTTCAAGGGACCTAAAGCAGAATTTAAAAAAGAATATCACACTCTACTTTCGGTCTTATTTTCCACACATGAAGGCTCACATGGTGAGTCCATAAAAATTTTAATTGTACACAACGTGCCAGCAATTTTAAGACCTCTGTACATCCAAATAAATAATCGATTCATACACAAACACAAACAACAACTTGAATTTGCATAGCACCCCTCACATAACACCCCTCACAGAGGGTAGCAGCCCAGAGCACCCACACAAACACACTGCCCACCCCTTCTCCATCATGTCCCGCATTGCCTCAAACTCTTGCCGTCGTCTGAGTTCTAGCGATTCTTCGAATCGTTTCTTCTGTTCAGCTGCTATGTTGGAGAATCCCTGGACGGTTTCCTGCTGCAATTCCTGCCGATGCTTCAGCTCAGCCTAGCAAAGAAATCCAAATATCAGCATTATTCAATCTATTGGGCAATATCAAGATTGGATTCTTTTGTTGGCATTTCATTAAAAGGTGTAAATCAGAATTTTGACAGAGTAAGAATACTACATAAGTGTTACTGCTACTCTTCCAATGTTCTCTTTCTATCTCCACTTAGTAATAATAATCCTTGCATTTGATATAGCTCCTTATCACATCTTCGGGACGTCTCAAAGCGCGTCAGAGTATAGTGTAAAGTGAATTCACTGTGCGTGAGTGTGTGCATATGTATATATTATATATTATACAATAACATAGAAGCCCAGTACTAAACCTATACGCATATTTGCAGTTTACTACAATAACCTCACATAATTCGTAAAAGTTGGGACCATACATTTTATATGACTTATGCAAGGTATGACGTGTGAAACTTATAAATAATAGGAAATTCCAACGGGACATGGGCAGATGTACGACTTAGGGAATTATACAATTGATGCAGATGCGAGTTTTATTGTACACTCCCAAACCATAAGTAATATTTATGTTCATATCTGACCTTTCCCCGGATTCTGTGGACCTCCTCGTAAATTTTAACATAACCTTCGATCTTAGTGGCTTTGGGTGAAGACAGCATGAGGGCAGGTTCTGGATTTAACTCCTGTATCGCTTCCTGGAAACAGATTAAAAAGGAACAGGTTGAGAGAAACAACAGTACAAAGCTCTACATAATGGGTACAAGAATTGTGAATAAACAAACAAACCTTTGCCTCAACATCAACTTCCTCTTCTGTGCTGGGGACAGGAGAAGGAATCTGTGCCTCTGGCAGCTTATCATCAGGAGCGAGGCCATAGATCAGAGGTGTTGAACTGTCTGAAGAGGTGGAGCCCTGTAGAGGGAAGTGATCGAGGACCCATGCTGAGGCCATGGAGAGTTTGGGTGAGGATCTGCATTGTTCCAGTACATCCTGAGAAAGAGAAGAGTAAAATAAAAGCCCCTGCCCTACTGTACAATTTCTGTAGGAGAAAAGCAGCTAAAAGCAATACAATTTCACACGTGTTTGGGAAATACTGATCTCTTCCCACCCCATGATGCATATCTCCAACACTTTTCCTACCCCATCCATGACCCATGTCTCAAGACCTCTTCTACCACCCCACCCCCATCCCACACAATCGACATCTTCAAGCCTCTTTCTCTCCGTCTTTTACCTCCACGTCCTGTCCCACACAACACTCCCAAGGTCTAAATAAACCAGTGTTTTCATTATTTGAATGTGTGGGTAGTGTAATGGTGGGTGGGACTGTTGCTAAGTTTACTGTATCTTCTCTCTCTCTCTCTCCAAAACAACTCACGTTTCCTTCTTCCAGCCACTTCCTGTCGTACTGCAGTCGCCCTTTGCTCGAGTTCCTCAGCGCCTCCAGGGTCTCCCATCGCTTGTCCTCGGCCGGCATCTCTCCACAAAGACTGACTGAGGGGTCCAGAGGAGGAGGAGGAGGAGGTGAGGGGCTGAGGGAGATGGAAGGGGAGGAGGTGAGGGGCTGAGGGAGATGGAGGAGGAGGTGAGGGGCTGAGGGAGATGGAAGAGGAGGAGGTGAGGGGCTGAGGGAGATGGAAGAGGAGGTGAGGGGCTGAGGGAGATGGAAGAGGAGGAGGTGAGGGAGACGGAGGAGGAGGTGAGGGGCTGAGGGAGATGGAAGAGGAGGTGAGGGGCTGAGGGAGATGGAAGAGGAGGTGAGGGGCTGAGGGAGATGGAAGAGGAGGAGGTGAGGGAGACGGAGGAGGAGGTGAGGGGCTGAGGGAGATGGAAGAGGAGGTGAGGGGCTGAGGGAGATGGAAGGGGAGGAGGTGAGGGAGACGGAGGAGGAGGTGAGGGGCTGAGGGAGATGGAAGGGGAGGAGGTGAGGGGCTGAGGGAGATGGAGGAGGAGGTGAGGGGCTGAGGGGATGGAGGAGGAGGTGAGGAGGAGGAGGAGGTGAGGGGCTGAGGGGGACAGAGGAAGCGAAACTCCCGCCTGACGCCAATCCTCGTCAACAACCGTCCGCTCCCAACACTTCCGTTTCCGGGTCAAGCGCAAAAAAAGCCCCGCCCACACCCCCCCCACCCCCACACAGGCTCTGTGGTCGCCATAGAAACCGGGCAAAAAGTGGTCCAGACTCACAAATGCTCGGGGTGATGGGGGGTGTTAATGGGGAATCTCAGACACAATGCTCAGCTCCAGCTCATTGTGATTCTTCTGCTATAACAACAAATAAAAACAATAAAAATAATAATAATAACAACGACCCTTCGCATCAGGGCATCAATCTTAATAATAATAATAATCCTTGCATTTGATATAGCGCTTTTCACGTCGGGAGGACGTCCCAAAGCGCTTCACAGAACACACTGTAAAGTGAGTTGACTGTATATTTGTGGGCGAACGCAGCAGCCAATGGCGCACAGCAATGTCCCACAAACAGTCGTAGATTGAAAATGACCAATTTATTATTGTTTTTGGTTTTGGAGGGATTATTATTAGGCTCTGTGTGGAGTAAGGAAACTTGCCCAAGGTTTCGCCCTCTGCCTGGAATTGAACTCAAGCGGCCAAGGGAGTGAGACCCGTTTTATTGGAGCCGGGTTGTTGGGGCGCAGTCAATCCACCCGACGGAAATTTCCTGCGAAGGGCTTTGAGACGTCCGGACGATGTGATAAGGCGCTATGTCAAATGCAAGGATTATTGTTATTTTTATTATTATCATTATTGACATCTCACAGTGCCTTGCAGGAATATTACACTGTAGGGTGACTATAGTTTGTAAGCCAAATGCAAGTCCGCACATATAAATAAATTGAACTCATCCCAATTGCTGACCATAGCACTGAAGACGCTTGTTGGATCAATTGCTATGTTTCTTTGATGAGGGTATCTGTTTTGGAATGTTATTATTCTTGCTCAGTCTGTTGCTTAAACTCAAGACAGGGGCAAATTTGGTCTGAGAGACACAATAGCCCACCCCCCCTCCCAGAAATTGGGGGCGTGTGGTCACCCTACTTTATAATGCAGTGACTGTGCATTTGGCGGCAACCGGGGGTGAGGCAATGCAAATAAATTCAAGTCGTTGAGAGCGAATCCTTGCATTTGATACAGTTCTTTATCGTATCATTGAGAAGTCTCAAAGTGCCTCACAGGATATACTGTAAATGGTGTGACTGTGTATTTTATAGGTGAATGTCTCACAAGTGCCAGCCGTCAGTGAACAGAAGCAATTGACACCCACACATTGATATAATGTTTTATTGATGGTTGGAATATACTTATGCCATTAAGGTAGCTTGGAGTTGATCAATGAAGAGATTACTAAATGCATCGGACCCTGCTGTAGGTACAGAACCACAAGCTCTTTTCTGATTTAAACATTATCTTTCATTCAATTGGGCCCAAAGGGCTGTTTGCAGCCTTCAAATTAGCCACTTGTTCAAGTTATATAATTGGTCTGGAAAATCTCTGAAGCCAATTTATAATAAAGCACAAGCAAAAGTGTTTATGAGACATGTTAATTCACATCACAGACCAAATAAACTACAAATTATAATCTGGTTATATGTCGATGCGGAAATGTTAAGTGCTGTGAAGTCTTCAAGGGGCTAATTTCCTGGTATGCGACGGAGCAAGGCTTTCTTCATTTCAGTCTCGCTCTTTAAATCCATCTCCCCCTTTGACCTGTAATATAAAACTAATTTAATCAACGTCTGAACAAAACACTTTTTAATAAAGAATTTGGCATAATAAAAAGGTAGACATTAGCACTACAATTTTTTTTCGCAGCTCATCAAATGCCTCCATTTACAACAAAATGCGTATGAGCGACTTTGTAGCTTACACTCAGCTAGTCATGTGTCTGCTCTCTTGCTCTGGTAATTGAGCCTCTGTATCAGACGCTTTTTTTCCCCCCACATATCGACTCTAATACTGCTCTATTCATAGGCACCCATTCAATTCAGAAAGCAGGAGAACAATTTGACATCAGAGATGGTCTGTTTATAGTAAACACCATAAACAAAGTCGCTCATTCACAATTTTGTTGTGAGTGAAACATCTGACCGAGATCACACAGACGTGGACACATACTTAAATGCTCAGCTGTTTTCCCTCTTTCAGTTTTTAAGAAAATTGATCCATGAGGTGAATTTGAGAATTTTCAAATTGTCACATTTAACTTAAATAATCTTAAAAAAATGTACTAACCTGAATACGAAATCGTCAACTTTACAGTTGCCTAAAGGAGAGACATTTCAGAGTATTACTGCAGTAATTATGATAATTATTTGTTTCTCTATTCCCCTCCTGCCCCCTGTTGTTCAGACAGTTTTTTTTTAAATGATGTCGACCGAAAAGTGTAGACACCTGACTGAGACATGGATTGTCAACTCCCGTACAGACTAGATTTACTCTCACAGTGAAGCGCTTTGAAACATTATCCTGATGTGAAAGCCGCAGTAACAAATGCAAGAATTATTATTAGTGCTGGAGGAGTATTGCATTGTCAAAGGTGCCATCTTTTGGACAAGACGTTAAGGGAAGGGCTGGGGTGGCTGGCGAACAGGCCATTAGCATAGTCAAGCATGGACATGATGAAAGCGTGGATGAGGGTCCCAGCAGTCTGAGGGAAGAGACAGATAGATACTCATCATTTTACCATCTTGCTGTGGTAGTATATAGCACATCAGATCTGGGATTTCTGCACAATCGATATGCTTCTGGAAGTTCTCCATCACTGCAGGTCTAACAGTCATGTTCTTTCCTGCAGTGCCACAAAGTGAGAAGCCAGTCAGCGGATATAAAAGACACTAAATAGTGTATAATTGGATAAAATAGTACAGTCTTCTAAAGCACGTAAAGAATTAACATGTGCCAGTCAACAGCAAGCTCCAAGGTGATACTATAACTGAACTAACACACTGGTGGCAATGAACCTTTATCGTGGAATGAATGTTCCAGGGTCTCTTCTGTTGTACTTCACCCAGACAGCTTGGGTCGTCAAAATACAGGACATCACGGTCCAACTCAATCTTTGCTTTACCTTCCAGCAGTGATCACTGACTGAGTGAGTGAAAGAGTGAAGCCCTGGTGGATTTCCCCATCCCCAGGTCTCAGGGCACACATTCCAATTCTAACACCTCTACTACCAACGCAGAACACAGAGTGGAAACAAAATCTGGGACATTCTTAGTCTCTCTGGCTCAGTTCCATACCTGTAATGCCTTTAACAACCGAGCCATCAGAGCAGCCTAATTTACAAGATGTTGCAAATGTGGCATGTGGATTTTGAGTATGGATCCTGGAGGAAATCTCTATGATGACTTTATTGGGGACCGATAACTTCTATACAGCATTGTCAGGACTCCTCGATTATGATATATGTTATGTGTTGTTATACAGAAGGTTTCAGGCTCTCTCAGCAATCGGAAATCATCACATTCATCCCAACCCTGATCTAACCAGATCGCCACACAGAATTAATTTTGACACTGGTCGCTTACCAAATAAAATATAGGAGTCGTGGCTACATTTCATGTGCTTGTAATGATGTACTACAGAGTACTCTTCATTAGCAGCTAAAACATTGAATCCTGCGTGATCCTCATCTGTGAAAGCAAAAGGGCATCAGGAAATATTTTAGTGCAAACGTCAGAGGAAAGCTTCTAAGAGTGTAAGGAGGCATACAAAATAATTCGATCAACAAAAACTGCACCGACCTTTCGAAACTGCCATGGAAGAGTTGGAGTGGTTTATCAGTATTCTTGTGCATGTTCCATCCCTGGACGCATTAACCAATTATGAAAACAAAACAGAGTTAGTAACTTGAAGGAATTACTGTAGGGAAATGAAGTGGGCTGGGGCTGGGAGTGATGGGTGGGGGTGTGTGACGGAAATCATTGATTCTGCTTTCACACAATATCCGCATGTGCGTATCTTCCAGCAATGGGTCACTTCCAGTGGTGGTGGTGAGAAGTGGGAATCCTGACTAAATGTTTTCTCCCTTTGAAGCGCTTTGGGACGTCCTCCTGACGTGAAAAGCGCTATATCAAATGCAAGGATTATTATTATTATTAAACAGTCTTGGTTGAGGACAGTTGTTGCAGTTCCTGTCAGTGTACCAGGCGAGATCAAGCACTGCCTCACCAAGTGGGTATCGAACCTGGGACCTTCTCTATCCACATGGCTCAACTACTGACTGAACAAATTGCTACTTAGGGGAACTGAATGTATTTTAAAGGATACTGAACTTTGCACAGGTTTTTTTTTGGTAACTTACCAATCGACCAAAAGGCAGATCGAGTTCTGGTCCTGTACAGAGATCAGGAGACTGTTCAATCCATTAAACGTTTCTCCGGAGTTACTGGCAATGGCGATGGTGTACCACCTCCCGAACGGCTTGAAGAAGAACATGAAAGGGAATCGACAGGGACTGAAACAAACAGGTAGCTCAGAACAGTACAATAAGCTCTCTGCAAAAAAAAAAAAACAACTCCCTTCCAGTTATAACATTGGGATTTCAGCGCATCTGACTGGTATAGTAAATGGAAATATCATACTTGTGCAGTCAGCGGGAATTGAATGTTGGAATCGAGTCAATTCTCTGTGGGGTCTCGGTTGTCCAGTGGCTGAGCCAAACCAGGCAGTGTTCACAATGGCAAGCTGTGTCATTGCTCTCAATAGCACAGCTATTTTTTATGTTTGGTTTGGGTTTGATAATAATCCTTGCATTTGACATAGCGCCATATCACAACTTCAAGATGTCTCAAAGCGCATCACAGGATATACCATAAAGTGAATTGACTGTATATTTTGGGGACGAAACGTTGCAGCCAATTGCACCCAGCAGCGTCCCACAAACAGCCATGGATTGAGTGACCAAATTATTTTTATTTATTTCGAAGGAATTATTACCCCGGAAAAGCGATCCACTGATCGACTGACAACCAGGTTCCTACTTACCGCTAGGTAAACAGCGGGTGGAGTAAGGAAACTTGCCCAACATTTCGCCCTGCTGGGAATTGAACCCAGGTCCTCTCGCTTGCGAGTGCTCTAAACACTAGGCTACAGGGCTCTAGAGAATTTCCAGGTCAATTGGAAGCATTTACCCTCTCTTTTTGCTCAGCGAGGACAAAATGTTTTTTTTTTAAAAAAACAAGACATCTCCCGACTACCCCAGAACAGACCAAATATTCATTCATGTCTGGAGACTGGATGTGCTTCCCAGACCCCTCATGCACTGAAGGATTTCTGCCTTATATCTTCTAGGCTCAAATAAGGAAGGACTTTTAAGAACATAAGACAGTTAAAAGATAATCAATAATCCTTGCAGTTTGAATTTGCACCTTATCACATCATCAAGACATCTCAAAGCACTTCACACGATTTTATTGTAAAGTGTAGTAACTGTGTATTTATAGGCAACAGCGACAGACAATTTGCTCATAGCAATGTCCCACAAATAGCCATGAAGTGAATGACAAATTTTATCTGAGGGATTGTTGGTCAAGACATCAGGAGAAACTCCCTTCTCTTTTTGAATGGGATCTTTAACAACCACTTGAACAGGCAGACGGGACTTAATCTTTTATTTACAGGATAACACCTCCAATAATGCAATGCTCCCCCAGCACTAGATTGGAGTGTCATCTTAGACTGTGAGTTCAAAAGCTTAATTTGGGACATGAAAGTACTGGTCAAAATATTTGTTCGTAGTCACCTTTCCTCGTTAACTGCAGAAAGGATTAAAGCAGCAACAGAGATCATTTGAAGATTAAACAGGTCTTGGAAAGGTAAGACACATGCCAAAAAAAAAACATTTGAATTGTTACACATTGTATATAAAAATATATATATAGCAAATGAGATTCTTAAACTTACCTGAAACAGATTGTGTAAGGATTCATCGATTGGACTTGTTGGGCAGTCAGTGAGTGGTGCAGCTGAAGACATCACTGAAAGCAACAGCACTGGCAAGAACAGTGAGAAGCAGCATCTCGCGTTCCACACTCTACGTACAGTGTACTAATAACGTGATCAAGTTCTACTCTGAGCCAGACCAGGGCACATCATACGGATAGACTGATTACCAACAAGACAAGCCTTTTAAGAACTTCCAACATTCTCCCCCCCACCCACAGAAACAAAAGTACCAAGCTCCTTGGTTGCTTACAATCCCACTCCATCATCACCTGGCAAGAGGTGAGAGCAGCAAAACAGAACATTTACGGATTAAAAGTAACACAAGTATTTACCAGAGCAGAAAGATTTCTGGAGAAGTGACCATTTAGGGTCAAGAATAGGGAAACGTTGTTCTCTTTTGGGACAGGTCCAGGGTGTTGTTCTGAGTTAAGTGGAGAGGGAACTGTAGTTGCAGTTTCACTCAACAGTAGACTGATACACTGCAAAATTACATTTGTACAGCTCCTTTCACGTCGCGAGGAAGTCCCAAGGTCCTGGACAGTCAGGGATTTGAACCTGTGCCGGGGGTTTGGAGGGCAGGAGGGTAGGGGTAGAAGGATGGCTGAAGGCGTGGTCGAAGAGGTGGGTCTTGAGATGTACCTTGAAGGAGGCAAGGGAAGGATGTGAGTGAGTGAAAAATACAGAGCGAGTGAGCAAAGGAATCTAAGTTTGTGAGATAGAGAGACTAAGTCTGTGTGTGTGTCTGTGTGTGAGAGAGTGTGCGCGAGTCCAAGGAAGCAAATAAAAATCTTAAAAAGGAATATATCATTGTATGTAATTAAAACAGAATCAGTTACACAGAAGGCTATTGAAAGAAAATCTAAGTACTGAATATTGTATCTCCAAAAATAATGATATAGCACTTTTCATGTCTTCTAGACGCCTCAAAGTGCTTCACAGAATATACCGTAAAGTGAAGTGACTATATATGTGTGGGCGATAACAACCATATCATAACTGTACTTTTCAGTTGTTGTATAATTCTGTGTGTATACATATTACACAAATATATATGTTTTATTTTCCATGCTTTTTGTTTTCACTTTAACATTTCTGTAATCCATTTGTCATTTAAAGGGACAAGAGAAACCGACCCAAGCCCAGAAACCATACCCAACAGAAGTGATTCTTAGTGGCTCACCGTGGAAAAGAAGCATCAGATTCAACTGATTGAATGAACGATTCATCCAGCAGTGATGTTGGGGTTCCAATTTTATTTCAGAAATACTGCAATAAATCTCAATTAAATATTGCATTTAAGATTCATCCCCAGCAATCAGATATGTGGTGGGTCAAATTATGGTTTCAACTTCTAACATTAGGGCTGATTAATTTTAATAAACACAGCCTGTATCATTTCAGGCTCATTAAATCAGTATTTAAACTCAAATGAAGGAAGCTATTGTCTTCTTTTTAATTCCAGAGTATTTTCTAACCAAACAATATGACGCTGTGTGCAGGAAGCAGCTAATCTTGAGTATTGAATGTACTCCCGCAGAGAGGATTGGGAAGCTGGAGCCAAGACATCAAACAAAAGCTTCCTGTCAGATGAGAGAATACTGCATTAGCCATGTGCTTTTGGCACAATAATTCAAGTATGTTTTATGCTAAATTATGGATTTTTTTGGTTAGTTCAGGAGGGGGTTGGGATGGGGAGAGGGTTAGTAGAATGGTTCTGTTATACTAGGAAACCTATAACAATGCTCAAGAGTAACCAGACCAAAAGATTCAGGTTTACATCTACATTTAGCCATTCAAATCAGAAAGGTTTGAGACCTTTTCCTATGTGAAAGGCATTGCACAATACAAGATGCTGTTCCTTTGCTACTGACCTGCCCGGAAGATAATAAGACTGTTCAACAACTAACAAAAGGTTTCCTGTTGACTACAGGAAATCATCATCTCCCGTCAAAAACACGAGACCATCTGACAAAGCAAAGTACATTTATTAACCTTCAAGTTGTTCGCTTATCAGAGGTATTTATAAAGAAAAAATATTTCTATACAACTGTACAAAACATAAAATTTGTGACATAAAATCAAATGGAATTCAAAAGCATTAAAAAGGTTATAACAAAGCAATATTGAAATGACCCTAGTTTACAATGGGATAAAAAAGGTTAATGCAGGATTATTAAATAAGATTTTATTCCATTATTAAACAGGATATCTTCACCAAGAAGCCATTATGGAATTAAAGTCAGATTATTCTTTTTCTGTTGTGCATGTTTGCAATCTCCCCTCCCAAAATCAATTTGGGAGCTCAACTGCAGTGTGGTCAGTCTTGGTCAAGTGCACCCAGTGTTTTTCCTGCTACCTTTTGGCTGCAATCTCCTCACATGCCAACTGGCTGCCCCACCCTCGATGCCCAGGGCCTTGGGACGTCTTCCTGACGTGAAAGGCGCTATACAAATGTAATTTGTTGTTGTTGCTTATCTACAGCAGCTTTCAGAAAAACAACCGGAGCAGAGAAGCAACTGATTTCAATGCCTCCAATTATTAATTTACAATGAAGCATCACAATTGCATTGCCCTTTTCTACCAAGAGTCCTTTCGCAAGGACAAAAGCAAGGAAATTGCAAGTTGGGCTTGTGCTTCTCGAGGAGTCTCAGAATAGCCAGAGAGCAATGTTATATTTGTAAATAATTTATTTTGAAGGAAGGAGACCTTCAATACATTTCATCCTGAAACCTGTCCCGCACGAGATGCAGGTTCATACGACACTCAGAGCCTCTGCTGAAGCTAAGATTGCAAAGAGTTAAAAAATTCAACAGTACAAAATTGAGCAATGAAACCATTGTATTTTGATGGTGTGTATGTGGGAGGTTGGGGTGGAAAAGGAAGATGGAGGGGTGGGAGGAGGGGAAAGGATGACAGTGGGGTTCACTTCACCACTAGCATGGTGCAAGGTGCACCAAAAGTATATTCACAGTGAAAGACATCTTTCAGTTAGTTCAGGAGCAAAGAACTGATTGAATTGGAGCTCATATAATGAGCTACCTTATTGCTTTTTGGCTGCACAAGTCTCAAAGCCATTTGTGCTATTGGCTTGGTGCTGACAGCGGGTTTCATTATTTTAGAATTAAATACGCCAAACAACGGAGGCTATAAAATTGCAAGGATGTAATTTGCTGATCCCTGCAACTATTTCACTTTAGGATATCCAGGTACCTGCCAGGTACACTTAGGAACCACTTGACAAGTTGGTTAATTTAAGATTACTCGTTTGTTTGAGGCCATAATTTTCACTATTAATGTTTTTTTATAGTTCATATTCATATAATATTAAGAGTTTATCATCATAATGAGGTGGGGTATGTGGTGTCCTGATAAGTATATATATAATACACACACATTATAGATAACATACACACACACACCCGTCCAGTCCCAATATTAGGAATCAAAGTCTTTCAGTCTAGTAAACATTCTCAGAGAGGTGATCGAGGACAGACTGGAGAACTGGTTAACACGGTGTCACCAAACACATTTGCATAGGAGGATTTGAGGAACTGGACATAGTTCTGCATGCTGCGATTGGTGCTCTCTGATTGCTCCAGACGGTCTTTCAGGTCCTGCAGGCGGCTTTGGCAACGTCGCTCTGCCTAAGAGATAATTTTGTGCACATGGGTAAATAGGTTTTATACCACCACCATTTCAAGCAGTATAGTAACTTTATAAATCTGATAACCACCTATTTCTCTATAAATCACATCACATTTCTACATTGATGATTATGTATGAATTCATTCCTTAGACTATCCTCTGTGTGTGTGTGGGGACGGGACATCCCCTTAGACCTCGAATGGTTACAAGGTGCTATACAGTTTTTGGCAACAGAATGTCAGAATAATTAAACTCCAGCAGATGGCTGAGCCTGCATTTTGTATGTCATATATGAAAATTGGGCAAGTATGCACTGAATGATCTGGCGTAACCTGGAAGTGGCACTGTCTGTGGGAGTTGACCCAGACCTGATGTACAATATTAAAATACACATTACACTGTTTACCACTTCCTCTGAAACACATTTCAATCACACAAACAGAACCACGTACATCTTCTTTGCTCCTGCCTAGTTGGGTCAATTCAGTCTTTGTTCTGCTGAGCTGTGTTTCCAGATCCAGAATTTTAGACTGTGTTGCTCGCTCCTTCGATAAAGCCCTGTCCCTGGTTTGGTCCACCTGATGAAAACAAAAATTAATTGGGCGACTTTCCCACTGTACATGGCCGATGATCGGGATGACATTATTTCAATGCTTGAACGAGTAGTACTGGATGTGCGACTGGCAGAATGGTACCAATGCACAAAGACAGGACAGAAGGGCAAAATACCACCTCTACTGTAAAACTGACCTGACACCTGGCCTCGTCCAGTGCAGTCTCCAGCTGTCTGGCCAGGGAGGAGCACTCGCGGGATTTCTCCTCCAGGCGGTGCTGGTTTTGGTGAATCGTCTCTTCCCGTTTAGCCACCACTTGAATCAGTTCCCGGTTCTGTGCTTCTCCATCATCCAACTTCCTGCAATTAGCCAAGTTAGCCCCATTCAGTGCTGAACGTACACCCAATTCAAAATCCTTACCTTTTCTTTCACAAGAAGTGACCCCTCAAATGTTCAAAAAACAAAACTAATTTTTTTATGTTGAAGTTTGATGAACTATTGCTACCACAGTACTCAAAAGCCTGACACTGAGCTCCAGCAACATTGCAATATTTGTATGTTGAGGCTTTGCACCTCCATTATTAAAATAACAACAACAAATTACATTTATACAGCGCCTATCACATTGGAAAGATGTCCCAAGGGGCTGGACAGTTAAGGATTTGCACCTTCTGAAGGTTTTAAAAGCTCTGCACAGCTATACCGACCTTGCCAGAGCGTCCAGCTTCAGCTGAAGGTGACGATTCTCTTCTTGCATGCATTGCCACTTTTCCCTGGCTGTACTCTCCTTGTCACCCTGCTGCTCGATCTTTAGGAGTCAGGAACCACTGAGATTTGAGATACAAAACAAAAAGGAGCCAGCTCACCCGGTCTAACAGCCATCTCCCCTCAGACTTGCCCAGACTACAAATTTTCTTGAGCAGGTGTGTTATATAATTATGGACGATTGGTTGTACGGTATATTTAGTTGCAAACAAAAAACCTGGGTAATTTGCCATACAACAATTCATTCTGAAAAAATTACAAATGCTATAGTTGAAAATTTAAAAGTGAACCTTTAAGTGGCGCCTCTGTACTGTGTGTGAATTCTGTGCCTCAAACCTGTGAAAACCCCTCCCTCATCTGTCAAGTCTGGCCTTAAAACCTACCTCTTCGACTGTGTCTCGGTCCTCTCTTTCCTGCACACCCCCACTTGTTCTGCCTCATTACCAGCGAGTGAGCTTTCAGCCATTTTGCTGTTGCTCTCTTGAACATCCCTCCGCCTCATCTGGTTTCAAAACCCATCTAAATACTCTCCGACTGAGCCTTCAGCTAAACCGTCTCCCCCCCGCAGCTCAGGCTCCCAGTCTGTCTTTGTAAAACACTTTGCCACATTCTCCCTAAATGAGAGGCAAATTGTGAAGCCTTTACCTTCATCCTCAGATCACATATACTGGCCGACTGTTCTGCTGTTTTCCTCTCGTACATGATCAGCTGCTCTTGGCAGTCCTGTAGTTTGTGCTCCGTTAATTTCAATAATTCAGGCACAGGTTCTAAATCGGTCAACCTGCTCTGCATCTGTCTCCTCACCTGAAATATACACAGTGATAAGCTCCCTAACGGACCTTTCAAATATTCACCAGCATAAATTTATAGAAGTTAAGCCAAAGCACCAAAAATACTGGACACAAAATTCTCAACTAGCACACAAGATCCAGAATATTCCAATTAATTAATTTCTTATAATAATACTTGCATTTGACATAGTGCTTTATCACGCCATTGAATATATTAGAGTAGAATGACTATGTATTTTGTGGTGAAACGTCTTACAGTTGCATGGGAGAGAGTGAGGCGTGTGGGGATGGGGGAGGAGAAAGAAAAAATACCAGAGAACCTTTACATTATTGCTAATTGTAAACTTAGGTTTCACAAGTCGATTGTGCAGGAGGATGGATGGAATAGTAACTGATACTGGTTCTGAAGCAGTGACCCTGGGCGTAAACACACACCAGCTTTCTCTCCTGCCCCCTCACACAATTTCCTGTCTGATGAAACAAAACTGAATACAAATGGCAGGACTGGAGTAAAATGAAATGTGCTACGGAAATCATACCCATGCCTGCAAATCATAGAATGTTTACTGCATAGAAGGGAAGCCTTTCCACCCATCACCCAGTTGAGTGGTTCTGGACACATTGCTCAATGAAGCTTGTGCTAGTTTCCTGGTAACTAATGTTAGTTGTCATCAATTAACCATAGCAACTGGATAATGATCAATTATGTCATTCTGTGTGTACATATCCCTAAAGAGCTTCAGCAGGTCTCAGTGTGCACTGCAGGGGCATGCATGCAACAAGCAAGGTAGATTCTCCATTTGGTGACTCCTATCCAAGCTGTCAGGTAGCTTTGAATACAGGTCAGACACTTTCTTCCTCCCAAGGGAGCAGGAGAGAACAAGAACATGCGTTTAAAGGACATCATAGATGGGATGTGCAATTTGCAGCTTGTTCATACTCGTGAGAAAGTGTAGCTTGGTTTGTCTTTACTGGTCAGCTTCTCATTCATTCCAGGCTACAAAAAAGAGTACCAGCATTTACCAGCTCGATTTCCTTATTCACATCTTCTTTCAACATCTTATTCTCCTTCTCCGCCATTACGAGTTTCATACAGAAATCATCAGCCTCCAGCCGAGTCTTCATCACCTGGAAGCATTTCAAACATCGAATCAGTATCTTCCCCAAAGAAAAAGGCAAACCAGCATTTATCATGAAACTGCTGCACTTCAGGAAAGCCACAAATGCTAACATTTTTGTTTTACCTAGAAGGTTCATCAATTAATGATCTGTATATCACTGATTAGCAATCAGGCACTGTTAGAATGGATTTTACAGACAAACAAAAGTTGTTGAAGAGAGTAGAAAATCTGACACTTTGACTGTTTTAAAGACTCCCCCCTTTTCCATTCCCAGATCTATTATGGATCATAACTTAGCCAAGACACCTTGCTCCCTTCAAACCAATTTTGTGAAAAATCAACGGTACTTGATGTTTTATTTTTAAAAAAGAGTGAAATCAGCATTTCTTACACCAGATTTTCTGAAACGGACTCTGATCGATGGAAGAAGTATTTGTACATCTGAAGGTTTGTTGTGCATATACCCAAGGTATACATTCTACAATGGAAATCTGTGAGTAATCACCTGAGCTTTGTAACTATCCACCAGTCCCTCATAGCGCTTGACAGAGAGTTTCAGCTGCTGCATCTCAGCCTGAGCAAATGTCAGCTTCTCCTCCACGGCACACATGCTGGCCTAATTATCAAAATACAGCGGAACACAGATACAGAACAGTATATCAATCAAGTCTTTTTGAGAAGTAAAAGATCGGTTTTCATACTGCTCCCAGTGCAATAAGTAGCAGCAGAGAATACTAAAGATTGCCAATTCCAGAACTAATGATCATATTGCACTAAAATGCTTAAACATAATCGGGATGCACAGAATCCTACGTAGCTTACTCAGTGTTGACCAGGAATCAAACATCCAATCTTCCAGCTGTAAACATTATTGTAATGCAAAAAATATATAATTTTAGAAAATTAAGGTATGCAGGAACTCAAAAACCGGGGTCATTCCATTAGGTTACAAAAACTGCAGTGAGATACGTGGTTTCCTGGTTGGAATTCTCAAAGGGCAGATTGGAAGCATGGTTTGGTACCTTGAGCCTCTCATTCTCCAGTCTAATTGAGGTGCTCTCAGAGGTCATGGCGTGCAGTCTGGTCATCAGTGCCTCCCGCTCGGCTCGAGTCTTGTCCTCCACATGTTGCAACTGGTCCATCAGATCTGTGATGCGTCTACACAAAATAGAGAAATGTTTAAAGAATCCCTCTACTCCCCTCCCTCCCTCCAAATGCATGGACTCTGGGCTGGGATACAGTCCAACACCACTTCGCTCTCTCTGGTACCTCACCCCAATGGCCAATTTGCATGTGTGGAAAAGGCTAATAGTGCATCCAACAGGTTCCAGCAATTACTGGACATCAATCAGCAGCCAATGCTTTCCTCTCCCTCATCCAAGGTCCTTCCTTATGCGGTACATGTATCAGTTCCACTCTGGGCAGTTGTGTCTTTTTAACCAATGGATCTGTTCTGAACCCCCCCAAATTTCTGAGTTTATCTTTTTCTAAATTATGAAATCTAAACCAGAGACATAAAAATCAGTCGTAGCCCCAGAACAGGAGTAGTAAAACTGGCTTATTATAGTTTTCTAGAGTTTTACTTGTTCAGTAAGCTGGTCTCCTTCTCCAGCTGATTTCTCTCCTTTGCCAACTTGTTGTGATGACACTTCCAGGATTCCACGGACGAGAGTGCATCAGCCAACTGCGTCTCCTGCAGATGAATCAAACCAGAGTTGATTTATACCAGAGTTGATTTCAACATCAGGCAATTTCTATGGCGCTTAACTATTATTTCTCAACCGCCATTACATTGAAAAATATTGTGGTCATTTGGCTTCTGCAGTAATATTTCCTAGCTTTTTAATGCTGTACATTAAGCCAACAGACGGATTAAGGTTTTGTATCTTTCCCTTGGATTCAAATCTCAAGTAATTGGTCTACTTCAATTCTAAAATTCCTGCATCTCCCTGTCACATGTTAAGTTCTCAATAAGCGACAAGCTGCTCATTGACTGTGTCATGCTACCTTTTCAAAAAGCTGGACACTGAGATGTTCTGCTGTATCCTCACTCCGTTCTGCTCGCTGTTTCTGAGCTTTTGTGGCTTTCTTTAGGGCCTCTTTGTCTCGATCTCCTTTTGTTTGAAACAGTCTCAGCTGTTCCATTAGATAGTCCATCTCCCCTTTCTGATGAGCAATGGTACGCTCAAAATTCTGGGGAGGGAAAACAATTAAGAAATTGCCTGGTACAGGGTTGATTTAGCTGTTCTCAGCTGGGATGCTGGAATGATAACAACTTTAACTAGAAGACAATTATTTATGATTAAAATAGTTCAATTATAGTTCAGAAAAGGGTCGGACCACCTAGAACTGAAGGTGGCAATCTTTAAAGGTTTGAGAACAGGTAGAAGAGGCCAAGAAAAATAGGACTTTTAAAAAAAAATTGGGAGATTGTGTATAAAGCAATGTAATGTTAACATTGTACAGTTATAAGGTCAGATAAAAAGATGTTATATGTAGCAAATGGTTCTGAATAATTCCCAAATGTTATCGCTAAGCAACAGCAATTGAATCAGTACATTCATCGCACTTCAAGCTACAGTCAACATTGCATAGCTTCCTTATGCTCATTAAGCTCAACAACTGTACACTGCCCTGAACAAAAGAACAAGTCCACACACGCCAAACAACTAACTACAAGTGAATCATTCAATCCAGGGACAGTACAATAGCATAAAGATGTCAAGAGAACAGACATTTGTAGGCAAGGGTTCACACAAATCAGTCTCAGACTACGAGGGCCATTAACAAGATTTTTCCCGTTAGAAGGGTTTTGCCCTCAGTCGTTCTCTGGTAATGTTAACCATCCAGAACTGAGAGGCACAGATTTTGGGATAAAAAAAGTATCTTTGGAAAAAATGATATACATTTAGGTGGAGGAGGGGATTCTTCCCCCTTAGTTTCAATACCAACTATTATTCCTATTAGGGCTCTCTTAAACCACCATTCTGGTACAATGGTGGTTTAAGAGAGCTGTGAAGAAATAAATCGGCGGTCAGTCCAAGAGTAGGAATCACAAACCATTTTAAGATACTTATGGTGTTAATAAAGAAAAGGCAATTTAAAGAAAGAAAAACAAACAGGCAGCAGTGGAAAGGGCTGAATGACCCCCTTCTGGGCAGAAAACTGCATATTTTAAGAACACAATTTTAAATGTTTCACATAAAACATTTTTGAACCAACAATTTTACTTTAGTATACCTAAACCACCAATATCTAAATGTATAGTGGATGTGACTATTGAACTACATATTAAAACAGGCCAATCTAAAGAATAATAACCCTCGACTGAAACTGGGCTACACCACATTTCTTTTGAATCTCAACAACATCATCGTGGTCACCCAGACACAAAGATAGTTGCTAACTGTGATCACCTTGATCTGAATAGCCATGCGGTTGTTTTCTGCCTCCTTGTTGCGAAGCTGGCCCTGGAGATGGGCTCGTGTGGTTTCCACAGTTTTGAACTGCTCTGTTGATGCACGAGCAGTGCTCTAAAAATGGCAACAACAAAAAAAGTGAATAATTTTACAGGTAATAATAGCAGCTCAAACAGGTAAGATCATAGAACTCCCGGTGATGTTATTCAGAAATGGAACTTTTGTAAAGGGTTTGGATATTAAATTATATTAGATAAGATACAGGACTCCACTTTTATACAAAATACATTTAGATAGCACCTTTCACATCAGGTTGTCTTCCCAAAGTGCGTTCACAACAAGATTGCATTTATAGAGAGCCTTTCATGTCGGGAGGACGTCCCAAGGCACTGGACAGTTGGGTCGGGACCCGAGCAGGGGGGAAACGGTCCGGGTGAGGGGGGGGGAAGGGAGGGAGCGAGGAGGGGGTAGAGAGTCGAGAGGGGAGCTGAAGGCACAGTCAGGTGGTTGGGCACCTGAAGTGGAAGGGAGGGGAAAAGATGGCCAAAAGCATAAAGAGGTTTGATTTGACACGTCTTAAATTCACCAAACAGATATAAATCATTATACTATAAAGGAAGACACTTCTTAGCAATGATTACATAAGCATGCTTGTCAGCTTGGCTCGGATGTTAGCACTCTCGCCTCGGAGTCAGAAGGTTGTGAATGGGTTCAGCCACACGTGTAGACTTAGAACTTGTATAGTCTGGGCTGATGCTCCAATATCGTGCTGGATGAGACATTAAACCCAAGACCCATGTGCCTGTTCAAGTGGAAGTTAAAGATCCCGTGGCACTATTTGAAAAGATAAAAATCCACCAATCAAAAATTGGTCACTCACTTCATGGCTGTTTGTGGGACACTGCTGTACACAACTGGGCTGATGAGTTCGCCCACAAAACACAGCCACACCACTTTACAGTCTATACCGTGAAGCTCTTTGGGGCATCCTCCTGACATGAAAGATGGTAGACCAAACATAAGGATTATTAAGATCATATCCTTACTGCTTACCTTTTCAGCTTCACATTGAGAAAGGAGATGTTCAATTTCTTTTTCACTCTCATGCAGTTTCATTGACAAGCGCTGAGAAACAACATAAAAAACAATCATTAAGTAGCTTGGATGGTAGGTTACAAAGTTAATGAAGCAACCTTTGATATCAGGTGATTTTATTAACTGCTCAAATGTTTAAAATATTAAATATTAAAATGTAGCACAAACCCACTGTATCTATGACCAGAAAACTATTTTACTCCATCTATCATCTGAGAAAAGCTATTTCATCTCACATACTTAGAAAATCCTTATTTTACTGAAAGCTAAATTTCTTTCTAAAGCAAGTCTTAAGCCAAGTGTCATTATTTCAATCAATGCTGCCGACAGACACTGCATTATCAAGGTTCCAAATATTGTACTGAAACACGAGACTTCATTTGTGCTGCTCTGTGAATACAGTATACTGTGGAAAAATAGAGTAATGCCAAAACTGAAGTCATGTCTGTCTTTCAAAGAACAATGTTCAATTGAATCAGCTGAGAACCACATGTTGCAAATACTGACATTTAGCCTCTTCTACTTGTAACCTTTCTTTCATAATCTTTCGCCCCGAACAATCTCACTAAGAGACATTTATAATACATATACAGTGGAAGCTGGATGCATCAGGATGGACATTTTGTCTGACATAAGAGGTATTCGAGATTAGCCATCAGATGGTTATTTGCTTTATATTTTATTATAACTCCTATTATAACTTTAATTGCACCACCTCATAAAGCCCTATATTCCGTGAAAGAGAAAGCCCAGGAAAACCTGAGTCCAACTAACCACGTTATGCGCCTCTGACTGCGATAGTTTTTCAAACAGCGTTTCTTTTTGTTCTGCCAGTTTCAGGATATCCGTCTGTTAATAAAAAAAACATACTGCAGTAGTTAACTGCCCTGCTCAACTCATTATCTGAACAGACCATTGTACGTCTTTCCAAACTCTGCATACAGCCTGTGTAAATCTTCCAATTCCCAATATTAGTTTTACAATTGAAACACATTTTGTATATGCACTTCATGGAATGCACATTGTTAATTGTACAGATAGCTATTGAATAATGGCCTGATCAAACAGGCTTTCAGTTCTGCAGGATCTTTTCCCTTTGCTGCTCTCCCTGCCCCCCATTTCCATGTACGTAACCTCTAATAAGATCTGATTCACCGCGAGCAAACCTCAAGAGATAATTAGAATGTTTCTCACACCCTCACCTGCTGACAGTGCTGTTCCTTAAGCATCTTTTGAACCAATCGATTTGATGCACTGAAAGTATTCAGCTTCTGCAATAGCAGCCCCTGCTGTCTTGCCAGGACATTTGCCTCAGAAGCAGAAACAGATTTCTCCTTAAAATACAACGATAAGGAGTTTAAGCTGCTGGAAAAGGCAGGGTTACTCACTGGAAATGCAGTAAAACTGTGCTCTCTGAGTAGAGTAAGCGGTGTATTCATACAGTGAAAAATGTTCCTTACAAAACACATTAAAATTTACTGCTCTTGTCCTTTGAGGAACCTTAAAAATAAGCTAATCAAATAGTTTATTCTATCTCGTCCATGTAAAGAGGAAACTTTTGGCTGAAACTTTCTATACCTCCCCCCAAAACCTTCTCCTTCTTCCCAAAGGCTTTTTTCCTAGGGCTGGTGGGAGGGGGTTAAACATGACTAACATTACAATGTTAGTAAATCTTGGATAAACTTCTTTGAAATGTTGAGTCCACAGAATTCAAGCAATTTTTGTTCCATGAAGAGCAGCTTTTGGGCAGTTAACACCTGTCCCCTCCATCTTATTAATAACACACAGGGTACAAACACAACTCCAATTGACTATAACGATCCTGCTCTTTATAAAAGGGAAGAATAAAGAAATAGAATTAAGGGCATCAAACTAAAAATACTCATGATCTCCTTAAATTGCTGAGGTCATTCTTCAGATGGTCAAGAAAATATGATTTATTAAAGGAAAACTTTACTAAGTTACCCTCGCATTTTCTCATCTGGGAATGTTAAATAGTCAGTTTGGCTCACTCTCCAGCCTGGGTCAGAAGGTTAAGGGTTTGAGCTGCACACCAGTACTCAAGCTCATAGTCCAGCCTGAAGTTCCAATAAAGTTTAAATTAAAGAACAAAGGCAAATGATACTCACGTTGCGCAACTTGCAGATTGTAGAGGACAGAGCAGCGACCTGTTTGCTTACAGCTGCTCCATCCATCTCAACCTCAACAAGTTTCGTCAGCAGCATGTCTTTTTCCTGATGCAAGCGTTTCCTTTCAGAGCTATAATTAAATCAATAGTTCATGGTTAACCACTTTTCCACATACATATTGATCACTACAATCCTACCAAATTAAAAATGTTCTTGGATAAGTGATGCAAGAAAGGGCTGAACAACACACAGCATATTTCTAGATATACTATATGTTATACGTTACATAGCATATAACCTCACAGCACGGATGCCGATCCTTGACGTGTCCAACGTCTTTGGACATCCTCTCGACCTGAAAGGTGCTATACAAACATAATTTGTTGTTGTTGTTGGTCAAAGTGTTGCTTCCAGCATTACTCTTATGATTTTCAATTGGAAAATAGATTAAGCTTCATAATGTACAATTTTAGTTGGATAATAATAATAAGCCTTACATATAAAGCACTTCACAGGATATACTGTAAAGTAGATTAACTGTGTATTTTGTAGGTGCTACAAACGGATTGATGGCAACACCGATGCCCATTGAGAGAGGATGACTGGAAGTAATGAGAATAACGGCAGATGATATGAAAACAAGCAATTTTGTACCAACTAATGTCAGATTCGTCCGTCATCATCTCAATGTTCCTGCGGAGCATCTGGTTCCTTTGCTCTGTAATCGCCAACTCCTTTGTAACCCCGGCCAATTCCATCTCCTTCTCTTCAATCAGTCGCTTGGATTCGTTCAACTCTTCCTCTCGTTGTTCCAACAGGTGACCTTTCTTCTCCAGTTCAATCTAGGAAACATCAGCACAATTAGAACTCTCCCGCTCACTTCTTCACTCGCCAATAATGGTTTCCACAATCTTACTGCCAGTCTCACATATCCATCTCACATATATTTTTCCGCTAAGGATTATTATTATTATTCCTCAACATCCTGACTGCTGATCAAAATATTGCTCAATATTTGTCAATATTAATTTGATTTATTCTGCCACATTATATAGGTGAGTATCTATGTTATTAGAATATTAGACTCAGGATGAAGAAAAACTAAACTAAAACTAAATAACCAAATGATCTTAGACTCCAAACCATTTTAAATTGCTTTCTCTCCCATACTCTGTCCTAATCTACAGTAAAGCTTACTTCGTTTTTCAATGTTCCCACTTCGTTCATAAGACTGCGGATTTTCTTCTCATACTGGTTCATCTTCTCGTGCACAGCATCCTCCTCCTCTGTGGAAAGGTCACTCAGGTGAAGTGTGGAGTGCAATTTTTCACCATCAAGGGGAGTTATTTCTAGGCGATGGGTTGGTCCCTGGGATGTGAGAGGTTTACAAAGGAATTTAAGATACATTTGTGGAATATTCTTACCCTTCTCCCTCTTCTTATCTTAAAGCCGGTCAAGAACTAGGAGCTATGGACAAATATACTGAAAGGTAAACTGACAGCTTCAGGCCCACATTTTAAAGTTGCAATGTCCCCCAAAATTCAATTAGTTATTAAACTCAAGCAATTCTAGATCTCATATTCGGGAGGGGGATGGTCCTCGACATTAGTGCCAACTCAGAAATTATTGTGCTAGTGCATGAAATTTCAGTTTGTTCACAGACGATTTGAAAGTAAATACACCGTAGAATTCTGCTAGAGGAATGTGGTACAAACCTCCCATTTGTAGCCAGATTCTCTCAATGAAGTTTTTCCCGGTGGAATCCATGGGGCCCTCGTCTTTACTTTGGCTGTTGCTCGCAGGTTCCCACATTCAAACGCTCCCTTCAGCTTTTGCTGGAATTAAAAATAAAAAAAATTGTACATTTGGTTATCATTCAAAGCAAGATCGGACAGAATTCCACCAAGAAACACATCTTTAAAAACTGGCATATCAGTTATTGATTTAAATAAAGTAATAACAAGACTTGTATTCGATATAGTACCTCATCACGTTGTTGAAACATCACCATCAACAACAATTTATATTTGTTCAGTGCCTTTCACGTCAGGGGGATGTCACAAGGCGCTGAGGTAGCTCAAATAGCTTCACAGGATTTACTGTACAGGATAGTGACTTTGTATTTTGTAGGTGAAGTGTATTTTAGTGCAGAAATGAAGCTAAAATAGTCATTGAAAACCATATTTAAATGATAAGGAAAAACTTTTCTTAAAAAATAGAAAGTGTGTTTACCTGGACTCTTTTTGTTGGTGATGGCTTTGGACTCTTTTTCACATGAACATGTACAGGAGTGGTTTCATCTACGTGAACATGGAGCAGAGGAGGCGTTCTAGTCTTCATCTCTCTTCTCAGCTACTCCAAAGGGACCCAAAGAGTAAAATTATTCAGAGGTCCCGTTCCAAAGAACAACAACAAATTTACTTTGTATAGCACCTTTCATGTCGGGAGGACGCCCCAAGGCGCTAAAATCGAAACTATTGCATAATAGCAAAAAAAGCTCCAGGTATAAATGTGTAAAGACCGAGGAAAATATAGTAAAACATATCATTGGGTGATGGAATAAGATTTCGCACCACCCCATTTAGAACCTCCAACCCCGCCCCCCCCCACCGACTTTAATGAATTTGTGTTGTCCTCAAGTGATTTTTACATGACAGAGGAAAATAGTCTACTTTCCTTTTCCCTGCCACCCACTATTAGCATTCAAGGTCAGGTACTTGAGTGCTTGGATTCAGAACTAATGCCCAAACAATGAGCGTCAGCTCCACCTTCAGCAGAATATCCCCAACTGCACAAGTACCCACCAACTGCTACAGCCTCTGAGTGAAATTGCCTCTTATTTGGGCTTTTCTTTCTGCTACCTGCCAACCATCGAACAGGCTGAGACGAGCCAAACTTATTTTGCATAAGACCAATCTGATAGCCAACAGCGAAAGACTTTGATCCCAGATAGGACTCGGAGGCAAAAGTGCTACCCGCTGAACCAGGCTCCAACAAGAGGCAAACCCGTAACTCAACTGCTTCCAATAATTCACTCAAGATAAAGGGGAATAAAAATAATAAGATCTGTCTAACGCCAAGTGCAAGAATGACACTAAACACAAGTTGGCCTGCGACACGCCTTCATTGATAACATCACCATCCATTTGAGGTCACAATGAAATCAGAACGAAATCAGAACGTTGTTAGCCTGACTTACCGGCTCGTCCTAAAATAACATGCTTGGTATTTCTCACCGTTATCGAAGGCTTCACGACCGCAAACTCAAAGCGCTCACGTTTCAGGAACACCCCCCCCCCAAAAAAAAGTTGTAACCATAACTTTAACCCTCGGTAAGTTACTGATCGTCCCAACTGCAATCTACCCCCCGCCCCCCCCCACCCTCCCGCCGTTCTCTCCCCCTCACACACACACACAAAAAATATACCTCCTCTCTTTCCCCACAGCTACCCCCTTCCCCCCCCCCTTAAAAATCTGGTCAAGCAATCCACTGTTGTCGGACACCCACCCACTGCCCCTTCGCCCACCCCAACCGCCCCTTCCTCCCCCTTCCGCGCACAACAACAACAACAACTTGCATTTATACAGCGCCCCTCAGGCAGGTTAGGGTCCCAGAGCGCTTTGGGACATACACACACAGAGCTGCACAGATACCGCCCCCCCCCTCACCACCACCACCGCTGCCATCATAACCCCTCCCTCCCTTCACCGTCTCCCACTCAAAGGCTCTCCCCCGTTGAGGACGTTACGAAAGCTTTGCCAAACAGTATCGACCCCCTCAACACACACACACACACACACACACGCGCGCGCTCTCTCTCTCTCTCTCGGCCCCCGGTAGCCCCTCACCATGCGAGACGCCGTGTCCCCCTCTCTGTGCGGGCGGGCGGGCGGCGGCGGTTACCGGGCGGCGAGGAGCGCGAGGCACCGGCCACTGACAAGTCTCGCGGCTCGCACTTCCGGACGCTCCCGCGCCCCGTCCCATTGGCTCATTCAAATCCCTTTAACGGCTCTACTGGCCCCTCCCCCTCGCGCGCTCCCCCCTCCCCCACCCCATTCCCCTCGGCCCATTTCCACTTCCGGGTCACCGCTGTCGGCTGTGACATTGCCATGGAAACCAAACCAGGCCTTGTGCCCCCCCCTCCCTCCCTCCCTCCCTCAACCGGTCTCCTTTCTGCCCACGCCTCACGTCACCCAACAGCAGCAGCAGTAATAACAGTAATAATGATAATAATCCTTGCGTCTTGATGCGGCGCCTCATCGCGTCTTCCGAGACGCGCTCGAACGAAGCGCTTCACGGGTGAAGCGTAGTGACTGTGGGCGGAAGGCGGCAGCCCGGGATGGGAGTGATTTTCCACACGTTGGCCGACGTCGCCCGCTGCCGAATCGCTTTCGAGAGCCGGGCTGGATAATAAGGGTACATTCTGCACCGTAATAATAATACTACGACTAATAATAGTCCTTGCATTTGGTACAGCGGCTTTTATCACGCGGTCGCGACCGCTCGCAGCTCTTCACAGGATCACAGCGGTTGGTGGACTGACTTGCGTAGCTGCCAGAAATGTCCCACACACAGCCACGGACTGAGTGTCCCAATTCTATTTGGGGGAATTCATTGGCCAGATTGTCGTCTACCAGATGGCAATTATCTGCTAACCACAGTCCAAGATGATCCACGCACACAAAAAAAATAATCCGTAGCTTTTAAGAGAGGAGGAGACGGGGAAAATTGTCCCGTTAACTTTGCCTCGGTTCTCCTGCTATATGGGTCTGGATATTTGAGCGCTGGGAAACAGAAATTCCAGTCATGTTAAGCAAAATGCAACAATTAACGAGTAGTAATATTCATAATGCTTTATTAAAACTAATCAATGTTTGTCTAGTAATCAACTAATATTCTAACCACTAAATGTGCGACATTCAAGTATCTCTTGATCTCCTTTGTCCATTAAGTTTCTCCCAAGTTTGCTGCTTTGGAGATCCATTTTCGACACCATTTCCAAGGGGTATTTAAAGGGGGGAAAAAAATCGCCAAACCTTCTTTGATTCTATTGTACTGATTTTACGCTGTAGTGTGGATGCATAGGACAGGCAAAAATATTTACTTTTGAAGTTTGCCTAAAAGTAAGCAAAATGGAAGATACAATGCATGTACAGCATTTTCTTGCATTTTCAAAAGGTCCAACAACACAAAATGCATCAATAACTTTCAAAAAATGGCTACAAGTCTCATTTCATCTTGCCCAAATACATACAAATAATTCAACAGTTGCACAAGTCTCATGTGCTCATTTCATTAGGGGGTCACTTTGACTGCATGTGAACTTGGATAACATTATGATTGGATCCTACACATTAAAAAAAAGTAAATAAATGCATTTTGTAGAGAATAATTGGGTGGTGGGAGATTTGTAACATAACTGAGGGATAGGTGACATCATGCAACTCTCAAGTCTAGATTATAGTTGGCCTGACAATACCTCCCATTTGTCCTGCTGCAAAACACGGAGAGTTGAAAATTTAGTTAAAAGTGATCTTTCACATTTAAATTTCACACTCAGGCACTCTCTCCTGTTAGCACTAGCACGTTTTCCAGTGAGAGAGAACATAAGGACAATCTTTGACATGAAGGTCTGTCATAAAGACAGGAACATATATTGCAAGTAGTTACCACATGAGTTAGGTACTAAATAAGTACAAGCCATTCCATGAATTATTCACTAGGTCAGGACAAAGCTGCTTGTGGTCATAAACATTGGAGATTCACAAATTGGCAGAATGCAAATTCATGCCCCAAGTTTCTCACATCCCGATTGCCCCAGCGATAACAGTTAACTCCACACAGAACAATCATTAAAGCTGGGGCCGTCTGGGGCTACACCACTCTGAGCTAAACAATACATCGGACAGCTGTAGTTATTTACCCAATGGGTTGGTAACCAAAAGCAAAACCATTTCTTAACCTATTCAAAACCGAAATGTTTTATTTTTCCCAAATCCAGATTCTCCCGCGTAAAAAAGTATCTAATAACCTGTGCATTTTAGACAAGAAAAGTAACCAGCAAATCACCTGAAATCAAGAATCTGAAAATGCACAGGCTTGGGAAAATACAAAGGACATTATTATTAACTATAAATGCTATCTATGGCCAAGTGCCTCCTAGTTTTGAGCTGGCCTTCAAGTCCAATTGCCAGTGATACATTGCACTGTGAATTCCACGACCTTCCAACCCGGTGGAACACTGCACAAAGCTACTGGTCTGTAACAGAGTTACTGTAAACTTCAACTTACATGTAAACATTACATAGCAATTTGGGCTGTTACGAGTCTTAGATTGTTGGAAGCTTTAGTAAAATTGCCTTAAAAGTGGAAAAAAAAACATGGCTTTGATGCAATGACAGTGACAGAAAAATAGCAATGTTAAGAGCAGGCGCAGCACATTATTGTAACATCTTTTGAGTAAGATAGATGGTCAAAGTGTCCCACATACAAACAGTATCCAGGTCTTCAAGAGTCGATTAAAAGATCGATTACAAGTTGATATGATATCTGGTCACTTTTAAAAAATGTTACATTCACACATTTCTTTTGCAGAAATAGAAGGGAACCAGTTTTTTTCTTAAATGACTGGCTGTGCAGTCAGCATTGCTTTCCATTAGTGATCTCTTCCAAGGAAGAGAATGAAAGTCAGTGGTATGATTTTCATGGCTCAACAGGTATGAATGTTGGATAGGAACTGGGCAGCATTGCAGATTTTTATTGCAATACGAGATAGAACCGGTGCCTCATACCTGTTGCACATGTTATAACCCCTGGAAAGTGACAAGAGGGATGCAAACCACTCAACCATTATAACATATTTGTATGCATTCCAATATATTTCTAGAAACTGCAGGATTTGCAAAAGGATTTGTGAATATCAAACCCTGATGTTGATACTTCAGCATTCAGCTCAGCCACGACTCCAGGGAAGTCAGAACTGAGATCCCGGGATGTCTGAGGCGAGTTCCAAAGGGTCGGCTGATGGCACATCTGGGTTTATTATTCACTGATGATTTTGCCAATCCTGCAATATGGACCCCACTGGCAAAGAGATTTCTCCAATTCATTCTACAGTAGAAATTTTATGCAATTCCCCTCCCCCGCGAAAAAATTGTGCATTTTGAATGGTGACAGAAAGCCGTTTCAACATTATGCTGTTTACCTGATGAATTTCATACCTAACAGTTCCGAGGCGTATAAGGACCGTTTATTGTTTGTTGTTTATTGTAATCATGCTCGCAGTGACAATCACACCTTCTACTCAAAAGATTATTCCTCGTTCCAATGAAGTGATTTCATTTTCATACTCTAAAACATCAGTATCTTGCACTGTGCAACAGTACAAGAAGATGACATTATCCTGCAGTGATTCAATGTTCAGCTTTCTGTTTCTCCTGAATAATTTCCTCCATTTGCTTATACCATGGCTTGATTTTGGTGTTTATCATCAGATCATTGAAAGCTTCCAGACCTTCCATCACCCGGAGCACCCCATAGACAGCCTGCAATAAAACACAACACTAGAATGCACTGCCTGAAAGGGTGGTGGAAGCAGATTCAATAACAACTTCCAAAAGGGAATTGGATAGTTACTTATAATAATCCCTTGCATTTGATGTAGCGCCTTGTCACATCGTCGAGCGGTCTCAAAGCGCTTCACAGAATATACTGTAAAGTGATTTGACTGTATATTTTGTGGGCAAAATATTTCTTTATCTGTAACTTCTTTACTTGTAAAGAAAAAATGCAAAGCTACAGGGAAAGAGGTGAGGAGTGGGACGAATTGGATAGCTATTTCAAAGAGCCGGCATGGGCACAATGGGCCGCTTTCTGTGCTGTAAGATTCTATGAAAAAGAAAAAGGAGAGGAAAGGTCAGGGGTTCTGTCCAAACCTAAATCCAATATGGTTTGCACTGATATGAGAGCTGATAAATCTCATAAGATTTTTTGAGATTTTATGGACAGCATAGTATCTCAATGAGTGAACTCACAGCAGCAAGTCTATGATGCAAGTTTTAGGGCAGGTAATGAACGAGGAAACAACTTTTAGTGGACAGGGTTAGAATTTCTTACCAGGTCAGCCAGATTTGGCGTGCTTCCTCCCATGAACTTCCTGTGACTGCCCACTGCAGCTACCCATTTATTGGCCGCTTTGTACAGGTCCTCTCGGACATTGTCCTGAAGGTTATGTCTGAAACCAACAAGCATAAAGTTTACACCATGCATCACTAACTCCACCAGTGACCTGACAGGATGAGCAGAATCTGGGTTGACTGTTTCAAACACTTCAGATTCACAACGTCAGGAACAAATCAGGATGGGAAAGAGGGTACACATTGCTGTTTCAGCTTACTGCAAACAAATACACCACGATGCAACTTATAACCGGACCTGCTTCGGGCAAGATGCGCTTATTGCAGTCCTGAAGAAAATAAGGAGTCGATTGGGATTAGGCAAACCTTTTCCTTACATTCGCCTACACGCACACGTTTCTCCACTACATTCATAACCGGTTTCCCTCTCGCAGTTATTCCTCATATTACTTTGGCTAAAGCAGCATGGTGAGCTTGTTAAGCAGCTTTCTCTGCTAGTGTAATACTGCAATTGCCAATTCCATGATGGAATGGAGCTGCTATCAATTAATTGCCAATATTGCCTTGTAACTAGGAATTGGAATGTATTCAGGATGACTCATTTGGAACATTTTACTCCAGCATCTAACAGGGGAAAAAATCACCTCTTCTAGTTCCCCCCGCCCTCCCACCAAAGTGCTGTTGCTCACCATCCAGTCTTAAAAGAATTAAGAACAACTTACCTCGATTTAAGTCTCTTGCTCACAAAGTACATGGCTGCTGCACCAAAATATTTAGCAAAAAATCCTTCAACTTTTCCAAACTTTCCCTCTTGTACTATGTAGTCAAAAGAGGCCAGTGCTTCACTTGGCGTGCGGTACACGTTGGGAGAAATGAGATGAACCAGCCAGTCATCCGCCCACATGCGCCATTTCATTTCTTCTCTGAAAAGCAAGAGGGCCAAAAAAACACTGATCGTTATTTTGTTTGCCTTGAAACATTCCTATAATCTCCAGGAAGGACTTTGAAAGGTTCATCCAATGTGAAAGTCTACTTCAGTGCAAGTTGTTGTAAAATTTAGAATCTTTGAACATGCCTATGGCAAACTCTCTCTCCACTCCCCCGTCGGAAGCACTCCGAGACCCTCCTCTATGTGGACAGCACCCTATAAATGCAAGTTGTTGTTATATAATCAATTTATTTGTGAGATAGGGATGGTATAAATGGGCCCCGTGGACAAAGCCGACTTACTTCCTGGCCTCCTTGTTGGGGTAATACTGAAGGACATCCTGATCCTCCAGCATTACCCAGTACTTGTTGTTGTACTCAGTTATCTCCTTTCCATTCTCATCCTTCGACTTCATCTCTGGGTAGAACGAGACCACCCGCTTTAAGTCTTTGTGCCTTACAGAAAAAAGAACGAAACGATAAGTAAAATGGTAAGCGACACTAAAACAAAGTGCCAATTCTGCAAATTTCACTCCAAATTATCAGTCCTTCAAAAGGCAACGTGGTGGCTTGTGCTGTGGGTGGATTGCAAAAAGTCACGTAAGGGATTCAACAGTAAATCTTATGATCCCCACTATTCTATTGGCAGAAAGACTCAAAGCAGAGAAATCAGGAGGTCACATTAGGATTGAGCGCAAGTGAACTCTCTGCTCTTTTGGGAGGATATTATGCATAGCATGGGGGCAGTGAGGAGTATTGAAGTCCCAATACATTGTGAAGCGACAGGACAGCATGACATAGGCTCGTGGCTGCAATCCCCCACAAACTAGGGTGTTAATATCTCAGGAAGGGGAGGGGGAAATAAATATAAGACAGGTATTTCCCCTCTAAGTAGGAGAAGCAAGAGAACAGAAGGCAAATCAACCCCTGCAGTTTTCATGCAATTGTAATAAAATTATATAGCACCTTTTGTGTCAGAGAAAGGATGCCTCACAACGCTTCACGGGCTATACTGTAAATATGTAGTGACCACGTATTTTGTATGCAACAACAGCAAAATTACATTTATAGAGCGCCTTTCACATCGGGAGGACGTCCGAAAGCGCAAAGGAGATAATTGACCAAGTTACTGTGACCCAAGCCATGGGTTTAGGGTGGAAGATATGAATCTCACCCTCACGAAACAGAACATTTCAGAAACAATGAAAACAAAATTGCTCAATTACTCATTGAACTTACCTGGTTATTAAATAAGTCTTCATAGCACTAATGATAACCGAAGAATCATTGATTTGCTGAAAGATAAATAGATTTATATATATATTTTTTTTAAAATTTGTGTTTCATATACAGTTTATTCCAAATGTGCTTCACATGCTTGTTCTTCCAGAAGATTTTGTATATTATGAGATTTTATATATTAAAAGAAAGTCTTAAACATTTATAATATTTAAACGCAAACAATAAAGCCAAATTCTGTAAATGACTAGCTTGGGTTCAGCTAGCTTTTATCTCAATGAGCTGCCTAGAGCTCCAGAGACAAGCAAGAGGGCAATGATCCCTTTTGTTAGCATGAGTTACAGGAATAGATTAAGTAAACTCTTAAAGGTCTTATCTAATCCTTGAAAGGAGATCTCTCAGAGAGGACCTTGTAGAGAGAGATACAAGAGTCTAAATGGGATTGATAAAGTAAACCCAGAATAAGTTATGACAGCAGAGGTTTAGAGTTTTAAAGAGCAATTTCAGACTTTGGAGGCTTTTGATGCAGTTCTTTACAACCACAACTTGTGTTTATATAGCGCCTTTCACGCGGGGTAGCATCCCGGAGCACTTGACAACTCACCACCTTCACTTTACCAACTCACCATTTTATCCCCAGGCTCAGCCATTAAAATTGGAACCTTCCGATAACTGGAAAATTTTATTTCAGTCCGCATGACCGGGTTGACCTCCACAACCTTGTAGGGCAAGCCATGGAAGTCGAGGAAAGCCCGGACTTTGCTGCAGAAAGGACAGGTCTTGTACTGGTACAGCGTGAGAGATAGGTCATCACTGGAATTCTGAGACAAAAGACACACGTACATGAAACCTTGGCTTGAACACTTGCAGGGAAGGTGATCTTCCACTATCCAGTTACTGTGCTGGGTTGAGGCACCAAAACAGTAAATAGCCTCTCTCCCCCACACCACCACTCACCGTTCAGCCCCACCACTGTCAAGCAGTCAGAGATGTTATCCTACATGATGGACGATGTATGCAATTTAAATACCAACTGGCAAGACTGAAACCCTGTGCCCCAGCAATGATTTAATCAGCAACAACAAAATTACATTCTTATAGCGCCTTTCACATCGGGAGGATGTCTCAAGGCGCTGGACAATCAGTGTTTCGGACCAGAGCTGGGGGTCGGGATTGGGGAGGGTGGAGAGCGGGGCAAAAGAGGGTCACCGAAGGCACGGTCAAAGAGGAGGATTCTGAAGGAGGCAAGGAAGGGGGCTATCCATGTAAATACACAACAGGACACAATGAAACCTAGCTATATAAAACTGTGATTAAGATCTTAACAGTTTATAAAGACAGAGGACTGGTTCCAGTTAGTGGCATCTTATCACCTGAAAACAATCAACAGAAAAATGCCCAATTCTGATTTCAATTTGTCCTCTTCTTTCTATTGGTTTTATCCTTTCTTTCAGTGATGAAAAACTACTTTTTAACACCGTAGCGAGGGCCCAAACGTGCCAGCCTGGATCACCAGAACCACATTTATTTGACTTTCTATCCCATTAATACATCGGGCGGGTTAGAGCTCGCCGGTTAAACTTACTCCATGCAAGAATGATCTCTCGGGGTGATAGAAACAACTCTTATCTCAAGAGATTATTCGGTAAAAGTCACAGAAGAAACGTCTCGTGCGAAAATTGCTGTGCAACTCGAAAGGGTAACGGGTAGATAAGATATCTGCAAAACCAGGCTTGCAGAGCAGTCCCGAAGGTCTCGGAAGGCAATTTGGGAAGAGGGATCTCTCTCTCTCTCTCTGTGTGTGTGTGTGATCTGGGATGACTGACCTTCGCTCCATTTGCATTCTGTGCAGAAATTCCACAAGTGCAGAATTCAGGGCCAGAGCTGCACAAGGAATGCTCGGATTGAAATTTAAACCCAAGGACCACATGGCCCCCGCAAAGCCTGACTTGGCTTTTAAACCACCACAGATTTACTGGCCCTGTAACCTCGATCTTCATTATATACCCCCAACGAAAAGTACGTGCACACACTCACGGATGCACACACACAGAGACACACACACACACACACACACAGAGACACACACACACACACAGATACACACACACACACACACAGAGATACACACACACAGAGACACACACACACAGAGAGACACACACACAGAGATACACACACACAGAGACACACACACACAGAGACACACACACAGAGATACACACACACAGAGACACACACACACACAGAGATACACACACACAGAGACACACACACACAGAGACACACACAGATACACACACACAGACACACACAGATACACACACACACAGAGACACACACACACACACAGAGACACACACACAGATACACACACACACAGCAGTTGTGCAATCTTTTTACTTGAAGCAAGGTCGCAAGTTTAATAATGTTAATAACTTTTTTTTTGGTGGGGGGTGGGGTGGTGGGGTGGGGGTGGGGGTTGTACAAACATTTCACACAATAAATGTAGGTAAGGTCCTGAGCTTCAGCTACGTTAGGATTAGAGGCCACACAAAGAAGTACAAAGGCAAAACACACACTGGTAATCGTTGCTTTTTTTAAAAAAATGCACAGACACACACACACAGGTCCAGCCAACACACTTGCAATGCAGTGAAGGTGGGGTGGGGGGGAAAAAAAAAATGCATTCACAAAAAATAAATCAGCTGCAAAGGACTGAATCCATTTACAGGGGCGACTGAGCAAAGGAGGAGGGGAGGGGGAGGGGGGGAGGGGTGGGAGGGAAAGGGAAAGAAAAGAATCAATGCAGAAAGTTAGTGCAGAAAGCGGTCGGTAACAGAGCCCCAGCGAATGAATGCACAAAAAAAACTGGTGCTTTGCAACCAGAAAACCAGGTGGAGTGAGTGAGTGAGTGAGTGAGTGAGTGAGAGTGAGTGAGTGAGTTACCTGTGTGAGGAGCTGCTGCTGCTCCGCCTGGTGCTGCTGCTGCTGCAGGTACAGCCTGACGGTCTGCCACAGACCCAGGGTGCCCCCCAGCACAAAGGCACAGCTCAGGGCACGACCCCCACCCCCCCCACCACCACCACCCCTCCCCACCCTCAGCCCCCCAGCCAGCAGACCCCTGCCCTGGGTGGAGTGGCTGCCCACAGGCTGCAGAGCCCAGGCTGTTAGCCCTGTGCGGGCTGCTCTGGCGCAGGCTCTCACCCAGGAGGCTGCCATCTGCACCTCACTCTGATGTGTGTGTGTCCCCCACACACACACACAAAAAAAAGAAAGCTCTGAGAGAGAGAGAGAAAAAAAAGGGGAAACCCTTCCCACAGTTCCTCTGAGCTTGAGCTCTTAAAGCTGAGCCACACTGACATCTCCTGCCTGCAATTGAATTGCAGCTGCACACTTTCAGGGCAACTTCATCTGTGCATGCAATGCAATGCAATAATAATAATAATAATAATAATAATCCTTGCATTTGATATGGCGCTTTTCAGGTCGGGAGGACGTGCCAAAGCGCTTCACGCAACGCGCTGTAAAGTGAATTGACTGTATGTTTGTGGGCGAACGCGGCGGCCGATTGCGCACAGCGATGTCCCACAAACAGTCGTGGATTGAAAATGACCAATTTTTATTACTGGTTTTGGATTTGGAGGGGTTATTATCAGGCTCTGTGCGGGTGGAGTAAGGAAACTTGCCCGAGGTTTCGCCCTGACCTGCCTGGGATCGAACTCGGGTCTCTCGCTCTGCAATGCATAATGCTACAGTAATAATAGTAATAATTAGTGGTGAAACAGCTGACGTTCTGACGATAAAATTTCAGTTTTTTGGTAATGCAATGATTCAAGAACGTTTAACAGTTGTTAGAAATAAAGTAGAAATCGCAGTAAAACCAACGATGCTGATTTACTTCCAGTTTAGCTGCTGTGAGGTTTATACAGCAGATACCCACTAGAGGTCTAGGATTATAGCTTTTAAACCTACTCCACCCCCTTGCGTGGGTTGGTGACGGAGCGGGTCCTCTCTTTCTCTGCGCCTGCCTGACAACGCCCCACACCCCCACCCAAAAAAATGTAGATTTCAATCGGATCAAAATGCTTCACAATTTGTTCGTGTTTCACGTGTTAATGTCATGTTAACGTACATCGGCTCAAAGTCTTTGTGTGTGAGTGCGTGTTTTGTGCAGGCGTTTTCTGGACAATCTCAAGTGTGAAAGCCCTGGATCAGCCGAGACTGAGCCTGGGTCATACAGACTGACTGACTTGACCAATCAATCAACCAATCAACCAATCAATCAATCAATCGGGGGAACAACAACAACTTGCATTTACATAGCGCCCTTCAGTCAGACCGACCGACCGATCTGGGAGCACGTTCCTTGCGTCTCGGCCACATCTCAAGTTTGACACAATGTCCGGACCTAACGGGGACCCCAGAGTTAACGTGGAGAGTGAAGAAGAGGACGGAAACTTAGAGGGTAAAAAAAAATGAATACAGTTTATAACAACCTTCGGTGTAGCGCTTTTCATGTCGGGAGGACGTCTCAAAAGCACTTCACAGGTTAAAGTGCAGTGACTACGTAATTTGTAGTCACGAGATAAACTCGTCTCAGATCTTATAATATATAATAATCCTCGCATTTTGATATAGGGCTTTTCACATCTTCGAGGCGTCTCAAAGCGCTTCACAGAACACACTGTAAAGTGAATTGACTGTCAATTACATAATTACAATTACAGTGGTGAGACATCACCTTGTTGACGAGTATCAACAAGATAATAATAATCCCTCCAAAAAAACCAAAAAACAATAATAAAAAAAAATTGGTCATTTTCAATCTACGACTGTTTGTGGGACATTGCTGTGCGCAATTGGCTGCCGCGTTCGCCCACAAATATACAGTCAATTCACTTTACAGTGTTCTGTGAAGCGCTTTGGGATGTCCTCCCGACGTGAAAAGCGCTATATCAAATGCGAGGATTATTATTATTATTATTATAATTTGTGGGCGAACGCGGCAGCTAATTGCTCACAGCAGCGTCCCACAAACAGTCGTGGATTGAAGTGACCGATTTTTATGATTGTTTCTTCTTGAGGGATTATTATCAGGCGTGTGGAGTAAGGAAACTTGCTCAAGGTTTTGCCCTGCCGGGAACTGAACCCAGTTCTCTCACTTGCGAGGCAGTGCTCTAACCACTGAGCCACAGGACTCCACATATCAATCTATCTGACAGGACATTCCACATTCCAACAACTTTACCTCCACGACCTTGCCCCTATTTGACATCCGGTCATTTTGCCTCCACTCCCTGAACTTTTTCCCAAATTCCATTGTTAGTAGTTCCATTTTCATTTAGAAAAAAAAAATCAACTTATTTTAATTTAACCTTTGTTGTTTGTCTGAGATACCATGGACCTGCTTTTCCTTGGCTGCTTCATTGAAATCAATCACAGGAAAGGTCCGACCGGCTCCGGCTTTGTGGGACATTACTGTGTGCGATATTTGCTGCCGCGATCGCCTAAAAATCCATTCCCTGCACTTTACAGTAAAAATACTGTGAATTGCTTTGAGACATTCTGACGATTGACAAAGGTTTTAAAAGCAAAGTATTACAATTATCCAAAAAACATGTTTTATACTGATTTGAATCTCAATTTGTGGGAGATTTGAGAAAAGAATGAAGTATCAATTGCCTACAAATCAATCACTGCATTTTACAGAAACCTTTGTGAAGGACTTGGGAGACATTTTGATGTTAAGCCTCTAAATGGAATTTAAGGATTATTACATTATCTTACGTCAAATGTGATATTTTTGAACCTACCATAGAATATGCAGCCCTCGACCAGATGCTTGACCAGATTAACTCTTGTCTCGACAACCTGGAGGAGAAGAATGATGTCCTCAATGCAAAGCTCAGAGAACTTCTGGAGTCAAATCGCCAAACGCGGGTAGAATTCAGGCAGCAGATTGTTGGAGCAGCCCAGCAGTCGGATGCTAAGTACAAGAACTCTTGACTGTGACATTTCTACATTCTGCTCTGGTATTTTGTGTCCTTCTAGAGAAGAAAAATCCCTTATTTGCTAGTGGTAGAAACTCTCTTCTACAACCCAAAGTGCTGAATACTGTTTCGACTTTCATATTCCTCCCCAATTTTGCCTGATGTGTCTGCTTCTTTATGTGATCTCTTCCATTAAAATCAGGCTCTGGACTTGTAGGCCATGTTAGAGGACGTCTACTTGGAATAGAAGACACAAAGTCCAGTTTCCCACCTGATCAGTTTCATCTGCGAGTGAATGTCAGAAAATCCCAAGTCCCTGTCAATATGTATAAGCAAGAAATGTTCTACAAACTATTGTTAATATTCAGGTAGTATTGCGTTTCCTTTTTGCTCTGTTTAAGAACTTTAACTTACTTATGTGTAATTTAAGTGACTCTCACTTTATGTTCAAGGCGTGTCAGAAACTGCCTATCTCAAGCAAACTTCTTTCAAGAAGTTGGTTGGTTGGATCAATGGCCCACTGTGGATCGAAGCCTTTATTGTTGATAGAAAAGGTTTTAAGTGATCTTATTAAAAGTGAGATGTTACTAGAAATGATATTGAGGACTAAATGCAATGAAAGGATTGAGGGGAGTACTAATGTATTCAATAATGTCCTTTGACTGTTTAGTGGAATCATTAGTGAAGACTTCTACATTCACAATGAAAAACTAACCTGTTCCTACTGTTATAACTGTGTCAATTGCACATTATGCTCATATATGACAACACATGCACAATCACGACACTGCTAAAATCCTGAGAAGCACTTTGAGACACTGGTACAATAACTACATAGATGTGAAGGCACATTACAGTAACTTGGATGCTTGAAGACTAAAATCTTGGAAAGGCCGAGATTTCCACTTGTATCTCGTGTTGAATGTAAATATATTCTGGGATTTGTTGGGTAAATATAAATGTTTCATTCCATCATTGTATTTGTAAAGGTGTGCTCTGCACTGTCTGAAATCCAAATGAAATACAGAAACTTTAATATTAAGTTTTAAGTATTTTAAAGATTTTCGCCCATAAAACACAAGTCACTACAGTATATTCTGTGAAGCGCTTTGAGGCGCATCAACAAAGTGATATCAAATGCTAGTGTTATTAAAATGCATTTTTCAGCATTCCATAGAGGATTTATTTCAATGTTATCCTTTTATATGAACTGCCAGCAACTATTAAAGAAAACGTCATGTTTAAAAAGGGGTTTAAAAAGCTTATTGTTAAATGCCAACAGTTACTATCAATAAACACATTCATTTAAATTGTGAAAGTATGCGAGAGATGATGTGTGGAACTGAACGAGTTTCCTCTTTGTATATACGCTGTACCAATGCTCAATAGAAATCTGATCAAACAGGTTGTTTTAAGAAGTATGTACCCTCAGTAAAGCATGAATAAAAGCCCAGAAGATGCCAGGCTCAATGACCATGCCCTGTGCTCCCTTCAATCCTGTAGTAAGAGCTGCAAAGATCAGAAGGGCAATGTTCTTAGGATGAGCTGTTAAAACTGAGGTCCTGGTAACCTGTTAGATGGATGTGAAAGATCCGGTGACATTCAAAAACAGAAGGGACTTTCTCCCGGTGTGAGGCGCTGCAGGGCAGCTGTGGAAATGTAGCCCAGAGTTAGTGCCTTCAGTGAGACGGCAACCTGGACACAGAAATATACTGCTCTGTAAAATCTAAAAAAACTATTTTCATGTGAAATTATTGCAAATGACCTGCTTCCACGTTGCTGCGAACGGTGCACAGATCACGTGAAGAAATTAACATCCTACTCAAACGTCACCTCGAATAAAGCGAGTAAGTGGAACTTCCTGCCATTTTATCTTCCCCTCCAAAACACACACAGAACTGGGGTAACTGATCAAAAAAGCAGCAGAGCCCAGCAAGTTGAATGTCCAGTCAAAGAGGAAACATTCAATAAGATAGTGATTCAAATTAGAGTCTTCTGTCTTTGGAATTTGTCCTGTCAAAGCCACCTGACCAAATCTTAAATAAAAGGCGACTTCTCGCAGTGATATTCTTGTTAATTTCCTCGCAGCATGTTGGCTGAAACAGTTTTTAAAATATGAAATAAACTTCCAAACAATATAAAGAATATTCAATCACAGCAACTGAAATAAACATCTTTGTTTTCAAACAGCACTGAGGACAGGATTTTATTTAGTTCTCAAGGAAAGATTACAGTACTCACACACATTAAACCAAATGTTTGACTTTTAAAAAAAGTATCCAACATGAAAAGGACTTTCATCTAAAAAAAAAGCAATCTTTTACGTTCCATTATCGTTTATACACCAAACATTTGCTCCTTCACTTCAAAGATTCCTTTCCTACAATTACAATTTTGCATTTTCTAGACCGTTGGTAAGGAATGAAGAGTTAACTGCTGACGATGCATTTATTGCAGTACTTTACATTTCAGCTTAAACAATGTGCGTTGGGTTTCACTTCAATCCAGAAAGCTGTGGGAGGGGTGATGAGCAAACAAGAAACATAAAGCTACCTAGATGGTATGAGATATTGGACGTGGTAGACTTTGGTTGCTCCAACAATCCCCGTTTTCTTTGAATTAGAATAGCCTGATCATAACCAGAGGAAGTCCACGTGGTGCAATACCTGTTAAAAGCTGGATCACAAGCTGAAGAAGGCACATTACAGTCGACTCTCTTCCCCCTTCTCGCTCCCTCCCATCCCTCCCCTCACCCTGACCATTTCCCCCCTCCTCGCTCCCTCCCCTCCCCTCACCCTGACCATTTCCCCCCTGCTCGGGTCATGACCCAACTGTGCAGCGCCTTGGGACGTCCTCCTGACGTGAAAGGCGCTTTATAAATGGAATCTTGTTGTTGAAGAACGATTCACAAATCGAGACATATCCACGCATTTATTCTGGTTGCAAAGGCCAACACAGCACTAAGTGTTGCAGAAATACTGAGACAAAATTAAAGGACATGGACCGTTGTTCACCACTAAACCTCATCACATCACTGGTGTCCCTGTGATCAGCTGATAGAGAGCCGTGCCTTCCTAGGCAAGAGGGTACATGGAGGTGAGAGTCTATGTGGTGTTGGTTGGGCAAAAATACACAATAAGTTAAATATTTACATAGAATTTCTCTCTTTACCCCATCCAATCCCACACTGAATTATATCAAATTTGGCCAACAATAACCTTTCTTTTAATGCCTCTTGTTACAGTAGGTGTTGATAAATGTGATTTAGATAGGAGCATTCCTTTCCTAGCCAAGAGCACGTTAACCCCATCTAAAACAATCTGTGATGAATTATCAGTCCAATAAAATCTCAAGATCCTGAACCTGGTCAGACAAAATATTTGTTGGCTGCTTAAATCAGACTGCAATATATCACAAATGACATTTATATTTTGTTCTTTATGTCGGGAGGATGTCCCAATGACGCTGGACAAATGAGGGTTTGCACTGAGCTGTGGGTTGGATTTGGGGCAAAAGATGACCGAAGGCACGGTCAAAGAAGGACCTTGAAGGCGTGGGAAAGGGCAAGGCGAAGGGACTCCGATACATGTATTTGCTTCAGATTGCAGATTATTAAAATGGGAGAAAACTATATTTAATTAAAGCTGTACACAATTAAAGTGGGAATTTGTGACTTCTATTTGGTCAAATGAAAATGGCAAACCATGGCTAATTGAAAGTTAAGAACCTAGAATACGATCTTGTAAACCACCAGGCAGCGAAGTTCAACAAATTCTGTGGGACTCTATAAAAAAGTGAAACCTGAAGGCTGAATTTGTACTGGGAACTAAGCAGAGCCTGGAAGGGGGAATATATCAAGAAATAAATGCCAAAATCTCAAAGGGCAAAAAGGATTTACTCAATAATGAATCAGTAGTTGATGACTCAGCCAATGCAAGGATTAGCACATTCCAGTTGATTTTTTAAGCCCCGCTTAGTCACTAAAGTATGTCCGTGAGAACAGGAGGGGCAGATTTGCTGCTATGGGTGCAGCAGGCATTATTTAGCATGCTGCAGTTTAAATTTGAGGGCTGTAAGTTGAACTTCTTAACAGTTTAGTACTCTACAGAAGCTAAATTAGTCACCAGCTGCCCAGTACCTAAGTACTTTTGAAATGAGGTAAACAGCAGAGGGGCCCAAAGTTTCAAACTTAAGATGCAGTACACAAAACCCCAGGACACAGTGCTGGGTTACACAGTGAGGGAACTCAGACCTGTAGAGGTTGAATGTCAGTATGTTCCAAGCTGCTGGGTGATTTTGACGATTACCACCAATGGTAATAATGATAATAATTCTTGCATTTGACAGAGCACCTTGTCACGTCGTTGAGACGCCTCAGTGGTAGCCAAGCTGTGGCAGGAAGTGGCCCCCTCAACATTCGCACGAGTCTAAATAAGTCTGTGTTCGATCAATCTACTACAATACGAGTGGTTGTGGGAAGGGCTTTTAAAGGACATTGTTGAGTGTCACTGGAACGAGGGCTACGATGGTAACAGTGAACCAGCACAGCCCACAGCATCCCAGGCGAGTAAAATAAAAGTTGAAACTGTTTCACAAAAGTCATGTACCGAGTACAAATTTCTGCCATCAATGCCGGGGGCTGCATGCAGCCCTGAGCCTCAATCCCAGCCCCATGTATAAAATTAAAGGCCTGTATATGGGTGTTTGTTTTGGTGAGTTTTGGTGCCCTAATATTATGGTAAATTACTTTCTTAAAAAATAAATCTGGTCCACACATTGCCTCCGGAAAGAAAATCCTTTACCGTCAAGTGTGCAACATGCATCAAGTAATTTTTAGGGCTGTACCAGGGAGATGTAGAGAGCAGTTCTTAATGGTAGCACTTATTTTAGGTTCTGTAAGTTTTCTACTTTACAGCCAGTAACAAAAGCAGGTCCAAGGTCAGATGCAACAAACAGTTCCACTAAAACTAACATCACACGATACCTAAAATACCAAATTCAAAAGCAACCCCTTAATGCATCAAACCTTTCACTTTCTCCCACTGTGGACACAGACTGCAAATTTAGCTGTATCTGAAAGCAACTTTCTGCCTGAACTGAGCGTCCCAATTGATTTCACTTAGCATCCCTGGTCCCAGAGGTAAAACGGGAAGTGCTCAAACAGGTTGGGCCACCCTGGTGTAAATACATAGCACATCATTAACGATATCACATTCATAAAATAAAATGCAGGGGGATGGTGCAGTCTGGTTCGGAGTGAATCACATTTCGTGAAATCTTTGGATACAGGCCACCTCCAACTTAAAACTCCTCTTTGTCCCTGTCTACTTCAGCTACAAGTGAATCCAAAAAAAAAAGACTGTGTTAGGACACTACAATTAGTTATCAACAGACTCGCACATAATTCTTCCTCACATGGGTGAGAGAAAATACATAACTAGCTCTCACTCACCATGGATCGATCTAACAGGGACACACATGTACCTCATTCATGGCGAGTGAACCAGATTCAACCAGACCCCACCCCCCCCGCACTGTTTCGTTACTCTAGAACGCCGTTGGATTTTTATTTATTTATTCTTCCTTCGTAAAGAGCAGCGACGGCCTTTGACTGCTCTCCCATATCTGGTTTTTGGTGGGCTGCTATCCAGGTCGTCATCATTTTCTTCACTTTTCACTTCGGGCTCCTCGTACTGCTTTTCCACTCCTCTGCTCAGCTGTCCTACCTGACCATCCTCTTTTTCACTGCACTTTTCAATTTTCTTGGAGCTCGGCTCGAGCTCTTCGTGCTTGTTGGCTTCACCCGTCACTGGACTCCCAGGAGCGGCGTTCAGTTCACGTGTGTTGGGCTCAGCGAGCGGACGCGTGTTCTTCAATTCAACTGGAGTCACTGCTGTTTCATCGTACAACAAAGAGTCATCCATCTCTTCATCAGCTAACTCTGAACTGCCATCTAAACCCCCAGATCAATATCTTCATCGATATCTTCATGGCTCGAGTTCGCTGGCTTGGCGTCCTCTGAGTGGCTAGTTGTGACGTCTTCCTTGCTTCCAGCACTGACATTAGGACTGACGGTCTGAGCGGATTGTGTCACCTCAGGCTTGGGATTCATCCCCTTGGTCTCAAGCTTGCTCATATTGGGGCTCTGAGATGTTTGATCAGCCTCCTTTTGCTTACCACCTGTTGGCTTCAAATCATCTGCAGACACTTGACCGCTCATCCCAGAAGCAGTTGGCTCTTGACCGGATGTCAGCAAACTTTCTTGGCTTCTTTGTTCTTTGTAATTCTGTTTCAATAAAACAAAAGCATAGAAAACGATGAAATGGCAAAAACCTTCAGAGTCACTTGAGCAACTGCACATTTGTGATTAAAGAGGCATCATCCTTGTGTTGACATCAGCATCAACAGCACATTCTCTTCCCTCTCAGGGACGTGGGTGCTGTTAGTCTTTCCCGAGTGAAAATATGGTAGACTCAAGCCTTCCGTTATGCTGCCCTATAACTGGCACTAAGAGGAACATGGAGAACATCAACTCATTTCCCTTGTAAAGAAATACCAGTTTTGTACCTGGCATTGGAATGCAGATATCACAATTTTCCATGACAAGAACTCTTATTGCACAATTATTAACCCGAACCAATAAGGCAAATGCATTTGCCCAAACAAATTAAGGAATGCATCTCTTTATTACAGATGTTAAACTTGAGTCCCTGTCTGTCTGGTCAGGTGCACGTTAAAGATCCCATGGAACTATTGAAAAAGAGAAGGGAGTTTCTTTCTGGTATCCTGGCAAGCAAAACCCCAAGATAAAAAAAATTGGTTCATTTCCTTCATAGCTCTTTGTGGGACATTGTTGAGTGCAAATTGGCTGCTGTGTTCGCTTGCAGCAGTCACTGCACTTTAAGGTATATCCTGTGAAGTGCTTTGGTACTCCCTCCTGATGTGAAAGCTGCTATTCCAAGTGTAAATATTATTATTGCACATTGAAGCATATTTTAGTATGTTCCAAACATAACCTTTTCAAACACTGCCAAGTCCTTTTCTGAGAATTGTGAGGACTCAGCTCTGAGCCGGTGCCTTCAACAAGATCTGCAGGACAGATCGACAGCAGATCATGCAGAAGTCTGTTCAGAGCTAAGACCAATGACCTGCTTCTTTGTGCGTACGTAATCATTTAAAATATTCTTTAAACTCCTTCCTATTGCGTAGTTTTCTTGACTATTAATCCTATTAATGGACTTTTGCAGTTCAATCAATCTGATGAAGGACCATACTTGAAATGTTATCGTTCCTAGCAAAGAAAATGCTCCAGTTTCTCTCCCCAACCCCCAGCAATCTCCCCCCCACCGCCCCTCGTCTTCCTCCTCTCAAGTCAAACATTTTGCTGGAGTATGATTCCACCTCTGATACCTCACCAAGGCAAGAGCTATGTGACCACGGTTGGGAAGGTAGGAAAAAGAGAGAGGGCTCGGTATCACAGCTGAGTTTATCTTAGATTCATCTGACATCCGCTGAGTTATACTTTCCGAATATGTAAATCCTATATATTCACTTTCTCCAATAAACACAGAAACATTTTAGACGGAATATGAATGAATGAAGAGGACTGCTTGCTTGCTTGAAGATAAGCTTCCGCAGGGATTATGTCAGGTTGATAAGTTCCCAATCTTACAAAGATGCTGAGATCAGAAAAGGCCAGGATCCTTTTCTCTAGTCAGGGACAGAAATTCAGACTGAAACACTTATGCATACAGAAAAGACTGGAGAATCAAGAAAGGAGCAAACACCACTGCATGAGATTAAAACAGTGTCCAACCACACTGTCTTACGGATTACGTAGCCAGTGTACTGATATTGAACACTTCAATAGCAACGAGAAACTGTAATAATCTATCTCACATGGATCTAAATAATGAATTCATGGTCGATTCCTTTTTAGGTTTATTAATCTGAAATAACAGAATTATGGCTAATGTATCGATCGATCTGTAATCTTTTGCTGCCAAAAAATTTCCAGTGTATCTTTAAGATCTTGAAACCAAACAACTAATCACATTCGTCAAGGAATGGATCAAGCCTTGTATCTAATAGTAGGTGTCAGGGAAGATCACATTCAAATGTTATAAGCTGGTGGTTACATTTTCAAAACTCAAATTTATATATATATATGTATCACAAACAATAATTTCCACATGCTGTGGTCAGCGATGGGAGCAAAAATTAGCCTGATCTGGTGATTCCACTCTTTGATCAGTGGATGAAATATATAATTGACAATCCAACTTCTAGCTTTATAGTTTCAACAGAGCTGTTGCTAACATGCCAGAGAGATTGGTTGCAAATGCTACGTTGCAAGAAAGAGAAATGCAATATCACACAAATTAGCAGGTACCAATGTGGCTACGGAGCTCAGTAGCTACACATATTGTGAAGGACAAACAGGTGGACAGAAAATATTCAAATGGAAGATGGAGCAAAATGGGAGGGATAACCAGACTAGAGGAATGTTCTCAAACACCTCAATATGAAGCAAAGACAGAAAAGCACAACGTACACTAACACTAACAAAACAGTTCAGTCGAGATGAATGTAGAAGTCACAAACTTGCTCGAATGTTCCTTCAAAAGTAACAACAGAATTTCTTCACTACAATTTTTCTGAGCGAGAGGACAGTCCCAGATATTTGAATACTTGGATTTGTCAGTCGTGTGAAGGTCATATACAGCAAGATGGACAAACAGACTTTGCCCAGTGTACGTAACCCCCAACTCAAATGATCTCTACATCAATGTAAATGTTCTATTCTGCTCCTACAACCTTTCTGTGCAATGCCACGATTTTAGTGTCAAATCAAAGAATAGTTATGCATTGTTAACTCATTACTATAGTTGCACTGTTGACTCAGTTGTAGTTGATATTCACGGTCGATCCATTACTTAATAATAGTACTTATTGGCCTTTAACTACTTGGCTGCTTGCAGGACATTGCTGTGTGCAAACTAGCTGCCGCAATTGCCTACAGAATACAGTCACTACAATTTAAGGTAAATCCTGTGAAGTGCCTTTGAGACGTCCTCCTGACGTGAAAGGTGTCAAAGATAAGCATTATTACTGTTATTAAAAAGAACTGAAGTCAAACCACTTCAACTGATTCACTAAGGTGCTATAATGCCTCTCGTTTGTTAGGTATTTGAATCTAGTCAAGTTTGATGTTACCTATCAAATTAGCCAGATATTGATTCCCATACTGTCGCTTTAGCCACTTATTAAGATGCACAGGGAACAAAGCACAATAACCAAGCAATTGCTGACCTAATGTGGACAAGTTCGGTTCAAATTGTAGCACTGGGAAGACTAAACGTTCATTAAAACAATTTTTTAATTTTTGTTATTGGAAGATTTCTAGTTGATCCGGCAAATGCTTGAACTGAAGGGACATCAAAACAAGTTTGAGACAATAGAATCAGAGAGAGAAATAATGCACACAGAAATGGGGAACGGAATGAGAGAAGAGAGAGAGAGAGAGAGAGAGAGAGAGAGAGAATGAAACATAGCCACATCACGAAACAACCATCTAACCTGAAGGTTCTGAAAATGCATCAGTGACTTGCAGTGGGTAAACCTGGCAGTGGACTCTGAATGGTAGAATTTGTGACACAACTTGCAGAGGAAACCGGTCACAGGGACCACAAATTCCTGGCCTGTGGAGGGGAGGGGAACCAAGATGATCACTGTATGTAACATTGAATGTGACCTCATCATTAAACACATAAAACAAGAAATAAATCAAAACTGGAAAAAGCAAACGCATACAAGATTGTTTTTTTCAAAAAAATAATCAGTTGTACAATAAGAGTTCTGATCAAACAGAGACAGGCACTCGGCCTCAGCCAGAACATTAAACTTTTGGTTAAAGCTTGATGGTTTGCTATGACAAAAATCAAGAAACCACCTTTCCACACTTCACAGATAAAATGTATACATGCGTGAGACGAAAGGTCTGTGATATTGTGATGGAATGAGCACAGCAATGGGTCTAGATGTACAAAGTTAGAAGAATGCTATAAGAATTAGTCTATTCATCTGTGCTAAACAGATGGAAACCAGATACTCAGAGAGTAATCTAAGCAGCAAGATGTTTCTCACACTGAGCAACAAGCATATGTTGCTTCTATAAGAATGTTTCTGTATAATAAGCAGGCATCTGCCAAGGAATTTAAACAAACTCTCAGATAAAGCTGAAAATGTCATAAGGGCACCAACTGTGATCATTAAGCAATTATTTCAGAACTCCCACCTAACTGTAGCTCACTGCTCTTTTCTCAACAGAGTTCCACATTCAGTGTATTTTTATTTTCTTGCGGTGAGGTATGCTCTCCCTCCAATACTCCTCCCCCAAGTGACTGTTCTTCATGAGTAACCTCGACCACAAGGGCAGGTCAGATCTTTGGTGTGTGAACGGGTCTGGGTTCTGCTGTCTTGTCCCCAGATCTTTGATCTCACTGGGGACAAAACAGCAGAACCCAGACCCGTTCACACACCCGTACTTTCCAGCAGGACTCAGGGAGCAGAAGCCCTCACTGAATTATTCCCCCTTCCCTATCCCGGGAGATGCCAAGAGCAACTCCTGCAGCCAAACTGCTCAATTGTCTGTGAACAGCTAATTCAGAACAGACCAGAATGTAGCACCCAAACTACTACCTCGCTGGTTTCTCCACTATGTGGCTCAGTAATAGCAGACAATGTAGAGAGTCACAAATAGATTTGTAAAACAATCATACAGATGACATGAACAGTTGGAAATAGTTACAAGTATCCTCCTGTATAATACAATTCCTCGTCATTGAATTGAAAGGAAGAATTCTAACAGATGAGAACAAAACACTACAACAGATGGATTCCCTCAGGTGCTGTCCAATGTTGGGCCATACTATCTAAATTAATTTGGTTAACTGCAGACACAAGCACAGGAAAGACAACAGGTTGAGGTGCAAAACACAGTGGAAACAATTGGCAGATCTACTCCAAACCTACACCAAGTAGGAAATACAATCGCCATCCAGCTTCTGTTTAATGGGCTGCTCAATGAGTGGTGAGTTTTTGAGCCTCCTATTGTATTTAGGGTGAGGGAGGACAGTGAAAAGAAATAAGACTTTCTCTTACTTTGCACACTTTAGAAAGCATCAAGCATTCCAGGTCAGGTACACCATAGACAGATGGAATAGACTTCTCTTCGAATTACAGTGTCACACCTATAAGTTACAACATTTCTAGGTTTTGAATTAACACCATTAATATACAACTCAGAAAGCAGTTGTACAAGAAGTTCTCCTTTCTATTTGGTATGAGGTTCAATCCAAAGTCCTTCTGCTTAGGCATTAAGAGGTGTTGGAAGTATGTTCATCCTGGATTCATTAAGCCAACTACAGAGATAAAACATACTAGTTCTGACTCAAGCCACAGTATACGTTTCAATTTCAGCATGATATTTTATTTAGGAAAGAAATCAAGCTAGAATGAACAGAAGAACTAATTTCTAGCCATTGACGTTAGCTGTAGTGCCCATCGGTCTTCAGAAGTACAGTAAAGAACCTAATTTAAAGAATGAATGAATATTTTAACACCTGGGGCTACAGGGAGCCAAGCACTGCAGAAATGTATCGAGGAATGCTCAAAGCCGATTAATTTAACCTAGTTCAAAATATGTCCATTTTGAAATATGTTTGGACGTTTGGATAATGATGCTTGCCTTGCAAACGTAAATATCCTAAACCCTGAACAAGGAAAGCATTACATTCATTTGTATTGTCCTTTTAAGAGACGTTAATGATAAGAAGGCTGATTAAATGCAAGGAAATGCACCAGTGTCTTATGTACTCACCATACACAGCCTCCGAATCATGTGGTTCTTTCTCAAAATCTGACAGCGAGGCCTAAATGTACAAAGCACAAGTTCACCTTTTTTTATATAAACCATCGTGTTTCATATTTAGTCCCCTCAAAAACAGCACAACTCCTTGCTCCTTTAGGAAGGGAAAATAAACCATAGACCATTCTACATCTCTGATACAAGAATAAAAGTAATGCAATGTATGTTAACATATCATTTCTGTTACACATGTGTTTTCAGAAGGCATTGAATAATTCTCTCACAGAGCGAAAAAGAGGAACTACCCACGCAAAAAAGGGTGGGGGGGGGAGAGAGAAAAAGGAAGAGCAGCTATGATTAGAACATGAACATATAAAGAGTCCAGAATTTCAAGGTCATCACTCAATGAAAGTTCAGAAGGCTGAAGGCAGTTTAAAAGAGTATAATGATAATGACATTGTTAAAAAAATCCACAAAGATTTGTGTGGCCTTTAACATAATTTTTTTGAAAATAGCAGATTACAACATCCATCCTTTTGGCAACTATTTAGATTTGACTTTTGAAATGGTATGTAATCCCTGCATTTATATTAGACGGTAGTTTAATCACGAACCTGCTGAGATTCCCTTTCACTTAAACAATCAGATAGGCTCTCACACTCCGCTTCACTCATCCCATCTTCATCATCTTCATCAAAACAGCCAACAGCATCAACAGTGATCATGTCCTCTGGGTCATCTGGTCCAGCCTGCTCTTGGGCACTTCGCTGTAGCTTGACCTGAAACAGATGCAATTCAGTTACAAGGGGCAATTCAGTTACACAGGTTTATAACGGAAGCACAGCCACAAACATTGGCACTTTGTCCCAATTTCAAATGCACAAACAATAGCGTCCAGTCAGCCAGTGCTTGCATCGAACTGGATGCTCCAGAGTTCTCTCAATTACCAACCACTTGGTTTGTTGGCTTAGTTCCCTCAATGTTCAGTTGGGAAGCAGGATGAATCATTGCCTTGTAATGAGATGTTCAGTATTAGATCAAGGGGGGAAAAAAATAATTGTTTCAAAGTCTGGGTGGAATTAGCTCCCTAGCATATAATAATCCTTGCATTTGATACAGCGCTTTTCACATCTTCGAGACGTCTCAAAGCACTTCACAGAATATACTGTAAAGTGAATTGACTGTATATTTGTGGGCGAACATACTGTTTGTTCTGCACTCCTAGCCACAGCAAGTAACCCAGGGAGGCGCTTGCACAAGAGGAAAATAGAAAGGGAATCAAAAACCATCTCCAATCCGTCGATCTAAAAAAAAGAGAATTCGAGACATTGGGATCCAACTGGCCAATTGTTGGATCTTTCAATTTGGATTACAAAATCATAGAAACAAAAAGACTACTATCAGCAAACTGGCCATCATAAAGTCTAGCTGCAAATTGTTCTCTCAGGTGGTAAGGAAAACAGGTCAAAACAAAGCTTGAACTCCCTGAGATTCCCCTAAATTAATAATAATCCTTGCATTTGATATAATAATCCTTGCATTTGATATAGCACCTTATCACGTCTTCAAGAATATACTGTTAAGTGAATGGACTGTATATTTTGTGGGTGAAAGGCGGCAGCCAATTGCGCACAACAGTATCCCACAAACAGGCGTGGATTGAGTGACCAATTTATTATTATTTAGCATTTGATACAACACCTTTTTATGTCGGGTGGTCACCTTAACATGCATCGCTGGATTTAGTGTAGTTAGTAACTTCTTTTTTTTTTGGAGATAAACAATGGCGGCCAACATTTTGATATCAAGTGAAGGCGCCTGGAAAAGCTTCACATACCTCTACCACTTTCTGCTTGTGCTCGGATGACTTCATGTGCTCCACAAACTTGCGAGGGGTTTTGAAGTATCGGCTGCAGACGGTGCAGAAAGGCCGTAGAGAGTACTTTGCAAGCTGGTAAAGAACGGAGAGCATAGTGACACAACGAATAGAATGGATTTGGGTTGTGGTCTCCAACCAATCAACCCTCCAAGGACCAGCTTGTCTGAGCTTTTAGTTAAGTCTAGGGACTGTGTATTTGTAGGTGAATATTTTAAGTCTCCCTGACATGATGGTTACTTTGTCCAATAGATCAGACGCTCCATTACAAAGAACATCTGATCTATTCTTTCTATCCATATCCACCTGTTGACGAGGTAAATACAAAAGATGATTTGGTGAATTGTCAACAAGGGGGCATAAACTGAAGATTAAATTGGCCAAGTTGTTTCTACGCAGGGATACTAGAACAATGAACACGTTACTGCCAATGGCTATTGAAGCTGACTCAATTACAAGATATAAGAAGGAATTAATTAGATAAGCATTAAGTGTGTAAAATGGTAAGGGAATAGTGCAGAGCACAGGATTAAGAAGATAGTGCTAGTGGGCTCGTGCTAGCTCGAAAGGTCCATTTGCCTAGGTCCTGTTCCGACTCTGCCATTCCTTGTAAATTAGATTTCTAACTTCAGCAACTTTCCCTTCTCTTAAGCAGTAGAGTCATAGAAAGAAACATAGCGCTGTAACTATAAGGCAGAAGAGTGAAACACTAAGAGTCTCATATTAACAGCTTGTCTCACTTTCTGGGACGCTTCCTGCTTACCATACAAATACTTAAGTCATTTCATACATCCGCTACACATACCAATACCCACTCACCCAATTCACATGTTCAGACCTCCCCAAACAACAAAACCTTTATTTGTGGGGTGACATAAACTCGTTCACAAAAAAGGACAATCCTGTCATTACAGAAAAAAAGCAGAACATTTGCTGTACATTTGTACCCCACAATGTGCTGCGACATTTTATTCATTATACCATGTTAAACATTTCCTCCCTTACTTTGTGTCTCCGTGTCCTGCGGTGTTCAATGACATTCCCTCTGAAATGGGCCTGACAGGTGCTGCACCATCTCTGCTGCTTGTTGTCACTGTAAAACACGACTGAGATTACTTGCTGGTCGCAAACCCTTTAGTCTCAAATGTGAGCTTGAGGGATGCTTGAGACTGAATTCAGCCAACACAGGTTAGGCTCACAGGCCAAATGTAATGATTCCTCCACAACGAAAAGTGAAACAGGTACAATTTACATTTTTAACTTTGCAATGCACACCCACCTATCTTTGTCTACACCTTTGTTCTGTGCTTTTCCCTCCTCAGGACCCAGACACGCAATACTCATTTGCTGAATTTCAAGCAGCCGTTGATGGTGTCGTGTCCCATTCATGTGGTTCTGAAAGTTCTTTGAGAGCGAAGAAAGTATTACACGCAAGATTTTTAAGGTTAGACTAAACCAAGGGGATGTCAAAGAATATTTTGTGAGTGAACGTACAAGTTCAGCATTCGCCCATCAGATAATAACTGCAAGTGTTCAGATCATGCAGGAGAGGCAGCACTAATGTGCTAAACATGGGCTGGACTCTTCAAGAAATGCAAGGCGGTACCCACACACGCAACCATTACCACACAAGCATTTCCAGTAGCCACTGATGGGAATACGGTGACCATTAAATTTATCAAAACAGTCAAAGATACAGCAAACGTCCTATGTCTCGACTTTTTAAAAAAATTTAAGTAAGTTATTTTTTCTCCTGACCTTAGAATTTCTCTCTCACTCAGTATTCAATCAACTTCCAAGATCACAATTCTCCTTTACCTGTTGATTGTGGCAGTTGGAGTTGCAGATGTAACAGATGAATTTGTCCGAGAGAGACTTCAGATCCTCCACAGTCTCCTCGCTGCCCTTGGCCCCGGAGTCTGGTGCTGATGTACTGATAGCTCGGCTCTCACTACTCTGCTGGATTGTTACTTTCAGTGTACTGACTGTGTTCAGCACCTGTAAGGCACACAATTTACTCGTCATCCAAAGTAAAAAAAGCAGAATCTTATTTTGAAGGGGAATGCAATCATTTTGGGAGAGGAAAGAGCCTGGAAGAATTGAACACCAGTTTTGTCATTGCCATCGTGTGCATCATACACGAATGTCCACACCAGGGGAAACAGGATGGTCAATAATGTTACAGGGTGACACAGACAGACTTGGGCACGTTTTCTTCCTTCACGTCCCGGCTTCTTGCAGTTGTCCTCTTCAATAGTTTCCATGAATCCCGAACACCCATATGTATCTCACCCGATGCATTGATTGAAACATCTTAATTGTTTGTCACTGTTAAACAACAAAAACTTAGCATCTACATAGCACCCTTCACGAAGGGTAGCATCTCATCAATCTGCACTCACCTCAGTATTTTGCTCTACATTTTCTGAAGTCCCACAGTTTTCACGTTCATTGGTTTCTGTGAATAGATGCAAAGAAATGTTAAAAAGACATGAGTAAGTGGGTATTCAACCAGATACAGGTGTCAGTTAGCCTGACTAATTTAATTTCAAGATCTTCACACTCATTTACAAATCACCTCATGCTGCCACCTTCCTATTTCTCCAACCTGCTTACAACCCCACCGTCTCCCCTCAGTTGGCTCCAGACTCCTGCACATCCCTCATCCCCTCCACCATTGGCAGCCGAGCCTTCAACCACTATGCCATGAAACTATGCAACTCTCTTCCTCAATCCCTTGCTTCTTCCTTCTCAAGTCTTCAGATCACGCCTGAAGACCTTCCTCTTCAACTGTGCTAACAGTCACCTCCCTCCTCTCCCGGCTTGGCATCAAGCATTTAGAGACGATACCCCAAGTGAAAAGCGCTATATAAATGAAAATTGTTGTCTCTGGATCAGAAGGTTGCAGGTTCAAGCAGCATGTCAGGCTTTTGAGCTCATATCCAAGGCCGACACCTGTGCAGTATTAGGAAGCACCGCATTGTCAGACTATCCCCCTACCTACCTGCCCGTACCCTCCGTTCCTCTGGCTCCGGTCTGCTCCACATCCCCCGCCCCAACCGCCCTACCATCGGTGGCCGAGCCTTCAGCCTCTCAGCCCCTAGGCTCTGGAACTCTATCCCCCAATGCCTTCGCCTTGCCTCCTCCCTTTCCTCCTTCAAGACCTTTCTCTTTGACCGTGCCTTCAGCTCCCCTCTCGACTCTCTACCCTCTCCTCGCTCCCTCCCTTCCCTCCCCTCACTCTGACCATTTCCCCCCTGCTCGGATCCTGACCCAACTGTACAGTGCCTTGGGACGTCCTCCCGACGTGAAAGGCGCTCTATAAATGGAATCTTGTTGTTGTTGTTGTTGAGATGTTAAAATGAGATCCCATCTGCCTGTTCAGGTGTTTTCTAAAGCCCCCCATGACACCGTTCAAGAAGAGAAGGGAATTTCTCCCGGTGTCCAACTAACCTTCCCACTGATAAACTGGCACTCACTTTATGGTTGCTTGTGGGACATTGTTGTATGTAAATTGGCTTCCACATTCGTCTGCTAACACACAACAACTACACTTTACAGCAATTACTTGTAAAGCAGTTTAGGACATTTAGAATATCATATGCCATAGGATTATTATTTTTTCATGTAGATCGAGCCCCAGGAGTACCGAGCTCACCAGCTTCTGTTGAAGCAAATTCTTTGAAGCATTTTGACGTAAAAAGCACTGTATCAAATGTAAGGATTTTATAAGGCGATTTGCATGACGTATATTCTTAGTAAATCTTTATAAGGCTTTTCTTTCCCCTGGATTGTCGAGTTTACTCAGGAACGGGTGTTAAACATATCAACCGTACCTTCACCTTGCGGCTCATTGCTCACATCCTCTTCTGGTGCTGTGATGTTTGAAGTCACTGGGTCAGCAGCATCAGAGTGTTCAGGATTATCACTTTCCCCGCTGTTAGAACAAACAAAATAACATACTGAATGTTATGGCACAATAACAAACACGTCTACTACCCCAGATTCAGTTTTCTTGGAGTAACTGGGTGGAATACATAAGCACAAAGCATTCTGCACTGAAACACAAAAGGTACCAGCAAGAGTTTGATACAAAATATGCATTAAAGAGGTATTTTTAAATATTTTGTGGTTGTAGTGGTGGGAAAGAGTAGAAAATCTAAATTTCAAACACCTTCCAAGTCTTCTCCTTTTTACTTGTGGCTCATCTACAGCTTTCGAAACACCTTCAGTTTCCAGAGGTATTGAATTAGATGCATTTTCAGGGTCAGCAGGTTTGTTATCTGACAAAAAAAACCACATTATGAGTAATTTCATCGCCTGCTCTTCTTCTGTTTTTCTCATTCATAACCAGAAATACATATAGATGTGGTTCTGTTGCTGCTCAGGGTGACTGAACACACCAGAAGCTGGAAATTCCACTTTGTCTTATCCTATAAGACCATTTGTTCTTAAAAATAAGATTGTGCAGAATTGTTTTGCCCAGTTAAAACAAATTCGGAAAAAATGTTAAAGGTTCAATATTAAAATGGAGGCGATTTTTTAAAGAACCTTGGAAAACTGAAATCAGGAATTTTAATTAAGAAGTTTAATTCAGAATTTTACACAAATTTTGCACATTCTTCAATCTTTTAAGGCAAAATGTTCCTGCGGGTTAAGATTAGTTTCAGGCCTCGGATGTCATTTCAGCTGCAATGCTCCAAACACAATATGTTCGAGGAAATGGATGTTGAGTTCAAGCTAACCTCATGTGAGCAAGTTTGTGCTCAGACTTCCTGCAGCTTGGGAGCTCAGTTTGGTGGATCCTTACAAAGAAACTAAATGAAGCGGTAAGGAGGCAAACGAGACAACTAAAAAGGTCATTTTAGTCAGAAAGGCAACGACTCCTCACTGAGAGCACCGGGCTAATTAGTAAAGATCTGCGAGCTTGGGAATGGTACGAGGAGCCAAGAGAAAGCGGCAAAGCTCTTCAGGAAGTGGTAGCCCATTGACCTAAATATTCGTCTGTGAAGTTAATCATTTCTAACATTACATCTGTGTGAACAAGTGCTCCTTTTGAATGAACCTGACTGCAATCAAATGCAAATATTTGAACACAACATTAGCATTGTGAACCAACAGCGAAGGAGTTAAGACAAATGAGTTCACGGGTACAAACAACAAATGACAAAGTTCAGTAAAGAGGTCCTACATAAAAGATGGATTAAATTGAAGCAAATCAACACGTGCTAGAGATATGAAAAGCACACATACGTTTTAACAGTTGATGGGTTCGAAGGTATCATTAACTACAAGCATAAACTTGGAGATGGTGCAATTCACTATAATTCACTAGTTATTTTACACCGAGGGATTAGTGTTCTGCACACATCATGACAGGGTTTGAACTGTGTTAACTACGTGATTGGGAGGTTGCTGGGACAGCTGGCAGAATGAGGAAGGAAAGAGAGCAACGGTGGTTAAAGTTAAACATTTGATTTACTTGAAGGAAAAAGACTGAGATCAGGAAGTTATCTCTTCCCTGTCTCATACAACCTCATCTTAAAAGTGAATTCATCAAACCTTTTGGGGAAAAAAAAACCCACAAACAATTTCAGGGAAACAATGTTAATCAAAAAATAAGATTACAAGAAGCAACAATAAAAGGATTAGATTTCTGACCCTCCCATCATCTTGGTTAATTTGCCTCAAGTTATCAAGGCTTTCAATTTCACGGTGAGGGATTAATGTACAAATTGCACATTTATTACCTGTTTTCTCTTGTGCTGTGGAGTCTGTGTTGGTTTCACCTGTGCCCGTTTTTGTGCCTGTTTTCGCTGTTTCATTGACTTTTGTCCGTGATTGATCCTTGTAATGAAAACGCTCCCTCCGGAGATCCTGCATTCTCCTAAACTCCTGCACATCAGAAAATCCCATCATTTACTATAATAAATATGCAATGGTTGAAGCTGAATGTTCAGTGGAATGTTACAGATCAAGTAGAGCCATGCTCTCATTGCAGAACATTGCTCAGATGGTAAGATAAAATGAAAGTAGTAAGAAGTGTTGCAGTTGCCCACAATAGATACTTCAGAGAACTGGGCAGAAGATAAAGAAAGTGAGTGAAATGATCCCATTTAACAAATGAACTCTGCTTGTAGAATCCTCATCTTCACAAGATTCGCACAGATAATCAAGATTATATTCATTATTTTGCCACACCATCAGTCAATAATGAACTGAATTATTTGAGTGGAATAAAACATGCAAGTCGCTGAAGACTATGACAAAACATTTCTTTTTGATTAGTACCGATAGGAATGGACATGTTAGTTTGGGCTATTAGACTAATTATAAATCTTTGCAACCTGACTTTATATCGATAAACGTTGAAGAGGAAATTTGGTGCATACATGAGGGAGAAGGGAAGAGGGTGATATAATCGGGGAATAGGAGGTGTGGAGGGTTGTGTGGAATATAAACATCGACATGGACGACGTGCTAAATGGCTCAATTCCGTTCTGCATCATTCTATGCAGAAGAACATAAGAATTCGCTCAGCGAAAGAAGACCAAGGTCCATCCAGTTCACTTTCCACCATCCTGGTAGTCATATTACATGTTATGTCCCAAACTATATATTGTATACCAAGATATTATTTTCATTCCATTTCTATTTTATTCATATTTTCACAAGGAGCGATTAGATAAACTGGCCATGTTCACACTAGAGAAGAAAAGGTTGAGGGGCAAAATGATTGCGGTCTTTAAGATTCTGAAGGGAATAGATAATGTAAACCATGGTAAGCTGTTTTATCTTGCACTGAACTGTAAAACCAGAGGACCCCATTTCCTACCCCAGAGTCCCAAAAAAAGGGGACAAAACTGCCCTTTCTCTTACTTTGTTGATTGCTCGGCTCTGCTGCTGGAAGATGTGGTTCCCAAATCCAATGGGATGAGGTGGCTGCATCTGGATGCCGAGCGGGGCAGGTCCAAGGATTGATGCTCTGGTTGCTGGTGAGAAAAATGGCTGGATGCCTGTTGTGGTCATGCTGTAGCCACAAAAACTGCCTGAGAAATGAAAAAGTTGTGAGACTCAGAAAAACACTTGGAAACATTTGATCTGTTGTCAATACGGGGGAGGAAAGAGCCAACTGCAATAGCACAAGCTATAGTGCTGATCCCCTGGATCGCTGTCTCTGACATAACAGTAATTTGTACATTTAAGTCATTGAGACACCTCAAAGCGCTTCACAGAAAATACTGTAAAGTGAATTGACTGTATTTGGTGGGCAAAATTTGGCAGCCAATTGCCCACTAGTCTCGCGAGAGGGCACAGCGACACGTTAAGCAGGTTTCCTTACTCCACACACCTCGATTTACTTAGAGGTAAGTAGAATTCTGACTATTAGTCGACTGCCGGATTGCTTGTTGACAAACAGTAGACAGTAAATGGTAAACTGACAGGATTACTGTACCTTGCATCTGCTGAATTAACAAGGCTCTCTGCAACATAGAATTAGGATTAAGGATTGTTCCCTGATTAGCTGGATGTAGGACTTGCTGCTGCTGCTGCTGTTGTTGTTGGTGGTGATGGTGTTGCTGTTGCAGGCTGTTGTGAGGAAAATGACATATTAAATGCTGTGAAACATACTATTCTCCAAGACAACTAGTTTCCTTTCAAGAGAAAGAACCTAAAACATCAAGGCTTTGAAATGCATAATGCAATTTATCAACATCTAGGAACCTTTAAAGGCCTGATTTGACACCAAGCAAGGGATAAAGGGGAAGTGATTGTAGGTATGGTTGAATAAGAAAGTATTCGGGTGTGATCTGAAGAAGGGCAAAGAGGGGGCAAGGCCACGGGATTGAAGCAGTGTCAAAGCAAATCTGTGAAGCGCTTTGAGACACCTTAACAACATGATATCAAAACAAGTGTTTCCACGTGTCCATTAAACCAGTTATTAGAATATGATTTTTTGCGCTCTCAACAATATAGGATGAATTTTTTAATGTGAATAGAATATTTTCCCGGTGTGTGTGTGTGTGTGTGTAATAGGAGCGACACAGTTACCCCATCATTCACACAGCGCCAGGAGAACTCCACAATGAGTATGGCGTGCTAAACAAAAGCTGGTGCCTCTTTAACTTGAGAAGCAGGCGGCAGGGGGAGGTTAAAAAGAGAGCGGAAACGGTCACAGCTAGACGGTACCTGGCATTCGAGTGAGGCACCAGGAACAATAGAAACAAAGAGAGCGAATCTCCCTGCAAAATTGGAATTTTTTTTTGAAAAAAAAAGGATGGCAATGGATACCTATCCAGTGGGTCGGGGATGTGTGCGTGGGGGGGCGGGGGGTGGGAAGCAACACGGGCTTAAATAATACACTTGCCATTAACCAAGTCAGGTCTGGAGACGAGTGCGTGCGGTCTGGTGTGGATTGCACCAGTTTCGTGTCCAGCGCGTGCTTCCACACCGCCCCCCCCCCCCCTCCTCACACAAACACTGTTTGTGGGTTCCACCCCAGCAACGACATCAAACGCAGGGATTATCATCATCATCATCACCACCACCACCATCATCATCATTTTCGCCCGCAAAATATTCAGCGGATTAATATCCGGTGAGAAGCGCTTTGAGACGCCTCGAGGACGTGACCGGGCGCTGCATCAAACCCAAGGAGTGTCGTGATTGAAAAGGGAGCTTCGCGAACGCCAAACCCGGCAACGCGGCAGCTTTCTTCCACCACCACCACCACCACAGCAACAACAACAACAATTTACATTTGTATACAGTAGCTGCTCTTACTTGAGGGGCGACTTGTTACTTCAATCCCCCCCATCTCTCTCCCTCCCTCCCTCCATCTATCCTTCTCCCTCCCTCTATCCCTCTCCCTCCCTCCCTCCCTCCTTCTCTCTCCCTCCCTCCATCTCTCTTCTCTCCCTCCCTCCATCCCTCCTTCTCTCTCTCCCTCCCTCCATCTCTCTCTCCCTCCTTCCATCTCTCTCTCTCCCTCCATCCATCCCTCCTTCTCCCTCCCTCTATCCCTCTCCCTCCCTCCCTCTTCCTCTCCCTCCCTCCCTCTTCCTCTCCCTCCCTCCCTCCATCTCTCTCCTTCCCTCCCTCCATCCATCCCTCCTTCTCCCTCCCTCTTCCTCTCTCTCTCCCTCCCTCCCTCCATCTCTCTCCCTCCCTCCATCCTCTCCTCCCTCCCTCCATCCATCCCTCCCTCTCCCTCCATCCATCCCTCCCTCCATCTCTCTCTCTCCCCCTCCCTCTCCCTCCCTCCCTCCCTGCCCTCGGGTCTCTGTGTCGAGCGAGGAGGCCGAGTGGCTCATCCTCGGTCTGGCGTAGACTGCCTTACCGGACGGGGCCCGCCTGGCCAGGCGGCTGCTGGGGAGGGGGCGGGGGGGGAGGAGGGTGTTGGTGCTGCCGCTGCTGCCGAATGAGCTGGTGGAGCTGTACCAGCTGCTGCTGGAAATGCTGCTGCTGAGGGAACATCGTGCGGCCCCTGAGGCGGCGCTGAAGCGAGCGCTCGGGTCGAGGTTTCAGTCGGTCCTCTGACCGCCTCACGAGCTGCGACCGTTGGGGGGGGGGGGGGAGCGCGAGGAGAAGAGCAACGAGCACCACAGCGCCGCCCAGCGGCCCCAAAGACGGGTCAGCGCGGCGCCACCCAGCGGCACCAGCGGGGGGGTATCGCTGCCTGGCGCCTCGTCTCTTTCGCGCCGTTTCAGATCGCGTTGGATTTTTCGTTGGCAGCTCCCAGGAGGCGACTCCGACTGCGCAGCGGCTCTGCCAGCACCAAACATGGCGGGCGGCCAGGTCAAGGAAGAGGCTTTGTGTGTGTGTGTGTGCGCGTGTTGTTGCCAGCATCAAACATGGCGGGCGGCCAGGTCAAGGAAGAGGCTTTGTGTGTGTGTGTGTGTGTGCGCGCGTGTTGTTGCCAGCATCAAACATGGCGGGCGGCCAGGTCAAAGGAAGAGGCTTTGTGTGTGTGCGTGCGTGCGTTGTTGCCAGCATCAAACATGGCGGGCGGCCAGGTCAAAGGAAGGGGCTTTGTGTGTGTGCGTGCGTGCGTTGTTGCCAGCATCAAACATGGCGGGCGGCCAGGTCAAAGGAAGGGGCTTTGTGTGTGTGCGCGCGCGTGTTGTTGCCAGCATCAAACATGGCGGACATCCAGTTTAAAGCGGGCGGGAAGCGGCTGTGTCGGCATCAAACATGGCGGTGGACATTCGGTTACCCACGGCTCGGAAACGCGGCTCTTCGGGGCTGGCAGCGGAGGGCAGTAAACACCTGGTGGCGCCGGGAGACATCATCACCACCGACACCGGCTTCATGAGGTGAACGTGAAGAGCTTTAAAAATGAAGGGGGAGTGAGGGGCTGAGATTCCCGGCCTCTAAACCCGGGGTTGGGCCTCTGTGGCGGTTTTTTTTCTTCTCGCGCGTCCGGAGGTTTGAGAGGTTTTCTTCGCCGTTAAGTTTGTTTTGTTTGTTTTGTTTTGTTTGTTTGTGGGCGGCGCTGAAGGTTACTCTGTCAGGAGAAGCCGAGATCCGAGAGCGTCGGGAGTGTATTGGTACCAGAACAGGTGGAGAGGTATCGCCCCCCAAACAGAGCACTCAGTCACCACACTTTACAGTGCATTAATAATAATAATAATAATAATAATCCTCGCATTTGATATAGTGCTTTTCACATCGGGAGGACGTCCCGAAGCGCTTCACAGAACACACTGTAAAGTGAATTGACTGTATATTTGTGGGCGAATGCGGCAGCCAATTGCGCACAGCAATGTCCCACAAACAGTCGTAGATTGAAAATGACCAATTTATTATTGTTTTTGGTTTTGGAGGATTATTATTAGGCTCTGTGTGGAGTAAGGAAACTTGCCCGAGGTTTCGCCCTCTGCCTGGAATTGAACTCAGGTCTCTCACTTGCAAAGCGAGTGCTCTAACCACTGAGCTACAGGACCACGTATTCCTGTGAAGCGCTTTGAGACGTCTCGACGACGTGATAAGGCGCTGTATGGAAGGCAGGGATTATTGTTTATTAGCAAATGCTCACTGAGGTCTGCCCGGCCTTAACTTAGCGCTCATTCTGTTTTGCTCAGCGGTCAGCAGGAACCCGTCCGGCTGTCGGACGGTCGGTCAGCGGATCGCTTTTCCGGGGGTAATAAATCCCTCAGCGCCATAAATGATAATCCGGTCACTCCAATCCACGGCTGTTTGTGGGGACGCCGCTGCGCGCAATCGGCTGCCGCGTTTCACCCACAAACTATACAGTCGGTCGGCTTGACAGTCTGTCCTGTGCAGCGCTTCGAGACCTCTCGACGACGTGACAAGGCGCCGTATCAAATTTAAGGATTATTTATTATTAGGATGCAATCCCGCAGCGAGTCAACTTTTAAAGGAGAAAGATTGGGGGGCGTGATTATTATTATTAATAATAGTAATGATCTTTACACTTGCATTGGATACGTAACTGCTGTCGAAGTGACTTGTTTGTTTGTAGGCAAACCCAGCAGCCGATTTTCTTGCAGCAAAGTCCTACAAACAGCCGATGAAGTGACTACCGTTTATCCGGTTGGATTGATGGCGAGGACAACCGGGAGAAGTGGCAAACTGCACAGTTTCAGCTGATAAAACTTAAGCAGGGAGAAGTTGGGGGTAACCAAGAAAAGGGGAACACTTTACTGGATCTCGAATTATGTGCATTCCTGATTTAAAAACATTATTTATCAAGGGCGCAATTATCCTTTTCTCCCAATTCTCACCTATCCTTAAATTTTCTTTTCCCCCCCAGAGGCCATGGTACGTACATGGAAGATGAGAAGCTCATAGCATCAGTGGCTGGAGCTGTGGAAAGGGTAAACAAGCTTATATGTGTCCAACCACTTCAAACTAGGCAAGTCTTCATTATCATTACTGTAAAATGCATGGTTCCGGTAAAGCATAAACTTCCCCATAATGAACACTTCCAGTTCAGCACCTACTGTTTTGAATGTCCTGCACAGTTATCAATTCATTTGCTTGATACTTTATGCACCGTTTTGCACTGTACTTGTATAGCATTGACTAAGAATACTGCAAAACATACAGAAATACAGAATTGTATGATCCAACCTCTTGATACAGTACTTTTTAAGAAAGTATTGTGTACTGTCGTACTATGTAGTATTATGTGCTATTTAGGAGTATGGGTGAAATCTTGCAGTACAGTCACCACATCTTACAGTAAATTCTGTGAAACGCTTTAAGATGTTTTGATGTGATGAAGCGCTATATCAAATGCAACGATTATTAACTGCAATAATGTTATCATTTTTGCCCACAAAAATACATTCAATTCACTTTACAGTATATTCTGTGAAGCGCTTTGAGAAGTCTCAAAGATGTGATAAGGCGCTATATCAATTTCAAGGATTATTATTTTTTTCAGGTACAATGGAGAAGTTGGAGATGTGGTTGTAGGCAGAATCACAGAGGTAATGTGTCTTGAATATTTAAGTTATATGTTCCAGAGTTTAATGAGACTCACTAACAATTTCAAGTTTACAAATATCACAACAAAATTACATTTGTATAATGCCTTTCATTTTGGGAGGACATCCCAAGGCACTGGAAATATAAATAATAACGTAGTTACAATATCAGACAGAATAAGATCATTCTAGCTTACCCATCTAATTTCTCCCATGATTCTTTCAATGTGTCTCAACTGTATATTGAATAACTCTGTCCTTTCAGTTGTTGACAGGATCAATTGGCTGGTAATACATTCCCTAATCCCTAATCTCATTTCCTTTTGTAATAAACTTTATTGGTTTAATTAATGGTAGAAATATTATACAGGTATTAGGTAATCCCATTGGTACAGTGGATAGAGCTGCAGTTTACAGACTGGAGCTCACTGGTTTGTGGTGATCTTGCTGGGCACAACTAGGGCTGCAGGGGGAAGCTTAACCTGCCATGGCCGACCCAGGGTTAGGGAGGGGGAAACCAGCCAGGATTCCTATTCCCCGACAGTACCAACTAATGGTGGTGTGGGTCCTGTGTGAGGAGAGATCAGGCTTGGCTTGTGACTCCCTCTATAGTCAAATGAACACATCAACAAACCCTCCTGGTTCAGCCATGTCCTTTTGCTGTGGTAACATACGGAATGTGTGGTTCTGCAGTTGTTGGGAGACACACAGGGCTGGATCGAAATGTCACTAATGTGTAATTCAGTAATTTTCTCTGAACATGTGCAGGTGCAGCAGAAGCGTTGGAAAGTGGAGACCAACTCCAGACTGGATTCTGTACTGCTTCTCTCCTCTGTCAACTTGCCGGGAGGGGAACTGGTGAGTTATAGCCTAAACTGTAAATCATAGAACCATAAAATAATAATCCTTTGATTTGGTAAAGCGCCCTTCAAGTCAGCAGAACGTCCCAAAGTGCTTCACAGGAATATACTGTGAAGTGGAGTGACTTTTTTGTGAGCTAATGTAGCAGCCAATTTCGAACAACACCATAGGATCTTTAACATCCACCTGAACGGGCAGACAGGGCCTCGGTTTAACATCTATCCAAAGGATACAGATCCCAACCCCCCATAGCACTAGAGTATTATCTTAGACTTTTGAATTCTTAAGTCCCAATATAGGGCTTGAACCCACAAGCTTCTGACTTGGAGGCAAGAGTGCGACCAACGGAGCCAGGCTGACACATCAATGTTAACAGCATAGAAGGCAATGCTTGTATTTTACTCCACATGAGTCACCCGATCGAATTCTCCTCTCCTGCTCGCTCCCTTTATTTGTTGTTGCTTTTTCCCCTCAAAATGTTGAATTCACTTTTAAAATTGGTTTGTATGCCCAAATCCCTGGGGTGGTATGAACATTGTGTGTTCTCTGATTACAGAGAAGAAGGTCTGCTGAAGATGAGCTGATGATGAGAGACTATCTGCAAGAAGGAGACCTGATCAGTGTATCCTTTCACTCTGGTAATATACTGAACATCTACTCTGACACAAGAACTTACAACTAAGCATTGACAACGTTCCTTTACTTTCGGATGAGGAAGATTTTGATAGAAGGAATATGGGTTTTAAAGAAAGAATAATTTGTTAAATCAAAAGTGACGTTGATTCTTTCTACTGCCCCTTTGGTCCCCAAATTCCTTCTATGGGGCCACAGGAATTTGCAAGAATGCTTGTGGTCCCAAAGAAACATATGAAAACTCTATGCAACTAACTATGAAACTAACTCTGTGAAAGAGCTATCTCTTTAGTCCCATTCTGCCTCTCCCCACAACAACTTACAAGTGCCTTTCACATCGGGAGGATTTCCAAAGGATTTGGACCCGAACGGGGGTTGGGATCAGGAGGGGCGTAGGGCAGGGAGACTAGAAGATGCGGTGGAGGAGGGTCTTGAGACAGGCCTTGAAAGAGGCAAGGGAGGGGGCGAAGCGAAGGCACTTTTGGATGGAGTTCCAAAGGGTGGCGTCGGAAAGGCCTGACTGCTCACACACCCTTTATATATCTCCTTTTCAGATTTTTATCTAATTCCCTTTTGAAAGCTAATACACAGCAGTTCCAGACACAGGTAGTATTTCAAATCTGAACAAACCTCTAAGTGTTTTAAAAAAAATAACCTCTCCCTTTTGATGATTACCTTAAATCTATACCCTCTTGTTACTCACTCACCAACCAGTGGGAAGTAAATTTAGTCTTTTCCCCAAGTGTTAAATAGCAAGTAGCCTTCTGACAGACAGCAACATCTGAAATCTGTGTGTGGCAAAGCAGATATTCAGGGATAATTCCACAATTGGTTTTCACTCGGTTAGTGTTGAAGGTTAATCAATCACATTTTAAATAAAAGTAATTTGAACATCTTGCTTGCAAGCCAGTTTGGCTGAAGTTTTTTTTTCCTGAACGTACTGGCAGGCAGAGGTACAGGCAGTGTTTGCTGACGGAGCTCTCTCCCTGCACACCAGGAGCCTCAAGTATGGGAAGGTAAGAGCCATTGAGGCAGAGGAAGGTTTAAAACCTGAACAATTTGTGTGACTGAGATCCAGGTTCAATGGGGGCAAGTGTGTCCCTGGGCTAGGAAGTGACAAAACAACCAGAGTCCCCCAGCCTCTTAATCTAAGAGGTTCCAGGAACTCTTTCCCCTCCCTTTCTGATCGTTGGACAAACGCCATTTTAAAAATGACTACGTACTCACAAATGTCGCTGCAGTTAAGAGGTTGCCACAGTTTCAGTTCCCTGGTCAGGCCGTGTCTCATTCGCCGCTGCAGGTTTCCAGTTTCTGCTTCAACAAGTTTCTGTGTGCAAACACTGCCTTTGTGTCTGATATATTAAAGCTGCCAGCCTCTATAATTTGAAGTTCAAGAGTGTTCATTTTCACATGTTTGTTACTGGTTGTTCATGCTGCGTTGCAGAACAACCTCCAAGTAAAGTAAGGCAGCGGGGAAGTCAATTAAATCCAAGAGTGACTTTAGTTACAGGCTGCTTTGCCAGTTGAAAACAAAAGTGAGGATTTAAATACAACTGAAATAGATATCACTGAGAGCTCATTAAGAAAGCATTGAATAGTTTGACTACAGGTTTAGTTAAACCTCTTGTGACATAAGCCAGTATTTAAAGTGTAGTTAGATTTTTCAGGTTGTATTGATATTGCATTGCTTTCCCTGCCTGTTTTTTTTTTATCTCTGCGACAACATTTTCTTCTCTTTTTGCAGCTTGGGCAGGGAAGCCTGGTCCAAGTCTCTCCTTCCCTCGTAAAACGACGCAAGACTCACTTTCACAATCTGCCCTGCGGGGCCTCCATCATCCTTGGGAACAATGGTTACATCTGGATTTATCCGTTCGCAGAGCAGAAAGAGGATGAAGCGGGAGGGTTTGTGACTAACCTTGAGGTGAGAAGTCAGGCGCTGGCTGTGTGAGAGGGGCTCCCAACACAGTGCAGAGGGATTAGTGTCGCAAACTTTCTCCCCCAAAAGGTTGTGGTTGCTGGATCCATTCACATCTTCAGGACTGAGGTGGATAGATATTTGCTTCACGTCCCCTGCCTCGCACGCCCCACTCTTGGCGGGCCTTCTGGCACTCTGCCCCCACCCTCTGGAACTCCATCCCGCAGTCCCTTCACTGCGCCCCCTCCCTTGCCTCTTTCAAGACCCATCTCAAGTCCTGCCTCTTCAACCGTGCTTTCGATCACTCTGCTTCCACCCCCCCCGCCCGCCCTCCACCTTCCCCAATCCTGACTCTCAGCTCAAGTCCAAAACTCTTAACTGTCCAAAACTCTTAACTGTCCAGCGCCTTAGAACGTCCTCCTGACATGAAAGGCACTATACAAATGTAATTTTGTTGTTGATTTGTATTTCTTGCTAAGACTGGCTTTTTAGCAGGCATAGTTGAACTCAATTCATTCATCGCTATTCATTGCAGTAATACACGTCATAAATTTGTTTTATTTTCAGCCTGTGCCGTCTTCCGATCGCGAAGTCATCTCACGACTCCGGAATTGTGTTATCGCCCTGAATGTTCACAAGATGCTACTGTACGATACTAGTGTCCTGTATTGTTACGAAACTTCACTCCAGCATCAGGTAGTATCTGTTTGATTTGGATAATCTTTAAGAGTTGTGATTAGTTTCGGTAGGGTAGCTACAGAAGGGAATCTCTTCCTTTGGTGGGGGAATCCAGAACAAGGGGGCATAGTCTTAAAATTAGAGCCACGCCTTAACTGAGCGAAATTAGGAGGTATTTTTTCACACAAAGGGATTGTGGAAATCTAGAACTCTGTCCCAAAAGGCCGTGGATGCTGTATCCTTTCAAATTTAAGACTGAGGTGGATAGATTTCTGTTAGGTAAGGGTATCAAGGGATACGGGGCAAGGGTGGGTAATTGGAGTTGATGCACAGATCAGCCAGGATCTTATAGAATGGTGGAACAGGCTCAATGGCCTGTTCCTATGTTTGCAGGTAAGCGAGTCTGCAATTGTATGTGAATTCCCTGAATTGAGGCCAGGTGGAATTCAGGATGTGCTGAATCAAAACAAAACAAAAAATATCCTGAATAAAAATGGCAAATTCGGGTTTTAAAAAAATTGAATTGTAGTAAATCCTTTTTGACTCTTTTTTCACTGAAAAAAAAGGTATTTAAGCAAAAAATGACTTTAATGGCCCTTCAATATAAATGACACTTGTATTTTTCCCCCCCTATTGTAGATTAAAGAGATCCTGAAACCAGAAGTAATGGAGGAAATAGTGATGGAAACACGACAACGACTTATTGATCAAGAAGGATAATTGCAGTGACAGTCTTAAGGCTTTGGCATTTTCTGATGTTAAATAGAATCTGAATTAAATGGTCATTTTCACAAGCAAAATAAGGATTGGATTGTGACTTGTTAAACATTATGCACAATAAGAGGCTGATCTGTGCTGCAGTCAGATGTTTCCTTCAGCCATTTGATAAGTACTTGAGGTTTTTGAATGAAAAAAGCAAAGGCACCTTCAAGTACATAAACACAAATTGTATTTAACCAGAAAAATTAACATTGCACCATAGGTGTTACAGAAACGAGAGAGAAAACATATTTACATGTAAAAAGGAATACATGAATCACCCTACAAAACACTGGTAATACCAAGATAAAAATCAAAGATATAGTGGCACAATATGCTGTCCAAAAACAAAACAGTACCTTGGCAAAAAGAGATCCGGTTATTACAAAATAAAAGGCAGCTTGCGTGTTTCTTCAATTCCATCTCACAGCAGTCAGTAAGGGCGAGAGTGATGTAAGGTCACCAATGGTCTAATACTCAAGTGATTTTTTTAAATTAAAAGCTACAAAGAAGGCAAAGAAACCAAGACGGTTAAAATGATGTGGCATAATCTAATCACTGAAGGTCTTTACTTTGGGGTTAATTGCACTATTAAGTGTCCTGAATGTTGGGTTGGATTATGTGAGTGTGCCTATGTTTTTAAAGGTCAGTATGGGTTTTATCTGTTCAAGTCCTGGTGTCTGGGTATCAAATGTGCCATTTAGTCTTGCTTTTATAACGTCCTGGGCAAGGTCCCTGTAAACATTGTTAATGGATGCAGTAATCATTTGGGCTCGTCTTTCTTTCTGAATGGCGTAAACGTTGGCCGTTGTGTGCTTTCAACAGGTTTTACCTCAATATGGGTAGAGCTTTGGAGGTACTGAGATGTGTGTACTGAACTAAGCTAAAGAGGGTTGTGTGACCTATGGTGAAGTGATTCACAAAGCAATTTCACATAACAGTTCTAAAATTGGAGACTTTTTCATTCCTTCAACCACAGATATAGTTTATGGGATATTGCATTTGGTAATAACATTGAAATAATGTTTAGAACACATTGGATTTTACTTTACAGATAGTCTGAGAAATAATTCTTTGAATGGATTCAAATAGGCTGCGGTGGTAATCTCACCTTCTCCAGGATTGACCTTTCATATGTGTAGAAAACTAAATGCAAATGAACACTTCACAACTTTGAAACATTTGTATTTCAGGACGAAAGAGCGATTGCAGATTTGTTTTTTTTAAAAAAAAAGGCAGGAGGCACGCACTCACACATCTTGCCAACAATGACATGTCCAGCTTTACTTCATTCATATGAAAGGCCATCAAACCCGGACTTGCAGCTACCGCACTTGTGATAGCGCCATAAACACCTTGCGCTTATTTCCACCCAAATTAGATAAACGTCTAATGAATACAAGTAAAAAAAAATAAAAATTGCTTAATGCAGTCTGAAATAACAGGATACTCTTACAGCTCAACTGCTGTGGCTAGCGGCACACTTTCTCACATTGTTGCGGTCACAGGATCAAGGCTGCATTGGCGATGCTTAAAACTGTCTGCCAATACGCATTAGTCTGATTAACTCTCAAATGGATGCCAGCTTGGCTTTGGTGTTCTCATGGAAATCTACCAACCAACCTAGTTCAGAACAATGCTCCTGTTTGTCACATCGCAGATACAGGGACCGAGTATACAGAGTGTACGAGTGGATGTGTTAAAAGTGAGCAACAATCGGGAAGAATGGGAATGAAGAACTAAACAAAAACCTGTGGAAAACCTGAGTCAAATAAATAAATAAATAAAGGGCAAACCCATTATGCTCACTCTACACACCTACCTTTGCTAGTTTGATCCCTATTTCAATCTGAGCCACAGACAATCTTAAGAGTACAGGAGGCCACTAAACATCAAACACTCAAATGAGCGACCTGACTAAAGCCGACAAAGAGCTTTCCCCTCTCTGGGCTGAAACAGCAGGAGTCACAGGGAATTAAGTGTTCAGTAAAATACCCTCGAAGCTGCATTTATTCTCATTACCACAGAAGTGAGATCAACTTTAATTATTTAAAAATATACTTTCAATTATTTCGCATCAGTTCATTTCTGTAGAAAAGGAAGCACACACGTACACACACACAGAAGATGTGGAGGGTTGAGATCACATCTGAATTAATTTGCCAGGCTACACACACTCCAGGGACGAGTCATATTCATCAGATCCTAGGCCACATTCATGGTATAAACATAACAATGTGAAAGCACATTTTTTTTTTGCACCATACTGAAGTCCATATGCTTTGCAGGGCCAGGCTATAGAAAGCTATTCTTGATCAAATGCACATCTTTAATCTCAAGTGCTCTAAATGTTAAAACATTTTAACCATTACAATACATACAAATCTTATGTAACAATATTTCACACATTTGTATATTCAATTTGTTAGCTGTAGCCTCCATGTTTTACTTGAAATATTAGATTCTATTCATCGGATGATATGTCGGTTTCCTGGTCTGCAGTTGGACCACTGTTACCCACCCTTAAGTCTTAAAACTTTCACACTCTCTCTTTCCAATGTGCTACTCTGTCAATCGCAAAGCAGCCACTAATTCACAGTTTTAAATCGGATTCTGAGAATATAAATGACTGGTGATAAATGCGTACCTGATCCAAGTACAGAAAGTACCAAATTAACATGCCATTCACTCCCAATATCTTGAATTCCCATTCTGCTTTAAACCAGGCAACATTATTGTCATTGAAGCACAATTTAATCTGCAGAAAATTAATTGCGGTTCTTCAGTTCACTTGTGCTAACGCTACTGCATTCCCTTGTGTTCAGTTTCTAAAAAGGAAACCCAAGCACAATCATCTGACTTGGAGAAAATGGTAGTTTCTTTTAAAGGGGCTTCAGTAAGCAGCAAAGGACCTGACTTCATGCACCCAAGTAGCATTCAGACAGTGACCCTGCTGTGGGATATTAAGCTGCTGCTCAGACGTGAATGATTATAAACAAGACTATATATACACACTCTCTCAGAGATCTCACTGAACACTGAGCTTCCTACACCAGAATACAAAATTATTTCTTTTTTTAAAAAAAGACCTGTGCTCTGGGTTTTTGTGCATTCTCACAATTGCTAAAACTCAGTAAAATCTGATAAATGTGTCACTTTGCAGTAGTACAATGTCTGTACTTTTCTTTTTAAAAAGAGGAAGGCAACATTAGCAAGTTTCAGGTTTTCCCAATATTTGTGTTCGTGTTCTAGACAATAATACTAAACCTTGCACCCTACTGAAGTCTTATCAAGTCTTCAAAACTTCATCAAAGCGCTTCACAGGATATACTGACAAGTGGTTGACTGTGTATTTTGTGGCTTAAAACTCCATCGGATTAGATTTCTAAACGCACTGCACAATGAATAGTTCCGTGCTGAGGGAGCTGCTGATCTTGGCTACAATGTCCGGGAGGTGCTGAGCTGAATTAACATTTCCCGGGGAAGAAAACACTTGTGGTGGTTGTGGGGGAGAGAGGAGAATGAGTCCACTAAGACTCATTTCCTAGTGGTAAAGCCAAGAGAATTGCCGGAGCTCTGTGCTGCTTCTCCTGTTGGCTGGGGAACGGATGTGAGGGTTGGAGAGCAAAAAAGATACGCCAATTCATCCCTCCCCAAAATCCTCTCCCTTATCTTTCCTTGAGATGGTTTTCTGTATGCACATATTCTGTTTGCAGTTAAATGCATTAAAGTTGACTAAGGATATACATTCCGCGCCCCCCCCCCCCCCATTTTACTCCTCAGATCCCCACGTTTACACAGACCACTGTTCTCAGGTCTCTGTCAATGTTGCTCTGAAGCAGCCACTAAGGTAATGCCGCTGTGTGAAAATGGCAAAGTCCTCTTCCCTGTTAAGTGTCTCTCTTTTATAAGTGGTTCACCTGTTTTTAATCTTAAAGGTAATATCTCAATCTGCGTAACCCATAGGGAAGGCACTGTCCTTGAGAGCAAAGCTCATCTGTCAATTGAGATCGAGAAACATTAATAATGGCAACAGAACACATCTCACTTTCGTGACATAGAGAGGGGCAGCAAGCAGGGTGGATATAAACTGAGGGAATACGTGGGAAGGAAATTACAACCAGTTAAGATGAAACTCAAGCTGAGTGGGAAGAATCTCCGCTCCTCGTCTCTCTCATTCAAAAGAATGCGATTTTATGGTTATAAGATTGGTCTAGACATTCTGAGGCAAGTCATATTTAAGTCACGGGGATCAAAAATTGTACCAAACAATGAGATCACCGTGGTCCTATAAACCTGGCTTCACGTTAAAAGCTCCTCGACAATGCCAGTGGCAAACAAGTGCATTGATCAAGTGTTCTGCTTGAGAGGTTAACTGTAGAAAAGCACTGGCTTCAGGATCAGGGTTGATGACATTGGATTGGAAAGCGAGGAAGAGAAATTGGGGGGGGGGGGGGGGGGAGAAAAAAAGTAATAATAAAAAGAAATCCGTCAAATGATCATTTCCCCAAAGGCATTGAGTCGCTCTGAAACCCAATGGTTTCAGAACTCAGTGAAACACACCACAATTACAAAGTAATGTGTTGCAGGTGTTCATGTAATGTCAATCATAACAGCAAAACTTCATAGCAGTCCTCACCGAACACCAGATTAGATTGCAGTCTTGTAACCCCTCCAAAGGTCTCTTCTTTTATAATGTACTTTATGAGGTGAAATGTTTCTGTGCTGACAGCATTGGTCAACGTGCTCCGTGTTATTTGTCAGAATGACGCTCGTACACACAGATAAACACTGGAGGCCTTGTCACCGCAAGTTAATTGAAAAATAATATGGAGCCAACTACTAGTATATATTATAGCGGTTTAACCCTAAAGTTCCATTGATAAACTAGTCCTGATTCTGATTTAACCTTATGCTCACTCTCAACAGGAAGGGAAAAAAAATAAATTTCAGTTTCGATTTTTAAAAAACAAATGTAATCTCTCACTAAAGGACACAGTTGAGCTAAACTTTCCACCCTATGGTAACAAAACAATTTTTTTTTTTTTTACAGAACTTCATTTAGTGAGTTCTAAAGGTGTTCAGTGCACAAGCCACAACGATCTTAAGAGCTGGAGCTGACAAGATGTTACTTTCACTTGAATGAAACACACCATCTTCTTTACAACTTATCTTTATGTAGCACTTTTCATGTAAAAGGACGTCTCGAAGCAAAGCATAAGATTTAATAGAATCGAATGTACGTAGGCAAATGCTTCTGCTAAGAAGCCAGTTCAGTTACCATCAGTGAATAATCAAATTCATGCCAAAGCATTTGTTTGCTAGAATTAAGCTGTTTGCATTGAGAAAGCTTCTAGATAGATGTATGCTAAGTGATAAAATATCACATTTATTGTACAGTAATGAAGACTGCTTCGTGATCTACTGACAAGTACACATTTTGTAAAAGCAACTTCACTGCACTTTGGATTTCACATATTATAACCTTAAAAAGGCCTCTTAATGAAACGGTCGTAATCCAGTATTGAAGATGCAAACATAGATTCTCAAAACTATTTGACTAAATTTGTGACTGTATGTTTTGGCCATTTGTCGAAACGTCTTGTGGAAAAAGTTTATTAGGCTTGTTCAAATAAATAGATTATTATGAGATTAGTTTTGGGAGTTGAGCATGTATTTAGTTCAAGAATCCCATGCTTCATGAAGGGAATAAATAATAAGTTAGAACCAGAGTAAGCCAGGACTTTGAAACCAGTCTCCAGTATCGATGCCTTGTTGACCGGGCCATGGCTTTTGGAACTTGCCGGGCCATATACCACAACATTTAAAATAAAAGAAAAATCCTTTGTGCAACTCACACAATTGCAAACAGTAGGGAAGGACACTTATGGCACCATGGCTGTACTTCTTACAGAAAAGAAAATTATCAGGAATTTCAGCTCTTGCCAATATCTCTTTAAAACTCCTAAATCATAGTATTTGGAAAGAAAATTGAAAGCATGAGGGCACTTTACTGGACAGATCTGGAAATTTCACAGGCATGAAATTTGGAGCTGTAGTAGTGGAACCCAAACTGGTTCAGTTTTGATCATTTCAGACGAAATCTTTTGTGTTTATTACCATGACAGTCACATAATAATACAGCTCTTAATGATTGGTACGAGCTTTACAGAGTATTCAATTTCAAGTCTTTTCAGAAAATTAACTGTAATTAAATAAAATAGCAAATCTATCAGGTTGCATACAGCCCATCTGTGAAACAGCCAAATTTAGCCTTTCCCCTTGAGACCTCTCTGTAGTGCAATTCCACAATCACAATGCAAAAATCTCTCTCCTTAACAACCAGCATCATAACAGCACCTTTGCCAAGAAGGGTTCAATGGATTTTAAAGCAATTATGCAACTGTTTTTTCAACTTGCAAAATCTCCATTTGGCTAAAGTCATCTCTGGGTAATAGCCACCTTTAGTAGGTCTGACGGGAGATTAGGACAATGGTAATAAAAGTAAATTGCAACAGTCCTCGCTCTAAAACGTCTTGAAACTTAATATTTCACATTTGTGTTTCGGTACATTTGGTTTGTAAACACCTAAAGATTCAGGTTGAGAAGTATCAAAGAACGTTAAATGGTGCATTTAAAACACGTCACCCAGCAGAGACCCAACTACTCCTCAGGGCAGTGCAATGATTAGGTCTTAACAACTTCCAAAGGCTACTTTGCCATGATTCTATTGAACTGAACAATAAACTATGGAGCTTTCCCCTCCACAAAGTCAATGCCAACATCAAGAATGGGATAACCACTGCACAGTGTGTATGGAAGGCTCACATTGAACATTGCTAGAACTCGGTTGGGGAAGGGGGGCGTGGGGGCTCTCAACTGAGACACAAAGATTTCGTCAAGGGACTTCTGCTTCAGTCACTGCAGTGAACTAGAACACACAGCAATTCTCTGGCAGAACAAAAAATACTCTTTATGGGGTGGATTGGAATCAAAATATCCTCTTTTTGACACTATAATTATTAAATTATTGCTGTATTAAGTATTGCTGAATATGTATATTGCTCACTTGCTCGGGAAACATAACCTTCCCTATCGGGATTAAAAGGTCTTGCCGAGTCTTTAATTCAAGTTCATTTGCCAGAATCACATTCATCTCCTGATAAGATTATGTTGAAGAAAAACAGACGCACAATTCCATATATGTTACATATGGCAATGCATTGCTATAGAGACAGTCGTACTCCTGATATTTTCTGTTTAGAACTAGGGAGACTGAGAGGAGCCAGGTCCATCATTAATCCTTTCAGAAGAATTGAGGCGAGCACACTGTAACTATGGCTCGATTTGGCAAAACTCGTTTGAATATCAGTTTTGAAAGTGTACGTTCCATTCTACATCTTTTAGACTAAAGCACTCAGGTGATAATCACATTATGGATTCAAACTTGCCAGAGTCAAAAGCTGTGGTTGCCGAAATCATTTAGCATTGAGCAAGAAAGAACCTGCCAACATAATAGCACGCCTTTAAATGTGCATTACTTTCACAAGCCACTGTAGGTGGTGGGGCTGATCGTTTTAAACTGGACCACGTGGCTTCTTATCCTGAAAAAAAAGATTTACCCCTTTTACGATCTCCTTCTCAACGCTAAACATTGCGTGGAACATCTGCAGGAATGAGGTAGGAGCTGTGGAAACGCTTGGGACAGCTGTAGTCATATCTCGTACACAAACCAGTGAAAAACGGTGCTGGACTGAGAGTCGGGAGAGAAAAAAAAGAGGAAATGAGAAATTGCAACAGGCTTTGTGTGCCAGAAAGTGGCAGAGATTTTCTGCTGTCCTCTCGTGCCAGAATGACTCTGCCACCAGAGGGTGCTCATAGTGTTTATAAATGAAGGAGGATCTGTCGGGGTTGGTAAGGGGGGGGCACCAAGCAAGTCCCATCACAATGCAATGTGGAGCCATTTGGGTCTCGGGTCCTGCAAATCGAAGCTATCAGCTGCAGTAGCACACATGTTGAATCCTTGGTACAGTAATTAGCCAAAAGCAGCCTCCTAGTACTGATCAGGTTACACAGCGGTACATAATCGTAACCATTTTAAGCACAGTATAAACATTTGGCGGCCTCACACCCAAAGGAGACCGGATCTGCTAAAGTGCTAATAACAGCATTTATCGTGTTAAGAGTATGCGGGTCCTCTTTATTATTTATTCAGCATTGTGAGAGCAAAAAAATCTCCGGCCAAATAAAAACTAGATATAGTGAAGAGGACGGCCGAGGTGAATCTACAGCTTGGTCTCTTGGATATAAAGTCACAACCATACATTGGCATGCCAAACTATCTCAAGCCCCAACAACTACTGTGAAGCAGTTATTTTCTCCCTTGTCCCCAGAGGAATTCAATAAACCTATTGCTTTGGAGTAGCAAAAAATGTTTGTGTGTGTGTGTGCGTGTGTGTATAGAGCTGGGCAACTATTTGCATTAAAAGCTGTGCTGCCACAACCACCATTACATCCTTACTGACCCTCCCAGGACAAACAAGCTCCGGAAATTAGTGCAGTTCACTAGGCAGGGAAGCTAGAACACAGTATGAACAAAACCCAACCATAGGTTTTCAGGTCACGACCGCGACATTACCAACATCCTTTTTGGGCTCCACATTTTTCGCTAAATATTATGGCTGCCTATTCACGTGGAACCATTTTTGGAGGGTGGGCAATTTGGATTTAACTCGTTGGCTCCTTTTGTTGATGCATTAAAGCCCTGACGGAGGTAAATGAAGTAGATACGGGAGTTTACAGGGTTACCGAGCAATACGACCACCATGGTCCAAGCCACCCCCCTGGCACTGAGAATTCAAGTCCTTCTCCTGATCTATTGGTTGTGGAGTCTGGAAGCAGCTTTTGTGGGGTTTTATCCAAGCCTTTGCTACCTCTGGACGATGTCACTGATTTCTTTCACAGACGAGAGAAGTTTGGTGAAGTCCTGACTGGCTGAGCAGATCTGCAGCTCCCGCAGGTTGTTCTCCAGCTTGTTGATGGCCTCCCTGAAGGCAAACTTGTTGCGCATCTGTTGAATCGAGTCCACGTAGCTCACACAGAACGTATACAGGTTTTTACCAGCCTCCAGTACTGCGCTGTGACTGGCCATTTGCTCAGAATTCTTTCCGATAGCCGCTCGCAATGCTTCTGTGCTTTCCAAAACTGTGTCCTTGGTAATGTTGGCGCTGGTAATCTTCTCTGGCTGCTGCCGTGTCTTGCGCAAGGAAACTCTGGTGGAGATAAGTGGAATGAAGGGCGTTGTGGGCAAGGATTGCTGGTCTCCGCTTGTGTTTGGTAAGGCAGGTTGTGTGGGTGAAGGTGCAGCTGATGTGGTTAACGGGACCACTGTAGCTGATGGCTTCATAGAGGATTGAGGCTTTGGTGCAGAATGGAGGAGAGGCCTTTTCATCACATCCCCTGATTGGCTTGGTTTCGAGGCATCACTACTCACAGTGTCTGTGACCTGAGTTGGCTGTTTGTGCTTGACGCCCGTTCCCGTCTCCCCCGCAGTCTCGTGGGTAGGGCTTCGAGGAGGTTTCACCGATTTCACGCCTGGCGGAGGAGGGGGCGCGGGCTTGGGCTTCTGTAGCTTTCCCCTGTCCTTCACAGGAACGGACGTGAGCTGATCAGAAGGCTGCTTGAACCTTCGTATCCGCAAGTCATCGTTCGACAGTTTAACTCCACCCAAGTAGGTGGAGCTTGGTTTCAGCGTGGGGGACGTGATGCTGGAGGCCTGATCGTGCAAAGGAGGGACTAAGGCACAAGACTTTGCATTCTCTTCTTTGAGTTCTTTCTGGGTGTGACCTGCCGGCTGTCTGCGCACGAGTTTCAGCGTTGATGCCGGTGGACTTGAACTGGGGCTCGACTCCAAGTTGTTGAACGTGTCATCAGTTACCTCCTCGTTCTTCTTGGGCAGCCGAGGAGGAGTGGTCATGTTTCCTCTGGGAAGAACGTCCACCTTGTTATCGTTTGTCCTCTTTCGGGGCAAGGCTGGCTTCTCGTTTCGGTCGCAACCCAAGGCCACGGATTCGGACTGCTTTCCTGCGGATTGCAGATCCCGAGGGAGAGTCAGTGCTTTCCTCTCCGAGTCTTTATTTCCCGGGGGCATGGACGATGCAGAACAAGACCTCATGAAATGTTTTGTATTTGTCGTGGACTCCTCATCATTCCCAATAGGCTTTACCAGAACTAGAGTACTGGACTTCTTCGAATTTGGGGAGAAGAAACCAGTCGGTCCTGCCGGGCTCCCGTTGGTGACCCCTGCTCCGTTGTTAGCGCTTTGTGCCCCAGTGCTAAACGACTGCTGAAACTTGGTCGGATCGATTGCGTCATTGTGAGGCCCCACACTGTTCACAAAGGCACCGTTGTTCACATCTTTACCAGCTACACTGCTGTCTTCCGCTGTTTCCCCTCTTTTCTCCGAATGTCCATCCATATCCCGAAAGGAGCTGCTGCGTTTAGGAGGGGTCGGCGCAGTCTTTTTCTTTTTCTTGATGAAAGAACTAAAGATGGAAGCGGTCTTTCCTTTCTCTTTAGTGAACGACTGCAAACGCTCCTCATCGTTGCAGTTGCTATCCGGTTCTCTGTCCTTCCGTGGAAGCATTGGGGAAATGGCCATCTCGTGATCCAGTCCATCTATATTTCAGTGAGAGGGTCAACGCAGATTAAAAGACGGTTAGTGTTAATTCCGTGAAAATATATGTCAACTAACTCCACAAATCATGTTGCTTTTGAAATTCCAAAAAAAGTCAAAATTTATTTTAAATAAAGTGTGTTTCTCAAACCCCGACCCTTCATCATTTTATACACTTCTATCAAATCCCCTCTCAGGTGTCACTTTTCTATTCCCAAATAACAAAATTAGCAATTAAAATAACAAAATAATCCTTGAATTGGATATAGCGCCTTATCACAGCTTCGAGGCCTCTCAAAGCACTTCACTGGACTTACTGTGAAGTGCAGCGGCTGTATTTCGTAGGTGAAAGCGGCAACCAATTTGTGCAGGGCAATGTCCCACAAAATGTCAGATTCTGGACAGATTGTCTGCAATACCTGCAACCCAGTTTAACTTTACTCACATTTCGGTGCAGGATTTAAAATCTAATCTGAGACGTACCAAATTCACCTGGAAGTTTAAATGTTGAAAGGGGCATCTCTTGAACTTCATTTGCCTCTTTGCTTTCTGTTGTTCTCCTAAGAGTTCGGGTTTTGGTTGGAAGTTCTGGCGCCTGAGGCTTATGACTAGCAGAGCTCTTGCCTCCTTTCTTTCCAAGTTCTTTTTCTACCTCTGAAAAGCACATTATAAAGATCAGTGTCATTTTCCTAACGGACGGTCAAATATCATGTAGTTGAATTTCATGGCATTTATTCTAAAAACATATACTAACGTGGAAGGCTGATGCCAGACAACTCTAACACAGCCTTTTACATTCAGAACTAATGGGATTCCTTAACAAAGGAAAATGGGAATAAGTCACACTGACTCACAGGAACTCTGCTCAGTGTAACTTATCCCCCGCTATCAGAAGAAATCCCACTATGAAGTCGGCACATTTTTGACCCCAATAACCCACAATAAAGAGAACCCGCTCTAACACATGTGCTGATATTGATTAGCAGAGGCAGTTTGTTACAGAAATGGAACCTACTATTTCCTGATTGTTAAGACATCAGAGGAATATTTCCTGCCTTCAGGTCACAGATCAGAAAAGCTTTCAGTACATGACATGAAATGTAAAATACTTCAGAGTATTAATATTCAGGCTCCAAGGTACAATATAGTATTGCCCTCCAGTACTGCACCAATCCAGTAATTTGTCACATTTGGGTAATATAAATCTAACTAATTCACTCCACCTGCAGAAACTTGGTACCACATTCACTCAATATGCACTTCCACCTCATCTGTTGTTAGATTTATCACTTCTGCTGATTTGAGTTAATCCACAACAATTTGCACTCATATTGTTCCTTTCACATACATTTCACCATCTCAAAATACTTTTTTTTAAAAAGAGAGTGGAAGCCCAAGCAGAGGGTGTGAAGAAATGGCCAAAGGTGTCATCAAAGAAATGGATCTTCGACTGTGTTTTGAAAGAAGAGAGGGAGTGGGTGAGGTGGAGGGACATCAGAAGAGAGTTCCGTAGGGCAAAGTGGCTGAAAACTTGCCCACCAATTGTGGGATGGAGGTGACCGGTGGGTGGGGCTGAAGAAGCTCTGAGTTGGCAGAGCAGAGGGAGCAGCCAGAGGAGTAACAAGAGTTTGCAAAATGTTGTAGACTTAAGCGCTTTATCTTAAGGCTGTGTGTCACTGAACTGACACTTACCTTCAGATATGCTGGATTCTTGGAACATCGTGTCAAAAGCTCGATGTACATCTGCAAACGATGGCCTGTCCCCTGGGTTCCACTTCCAACCTACATGCAAGCATTGTGGTTAGATCAAAACGCTGACAATTAGTCAACTGCAGGAACAGTCTTGAGGCAAAACATTTTTTTTTTTTTACCATGACACGGTTTTCCAACTGAGAGTCAAATAATACCAATGAACCCGTAATAAAACGTGGTGCTGGAACAGATAGTAGCTTGTAAGACATTGGTCAAAAATACAGCAAAACATTTTATTCAGTCAGTAAATAAACTTTCGCTCCCCATCCCTCTCCCGGTGACTCAGTTGATAAATTATCTGGAGTGACAATGTGTCACACAGATCCAGTAAGTCAATGTTCCTGGATTGAGGGGTAAAGTGGGGAGGGTGGGGGTGGAAGGGGAGAGAATCAGCCAGGGTTCACTAAGCTTATTTCTGTGCTGAAATTCCTGTTTCTCATCAATTAAATGCGGAAAATCTGAGAGGTTTTTTTTGCTATCAAATCCAGTTATGCTTTGTGTTCAACTGATTTACAATCCAATCTTGGAACAGGCATCATGATAACCAGGAGATAGTTTGGTTAAAGAGGTTATGCCGTGATGTGCCAGGCCCTTGTTTCTAAGGGAACCGACACCGTTCAATATCATCTTCTGAACATGTCACTGTGTGCCAATCTGATAGATGTACTCACACGCTCGCATCAACTCGTACACTTTCTCAGGACAGCCTTCTGGCCTCTCCATCCTGTAGTCTTTTTCCAACAGGTCGTAAACCTGTGAGAGGTCAATCCCGGGGTAAGGAGACATACCGTAGGTCGCAATCTCCCACAAAAGAACACCAAACGCTGCAGGCAAAAATAAAATGCGTCAGATTACTTCACTCTAACATTGAGACTGCAGGGACTTGTTAGGACTCAAGCTGGATGTAAAGGTAAAAAGTTCTGTTTCTAAGAAATTGCACCAGATAGTTGCAATTTAAAGCCATCATCGATAACCTCTCAACCTAAACTAACGATGATAAATAGGCTCATTGTTGATGTTCCTTTATTTCTCCACATTTTCAAAGTTTTGTTTGGCAGTGAATGCAAAGTGTACATGTGAAGTACAAGGAAATGATGCTGTGGCGGACAATTTTGGGGTCCTGAGCAATATAATGGAGCGCTTTGATAGTGGCTGCCTTTGCACTTACCCCACACATCCGATTTGATTGAAAATTTATTGTAGGCCAGGCTCTCAGGAGCTGTCCATTTAATGGGAAATTTAGCTCCAGCGTGTGCCGTGTAAGTGTCCCCCGTCATCAACCTGCTGAGCCCAAAATCAGCCACTTTAACCAAGTGGTTCTCCCCTACGAGGCAGTTTCTGGCAGCAAGATCCCTGTGGAAAGAAAGATTGTGAGGAACCATTAGATCACTGGGATCTGTGGACATCTGTTCCTCAAAGTGGAAGATGGTCTTGCAATTTATTTATACAGTCTCAAAGAATTTGACAAAAGTCACTTACAATCTCATTGTGACCTACATAAATATTTCTCTCTCTGTTGCAAAAGGGTCATTGTAAATTATTATTTCTTGCTCAGCGCCACTTTCACACCCAACACATTTTAAAATTATATTTTGTGAATACAATTTTCTGTAAAATGAATTCAATCTGACGTTGGGGCAATCACTGGAAAGTTCATTGGAGTTGGAAGGATTTTTCATTTCTGCACATTGAGATTATTCGCGTCAATACGAAAGACTTGTGCTGCTTTGAGATAAGTACCTGTGAATGAAATTTTTCTTCTCCAAATACTCCATCGCCGATGATATCTGAGTTGCCATATAAAGCAGCACAACTGCATTCACCTCTTCCTTGTTGCAATCCCGCAAGTAGTCCAGGAGATTACCATGAGTCATAAACTCAGTGATAATGTAAAACGGAGGCTCTCGAGTACATACACCTTTAAACAAAATGTACAGTTGTCAAAGCATATAATAGCCTCCCTGTGAACGTGGAACTAACTTCCACATTCTGTTCACGACCTCTCATACTGTAGATTCCTCGCCCCGGGCGTGGACTACTAACTCTGGCTATTCCTCAAAGTGGAAGATGGTCTTGCACTACAACAAGGTGAAGACTATATCACTGCTGCGAAGTGCAGCAAAAATAGCTCTAATGCATAGGGTGGTCTGAGCTGGACAAGCAGCAGGAAGCTTGGCAGGCAGCGCTCTGATTGGCAAGCTAGTGGTTTGAACATACCGATAATATAATAATCCTTGCATTTGATATTGCATCTTATCACAAAGTTGAGAGGTCTTACACAAAGATTTTATTGTGAACTGTAGTGACGGTGTATTTGTAGGCAAACGCTGCTGCCAATTTGCGCACAGCAATGTCTCACAAACAGTTATGAGCAGCTGTACAGATATGTCGCAGCCAGAATTATTTTGTGATTCTGGACTTTCAATTATTGTAATAATAATATAATAATCCTTGCATTTGATATAGTGCCTATTCATGTCTTTGAGGCGTCTCAAAGCACTTCACAGAATATACTGTAAAGTAAATTGACTGTGTATTTTGTGGGCAAAACTGTGATATTCAAACACTTCCAATCATGAGAACACAAAATGCCACATACCCAGCAGCTGAACCAGATTGGGATGTTTAATTTCCTTCATAACTGCAGCTTCTTTCAAGAACTCTTCCACTTCCATAGTATCTTCCTGGGGAAAGAGAACATCTCAGAGTTAGGTAAGGAAGACCAGTGAAGGAGAGCCACTATAACAAGACACAAAAAGGCTTTCACTTCATTGAAATCTGTAATGCCGTGCACTCAAAAGCAAGTTAGTTTCACAGTCTTTATAAAACACAATAAATGTAGCGTTGTTTCACCACAGATCTACTATAGTTAATATGCAGTACAAAAATTAGAATGCTGACAATGAGGCAATTGCAGAGCCAAATAAACACATGAAAACAAGACATTAACACTGCACAACTTTAGTTAAGGTTTCAATTTATATTCTTGATGCTTAAAAATTCTGCACTTTCACTGTAACAGACTTTTTTTGTCCACTGAACAAACTGGAACCTTAGGCACAACAAACACTGTGGTGAAATTGGTGGTGAATACTGTACTCATTACCTTCTCTATGAACAAATGTGTACAGGTCCTGGGGCAAGTACTGTGTATCAAATCCAGTCTAAAAATATTATATGAAGAACTGGAAAAATTTAAACAGTGAACAAAGTAAAGATCCAACAGAACACAGCTGGGTTTATTGTTCAAGTGTTTTATGTGACTGACAGCATTTAAACAGAACCACACCTTGAACAGGTCTGGTGAACCAAATTATTTCTATTATGAATCCATTTTGAAACCTGTGCGGCGATTAGAATTTGCCCGCTGCCCGAGTTTTGATTCAGTTTATTACACTTTTGAAAGTCAATAAAACCCATAAGTAACTGAGAAATTAAGTATGGAAAGAGCTACGGAAAGGCGTGTTAAATGTCACGTCACACGCTTAGCATTCCAGTGCTATTCACACGCGGAAAAAAAAAAATGCGTGACAACATAACAGATACAGAACCGAATAATTTTGCATCTTTGAATTACTACCGAGAATTTAACATCCACGTGCTGGGAAGGTGCTGAGAGTACGATTGACACTAATTGAATTCCACAGGCAACACTCCAGAGCCTTTATTTATAGGTCAGATGCTATTATCAAGACAACACCAAACAAACAATTCACTTTGCAGCCTGCCCTAACAACCTAGTCTTGCTTTTCAGCATGCTAAATATCCACCTGGCCTCACGATTCCTCTCCATTCACAATGCTAGACACTGCAGCCTGCGGAGAACTAGGCAGTGAAACTGCAGCCTTCTCTGCAATTAAGACAGTATCACAATAACGGCAACAAATTACACTTGTATAGAGCACCCTCCACGTCGCAAAGATGTCCCAGGGCGTTACAGCTTTGGTATCTAAACAAAACAGCTATGTCAGTATTATGAAACTTTGTGCAGCTACAGTGAATACTTACATTCTATTCAAGGAACGTTTGTGAAGAACAAAAATTGTATGCGATAGACTGAAAAAGACTCAACAGTTTTCAAATCGTCTATGAAAATTATATTCCTGGTAAACTACATCTCTGGACTAGATTCTTCGATGCCATTACCGAAGCTTAAACTGAAATCATCAGTACCTTTAGTGTCTTCACTGCCACAGTTAGATTGTATTTCTTCCAGACTCCCTCGTACACCTCACCATACTGTCCGCCACCCAACTTGTGTTTCATTGTAATATCTGTTCTTTCTATCTCCCACTTGTCGTAGTTTGGGGAGACACCGTAAATGGTTGGCTTGTTGCGTTTGGGTGCTGGATAGTGTAGTGTTGTGATAAGGCCATCAGCCACTGTTGAGTGGTGGTGCACAAGTTCTGCCAAAGTATTGAATCGACTTTCTGAGGATACATACAGCTGAAAGACAAAGAAAATCAGTGTCAACGTTTTGAAAATTAATAGATTCTGATGGGTTTTCTACAATCATTTTCGATTAAGATTAGAAAAGCCAACATTTTTGATCGTTTTAATTTAGAGAAAAAAAGTGCTTGCATTTTTATAGCTTCACATTAATTACTGTCTATTACTATTATTTTCTTTTGATGGCAAATGTAGCAGCCATTTCATGTAATGCAAGATACCACAAACAGCCTCGAGATGAATGACTAATTTATTTGGAGGATTATTGGCCAGGACACAATGGAGAAACTTTCTTCTGAATAAGTGTCATGGGATCTTTAACGTCAACTTTAAAGTTTAAAGAACAGGCAGAATTGACCTTAATTTAAGGTCTCACAACAAAGGATGACACAGCAGTGGTTCCCCAGCACTGCAATAGAGTATCTGGCTCATAACAAACTCAAGCCCCAACGTGGGGCTTTAACCAATAACCTTTCAAGTGCTGCTATCCGAGCCAAACTGACACCTTCACGCAGATCACAAACCCTTTAATTTCACCCAAGTACATTCCATCGTGTTCCCATATAAAAGTGGGAATGTGAGACACACTGATATAGTTATAGCTTCCTGAAAATAGATATCAGTACATTAAATATAGAAAAGCCAACAAATCTTTTGAAGATTGCTCATCAATTATCAATAGAAAATACGAAGCCCATTTGTTTCCCTGCATTACTGAATGCAACTGAAATAAAAGAACTCTATACAAGACAAATTACATTTGTATAGTGCCTTCCACGTCGGGAGGACGTCCCAAGGCGTTGGGATAAAGAGGAAAACTTCAGATCCTAAAAAGGGTCATCATCCCGCCAATGTTTCAGCGATAGAGTAGTGTATCGGTAAATCCAAGCAGAACCACTACACCAGTGGTACAGAGTGGGTTAAGGTAATTCAGGCAAATGTTTGGCACTCACTGACTCCATTTTCACCATCTCGATTTCTAGAGGCAGGAAAGTTAAAGGCAGGAGCTGAAATGGCTCCAAGGTGACATGTTTGGTAATGGAATGTCGCAATCGAGCCAGCTCTATGTGGCAATCGTGCTAATCCAGTGCCTGAGCCAGGTGGGCCTGCAGTACTCCAGGGCACTGCTGATGATAGCACAGCCAAACTGTCTCATTGACAGGACTTGGAAGGGCAGACCAGTCACTGGGGGCAGGAAATCATCCTACTCTACTCTTGTTCACCCTGCAAGCCAAAGCCCTGATGGGTAGGGTAGTCCTAGCTGGACATGCAGAGCGAAAGCTTGCCAGACAGCGCTATCAATGGCAAGCTATGCGGTTTTAGCTGGTTAAACTCCAGCAGTATCCCAATGCACACTCTGAGGTCCCCAAACCTTGGCTCTTGCCAACCTGCGCCTAATACTTTCCGGAATTAGGTAAGCAGGATGTGTCCCTCCAGCCAAGAGAGAGTGCACGTTCCATTTCAACAATCTATCTCTGGAATTTCCGTGTGTAGGTGGGATGCATGGAATTCTCAGTTTGGTTTGGATACTCTTAAGCACGGGGATGCGTTTCCACATGTGTCAGACACCCGGCTTTTTATTATGATAAGATTTATACTTTTAAACTTTTTTGCATGTGGGCAACATTTTTATGGTAGTGGAGGGGTGGATGGGAAGATGACCAGTGAATAAAACTAAAACATATTGTTTTTATTTAAAGAGCTCGGAGCAAATTGTTTTTGCTGCTGCTTCCTGCTGAGTGAGGGATGAGAGTGGACTGGATAAACAAAGAGGCAAAGGGAAGCAGTGTGATATCCTTCATGAGGCACGTCCCATTGCTTCAAATAATAATGAAAACAATAAAAACCCTTGCATTTGGCATTGGCTATAATGCCGAGAACAATTCAAAAGTGTTTCACAAGGTTTCTGTAAAGTGCAGCGACTTTATAGGCGAGTGTTCATTAACTGCAAGGCTTTAATAGCCCTTGCCACGATTGACCAAAAATTCATTGACATTAACATACAAACAAAAAAGTATCGTCTCTGTTTAATTTCTGTAATAATTATCCTTGCATTTGACATGGTGCCTTACCACGTCACGAGATGTCTCAAAGTGCTTCACAGATTTCACTGTGTAGCGTAGTGCATTTGTTGGGAACGGTTTCATCCAAACCGCTACATAACAAATTGTTCATGTGTAGTTGGAGTAGGTTAGGTAGTCAATGGAGAATAAATTTCTCTCGGTAGAACTTATTCCCAAAGGTCTTCATCTTCAGCCTGTAACGAGGTACGACTTTCATTTGCAATGATACAGTGGCCAAAGGAGCAGCTGAGGCTCCTGCCCTCAATAAGGAGAGAGGCTAAAAAAGAAAATCCTGTCTTAATATCAAATATAATAGCTTCACAAAGGGGTGGGATTCCGTCGCAATTGACAATATAGACAAAGTCTGCTTCACATAGCGTAGTGTATTTCAGCGCCTCAGGACATCCTTCTGATGTGAAAGGCGCTTTATAAATGTAATTTGTTGTTGTTGTTTCTGTTTCATTCTGTTTCAATTGGCTATCATGACAGCATCCCAGTGCTTTTGAAGCCGAAGCTAGAATAACGACAAGCCTCAAAAGGAGTTGGGATTCTAATGCGATAATCAATAGTAACAGAGTCGGGGAAGCCTCCCTAGCATCTTACAACTGCGAAGGAGCTAAACTTGATATAGCCAGAAACAGATGGTAACTACAGCACAGGATGGGATAGGGTCACTGCTACTTAGGCTAAACAGGGCTCACATACCCTTCCTGGTCAATTTCAGGAGGGGCAGTGCGGTGAAGGAACACTGTAAACTAACTTGATTGACATGCAATATTTTCCTTTTGGCATCAGCGTGTATGGCTTGGTCATTGTTGTTGCTCGAATAGGACATTCCAAATAAGAATAAATAAGACAGTCTGCAGCCGTGGCAGTTTCATTAATAAGAGGGAGTAGCTCACAGTAACTGTGAAATTCCACAGGGCTTGTGATATACCACCTGAGGCACTGGAATGGAAGCCAAGAGCTTGATGTTTCCTGAGCCTGTTGTCATGGAGGAGGTTGTAGGCAGTGGAGGAGGTTGGAGGAAGGCAAATGGCATGGAGAGAAAAATGGCAAAAATGTAAATAATTTCTTTTAAGAATCCAAATCCTGCTATGAATGGTATGCCACATAGAGCCACGTGCGCTGGCCTAATGATGCGTCCTGGTGTGAATGCTTTTTGTTGGTCTAGAACAACAACCTTGTGAAGAATTTCATCAGACATTCCACACGGAGAATTGCTAGCAAGGCCGAGAGCAGTAAATCTCAGGGTTTCTGTAGGAGATGACAGCTGAAGGCAATATGTTTCCTTCCCCCATAAGATGCACCGAACTGTTTACAGGGGTCAGTTGTGCTGCTGGGTTCCGCTTACAAAGCACTCCGGGACACTACCCACGTGAATATAATAATAATCCTTGCATTTGATACAGCGCCTTATCACGTCTTCGAGACATCTCAAAGTGCTTCACAGATATACTGTAAAGTGAACTGGCTGTACATTTTGTGGGCGAGATAAATGCAAGTTGCTGTTGTTGTACAAAGGCAGTCCACGCCACAAGTGGCACCGCTGTAAACTGAACCAGGTTGTGCTCTACCTGGCCAGAAGGGAACCAGAATACGTGCAAGGTAAAATGCCACGGTGTCAGAATTAGCTGCGTCCCATTGTCGGCACTTTCTCAGCAGAAGAAGTGGTTAGCAAACACGTTCCCTTCACACTGGCTGAGAGCAGCCTTTGGTGGACTGACTCCAACTCTGCGCTCCAAGTCCCATTTAATTACTTTGTTGTGCAAAGCACAAAGGCAAGTATGTCTACAAGTTGTAAACGCATTTTATTTCTCCTCTTCTGAACTGACAGGCTTCTCTTTTCATTTTATAAGTTCTTTTGTACCCTTCTTACGCTTGTATCATTACAAAACGAAAAACCAAATTAAATAAAAGAAAGGAGGGAAGTAAATGATCAAAACTATTTTTTTTAAAAAAGGCGAATCTCACGATATAAAACTATTGGCTAGATGACTGCTATATGACTGTACGCAGGAAATCTTTTCCTTAAAAAGCATGTACGCTCACTACACTGTAAAAACTACTTAAAAAGGGCAGCTTTAAGTTACCATGAAACTAGCCGCCAGGATTAAGCTACCTCAAACAGTCCACCCCCACTTACTGAGCAACAAGTCTGTAATACGTCAAACTTCTGGCATCTCCCAGATGTAGCGTTAGGAGCATAAGGTTCCAGAATATTGCCAAAATACAATGAAATTAAGCTCTTGCTTATTTCCGACGCTACACAATAAGTGTGATTTGAGTGGAGAGGGGAAAAAAAAANGAAGATTTCTGTGCTGCAGAAAATATTTGGCACGATTTGCTAGCCATTTGGACACCAGTAGGTTTTGGAAAGCAAGGAAAGTCAGATTGTTGGTTGTCACTGGAATATCCCAGATTTGGGGAATTTGGAAATCTTGATCCATATTCCGTTGCCTTGGTGCCTTTAAAACAGTGTGTCACTGGAATATTTAATGAAGGTTTTATGAGAAAGTGTTTTAAAATTTATTTAGATTTAACAATGCAACAAAATCCATTTTATAAACTCGATCCACACAAGTTTGCAGGGCTATGGGGAGAGACTGGGGGAGTGGGATTGATTTAGATAGCTCTTTTCAAAGAACTGGCACAGACACGATGGGCCAAATGGCCTGCTTTTGTGCTGTATAATTCTATGATTCTAAGCTGCTACTTTGGATGCAAATATTATAAATTCCGCCTCATGTTTCGATGAAATAAAAGCACACATACTCCAGATTCTACAGCTTTTGTAAAGATAAAGATGTAATAAACAGTGACCCAATCTAACCTCTGACATGAAAGGCGCTACATAAATGCTATACAAATTGGTTGTTGTTGACTCACATTTCTCAGAAATTCTTGTAAAAATATTGTAAAAAGTTTGCACAATATTCATATTAACAAATGATAGATTTCTGGTAGAAAATAATATCTGGGGATACAGTATATAGTTTTGGACACAACATGTCAAGCGACTGCCAGGATGGTGGAAGGCGAACTAGATGGACCTTGGTCTTCTTTCGCCCAGCAAATTCTTATGTTCTAACCACAAACCTGTGAATGTGACTTTACTACAACATTTTCTCTTTTCGCTTCCTATTCTCTTTTGGCTTGTCGGGTCAGCAGTGGAACTGGGCACTGCAACGAGTCTCAAGTAGGTTTGAGGTGGGAGAAGAGCCTGGCAGATTCTAGTCAGGAGGACTGAGTAGCTAGGCTGCAAACTGGGCTGGGTCAGTAATGAGGACTAAGAAATCAGTCTGGGAGTATACGGTCAGCAATACAAACATAATCCGACAGGCTGGCTGCGAGGAGCGTTTCTATTGTGTGCTGAGCAATCAGGCTGCGAGCAGGGCCAGCGCAGCAATGACCCCAGGGCAGTCAAGCTGGGAGCAGGAGAAGTCGTGAGTGCTGAGCTGAATTGGGAGTGTGTTTCCGGTACAGTAATCAATACTGAGTGGGTCTGGGTGAGTGTGCGATTGGGTTCAGGAATAAAAATTGAGTAGGTCGAGCTGTGAGTAGAGGCTGTGGAAGTGCAGTTAATTGCCTGAGAATGTATCGGCAGTATTGTCTGTGCTGTATTCTGTTACATGATTGACAGACTGGCTCTTCAAGTCACTTCAAAGAGACAATGCACTTCACTTCATTCTAAACAGTAATTTCCTGCATCATTTGCCCACAGCAAATGCAAATAATAAATCTGGGTCTGCAACACCCAGTGATCACCTGCCTTCTCATCTCGCAGCTGAACAACGGGACAATTGCATTTTAACTGAAGGCGAACGTGGGAATTTCCTATTAAATTCTCTGAAATATTTTTACTAGGGAAGAAAATAAATTCCGTTTGCATGCGCCACAAGTCTCGAGGAACAATAGACTAACCTATTTAAATGTTCTCAACAGGTTTAAGCACATCAAAGGAATTCTGATCCGAAGGTTTGAATGATTGAACTCTTCCTCCTCCCCCCACCCCACCACGGTAAAGCAACAACAACTTGCATTTATACAGCGCCCCTCAGGCAGTGTAGGGTCCCAGAGCACTTTACAAATGTGCCGGCTGAATCTAAATTATTCTGAATTCAGCCAGTCTAAATCAAAACTATTGGGCATCTATTCAAAACTTATATGTAAACATGTTTTTGGTTTCTCAAGGCTGATTTTGGGCTTGCATCAATTCTAACATCTCTTCTCCAAAAACAGGTGAAGAAAATTCCCCTTCCCAGATATTTCTTTGGGTAGGAAGTTACGTTAACAGTACTCTCCTTATCTAATGCCTCGCCAATAGCATTCCCTTTTAAAGTGTAGCAAATTCAGTTCGGTTAGCAGCAACATCTTGGCATCACAACCTGTCAATGAATTAAACAGTAAATTGGGAAGAATTGTGTTCTTTGAACTCATGTAAGTAAATCCTACGGGTGCCAATATTGACTATTACTTTAATGTATTCTTTGCAGTTAACCCAGACTTCAACCCTCAAATCATCTTCACATTCGGAAAAGTAACATACAACATTTACCAGAACTGAGATCAATTTTGTATAAAACTACGCAACAATAAGACAAGACTCTGTTCCTTCCTGCATCTGACCACAACAGACCCCACTACAGACTTCTCCATTGTATGAATCAGACATTCTTCCTGTCTAGCCTTTCTGCCGACTTAATGCAGTTACAAAATTAAAATATTTAACAACCTGCATAAGCATTTTTATACTGTATCCTTCAGATAGAGGGATTGTGTGCGGTGGTAGAGGGGGGAGAGGGCTACAGCTGTGTCAATGAGATAGGATGTTAAGTGGCTTTTGAAGATTGAGAGGAGGAGCAAAATAAAGGGGTTGCGGAAGGAGGTTCCAGATGGTGGGGGCATAGATCGATGGAAGTATGCTGAACAGAAGAGGCAGGCAGAAGAGTGAGATTGGAGAAGATCACAGAGGTAGGAGGTATGAGGGCATGAAGGGATTTGTAGGTGAGGGTGTGGATTTTGAAGGCATCCTGCTGGGTAACAGGGAGCCAGTAATCTGACGAGGGCAGGAATGATGGGCACGCAGGGTTTTGTGTGGGTAAGGATGTGGAGATCAAAGTCCTGAATGAGCTGAAGCCTGTGGATGGTGGAGGCTGGCGAGGAGGGCATTTGAAAAGCTGAGCCTGGATGTCATGAATGAGGGTTTGGCAAATTTGGGCATGAAGTAGTGATTGTGAAGGGGATCGGGGACGCTACCCCACATGAAGAGCACAACATAAATGCAAGTTATTGTTGAGAATGGCGATGGAGTGAAGATGAAGAAAAACAGTTTGGGACAGGAACCGGACGTTAAAGAGATGCTACTTCTCGAAGAAAAGGAAGTTCCACCCAATGCCAACAACCCTCCAACTAAATTTAGTCATTCTCTTCATGACTGTTTGTAGGACCTTGTTGTATGCAAATTGGCTGCCATGTTTGTCTACAAATACTCATCCAAGCACAGTGCTACCATTCCTCATGTGAATCTTGATTCTAAGAGAATCCAAATATAAACGTAACCACCACTGAAATCAATGGTGTCAAGGCCCTATCCTCCAACCTAGTAGAATCTTACCTTCCCATCAGACGCACTGTTTATCCTGTAGTGGTATACCCTTCCTTCGTAACGAAGTGATATGGATCTCTGTCCGGGGCTACTTTCACTCTCCCGCACCAGAAAACTCCCATTAATACCACTGCTGAGTAGGTACTCTGCAGCATTGCGTGAAACTGGCCCATGGTACCAGGAATGTTTCTCGAGACTGTTAACGGGTGTAATATAGTTGCTAGGAACCCAGCCCTGCCCATTTTTAGTCTGAGCCTCGCACCATTCTCCATTGTGGTTGTAGCCCAAAACCCGAAGTTTTTCACCTGTCGAAGAGAGAGAGAAAGAGAAACTTTTACTTATGGGTTATGCAATACTGCTCTGTTCTTTAGACTCAAACTTTTGAATTCCTATACTACAGGTTATTTAAAAAAAATCTCACAAAGTTCACATAGATTGAGTTGTGCAATTAAATCTATTTTTCAGCTGTTTTTCAATGACTCAGTGCATAAGCTGAAAGTGAATAGAAGTGGACAGTAACAGAGAGGAGTTTTAGTCAACTGTTGACTAAGGGGTTTATGGGTTAACTATCATATCGAACGCAATTAAATGTGAATCATAAGCTCTTAAAGTTAATCAACTTCACTTCGAAACAACTACGCATAAAAACATGGGCTCAGGAGCCAAGTATTAAAAAAACCTCTGAAACTGAGCCACAGGTTACTGAGTGGCCAGTGTCCAAGGTAATTTCAGACGCCAAATTAGAAAATCCAGGCACATTGGTGCCAAAGTGGTGGCAAGCTGGGGTCTATTCATCATCTTTATGTGGAAATTTATTTTATATTCTCCCGCACCACAATTTCAGCTTGTACATGCAGATCCAAACAAGCTGTTATCTCCCGGGACTTGGTGACCATGGGCACCTCCTACACTAGTACGCAATGTTCCTTTCAGTGCACCAAGTGATCACCAACTACCTCCTCCATGTGCACAAGAATCCTCTGTGTTTTTAAGTCAATTTACATTGAATAGACCTTCAAAAAGAACGAGGTTGCCAACTCACCTTTGGTTATGCTGAGTGTGTTGTCCCCACTGGCGACAAAATCGTACAGTGCAACAAAAAGATTTGGGTCATTTTCACTGGGGCAAGCGAGCAAGTTCTCTTTAGAGTTCCACCGGGCAGCCTCATTCAGACCCTGGGTTTCAAACTCTGGACGGTGCAGGGCTTCTGTGAAGAAAAAAAACACACAAAAATATGATACTGTTTGTAGTATAGTGAGCAATCTCACAGCAATCTGACTCATGAATGAAGACCTAAATATCTACGGAAATGGGACACATACAAACATATATATTACACACACACAAACAAAAGGTGAAGGGCTGAATAAACCAATCAGTGTTCAATCAACTGAGCCACTCAGAATATCTGAACAGGTGCTTGCAGAGTTAATTTGTGCCTTTGAAGATGGGATTAAATAGTGTGTGCACAGCGGTAGACAAGGTGGGTGGCTAAAACATGTTTGGAGACAGGCTAATTCTGTGAATCTACTATTGGGACAGAGGAATAGATAACTGAGAATGCAACAGAATATGTTTTACCACATAGAATATATTTTTGATCAAAGCCCTACTTGATGGTTATTATCTCAATGCAATGCAGATGTTAGATTTTTGTATTTGAATGGTTCATAGAAAACCACAAGCCTCAGTTCTACCTCCCCAAAACAACATTGCCTTTTTTTTGTATTGATCAATGATAAAGGCCTGGTTGGAGGCTTTCAGACAACAGAATAGATTGGGTTTTGAACAGTGAGTCACTGGAAAAAACTGAACTTGTTTTACACTGTATAATTTATCGCACTTGGTACAATAACATTTATTGTCACTTAGCAACTGTGGTACGAAATTATGCTGCTACAGCCTGAGCCAGTATTTTTCCAGATTTGAAGCTTTGATGTAATTATACCATATAAATATTATAAAAAGCAATGTAACAGACCCGACATCTGTTCCAACAAGAATATTCATCTAACGTTTTGGTAACAGATGAATCAACCGTCTTCAGCATAGTAACACCATATTCTTCTACATCAGCGGAATGTGGAATCTGAAGAGATTTATTGTAAAAATACTATCCTGGCTGTAGGACCGTATTAGCTCTTCAAAGCTTTGTTCAACGTTGCTCTGATGCACTTTCGTCAAATTTAAAGCTGTGTTACTTGGTTCTATCTTTTTCTCTTGGCCATGTACGTGGTTCTTCTGCCCATCTCTCACCTTCTCTGACTTTGCCTACCAAAGGCCTAAACAGGCTTTGCTTCATGTGTGTCATCCAGAGAAGGTAGCGCTCTTGCCTCTGAGTCAAAAGGTTGTGGGTTCAAGCCCCACGTCAGGATTTGGAATCACATAGTCTAAGCTGACACCCCAATGTGGTATTGGGGATGCGTTGCATTGTCGGAGGTACCATCCTTCAGATGAGATGCTAAACCGAGGTCCCATCTGCCTGTTCAGGTGGATAGTAAAGATCCCACGGCACTATTCGAAAAGAGAAGGGAGTTTCTCCCGGTGTCCTGGTCAACAATCCCCCAAATAAATGTGGTCACTCGTTCCTTGGCTGTTTGTAAGACACTGCTGTGCACAAATGGCTGCTGCTTTTTGCCTACAAAATATATAGTCAATGCACTTCGAGACGCCTCAATGACGTAAGGTGCTATAGCAAATGCAAGGATTATTATTATGTTACATCTAACCGTTTAACTCCCCCGCCACTCAAAACAAAACCGCCACAACCTAAATACCTTAACTTAAAAGCCAAGATTTTATTTAAAAAAAAGCAAATTGTGAATGACGTTGATCCAGACAACTCCTGAAACATATTGTAACCAGTTTCCTCGCATTTACTGTATTGCACTGGCACAGGCCACTGCCTGGGTTTGCTGCCAGTGTTGTACATTGCACATATGATGCTGCCAGTGCCCCTGGAGGCCAAATACTAATCTACAGAGGTGCTTTTCTTATTGTCAGATTTTTTTGGGGTCAGCCAGGTGTCTGACACATGCGGAATCCCATCACCATGCTTTAGAATATAATCAGATAAATATCTGAAAAGGGAAACGTAAAATGGAATGGAGAAACGTTAGGAGAATGGGACTGAAATTATCGCTCTTTCAGAGAACCAGCATGGGCACGATGGACTGAATGTTGCTGTAAAGTTCTCCGGTTCAGTCTGCTGTGGAAATGGGGCAGCTTTTTCACAAGCACCTGCTTCCCACGGGTGATTAACATGGCATTTGACTTATGCACACCAGATCACAGCAGAGGTCTGGAAAACTCTCTAACTCTTTAGATCACACCTGAAGACCTTCCTCTTCCTCACGCCTGAAGACGGTCACTTTCCCTCTCTCCCTGTTCAGCGCTCCAAGATGCTACCCCGTGTGAAGGGTGTTATATATAAATGCAAGTTGCTATTGATTGTACATGGTCCTTCCAGAAGAGGAAGCCATATTCAGCTTTGCTTCAATCGCAAAAGCATCAGGACTTTGTTGCTCTCTTAAACAATTATGGAGACTGATCTTAAATGCATTCACACAGGCATGCACATAAGACATAACCCCTTTTACGCTACAAGCTATCATTGAATTGCATAGAACCTTGGTAAAAGATTGATGCTGCTTCCTGATATTAACTTTATATTCTTGATACTGTCTTTAGTGGACTGAGAACTGGTATCAGTTGTATCACACACAATTCGAGCCGTCTTTTCAATGAAAACCTGTTCATCAGCTTGGTTTGGCAGCAGTCCACCCGCACACAGCAAAAACATAATAATAATAATCCTTGCATTTGATATAGTGCTTTTCACGTCGGGAGGACGTCCCAAAGCGCTTCACAGAACACACTGTAAGTGAATTGACTGTATATTTGTGGGCGAACGCGGCAGCCAATTGCGCACAGCAATGTCCCACAGTCGTAGGTTGAAAATGACCAATTTATTATTGTTTTTGGAGGGATTATTATTAGGCTCTGTGTGGAGTAAGGAAACTTGCCCAAGGTTTCGCCCTCTGCCTGGAACTGAACTCAGGTCTCTCGCTTGCAAAGCGAGTGCTCTAACCACTGAGCTACAGGACTCCAGATGCCATGCCAACTTTAAGGCAGTGTCAATGTGGACACAAGATAAAATCTTAATTCTATATAGCCAGCATGATCACCTCAATGATAATCTTAACAATGGGAACTGTTTGATGTGTTGAGTTAGCACAATACCCTTTCAGAAAAGCACCTGGGTTCAAATCCACTTCATAACCCAATTTGGGTTGATCTCAATCCAATTCCTAAGTCACACGAGGCCAGAGCATAAAACCGCCCACCACTGACACTGAACTACATGCAATCCAATTCAGAGAGAGACCACATAGTGGTATACAAAACAGGAAGTGCGCCATGGAGGATGCCTGCGTGGGATCAAAGCACATTTTGCAAACAGTGCAGAATTTGCTTCACTTTGAATCTGGCCATCCATGCTTTTGTTGACCCGGGGGCTGGATATGTGGAACGAGTGTCCAAATGATTTTAAAAAGCCTCCCAACTGAAAATCTCTCATTTTGGTGATCACAAAATAAACAGATGTTTAACTTAAACAGTACATTTTTTATAAAAAACTAAAATGATCCCTTTTCTCTCCTTGAATTTCTGTGCAACACAAGAAAGGCTCTTCCCCGAGGCTCTCAGTCCTCCACCAAGCTGCACAACTGTTCACATAGAATGTCCTAGGATGACTTGTCTCCAACATTCAACGAGTGGGTAATCTCTTGTCCTTTTCTTTTGGTCCACTGGGAAATTTAACACACACATCTGATAAAACTTGAAAGAGAGTCCCCAAACCAAATTCCATATGTATAGGGTTTCTGCTCATCTGATATGGAGTCTACAACCCTTGATTTTTTTTTGCTAAACTGTGCCTAATACTTTCCAGGATTAGGCAAGCAGGATGCGTCCCTCTGGGGAGCAGTGTGCACACTCCATTCCAGACGGGGGGAAATTTCCACGTGTATGCGCAATTCTCAATCTGGTTTGGATACTCTTAAACTTAGAAATGGGTTTGTTTCAGACACCTGGCTGACCACAAAAAAAAACTATACCAGACAAGTGGAAAACATCCATACAGTATGTGGAATCTATTGTCCATAATAATAATAATAATCCTTGCATTTGATACGTCTTTTTTTTCCACGTCTTCTAAACGTCTCAAAGCGCTTCACAGAATACACTGTGAAGTGAATTGACCATATATTTGTGGGCGATACCACTCTTCAAATATAAAGAAATTAGCACGGAGGGAAATTGCAGAGGCAAATCTGTATCCAACTACCCCATGGCATTACATACTGGATTGGAGCTCAATGCATTGCTGTATTCCATTGCTCTCAAATTCAAAACTTCTGAAATGTCTCGAGCAGAAAGAATTCGCAACTAAAACAAAGAAAACTGGGCTTGCTATAAATACTGAGAGCACCCAAGTTGTGTGCATGGCAGAGTTTTGGATGAGCTGGAGCTTTTGGAGTTGGAAAGGCCGGAGAAATACATATTTGAAAAGTCGAAGAGAGGAAGTGCCGAAGGCGTAACAAAGGATTTTGGCAACACCGGCTGTTAGATAGGGAGTGATATGGCAAAGCTGCAGCAAAGTAGTCTACAACTGGCTCTGTGAGGGGGAGAGATTTCCACAGCCTTATGCAGTGCTAATGCATTTGTATTGAAAATATTGTACAGTAGTAGAAGTGAACACCATTTAATGATCATTCCCAACCATTCAAAAGTGTTGATTCTTTCAAGAACAAATGGGATAGATTTCTGTTCGGAAATAATATCTCGGGATACAGTATATAGTTTCGGACACGACATGTCATGCGACTGCCAGGATGGTGGAAGGTGAACTGGATGGGCCACATAATTTTAAGTTGTAGTAACAGAGGCAGCAAAAATCCCAGCACAACGTCTTTTCTATTTTAGGGACCAGAAGAGACCATTTGGCTACTCAAAGTCTTTTTTTTAAAAAAAATCAGACACTGCAATGCTCAGAAAGCTTAATTCCTTCAACTTTTTACATATATTAAACACTAATTCCCTCTTGAATTTGCTCACACAATCTACTTCCACTGCCTTTCTTGGAAGTCCAACCCCCATAGTCAAATATTTGCCCACAAAAACAGTCACTGTACACGATAATAATTA